CAAAATCTGGTGAACTGAAAATTTCGGATGATCCAAGCAGCTGGTGATCTTCCACAGTTTTCAGTGAAACGTCAATGTGAAAGATCATTCGATGCTGAGAGGCTCATTTCTGGATTACTTGATACCTTTTTTGCTCCACATGCTGCGTGACCAGAGATTTTAGTCCATATTTAGTATTAAACATCCAAGATTGGGGTACCCAATGCCCATTATGTTCCCTAGTGGAAAGCCATTGACACCAATAAACGCAGTGGTCAGTAATTACATCCTCATGGTTTTGGGCGTCACCTGTCCGACAAAACATGGCGACCGCTTTGATCATAAGAACCACCCAGAAATCCCAGCAAGAAAAGTGGCGTTGTTGGAAAATTATGTGGTTTATGATACCATATACCCTCAATTTGTTGGACAAATCATGTTGGAAAATTCATATACCCTCAATTCTGATGCTTTATGATTTCACTAGTAAAGATGGTGTCAACAAAGATGGTCCGTATCCGCCATTTTCAGACACACCCTGGCCCTTATGTGTTTGGACGATAAGAAAAGCCTAGTGGAAACGACATGTGACAAAAGTTTGTTGAAAGATGGTGTAAACTTGAAATCCACCACTCGGTCATCATCCCTCCATAATAATATACCATAATATACAATATCAAATCCCAATAAAATGGATCATTAGAATCCCCAGTTTGTCTTCCCGCCAAATAGGCCAAAAAAACATCATATAATACTGTTATATCATGTCATACTTCCATTGTATCCCTATAAAACCTTCATGGTATCCTTATTTCATCTCATTTTCTGCTGGTAGTCTGACGTAGCCATGGAAGATCACCAATATTTGTAGGTATACCAGGATATACCATGTAATTCATCGAACGAATTGAGCCATTTTCCATGGCAGCCTATCACATGTCCCTTTATCTCCCATTAAATATCCAATCATACCCATTATGTAAGATCCAATGAATCCTATTAAATGCCTTGTTGTTGTTGTTGTTGTTGTTGTTGTTGGTTAAAGACAACCATTCAGCCAAGCCCGTGTGTGCCACCATTAACATTAAATGTCACGCTTACCCAATCTAGTTTAGGTAGTGGCTAACATGATTACCCAGCATTCGTCGCCTAGTATATTTGATTATATTATATCCCATTATATATCCCATTATATGTCCCATTATATATCCCATTAAAACCCATTAAAACCCATTAAAACCTATTAAAACCCATTAAAACCCATTAAAACCCATTAAACCCCATTAAACCCAATAAATCATCCCACCCAACGTCCCATTCATTACATACACACACACGCATATATATATATAATTATATATATATTATGATACACCCCATGAAAAAAAAAAATAGTGTTGATCGCTAAAACCCTATTTCCGCAACGTCTCTTCCCAATCCCCAGAAATCTGGTGCTTTTCCAGGCTGCGAATGCAGGACGAAGCTCCGGAGGAGTTGGTGATGAGCTGGCAGGGGGAGCCCAGTATTTGTTTCTAACGTTTAATGGGATTTCAGGAATCTATATCAATTAAACGGGCATTTAATGGGATTTATAGTATAGTATAATCTATCTAGTCAGTATGTATAATATATAATATACATTATATACCAGTAGTACCCGCACGAGGCGGGGCGGAAGTTGCCTTAAAGATATATATAAGACCTTTCTCATCTATAGAACTTGCATGCGCCGTGCGCCAGCCAAGCCCGTGCGTGCGTGCACTCTGAGAAAGTCACATTTGAAGCTCCACTTCGCACTTCACACTTCTCCCTGCACTCTTCACACTCCACAGTGCACACTTCACACTTCTCACTTCACACTGCACTCTTCCCAATCCACACTTCACACTTCACACTCCACACTTCACATTTCACACTTCACAGTCCACACTTCACAGTCCACACTTCACACTTCTCACTTCTCACTGCTTCCTTCACACTCCAAACTTCACACTGCATTCTTCACGCCCCACACTTCACACTGCACTCTTCACACCCCACACTTCATCTCATCTGAGCTCTTCTCACCTTATCCCAACTGAGCTCTTCTCATCTCATCTCTTCTCGTATGTCATCTAAGCTTTCATGCGTTGGACGTACTTTCAAAGCTTACACAAAGGCGTCGGAAATTGCGGCTCCAAAACCGGATCTCGACGCCAAAGCGACAAAAAGACGATTTTGAAGCACTTTTTAAAAGGAATTTTAAAAGGAAAATTATTAGCGCCAAAATTGAGAAAATCTGCTGACAATTCACTTTCGCAGCCTTGATGCAGCCATTCCAATACGATTTACGATCTTCAGCTGCAAAAGACAATAGTATTACGCATGCAGCCGCAGCACCGAGCAACCTTGACGCACCCACTACAATGAATCTGCAGAGACTGAGTTGCAAAGCACAATAGAACTACGCGCAACGGTGTCGGAAATTGCAGCTCCAAAACCGGATGGATCTCGACGCCAAAGCGACAAAAAGACGATTTTGAAGCACTTTTTAAAAGGAATTTTAAAAGGAAAATTATTAGCGCCAAAATTGAGAAAATCTGCTGACAAATCACTTTCGCAGCCTTGATGCAGCCACTCCAATACGATTTACGATCTTCAGCTGCAAAAGACAATAGTATTACGATGTATTACGCATGCAGCCGCGGCACCGAGCAACATTCATGCAGCCATTACAATGCGTTTCGCAACATCCCGTGGCAAACCCGCACCTATCTACGCACGTGGCAACATCAAATGACGACAATGAAGCAGCCATTCCAATGCAAACTGCAACCAGAGATTCAAGAACCGCATAGAACTACGCACACAGACACAACCACTCGTTGCAAAACACATAGGAGGAACAATTCGCGCACAAAACGACCGCAGCCGCACCCGTCGCACAGACGAGGTAGCTTTCATCGCCGGCTGCAGCCACTTTACACGGAAAAACACAAGGTTTCGTGCTCCGGCTTCCTCCCCAAAACATAGCCCATGCAACATTCATGCAGCCATTCCAATGCGATCTGCAACCACAGCTTCAAGAACCGAATAGAACTACGCACACAGGAACAACCACTCGTTGCAAAACACATAGGAGGAACAATTCGCGCATGAAACGACCCCAGCCGCACCGGTCGCACAGACGAGGTACCTTTCTTCGCCGGCTGCAGCCACTTTACGCGGAAAAACACAAGGTTTCGTGCTCCGGCTTCCTCCCCAAAACATAACCCATGCAACATTCATGCAGCCATTCCAATGCGATCTGCAACCACAGCTTCAAGAACCGCATAGAACTACGCACACAGGAACAACCACTCGTTGCAAAGCACATAGGAGGAACAATTCGCGCATGAAACGACCCCAGCCGCACCCGCCGCACAGACGAGGTACCTTTCATCGCCCGCTGCAGCCACTTTACACAGAAAAACGCAAGGTTTCGTGCTCCGGCTTCCTCCCCAAAACATATCCCATGCAACATTCATGCAGCCATTCCAATGCGATCATGCAACCAGAGATTCAGGAACCGCATAGAACTACGCACACAGGAACAACCACTCGTTGCAAAACACATAGGAGGAACAATTCGCGCATGAAACGACCCCAGCCGCACCCGCCGCACAGACGAGGTACCTTTCATCGCCGGCTGCAGCCACTTTACGCGGAAAAACGCAAGGTTTCGTACTCCGGCTTCCTCCCCAAAACATAACCCATGCAACATTCATGCAGCCATTCCAATGCGATCTGCAACCACAGCTTCAAGAACCGCATAGAACTACGCACACAGGAACAACCACTCGTTGCAAAACACATAGGAGGAACAATTCGCGCATGAAACGACCCCAGCCGCACCCGTCGCACACACGAGGTACCTTTCATCGTCGCCTGCAGCCACTTTACACGGAAAAACACAAGGTTTCGTGCCCCGGCTTCCTCCCCAAAACATAGCCCAGGCAACATTCATGCAGCCATTACAATGCGATCTGCAAACACAGCTTCAGGAAACGCATAGAACTCCCACGTCCCCACCTCCCTTCCTCACCACTCCCCTTCATCACCACTTCCCTTCCTCACCACTTCCCTTCCTCACCACGTCCCTTCGTCACCACTTCGCATCGTCACCACTTCCCTTCCTCACCACTTCCCTTCGTCACCACTTCCCGCCATCACCAATTCCCTTCCTCACCACTTCCGTTCCTCACCACTTCCCATCGTCACCACCTCCCTTCCTCACCACTCCCCTTCATCACCACTTCCCTTCGTCACCCCACTTCCCTTCCTCACCACTTCCCATCGTCACCACCTCCCTTCCTGGCCACTCCCCTTCATCACCACTTCCCTTCGTCACCACTTCCCTTCCTCACCACTTCCCATCGTAACCACATCCCTTCGTCACCACCCTGTGTCATAGCTTCTTATTCTTTTGTTTTGTATTGTTAGATTATGTATTGTTCTGTGATCTACCACCCTTCATCATAGTCAATTGCATCATGTAAAAGTCATTCGTAACTCGGAAGTATTGCTTCCCAACTTCCTTTGATTATCAATCTACCTACACCCTCCAATGGGGCCACTTTTGACTCATGTATATCAAATTCTTGATTGGAACTAAAATTTATGTTCGGAACTAAAATTTTAGTTCGTAACTTCAATGACCTAAAACTGATACATGTAAATCGCAGGATTGGCCCAATGTGTGTTCAAGCATCCAATTCAATCAGAATCAATCAGATACATTCGGGCAAGTGACAATTCCAGCACTTAAATGAAGTCCAGAAAGTTTGAGCAACATGTTGTGACATGTTGTGGCCTTTTTTTCTCTCAACTTTGGGTGCGCCCAACTCTGCGACCCAGATGCAGGCCTGAATCTTAGCCTGGAGGTTTGTGGAGCTTCAAACGCGTCAACCTTTTGATTTGAGAACAGCTGGAACCCCTGGAATGAAAAAGACCATTTTGGTTCAAGTAGTGCGTGTCAAAGAAACGCTACAAAACTTGTAGCCATGCCTCGCCCCGCAAAGCTGCGGCGTCGAACCCCTTTGGATGGTATGTCTGATGAGGGGGCTGCAGCCTTCAACCAATTTAAGGAAGATGCTTGGGTGAGGATACTTTATGTTTGTGCCATACTAATCCATACTATAGGGAACCCCATGTTGGCCAACATTTTGGGATCGATGCCTTATATAATAATTATAACCTTTTTTTTTCTCTCCGCTCTGTGCCATTTACCTGCAACAGCTGGTTTGACTTTTCACATCCCATTGCCATTGCGGAGCTGCACTGCTTGCAGCCAAGGATTTGAAGAACAGCACTGATTTGAAGTCTCGCGTCGTTGGGATTGGGTCTTTAGTTGTGTGGTGCGGTGACAAGGGTGACACCACTTGCCAAGAGACCATTGTTGCCAACAAAGAGCTCGTTGGAATCTTTACCCGATGCCTCAAGATGTCCAAGTGCCTTAAGCAAATCAAGCCTCTGGCGTATGTAGTCAAATTGGTGATGACAGAATGGCAGGTGGCATCGCTTTGGTTTGAAACATGTCCCAGTTGTTTTGGGTAATTTTGGCAGGTGCCATCATATATAAAGCACTCCACCTCCCCCTGTTCAGGTGGCAATGAGTAACAAGCAGGCCAAGGCTGACGCATGGCCTTGCAGGAAGCTTACCCAGCAGATCAAACGTTTGAGAAGCCGGTCTGAAACACAAAGGAACCCGCTGATCCAAGCCATGGCTGACACACGACTGCATGTAGGAAGTCACCAAGAGTCCCAAACAGTACATGCCGCCAAAATGGGACCAGGGTTTGTTTGGCTTCCAATTTTTTTGGCCGCTGCGCCATATGCGCAGTTCCAAGGACGATCTTAAGAGCGATGATGCTGAGGATGATGCTGAGCCTACTGATCCCGAAAGTAGCTCCTCCGAACTTGAGATCCCTTCACTCGAGGGTTTGGATTCCTCCTCAGAAGGGGCCCCGGCGATTCCAGTTGGTGGTGGCATGGCTGCAGCGCCAGCTGCTGTTGTTGAGGTGCCATCCGCTGCTGAGGCGACAATGCTTCCAGCTACTGGCCCCTCTCAAGGTGAGATTGTGGCGACCTCTGCTGAGACCAGGTTCACAAAGGAGGATCGTACAACCCCTTCTTGTGCGAGGATGGAAGATTCCCAATTTCCAATTGGCTATGACCCTGTCACCAACCCCTCACTTTCCCACCCTGAGCTGGGAGGTGGGGAAGATATGGAAATATCTTGAGGGCTCACTACAAATGCAAATAGCATTGTTGAGTTTTGAGCTGTTTTTTCTGAGTGGGTTGGTCGATCCCTTGGAGGTGTTGAGAGGAAAGTCCTTATGCTGAAGGACCGGCTGAAGAGCAAAAGTCGAAGGGCTGTCCCATCCCCTTCTGTTGACACGATGGCAACAGTGCCGATGGCAGACAATGATGCTGAAGTTTTTTGGCTATATATGGGTGAGCTAGGATATAACTGGGAGATTTCGAAGTCTTTCACCTGAGGTTCTTGCCAACCTTTTGGCCAAAACTGGGGATGGTGCAACACGGCATGCACTACCATTTTTTTGTGGCTTTTCTCGCCAATTCTGAAAGCGCTGTAGTCAAAGCAGCTGCTGTGCATCAAGGCAGTCATTGAGATTGAAGATGAAGATGACGAACCTATGGCCTCTGCTGCTCCTTCACCCACCGGTTTGGGCGAAGCTGCTACGGCAGAGAATTGCCCCACTGTTCCAGAGCATGTGGGGGAGGCGGAGGCTTCAGAAGGGAACAAGAGTGTGGATGAAGGTGAAGCATCGCCTAAGCTTGTTAGGCGGGAGGAGCAACGGGCACTTCGTAGTTCCAAAGGCCGTGGGCGAGGACGCGGCCGTGGACGGGGCAAGGAGAAGGAAGTTGATGGAGATTTGCCTTCTGAAGGGGAGGCACCAGCCCCTGCTAGTGTGGAAGGGAATCAAAAACCAAAAGCAAAGAGGGCCCCCAGAAAGCGCAAAGATCCTGCAACCCCGGACAAAAACGGGGAGAGTGGGTGCAGTGAGTTGGCCTTGCCCAAGGCCAAGGCAAAGGCAAAGGCGAATGCCAGACAATCAAGGGCCAAGTCCAAGGCAGGTGTGGAACCAAAGGTTTTGGGGCCTGTTTTGGACGAAGCTTCAATGGATCCCCCTCCTGAACGTGCAGCTCCTTCTGCGCCAGCCCTTCCCAAAGCGAAAGCCAAGGCCAAGGCCACAGCGGCTAAGGCGCAGCCGAGGAGGTCAAACGGGAGGGCCAAGTCAAGGAGTGCCAATGCACCAGTGGAGATCATGAACGAAGAGAAGAAAATGTACTTGAAACCGTTCCTAGGCTGCTCCTAGCATGACAGCCAGCAGTTGTTGCTGTCAAAACTACTTTGGCAAAAGCCTGCTTTCATTTTGTATGGACCCATTTGATCAGATTCGTACTCTAATCTGAACTTTGCCATTGCAGCTGCCATCACTCCCAGCTGCAGGCTGATGAAGTCGAATGACATCTACCGCCTTGAGTCTTATTGGACCCGCACTACTTGTGGTGTCCGCCGAAGGGTGGATGACAAGCATATGTTTTTGGCATCTGAACCCAAGATGTTGACCAATATCAAAATTTGCAACTATGTGGCCCCTAGACTTGCAATAGTCGAAATCTTATGGTTCCTGTGCGGAATGTTTTCATGCATGTCCATGAACCCTCACTCTGGGAATGTGCAAAACTTGTGAAACATTTTTTGCAGTAGGTGCTGTCAAAAGCTTGAAGGAAATCCACAGCTATGAATCATCCCAAAAGGAAAATGGAGCACCAAAAAAAACCCTATGAAAATTCTTTCCGGTTTCGTTAGACTTTCAAAAGCTTTAGCACCAGCACCCACATCCTATGGTATGCGATCACCAAGGCTGCGTGGCTCGCCGAGCACCATGACGAGCCTGATCTTCTATCTCCTGAGTTGGCTGAGGGAGTCGAGAAGATAATTTCGAATTCTGCAGAAGATTGAACGGTAGGGTGTAGATCTGGATGAGTGCTGGTGCCAATTCTTATTTAGCAATGTGAACGTGTAGGAGACGGTGACCATTGTCGAAAGTTTAGAAGAAAAAAAATATATAATGGTCCTTGCTTACGGTGATTTATAAAAGGGTAAGTATACCACCGCTTCCTATCAGTTCCTGGGTGCAACAACGGGCAGAGATACCTGTTGTATTGAACCTTGCAGCTTGCAACCTGCAGGGCTCCGGGGATAAGATTCGTAAGATTTGCATCTCCCTATTCACCATGATCTGCAGAGTTCAAAAAAAAAACACTTGCGTTGATGCGAAGATCACTTTGCAATAGTTTGCATGCGGACATCAGAAAACCTCACGGTTTGCATTTGTTCAGCCATCCTACCGAAAATTGAGGCATTCCCTAACAGCTTACTGCCCAACACCCCGATAGCAGCGAAATTGTTCCAAGTTGCCAGTGGCTGAGGTCTGCGATGGGCAAGTCGAACAAGAACCTGCGGAGGTATTTGGGTGTGACAGGTGCGTGGTCAGCCCCCTGCCCCTGCTGGTGTTGAGCCATAGGGTTCAATGTGGTTTTCAAGGAACATTTTCACGTGATTGAATCAAAAGCTGTTTGGGCTGAACTTTTGCTTTTGCAATCAAAGATTGCTCCATTTGCCATGGGCACTGCGTGGGGGCCAGAAATTATCCTCCGGCGGCTTTTCATAGCCAGGGTACCCAAGGTGTGGTCTGGTTGCCAAATTCAATATATTGTTCATTTAAAAATGTTTAGCTTAATCCAAGAAAGAACCAATTTTGTTGATCCCTGCAGGCACTGGTGCTTTGCCTGTTGCTTATCCTTTTTGGCCAAAATATCGATGCAACTCGTGTGCCCCATCTGCACTCTCGAGCTAAAACTATTCAATAGTTAAGGTTGGTATCTTGATAATATATTATATGAAAATAATGACTGCTTGCCCAGGAATGGCGTTTCTTAGAGCTGTTTGCTGGGCAAGCAAATGTCAGCCGTGCCTGCAGAGATTCATGCTTCCGTGGGGCATCTATGGACTTAGACTATGGGGGTCGAGCGATGGATCTTTCAACAGATGTTGGAATGGCGTTTCTTGTTCCACACATGTTTTGGGGATGTCAGTATAGTCGCCTACTTAGCCAGTGTCAAAGTCTGAAAAATATGTTTCCTTCTTTTAAGAAAACCCCACTGAGTAACCCGTGTTGTTTCTGATTCTGAGGCTAGCTTTGGTGGGTGTGCTGAAGCTCCAAGCCCGATCCTTGGGACTCCTGGCACCGGTGTGCTACTCGATGGGGTTCTTGGCGGCCTCGCAAACAAAGCGAAGCTTTATTGTACCACTTGGAGACCTTGGAAACCCCCATGTTTTCTCGGGCAATTTGCTCGCAGTAAGGCCCAACAGCATTCATTTGGAAACCATTGAACGGAAACAGTCAACTTGATAATTTCAATGAAACCCACTCATAAGCCGTGAGCTTGGTCAGGGCAATTTTGATATGCTGGGTGCTGGCAGCTTTGGGGCACACCTTCCTACTTGAACAGCCTGCGGGATCACGATTCCGTTTTTTCCCACAGTGGCGGTTCTTTTGCAAATACATTTGTACCGCTTCTGGGCCATATGACTCAACAATGTTTATTCTTTGGAAACCATGGAAACCCTAACAGTCTGGGATTTATGAATATTGGTTAGAGGTTGCAATAATGTTGCCAAATGTGCAAACCAATAACCGAGGTTTTTAGACAAGGGCTATGGATGCGACACTATGGATCAGAGAGTTGCAAACATACCTTCCTATGGAGCAATAGTTCTGGGGTGAGACACCTTTCCCTGGGGAGGCTCACAAAGGACAGAGCTGCAATATTGTGATATGACGACCCCAACCTTTACCAACTTGATTTTTGTGGTAAGTACGGTATACAGGTGGTCTGCCCAAGCCCATTCCTCCCAGTCATTGTGCCTTCGGACAGGAGCAGCGCGAAACTGCAGTGCCCTTGGCCACCAAGAACATTGACCAGAGTGGGAAACGCCGGGCGACTGGAGTGAAGAAGAGGTTGAAAAAATCTCAGAACCTCTTCAATGATTTGGCTATCATCACTAACAATTTTCCTATTAGTTTGGCACCCCAAAATCTGACCCCCACAACCAACTAAACATGTAGCAAACCTGTAGGAAAAAGGTTACTGAGGGTAGAGTTGTGGGGGTCAGATTTTGGGGTGCCAAACCAGCAGGAAATTAGAAATCATCACAGTTGGGATTTTGAAAATTGCTATTGTTTATGGCCCACTATATTATAAAGAAAAGATCTTCAACACATCTCTGGATAGATTTACAAATGTTCGGTTTCCCCAAACGATGTTGTACCCCAGTCTACGAGGGAGTCATTTCTTACACGCTAAGTGGGAATGTCTCAAAATAGGGGGATCCTGAAACTTGTTTATTTTCAATCTAAAGATAAAGTTTCGGGATCCACCTATTTTGAGACAGTCCCAAATTCTTGCCAATGTGGCTCAGCTAAGGGTATATACAATGGCCTTCGGGAAACGCATTGCGCAGTTGCTCCCCACTATGCCCAAAGATGTTCAACCACTTCGAAACCCTCAGGAGTTCTTTTGGGGTGGATGTGTTTGAATCAACAAAGGGGCCAGTAGGTGCCAATGGTCTAGTCTCAAAAAGTTTTACTGGATCCTGGATAAGTATAGCTACATGGTTGCTGAGAGAGAGATGTTTCGAAATAAAGCATCCTCTTTTGGTTTCATAAAGATCAGTTAAGGACTTAAGGGGAAAAAATACGCCTAGTTTTGAGACATCCCCCAAAATAAAGGTTCTCTTTTGTCAAGGGTTACAATGAAGCGGTGTAATTAATTACCATAATTGCACTTTAAACTCTTTGCTGGTTTTACAGAACATCAAGATTCAAGAAAGACAGTGTAAACATATATGTGTGATATAATGATGATTGATTGATTTTGCCTATCTATAGGACAAACAAGTTTAAAATTCCTTTCCTATGGTGGGAAGGAAACCACTAAGTATAAGTCTATAAAAGTCAGCAGTTATTTGCAATTCTATTCAGGTGGCCCTTTTCACCCCTGAAGGACATTGAAAGCCAACCAAAAGGCCACCATACATTTTGCATAAAATTGCTTCCAATAGAATTATTTCTAATAGTTGCCAGCCCGGAGGACCCTGGCCCGTCATCTGTGGCAACCCAGCTCGCGAGCTTGGTCCAGTCAGAGCTCTGGGACCTGGGGCAAATGGAAAGCGTGGTTTCCTATTTGAGCCGGAATAGGCATTTAGACATTCCCCCCTCATTTGCTGAGGCACTTCGGGGTGAATTGGCTCCATAAGCTCACTTCCAAGAATGTAATTTATTTCATCGGTGTTTCAAAAAGCATACCATATGGTAATTTTAAATCTTGATGTTTTGGGAGCCAAGCACCTCAAGCCTTTCAAAGGCATGCTATGGTTTGTTGTGTGCAACAAACAAATTAAATCAAATTAGAACATGTGTTGCCGAAAGTGTGGCAGCGCTAGAGGATCGAGATATGGTTTGACATTCGCATCCCTGACTAAAATCTGGAAAAGCTGCACTGATGCTTTCAGTTTATGGTATTCATGCCCCCCAATTCCCTCTTTAAATGATTGGTGTAAGCTTCCACCTTCCGGGGTGCGAGCAATGCTTGTGTCTCACGGGGTGGATCTGTGGCAACTTGGGGATGCAGTAAGATTACTGATGGGTCTAACCATGGCTGAAATAAAACAGGAATCGGGATTTAACCCTGCATACCCCATTATTATGTTTGAAACTGCACACTTTCAAGTAGCATATGTCCCCTTGGGGTACGAGCATATTGCACACCTGCTTTTTAGGCTCCACCCTCCGGGGTGCGATTTCGTAAGTTTTTAATGGTGGAAATGTCACTTTGTAAGGGGCATACGAATGGCAATTTTCTTGTTGGTTTGCCTCCACCCATAAAGAAGGCGCCCCACAAAGGAATTCCTTTTTGAGTATTTTTAACTTTGTTGGCAATGGCAAACCAACAGGGAAAGCAAAATATAGAACCCGCAGTACATGGGAAAGAATAGTTGCCAACATGGGTTCATAGTCATGAGCCTGAGGGTTTTCCAAAAGAATTTGTGGGGTTCCCTTTCAGGTTTGGTTGGCCCAACCCTGGGTGCAACCCAAGAGAACATCATTTATGATTGGGGTATTTCTGGTTAAGGGCCGTATATCTATAGAATATCCAGAAAGTGCAAGAATATGCCAAATAAAGGTGTCCTGGAGAGGTTTTGATAGCGCAAGAAAACAACATGGGAGATCATCCATCGGTTCAACAATTTCTTATTCGGTTTTACAAATTCTTACTCTGTGGTGAAAAAATGGCCGCGTAAGAATGCGTAAGAAAGCCATGAATTTGCGTAAGAAAGCCATGAATTTGCGTAAGAACGCGTAAGAATGCGTAAGAAAATTTTAGGCTTCCACAGGTCACCATTTGTTGGTTATGTGTTAAATTCTTATGCGTAAGAAACTATCAGAAAGCATGATAACCTTACTAGCTTAAATTTGAATCTTATGCTGCAAATTCATGGCTTCTTACTATTGTAATCTATTGTGCTAGCAACACCTCGATCTCCACCATGCCGGGGCTATGGCCTTGGCAACTTGCCACAGCGGTGAAATGCCCCAAGGAACCTCGGAGCCATGAAATAAACATTGGTTGATGGGCTACTTGGGATAAACAATTATCCTACCTGCTTTATGGTGAGTATTTAAACCTATTAGTAGGGAAACCATGGGAAACCTATATTATGTGCATTTTCCATAGCTCCATGGTGCATTCAGGGTTGACTATGGAAATTATAGGGACTACTTGGGGTGTATTTGATGATTTTTCTGGTCGTAAATGTTTCTCCCCTGATAATAACATATAATAACCACCCCCTAGAAACCATGGTTTATATATGGAGTTTCCACATAATTGGAACTATTTGGCTATATTGGATTCTTTTCACAAATATTACAATACCTTTAAAGACAAATGTTATATTACCCCGTTGCTGTTTTCCAGGAAATTCAGGTATGAACCCGGGTGGGCAGGGTTCGTGTGCCTCCCTTTTGGCGGGGCTAAACAAGATGGAGCAGCAGAACCCATCTACACCAGAGCGGAAGGTTCCTCGATGATTGTGGTATTTTTAGGGCTGCGAAACCATACATCAGCCTATAGCTAGACATGGGGTAATGTATGCATGTGTAGAATTTGTTATTGTATAGGTAGGGAAATTTATGATCGCCTATGTTTGTGGATGGGGATATTCTATGTTGAAACATCAGCTTATTGCAACATCCTTAACTTTTTATCTTGGGACATTATCCCACTAGAACAACATTGAACCAAAGACTTGCAGGGATCTCCCAATGATGATCAACCATGTGATTTTGTGGGCATATTTTTTGTTGAACCATCATGGGAAACTCAGTATCAAAAAAAACACCAGAAAGCCTTTAGGAATACGCCCACAATGATACGTGCCTGAAACACACTTACGGCACATTTCAATTTGCTTCTTTATACATAACTTATATTGCAGCATCCTCAACGTTTTAATCCTGGGACATTACCCCATTAGAACAACATTGAACCAAAGGCTTGCAGGTGATGTGGAGCTCCCTATATTCAGTTGTTCAAGTACCAGGGGAATGGTAGCGATGAATTGTTTGTTTTTCTAACAGGCTTCCCAAAGCGAGACTTAAATGGTAACCGTGGCTTATAGTTTTTACGATGAATTCACTCACATGACCCAAGGCCAAAACAGAACTTCGAGAAGATACTGAGCCGGACTTTGCATCGTGCTTCAGCCCCGAGACGGTTGGTTTGATTCATGGTTTGGGTGACAGCCCAGAGAGCCTATCCTTGAAGGCAGACTATCTAAAGGCTTTGAACGAGTTGAAGCGAGGACCCCTTAATCGGTTCTGCATGGTTTGAATGCTCAATCCATCAAGAACGGGTAATATGGTAGTCCCTTTTGTGATTCGAGTTCCATAAAGCCATTTCAAGCAACAATTCCAAACATTCAACTCCCTCCCAAAAAGACCATTCAAATAGTGTTTTTTGGTTGGTGCCAATCCAAAAGGCTTTCCCTAGGGTACCGATGTTATTTATCTTTAACAATTCTTCATACTGGAGCTGTGCATGGTGCATCGGCTTTAAGTTGGAAATTTACGGTATCATTGGAGCCAATATCTGGGTTATGCCGGGCTTGGGTGCATTTGTACAAACCAAAGCAATGCAACAGAATTTGGTCTTACCGTTTTGCCCAAAACAACAATGAAATACTTTTTGATGTCTATATGTGTTACAACTTCACTGGCGGGGTTGTATCCCCAATGGCTTCCAATCCTAATCTGGCATTCCCCAAAAGTAAAAGGTTCTCCCTGCACAAATGCAAACTGGCTGTTTTGCTCATACTAACCGTAGTGAATCTTTTCTGGGGCATCGGAAAATGAATCTGCCCTTGTGACCCAAGAACATATATTAAGAAAAGTCACATCGCTTCAAGTTTTGAATGGATAATAGGTTATTATCGTTATTATCCATTCAAAACTTGAAGCGATGTGACTTTTATTTTTGTAAGGGTGGGTCAAATTACTGATATTATCTGACTTGGAATCGTTTTACAGCCCCATATCGTGATCTTGCCTGCTTGCAAAATATTCCAGTGGGAGTGCTGGAGGCACTGTCACCGAACCTGCTGGTGTCAACACCGGAGGAGCCCCTCCCGCTGAGGTTCCAGGCCGGGAAATGCCAGTGAACCCGCCTGTGCCGGCTGAGCCGGTTGAGGTGTCCCAGCCAGCAAAGCTAGAACCAAAACCCACCCTTGACTACTACCAACAGAAAGAGGATGAAATGATGGACCGTTTAGACAAACACATGAAAATGTTGGCCGAGAAGTTTGAGCATGAGCTACTTGAAAAGAAACGTGCTGCTGAACATGACCTAGATGTTGAGATAGGAATCAAACGTCAGAAACGGCTCCAAGAGCTCGATGATGAGGTCCGTGATGAGAAATGTATGAAAGAGGCCCATCTAGCTTCCTTGGATGCCCAGTTAGCTGAGAAAATGCAGCTTGTTGCCGATGAACAAACTGCTCTTGATGAATTGAAGGAAAAATCCAAACGCCTACAGAGAGACCTTGAGGCTGCTGCTGACCCTCCGGGTTTGCATGGTTTGAGTACCCCGTGCTCAAAACAATTGGGTACCAGTAGTTCTGATAGGGATGCAATGAAAGCAAAGTTGAAAGAGAAGTTGAATGAGACAGTGAACAAAAACAAGTCTTCCCCTGCACCATCAAGTTTGCCATCGCCCCCCAGCAGTGCCGAGAGGGATGCTGGTGTGGTTGCTGTGGTACCCGAAGGCAAGGGTGGTGAGGTTGCTCTGTTACCTGTTACCACTATGAGGTTCACTAGCTCAACGCACCCTGAAGCCTGGCATTTCCTCTACCGTTTGAACAAGAAGGTTGATAGTGCTGATCAACTCCCAGACTGGCAGAAGGAAGTGTACGAACAATGGCATGCAGGACACTAATGGTTTAACCTATGTGAAGCCAATCGAAACTTATTTCGGCTGTTGACTTCTGAATTGTTGTTTTTGTGGGAGGTGGAAAGAGTTATTCATCATCCCTGGGATGTTGTTCAGGAGGGACCAAACGTGACAAGCTACTTCGAGACTTTGTCTGCCGATGCTATGCACCCAAGGAAGATTTTGGACAGAATAAGGTGCAATTCTGATTTGGTCGTCCTGTTACATAATTAATTCTATTCAATTTTTGGGTGTTAAGACACACTCCCCCCTGGCCAAGCCCAATCCTACGTGTGTCCCAGGCGAAGCTGATGGCCTTGACCACGATGAGACTGAAGACCCGCCAGTTTCGACGAAACCTCCAAGGATACTCGTGGCACACGGAGGTGGAACTTGAGAAAGTACTTGGTTGGGAAAAGACTCATGGTGGCAACCTATTGGGTGTTTGGTGCATGTTTCTCCTCACAGAGCCAATCTATATTTTCAGAATACCTTATCCTGTGAAACTCTGAGGACCAAAATCGAAGGGGCAGTGAAGCACTGCATCAAACGCAAGTTGACGAAGAACTGGGTTGCACTGCATGTGTCTGTTTGTGTATGTTAAATTTGTCAATCGAACAGCACCGTTGTTCACTGCTACTGGCCCGATTTTGAAAAGATTTGAAAAGCTGGTCATGCTAAGCACCAATCAAACAATCAATCCGTTTCCTTGGCAAAGCATGCCAAAAGAAAAAATCCATGGGGCCACTGCAATTGCTCATTTGTTGCTATTTGTTCAGCATTATTGTTAGGATATGTGTTTCATTTTTCATTTGCAGGAAATGCTTGTACGACTCGAATGTCACCAAGTACTTGGTCCTCGTTAAGGATGATGTCGAAGCAGGTGACGAACGTTTGAAGGAGTTTGAACAGGAGCTCCAGGACATGGGGCTGTTTGACACACAGTTCTCACTTGGAGACTTGTTAGACGAAGAGGAAGCAGAGACCAGCCCAGACCAGCAGCCCCCCGAGACCAAGAAAAAAAAACTTGAAGAGTTCCCCCCCATTGAGGGGGAAGAGTCGCTCATGGAATACATCGGCCAATTCAAAAAGGCATGCCTGACACGCAAAGCCAACCTGAAGACAGCAAAAGAACGTTTGGAAAAAGACAAAGCGTCTGGACATGAGACGCTCGCATCAAATTGTTTGTTGACTAATCAGCAACTGAAATATGTTAAATATGTTGACACACACACACCAAAAAAAAACTTGCTGGCCACCGCCCACATTCAGTTTTGTGTAAGGACCGATTTCCGATCTTTGCAGGAAAGTGCTGGTTCCCAGCTGCAAATAAATTCACAAAATGCATCCATGGTGGTCCACATGTTCCTTCATTCGGATGTCTCATAGCAGTAGCTCAATAGGGTTATTGAAATTTTCCAGGTAAGCTGAATGCCCTGTACAACAAGCTGACCGAGATTGAAGCTTCTCCCAGTGGTCGTTCGATGCTTGGTTTGATAGCTTTTCAATGGGCCTGGCCTCGCACTCATGCAGCTTGGGGTGTATTGCCACAAGGCTTAGTGCAGTGTCCTGCATGTGGCTGAAAAGCGGCTGGGTCCAAGGAAAACCGCCTACACTGGGATCTGCGAGCAAATCCGAACTGAGTTACTTTGACTGCCTTGGTTTAATATCAGTATTAGTATTATTAATAAGAAGGATAGAATACCTTAAGGTCCTCAAGGTGTACTGTAGGTTATATAATGAAACATTTCAAAAGACATCTGAACAGTTTGCCATCTCCCTGGTTCCTTTGACCCTTGTGCTCTGCCATCCTGGCTTAAGGTGCATCAAGTTCAATGGCTATCTGGCCCAAGTCAAGAGCCACGGCGGAAATGTTTGTTGTTTTTTTTCAAGTTTGGAAGGTTGCAGTGGCACATGTCCAAAAGTTGTTGCTTCAGTCGATGAATCCAATGAATGTCTTCTGCAAGAAATGTTTGGGTTTTGGCATAGTTCCCCCTGAGGACCTTCTACACAAAAGCTGCCCCGAAAAAGAAGGCGAAGGAAGCTGAAACCTGAATCCGTCCGGCCGGCCCAACCAGTGGGCATGCGCTTTACCCCAGGGTCCTCGAAGCAACCCATGCACAGGTGAAACAGCAAGGCTACCAGCTGAGGCTTCTAACAAAGTGTTTGTAGTTGTCACTATGGCATATCGCCAAAAGAGTATATGCTTGGGTTGGAGGGTTTTGACCCGCTGCTATGCAAACAAATGCGGAGAGAGTTTGACATGATGGCTGATGGCCGAGGTAACAAATGTTCGTTTTGCCCTTGCTGCCACTGGTGTTGAGTCTGCCATCCTTTACCCTTAATATGAAATACCACCAATGTATGGGCCCAAAAAAGAAATTTCTATACATTCTACAGGTGGTATTTGATATTGAGGGGAAAGGATTGCTGATGCCAGTTTCGGTTTGGTGGCTTTTTGTTCACCCCCGGCGCAGGTTCTGAAACTAGAGAGAAAATACCTCCGGTGGTAGAGGATGTGCTCCACACATATGTTGCCTCTTGATTAAATACAGGGTGGGGTTGATGTAGAAGTGTCACTGGGTTTCTGATTGAACTTTGTGGCTGCACTGTTGACGGGCAAGGCTTCGTCAGCTTCGACAGCCATCCGTCAAGCACACCATGCTGGCAACGTTGCTGCCTGGTCCCAGCCAAAGGTTCTTCTTGATGGGATTGGGAGACTACACCATTCCAAGGAAGGAAACAAAGCTCGGAATTTTACCAAACATTTGAGAAAGCGGGGGTTCATGCTCAACGTTCCCATCACCTGGCTGCGTTCAGCAACTCTGATCAACTGATGGTTTCAAGTGTTTTTTCTGTTTACCTTGACTTGTTTCCATGTCCCCAACTATAGCAGCTAATGATTTTTATATAATATAATAGAAACCAGTAAAACCTCCATAAACAGTTTTGAGCCTTTCCCGACGCGACCCTCAAAATTTAGTTCCGACCTTGCATCTCAGGTATACCCACAATTTGTTGGCCAGAAGCCTCGCTTGCTGAAAAGAAGAAGAGACGTATGTGCAAGATGCCACAACAGCATCCTATGATCACAATTTTCAACATGGCGAATTTTTTACTGAATTCGAAATATTCGCAGAAACTTCTCAATTCTACACTTGAGAGTGGGCAATGGAAGCATGACCTTGCATCCTTCTGGGCCAAGTTCAAAGCTGTTGATCCAGGACATGTTGTTTTCCGGGAACATTGCAATAACTTGGAGCACTGCATTCCTTGCCTCTTTCATGGGGATGAGGGTGTTGGGCACCGGCGGAAGCCAGTGCTTCAACTTAGTTGGGGCCCATTGCTACGAACTGGCCTTGGTTCATTGCAGCGGCTTTTTTTGATTACAAGCTGTCCTCATGTTTACTACAGCCAATTCAATGAGGGTGCTTCTGCTGGAAACCCTGTGGTTGACAACTTGCTGAAAGAGTGTTCCATTTCAGCGCGCAAAGCCTACCTGGAGGGGATTTCAACTGAACATGGATGTTTTTTCCTTGTTTTCTTGGGATTGGCGGGAGACCATCCGTGGCAAACTAAAGCATACCAGTGTGAACGGGGGCACTTGAGAAATTCACTATGTCCTTGGTGTTTGGCAAACACTAGCGACAGAATTCCGTTTGAAGATGTGTCGAAAAAAGCTGTTTGGCGACATACCCTTTTCCAAAGTGTACCATGGGACCGGCGCTTCTCACCACCTCTGGCTTTGATACCAGGTGCTGACCATCCTGGTTTCATCAAGTGGGATCTGTTCCACATGCTTCCACATGGCTGTGTTCGGAATTTTGTTGCCAGCTGCATTTGCATGCTTGCGGGTCCTTTGGGCCATTTCATGCCTACTGAAGACGGGATGTCAAAAAAGAAGGAAATGAGATTGAAGGTGGCCTACAGTTATTTCGCTGACTGGTGTTTTTTGACAGGAAACCACCCAAGGGACATGAAGGATTTTACGCCAGAAAACTTGCAATGGATAGCAAACAGGGACTTCCCGGACATGACTTGCAAGGGGTCCGACACCAACATTCTCGTCAAATGGTTGTTGGACTATTTGACATCTGGCCCTTGGAACTTGGATGAGCCCCTGTTGCTGGCCATCAAAGGCCTTGAAGGGTATGACCAATTTGCAAGGCTGTCTTACACAGGAGATCGTTTGTTTTGGTGCAGCTCCAAGCAACGAAAAGGGTTGAAAGCAATCAATGATTTCTTGCTGTCCTATACTGAGCTGGGAAAGTTGTGGCATCAACAGCAGTGGTGCTTCTTTTTGTGCACACCGAAGCTGCATTACTCGTCCCATTGGTCTCATGATTTGGAAACTTCTGTGACGACTAGATCTGACTTCAGTTGGAGTCCTGGTGCGTTTTCAACCCCGATGATGGAGGATTTTGTTGGAATAACATCCAGGATTGCCCGAACATCGCATCCATCTAGTGTCCCGTTCACTTGTTTGCAAAAATATTTGGTTACAGTGAGAAAACTTTGGGCAAACGTCCCGGAGTAAGCTGAAAGGAGGTCAGCAGCTGAAAGGAACATGTTGCTGAAAAGGCACGTTTTCTTATGAACTTAAATTTTTGATCGGAACTAAAATTTGATATACGCGTCGGGAAAGGCTCAAAACTGTATACGTAGGAGGCTTCAGGTATGTTATAGCATTATATACAGTAGATTCAAAATACATATGCCTGGATCCCAAACGATTCAAACGGCCCCTTGCAGGAATGCGATTTCAACGGTGAAATCCTCCAAAATCAAGGTGATGTGGGTTCCAGATTGCAACTCGCGGACTTACCAACGACCTTGGACGTCACTGTAAAATAATATGGTTATATTATTCGTTTTTTTCCTCAAAAGAAACGAATTGTTCAGGTTTCTGAAGTTTTGCAAGTGCAGCGATATCTATGCTGGTTGGTGGTTTCAAACATTTTTGGAATTGTTCATTTCATATATGGGATGTCATCCTTCCCATTGACGAACTCATATTTATCAAGATGGTTATTGCACCACCAAGCAGATCTGTTCAATAATTAGTTGATAGATCAATTCATATAGTTCGATTCCATAACACCATGAAACCGTAATCCCATTGTCCCCATTCCAATCACCATCGTTGATTCAGATGAATTTTCCTAACTTACCGTTTGGTGACTTGGTGAATCCATCGAGATGATTCCATTCATTGACGACCCCCAATCGACGCTTCGGCTCACGGTGCCTTGACCTGCTGGTGTTTCTTTTTTGAATTCTATACCCTCCGGTAATCAAGCGTTAAACACCTAGGACTGGGTTAAGTATGGAATATCACTCTAGTACCTGGTTGGTGGTGACTGGAACCTGAATTTTATGACTTTCCATTCAGTTGGGAATGGAAAATCATCCCAACTGTTACTCACTCCATTTTTCAGAGGGGTATACGTATACCACCAACCAGATACCCTCCGGATTTTCCAACGTTCAACATGGCGAAGATCCACCAAAACTCGATGAGTTGCTGGATTTTCCAACTATAGAACCTCCATGGACCAACGTTTCACCGGCGAAGGTTAGATTACCTGACGCAGAACAACGAATACAAAGAGATCCTCAGCTTCTTTGGAGAGCGAAGGCGAAAAAATCATGTGAGCCATTGACATTGTTATTGGGTAAACATGGCTTTAATGTTAGTTGAAGGGGGGGTTAACCTTATGAGAAGGTTGGAGCCACAGACAGAGGCAAGTCAAGCCACTTTTTGTTTTCATGTTTTTGGGTTTGTTTTCATTACTTTTATCATTGTCATGTTGGTTTGTTTATTTCCAAATTTGGTTTTCATGTGTTTGTTTTGGTTGTCATGTGTTTTTTTGTTTCGATATGTGTTTGTTTGTTTTGTTTTTTCATGTTGGTTTTTGGGTTTGTTTTTTTAATGTTTGTTTCATTTGCCCTTGTTGATCTGTTATGCATGCTTCCTTTGACGAAACCAGCAAAAACTGAGGCAAACACACATGAAAAAAACAATGGTGAAAGAAATGAACACCAAAACAAAAATATGAAAACACATATTTTCAACTGTCCAGTCTCTAGCTCTCCCGGCATTTCAGAAGTTTAACAATCAATAATAGGGATTTTATGGGCTTTATTATTGGGATATATATATATATATAAGAATATATAAGTAGAATTAAATATTTATGAATTTAATGGGATCTAATGGGATTTTATCGGATAAATGATGGTATACTCTCTGGTAATTTAACAGGGTGCTATTGAACATGGCCCATTTACATAAATCATAGATGATCTAGCTATTTGAAATGGTTGTTTTCCATGGCTTGTCGATGTAAGGTTCACACCATCTCTTGTACCTGTTGTGCACAGGTCGATTTCTAAGGACTTCAGTGTCCGCAAACCTTTGCGGCCCAACTGTGCGCACAGGGCGCCCTTGGGCATAGACATGGCACCTGCGGTGTAACCGCGCTTTGTCTTGGAGGAAAAGAACTTGGAGTGCTTCGCAGACCTTGTGCGCTGCTTAGCTGGTCTTGACCTTCGGTGGCTTGGGTTTCTACATCCTGTTGGACCACTGGGGCTAGATCGATATTGGTAGCGGAGCCCATCCTGGGCTGCCGCGGCGCTTCTACTTCCTGCCGGAGGACATCGCCCTGGCCGAGCTCTTTGGCAACATGCCTGGTGGTGGAAACGGTGGAAATGGAGCGGCAAGCAAAGCTGCGCAACCAATGCCGCCTGCAGCAACTGCTGCGTTGACGGCCAATGGAGATGGAGGAGCACCTGGGCAACAGAGCTATGAACGCGGCCTTGACTCAGGCCTTGCAAAAGCAGCTCCATCAGCTCAGGAGCTTAGTCAAAAGACCTACCGGTCTTTCAGAAGGAGACTGGACCTGTTCTCACGACAATGTCGGCGACGGGGGACATCAGTGGCTGTGGAGGGCGCTTTCTTGGTGCTTTCTCAGCTACAAGATGTGGCTTGGGATGCTTCTGAGAGCATCGACTACGACGACATCGAGCTGGCGGACGACCCCTTCAAGCCCATTGTACCAAGGTCTTGGACACCTTGTTTCAACATGAGGAAGAAGTTGAACTACCAGAGAGGTGCCAAGAATTCTTTGAGCAGTTCCAACGAGAACGCCAAGAAGAGCTACAAGCCTACTTGGTGAGACACGCCACCATGCTGAAGAAGCTCAAGGACTTGCAGGTCGACGTCCCACCTCTGCTTGCAGGATGGCATCTCTTGACGAGATCGGGGGTGCCGCGGTGGACACACCCACAGGTCAAAGCTGTGTGCAATGGAAATTTGACCGTGGAGGGTGTTGCAAGATCCCTGACTAGAATGTTTGGCGGTGACAGCAAGCCCAATGCAAAGGACACCACCTTCCGCAATGACGTCCACATGGTTGACAACGACATGGCTGAGGACGAGGCCTATGAGACCTACTACTATGACGACGAAGAGGCATATGAGATCTACTACAACCATGACGAGGATGACTACATGGATGATGCCTACTACCAGGACACTGTGGCCGACGAAGAGATCCCTCAGGACCTCGACGAGGCAACGTTGGTGGTTGAGGATGCCTACATCAACTACTTGGACAGCCGTCGCAAGATGAGGGAACTAGCTCTCTCCCGTGGGTTCTACCCGGTGGTTGCCATCGACATGAGTGACAACTACGGCAAGGGTGGTGGTAAATCCTATGGGAAAGGCCGCAACTCTGGCGGTGGGGGCAAATCCAAAGGAAAGTCAAAAGGCAAAGGTGGTGGCAAGAGCAAGGGCAAGGGCAGTGGCAATAGTTTCAACCAACCACTTCCTGGAGCCCGACGTTTTGTCTTTGGCCGGAAGTCACCTTCCGAAGGTGGATCCACATCAGCGACATCGACAACGGCACGATCAACGACGAGTGGGAGTACCTCACACCATGGTCCTCGATTCAAGCGATATCGGTTGCCCGCATCTGGCATCAAAGAAGTCCCAGATGAGGCAAACATGGTCGAAGAGCCATATGGCGCTACGCCAATCCCAGGAGAATTCAACCAGCATGAAGAGATCAACTACGTCTCCCAAGGAGCTGGTTGGGCAATCATGGATAGCGGTGCAACTCGCACTGTTTGTGGTGAAGCAACCTGTGAAAGGATCAGCAAGTACCTGACCATGCGTGACCTTGAAGCTGAAGTTGTTCGAGATTCAAGGGATTTCAGGTTCGGTGATGGGGTCACTGTGCGATCTCACTACTGTGCCAGGACACCAGTTTGTGTTGGCAAGACCTGGAGAGATCTGGTGATTCATGTGCTGCCCGGTCACACACCTTTACTTCTTGCACGACCTGATCTGGAAGCTTGGAACGTCATGGTGGACTACGGCAAGAAGATGATCTACATCGACGGTGTGGAGATCAAACCTGTCTTGACGGCCAACGGGCACTACATGATCAACATCTTTGACGACTTGCAGGATGTCTTGCAGATCAACGACCTCTTTGTGAAGAATGACGACGATGAACAGGTGTTCTTGGACAGTGTCATCACCGAGCAGATCTCTGACGAGGAGATGGACTTGGAAGTTGATGTCGGTGAAGACATGATCGACCAATGTGTGTTCAGCGCTGTCGAGAAGAGCAAGCTGAGCGACAGAAAACTGAAGTTCTGGGAAGTCTACGTCGACGAAGGCAACCTGGGCAAGTATCTGATCAAGAACTTCCCCGACGTGGAGGTCCATCAATTCTCCCTTCCACAATGGAACTTTGAATGCAGGGAAGCTCAACGAGACTTCCGCAAAATGCTGGCTGAGGAGAAACCTCACCATGTGCTCATGGCACCAGAATGCCGTCTGTGGTCTCCCATGCAGAACATGAACTACAAGACTCCCGAGCAGAAGAAACTCCTGCAGGACATGCGAAACCTGGAAGAGGAGACGCACTTGAAGTTCTATGAGAACGTCCACAACGATTGCAAAGCAATCCATGCTGACTGCACTCTGGAGCAACCAGCTGACGCTATGTCTTGGAAAACTGACACACTCCAGCGGGTGAAGGGCTACTTTGAGACCGTCCTGGACAGATGCCGAACTGGACTTAAGGCATCGCCTGATGATCCCAGATATGTGCGGAAGCCCACCATGATCCGGTCTTCAGCGCTGTCAGTGCACCAACGGGCACACTCAGATGATGGGCCGTGGAGCAGTTTTGAAGAAGATGCAAAACTACGAGCCCGACATGGTTCGACGAATGGGCAACGCCATCTACCAGTCCATGGAGGAAATCTGGATCCGACGTGGCCAAGCTGACCTCATGATGCTCGACATGGTGGAGAAATCCAACGAAGAGATGCAGTACTTGGAGCAGAACAAGGAATTGGTCAAGATTGGTGGCACCGAAGTTCTCAAGTCGGTGGCCTTACTGCATCGACAGCTTGGACACCCCAATGGATCCAAGTTGGCATTAGCTGCCAAGGTCAGACACATGCCTGACGAGTATGTGCAAGTGGCTCGACGCTACAAGTGTCCTCAGTGCCTAGCAAAGGCGAAACCAAAATGTGTGAAGGTTGCAACTCTTCACAAAAGCCCACACTTCAACCACACTGTGGCTTTGGACACCTTCTACCTGGAGTGGGACAAGGAGAAAAAAGCAGTTTTGTCCATCTTGGATGAGTTCAGCCGATACGAGGTTGACTGCGAGATCAAAGAAGAAACAGCCGAGATGGAGATTGGCTTGTTTGAGTCGGTGTGGTCGAAATCCTTCGGCTACCCCAAGGTGCTTCGACTGGACGCTTCTGGTCCCCATCAAGGTGAAGCCTATGCAGATTGGGCATCAGCACACGGCATCCGACTTGAACTCATTCCTCGTGGAGCTCATCACAGACTTGGCATCCTGGAACGCAACCATGCAGTTCGCAGGAAGATGCTCGAGGTCTTCAAGCAGGAGATGCCTGACTGCACCTTTGACAAGGCTCTTCAAGTCACAGCTCATCAACGAAATCGGCTCAGCTCAGTGAAAGGGTCAACGCCTGCCACTTTGGCATTTGGCTATGTTCCATCTGAAGGTGGAAACATGGACGAACCTGGTCCTGAAAGCTTTGGAGATCAAGCCGATCTACCTCGGATCTTGGAGGTCAAGCAGAAGGCCGCCATTGCCTTTCACAAGGCGAACCAAGACTTGGCACTTCGTGCTGCAGCTCTGGCTCGGTCTCGAGTCAAGGAGGATGAACTCATGGTGGGGGACTATGTCTTCTACTGGAAGCCTCAGACTCACAAGCTTGATCCTTTCCGATGGAGAGGCCCCTGCATGGTCATTGCAGTGGAGGCCGCTATGGATCGGGCCAACATGATCTACTGGATCGTCCATGGAAGCTCTTTGGTCCGTGCCACGAGACAGCAGCTTCGACATGAAACTGTCCCTGAACGATATGAACGACAACTCCGACCTGGAGCTGAAAATGATCTCCAACGACCCATGGCTGAGCGAGTTCTTCAAGCTCTCCGTCCTGTGCGTGGGCCAGTGCGCGGGTTGGACTTAGCCGCCAAGGCCCAGACTCCTGATGATTTCCCTTCTTTGGGGGGACACGATTCCACTCACGCTTCATCAATGCCGGCACCTACTACCACTTCAATGCCACCTCATGAACCGGCTGATCCACCAAAAACGGCCGAATCTGAAGATGAGGAAGAACATGAAACCGGCGAGGGCGTGGTCAAGAAGAAGAAGAAACGAAGAAAGCACAGAGACAAGGAGAAGCACAAGGCTGAGATGAGAACGGCTGCAATGGCTCGTGAGCAATTCCCGACTGGAGGAGATTCACCCTTTGGACTTGGATTTGGGGCAGAACTTCCGGAAGGGGAAACAGAGCAAGCCGAAGATGATCAGGCGGTAGCGCCTGAAGATCTCATGACTGATGAACAGAAAACAATGAAGGAGGTGATGAGACAGATCAACCCAGATGCCCTGGAGGCTCGAAACGACATTGCCGAGAACCCCTCCGTCAACGACCCTGGAGGAGATGACCGTGCTCGAGAGCGACGGGACTATGAAAGGGCAATCCGACTGGCTGGTCAACTCTCTGACAATCAAGCTCGACGACTTGATGGCCTACCACCTCGTGCTCATGACGGGCAACCTCAACAGAAGCAAGCCAGGACTGAAGAGATCCGCATGGTCGAGATCGCTCAAGAAGAGATCCTGCAGACGGTGGTCGAAAGCCGTCTGAGCCCTGAAGAGCGCAAGACGTTTGTCGAGGCCAAGAGAAAAGCTTTGGCACCCTGGACTGAGAATGACGCCTGGCGACCGGTGGACAGATCTCGATGCCCCAAAGGCACACTGGTTCCCATGCGCTTTCTCTTGCGCTACAAGGAGAACAAGCCCCATGCGAGAGTCATCCTGCAAGGCTTCAAGCACAAAGACGTGGTGGAGTCCAAGCTCGACACTGAGTCACCAACACTCTCAAGGTTGGGCAAGTAGCTCATGATCCTCTTTGCCTGCACCAAACGATGGCGTGTTGGCACCATGGATGTCAAGAGTGCTTTCCTTCAGAGCGACTACATCCACCAGGAGGTCGAGATCTACGGTGAGCCATCAGCTGACATGCGTCGGTTGCTTGCAGAGATGATTGGACTCTTGGAGCACCAAGTCATGCAGATGACCAAGCCGGCCTTCGGTGACGTCCGGGCACCACGACAGTGGAATGAAACAGCTGACAAAGCCTTGGTGTGCGAAGTTGGCTTGCTCAAGCATGAGCTGGACGGGTGCATCTACATCTCTGTCCGCTTGGCCACCAAGGACGACCACGAGTTCTGTGTCTTCGAGATGGATGGACAACGATGGGTCGTGGATGGACTTTTTGGAATCCACGTGGATGACATCATGGCTTGCGGTGAGGGTGTCAATAGCCCTGACGACGCAATCGCCCCACAAGGTGATCAACCATGCTGCTTTGCAGAACGACTTCATGTGCTACTGCATCGCTTCAAGTTTGGATCCATAGAGTACCACGACAACCAGGTCTGCTGTGGCACGACTATGGCTCAATCCTTTGATGGCACAGCCGTGACCTTCAACTTGGAGAAGTACATCCATCAGCTGAAGCCACTCACTGTGGAGAAGTTCCGCAAGACGCAACCAAATGAGCGAGTCACCCCACGTGAGCAATCACAGCTCAGGGGGTTGCTGGGAGCCCTTGCCTGGCCTTCCTTCCAAACACAACCACACCTGGCGGCATCGGTGTCCCTGGCTCAATCAGCCACTTCATCGGCTTGCATCAGCGACTTGCTGGATGTGAATAAAACTTTGAGATTTGCCAAAGAATCTGCGAGCACCCACCTGGTGATCAGGTCCCACGGAGCACTTCACGAAGTTCGCTTCGGGATGTACTGTGACGCCAGCTGGGCAACCAGACCAGACGGGTCATCACAAGGAGGTTGGATCATCTTTGTGACCAACTCTGAGGAGCTCAACGGCACCAAACCCTTTCCCCTGACAGTCATCGACTGGGCGAGCAAACGCCTGACTCGGGTGTGCCGAAGCTCACTGGCTGCTGAAGCGCAGACAATGGCAATGGCAATTGACTCACTGGAATGGCTGAAAAGCATGTTTGCTTTGATGATCTGGCCGAACCAGAAACCCGACAACGAAGAGATCATGAAATGGCTCGGTGAGTCACCATGCATCACCGACGCCCGAGCTCTCTACGATGCCAGTGTCAGCAAAGCCCCTGGAATGAAATTGGCTGAGAAAAGGACAGCCATTGAAATCAAGATGAGCTGCGAAAGAATGGCTGCAGCAGGAGGCATGCTGAAATGGTGCAACAGCCACCAGCAATTGGCTGATGGAATGACGAAAGCATCGGCACGACAAAAGCTGGCAATGGAGCTGAAACGCAGAATGCACTGCTTGTTCTACGACCCTCAAGGGGTTGCTTCGAAGAAAGTCAAGAAGGAGGACAAGCAAGATGAGCAAGATGCCTTGGATCATGCGGCACAGGAGTTCGAGAACAAGAAGCGCATTGAGGAGGGCATCTACACGATCAGAGACATGGATGAAGAGCAGCTTGAGGAATGCAAGCTGTGCCTGCTTCCTGGCTGTGGACTTGCAGCCGAAGAGGGCAAACGCTATTGCTCCAAACGGCACTTCCATGCTCACCAGCACAAAAAGACGAAGAAGGAGATCAACGAAGAAAACCCTGGAGGAGCTCTATGGGGACTCTCACTGGCGACGCAGATCCTGCCAGCCGAGGGGTACAAGATCAGCGACTTCATCGTCTATGGCAACTTCCTGGTCACCATCTACGGCAAGACCCTGGTCATTGGCTTCGTGGTGATCTTTGTCATCCTTGCCGTCTTCTTCCTGGGCAAGTGTGCAGGACATCGTGAATGGCGACAACGCCATGCTCAGCTACCAGAACGACCCAATGCAGAACCACAAACCGAAAACGATGGAAGCAGTTCAGAGGAATCCCTCTCCATCGAGGAGCTTCGAAATCAAGGGTTCATGCCTGACCCAGCACGCCGAACCGACGTGCAACGGATGACAGCTGCAGAGATCAGACACTGCATGCTGTACGGCTTGACGATCCTGAGCGATGAGGAGGTCAACAGGAGGCGTGATGCCTTCAGAGAAAGTCTTCGGCCTTCCATCGAAGACTACCTGACCCAAGAGGAGATTGACCGCATTCAATGCGGTGGAAGTCCGACTGTGGAGATTCCACTTCACCCTGAGGAGTGGGATGGCATCAGCAGGCAGCATCGTGATGCATTGCTGCAGGCCAACGAAGATGCGCTGCTGCTGGGGATCCACTTCGAGGAGATGAACGGGCCAGCGGCGGCATTCGCAAGACGCCTGAGAGCCGAGCTCAACACAATACGTGTTGTAGGGGATTCTGTGGACATCCAGACCGTCTACAGGTCCTGACCTTTTTGTACAGCCAAATCGACCATGGCCAATTTTCCCTTTTGGGCCCGTGTCGATGTAAGGTTCACACCATCTCTTGTACCTGTTGTGCACAGGTCGATTTCTAAGGACTTCAGTGTCCGCAAACCTTTGCGGCCCAACTGTGCGCACAGGGCGCCCTTGGGCATAGACATGGCACCTGCGGTGTAACCGCGCTTTGTCTTGGAGGAAAAGAACTTGGAGTGCTTCGCAGACCTTGTGCGCTGCTTAGCTGGTCTTGACCTTCGGTGGCTTGGGTTTCTACATCCTGTTGGACCACTGGGGCTAGATCGATATGGCTATATGAAACTACACGAGGGTAGTTGAAACTTGGTGATGTGTTCAATTCCTTTCCCACCAAATAAAGAACTACATGCGACTCGGTTAGTATTTGATGAAGAGAAATGAAGAGAAGAGAAGAGAAGAGACGAGAAGAGAAGAGAAGAGAAGAGAAAAGAAGAAGAAAAAATAAGAAGAAGGATAATAATAATAAGAAGAAGAAGAAGAAAGAAGAAAGAAAAAGAAGAAGGGGAGACGAAGACAGAGCCGTAAAACTGAAGCAGCTTGTGTAGCAAGTGCTTACTGTAACAACTTATTGACCGGATACCAAATGAACACCGTTCGATCAGCTTAGCACCGTGCAAGTCCTGCGACTAATACCGGTAGACGTTTGTAGTGCTGTAGACAGTTTCGCTGTTTCGCTAGCTACCGGCACTGCCGGTTTAGTACTGGGGAAGAAGGGAGAGTAGGAGTAGGAGAGAATGAGTAGGAGTAGGAGTAGTAGTAGCAGTAGTAGCAGTATAGTAGCAGTAGTAGCAGTAGTAGCAGTAGTAGCAGTAGTAGCAGTAGTAGCAGTAGTAGTAGTAGTAGTAGCAGGAGTAGCAGGAGGAGGAGGAGTAGTAGTAGTAGTAGTATAGTAGTAGTAAGTAGTAAGTAGTCGTAGTCGTAGTCGTACTGGTAGTCGTAGTCGTAGTAGTAGTCTACATATTACAAAAGAACAAGTACAAACCAAGAACAGAAACAGGAACAAGACCTTCCAATCAGACACGCCGGCAGGTCGGCGGATTGTCCCCAATTAAATGTCCATCTTGTGGAAATATTTCCATTTCTTGCATGTAGGTCCAAGGCTGGTTCATTGTTTGACTTGGAGGTAGGCACCGGAACTCTCCACGAGTGTTGGCATCTTTTCTTTTGCCAAGAGAGAGGGTCAATACAGTGCCATGTAGATGGGTTGAAGAAACACAAGGAATTGGCATTTATAACTCCATTTGCGCACTTGTATTTGATATATAGTACTGTAAAATACCTGGCGGTACTTTAAATGCAAGGGGCTCAACTCTCTGACTACTGAAACATGTGATTGGTATGTTTTCCTATTGCCAGGGGATGGTGTATATTGCTCTGTGAAGTTTGAATGGTGGGCTTTATATAATACTAACCGTTTTGTGCGTTCCGCCCATACTTGGATGATAGATCTCAAGTAACGTCAATGCCTAATGAGAACAGTAACTGTGCAAACTGCAATGCTGGTCTTTTGGAAGCACAATCTTTTTGTTTTGTTGCTCGTGACTCGTGCAATTACAGCATTTTATTGCCTTGGTGTTTGGGGAATTTCGTGATCCAGCCCCGGAGTACCTTACTAGCTGTACTTGTTTGATATCTTTAGAGACATGGATCGGAGGGGATTAGCATCCAAAAATTTCAGTTGCCATTTGGCAAGTAAACTAAGAAAACTATAGAAAGGCACTGTGTTAGAAGGTGTAAATCATCTATAAATAATTGCTTTTCCATAGCTATGATCGTTTACTGGAGGTTTTTTTTTTCGTGTGAAAACCATGGGATTCTAAGGGAGTTCTGACCCCTCAGACGTCGCATTCGCCATGACTCACTAAGGATCCTCACGCGTGAGGAACTTTGGATTCTGATACGAGTCTGCTACAAGGTAGGGAAACCTCCGTGTGCCGAGTGTAGCGAGTGTACGAAGATCATGTTGTTCTATCGAACTATAGGTTAACTATTGTTTATGCAACATCTGGTTGGTGGTTTGGAACATTTTTTAAAATTTTCCATATATTGGGAATAATCATCCCAACTGACTAATATTTTTTAGAGGGGTTCAAACCACCAACCAGTACATGTATGTAAATATATGTTTGTATCATTATACATATATATATATATACCTGGACACTCCTTGACACCTTGAGCCGCATACTTTTCGATCTTTGTGGATTTTCGGGTGCGGGCCTAAAATTCACTTTTGAGCTAAGAGTGATGGATTCAATGACACAGCTTTGGTGTCAAAAAGTTGGTCTTTCGCGTCTTTTCTGCGTCATTTTGCGTTATATTTTTGGTCCTTCCAAATGTGACTGCAGGAGGGCAAAATCAGCAATTGTTCAATTTTTGGTCGCTCACTACTTTTCAGTCCAGACCAAAAAAATGCAGCTTTTGGATGTCCAGGTATATATGTAGCATGTAAGTATACTTAACTATGGTTAGTGGGATGAAAAAAATCACTAAACTTGACAACTGGGGGGCCCTGGTTGCGTTGATATCCCAGACATCCCAGATACTCCAGACATCGCATGAACCTTCAAACAAGATAGACAAGTAATTCATTGCTCTTTTCGCAGCGGATTTCTCACAAGTCTTTCTCTGTAGGGGAAAATAGTGTATCCCCAAATTTCAGGGTTAGTCATCATGTTCATTCATGTTCCCTATTAAAGTTGCCAAACATAGGCTATACCCCATTTGCAGACACATCCAAATCTCATATGTTTATAACATTGTATACTCATCGATCACAACATCTAACTATAGATATCTCCAACTAACTATAGGTAATCATGATGTTTACATTGATATATATATATATATATACATATATATATATATTATTTGATATTATATTATATTATATGTTATATTATATTATATTATATGTTATATTATATTATATTATATTTTATTATATTATATTATATTATATTATAATATATATAAAGTATATATTTATATCCCCCAGGCCGCTTGACCCGGTGAAAAGTCCTTGAGCCATCAGCCAGGTGGTGAAATCCACCGTACTGACCACCGACTTGAGCGCCATGGACTTCGGGTAGCAACGGTGTTGTTTTTTTTTTTTAAACAACGCTTGGATTTATTGGGCTTTGATGGGATATAAATAATGGGATACAATAATGGGATATATATATATATATATACACATACATACACATAGACACACACACATATATATATATATATATTTGTTTATATAATGTGATAAAATTGGACATATGATGTTATACTCTCTGGTTATTCAACCGTTTCCTATGGTATAGATGGCCCATGTCGAGATATTTTTTTTCATCTTCTATCAAACATGTTGATTTTCCATAGCTACCTTACTGGAGGATACGGCTTCCCAATTGGAAGAACCGTGAGAGACTGATGTAACGAGGCCATGGGTGCCGGTTTAACCGGTTTGGCAAAACTTTCCCGGCTTCCCTTGGAGTTCTTGTCATGCACATTGAAAGTCAATATATATATATATATATATAATTGTGTGTGTAATGGGATACAATAATGGGATATATATATAATGGTATATTTATAAATATATATATATATACAAATAATGGGATTCAATCTTAAAAGCTCACCCCAAAACCCAATTCACAGCCTTCTCGAACTCGAAGAGTTCTCGTCAACCACGTGACCTCAATGGATCCGAGCACTGCACGACGACGCCGTGACGCGCCTTCAGGGGCCGGATTGGCTTTTGCGGCTTTTGCGGGTCATTTCCAATTTCGAATCCCCAAATATTTCGAATCCCCAATTGTTTTTTCTCAAATCCATGCATGAGTTTATCACCACTTCACTTGGTGGCTCACCCTAGGAATCGTAAGTGGGTCGGTCCCTAAGTTAAGCTGGGGTCTAATTATCCACTAACAGTTCCTGCAGTGGACCATCAGGTCCCAGTAGAATTGACATTTGTATAAATGGTTAAAGATATGGTAAACCAGATAATGTGTTCCCAGATCATGGACTGTCATTGGTTCCTATCACCACTGAATGCAGATAAAAAAATATGTTTCTCCCATTAAATAGCTCGTTACATCTACAATCAACCACACAATTCACCTGTACCTATCTACTTCAAAACCAACGTAGCAAAATCAACATTTAGGCATATTTTGCAAGAAAACACAGCCATAGAAATCCCTACTAGAAATCACATCGAAAACCCACAGAAATTGCCATCTTGGGTTGCTTAAAGGCACCAAACTTCGCCACTTTTGGCGCAGGACAGTACCGTCTTGGCCACGTTGGAGGTGGGGGAGGTGCGCGGTGATTTAAGGGAAAGGGACCAGGATTTCTATCGGATGGAGGCTTTATGGACATTTAGAGGGCTTTAAATGCGGATTTGTGATATAACTATAATAGATGGTTTATGGATTTGTTAAAAAAGGTGTTCATGGGACTTATAGAGATTTGGTGTGTTCTTGTGGATATGAACTCCACAAATGGTGTTCATAGAGGTTAACATGCAGTAAGTTGAGACAATGATGCCATTCAAAAATAGTTTGTCAAACCCTCCTGAAGTGATGGTAGATTCATTTGATTAACCGACCAAATTATTGTAATTTGTAATACTAATTTAGTTTTGCTTCGCCTTGGCCTTTCCGAGGTTGCACAAAACCTTCATAACCGATAGAGGACGACCCTATACCGATACCCCATTTGTGATACCTCCGGGAATACTAAAATCCTCACAACCGATAGGGGGCGACCCTAATTTGTGCATGGCACTAAATCTAACATATAATTTTGTCCGCTCCTCATTTGAGTTGTTCTCTCTTTGGGGTTACAATATGGAAAAAACTACCATGGGAATCCCCAAGGGCAAGGAACTACTTCCATGATTGGTTTTCCATATGAACTTGTTCATCTACTGCAGGGTAGTTTCCATGAAATCTGGGATGGTGAAAGCACCAAGGAAAATGAAGGAGAAATAAACAATATGACTATTTTTTTCGGGTGGTATATGGTAAACACGTGATTGCCAGAAACAGGCGCACACAGTAAAAAGCAAAAACAAAATACCCTCTGTTAATCTCACAAAGCTATGGAACATGGCCCATTTTTAGATGCTTTACCTATTAAAATGGTGATTGTCCATAGTTATGTTAAATTCCCAAAGGAGAATAATAGGTGCGTGGAAGTGGGTGGGCTTATGGCCTTAGCACTGAAGTTACATCAGGATACCATATATCCAAGCCCTATTTTGGGGCCCTAAACTTAACAAATCCTGAAAAGAAAGTGGGCAAAACTTGGTTTGGTAGATTGTTGGGTGAATACATTATATTGGTTTAATAATTGATACCGGATGGTAGTTTACCAAACATTTGTAGTGGTAGATAATGATAGTATATTATAATACTATATGGGTATGGATCAATACCTGTTAATACCATTTTTAGGGGGATGAACATCCATTTACCAGCTATTTTGATGTTCACCAGGGGTACAAGGTTTTGACACACTGCCATATTACTAAATCAAGTATACATCTGGAATGCATGATAATGACCCCACGTCGTGACGCCGCTGGTTGGTGAATGTTCACGGGGGAAATATCACCAAATGCTATCATTTCAGCCATTTCCACAGGATGGGGCCCCCGTTGGATAGCGTTCAGTTGCCTTATAAGTGGCTGAATTCTATGGTTTATGGTACATATACTGTAACTATAGTTAATGGGTTTATAAGCCAACTTATAACTGGGGGGTTAGTGAATAGATCTTATAGTTCAGCCAGATGGATGTTCCAAATAACCAGATTGTTCCAAATATCCAGATGGATATAATTATAATAATGGAAAATCAATATATGCCCGCTGCCCAATCAGTGGTATCGCCAGATGAATTTCGCCAGAAGAACATCTTCAGGGTGGGCGACCAGGGTACCCAACAAGTTGGCGTTGAAGATATCCCTCGCTGATTTTCCCCACCCAAGAACTATTGGAGTTATACCAGTTAAGTCGCCCATTTAAGTTGATTTCCCATCTAACTGTTGTTGCAAATAGTGAGGCGAATCCAAGTGATTTAGCTTTAGGGACGGAGGTTAGCCAGAACTTATACCTTGCTTTATTCTTTATACAAAGCCTAGTTCGCCTAGTGATTGAACTAGTTATCACTAGTTATAGTCACCTATTCAGTTCGTCGCTGGTTACCTTCCAGTAATCTAACATACATGTGGTGTTTACCCACGAAAGTAGATCATTTCCAAATGGGAACCTCTATGAGTTTTTTACACAGATATGTAAAGCACAGGGTATTCCATTACATCCCCACACGTATTATATATATATATACATATAAGTAGATAATACGATATAATATGTATATGTTCTATATAATGTGGTATACCGATTAGTATCATGGGCCTCTATTGTGAGATGTTTTTCAAAAATGATTGACATATTGAGTATCCTGTGAATGGGGGGGGTGGGCCTCTATTGTGATATTTTCTTCTCAGATCCATTTTCAGGGGGAGCTTTATCCACCTTTGTACACCTTTCTTTGGGTAAAGCTGGTCCATTTACTTTAGAAAGCCATAACATACATGGTAAATCCTTAAAATGCAAGGTTCCTTAAAATGCAAGGTTCCCCAAATAGTTGGATGCTTTATTAAACCCTTGTTAAAGAAACAGCAGCCAAACAATCAAGTAGATTAATTTCAATTTAAATCATGTCTTATCAATAGATTTTTTAAAGGTTTAAAAGGAAAAGCAATTGAACGTAGATTGATTTCAAATGAAATCCTCTCTTATCAATAGATTTCTTAGAGGTTTAAAAGGAAAATCAATTGAAAGTAGATTGATTTCAATTGAAATCCTCACTTCAGTTAATCATCCTGAGTTCCCCAGACCTGGTCCCCAAGAAAATGCCGAGTTAATGAGTAGACCAAAATTGTTTGAGGGGGGGGCTACACTAATCAGTATCCAACACTAATCCTTACAGATTCCTATTAGATCCCCATTAAATCACCCTTAAATCCAATGTTCATCACTAGTTATCCGGCAGACGACGTGACCCGTCGTGACCAAAGCCTGGAAAAACGTGGTGACTATCGGGGAATCATCACCATAGGCAGATCCATACTGTTTATGGGCCAGCGAAATCCTGCACCACCATTTTTTGGATGGTTGAAACCCTCTAAATAATCAGGATAAACCATCAACTGGTGATTCGGATTTCGCTGGCCCATCCGCAGTATCTTTGATTTAGGTTTAAAGTATCATATGCCAGTTGGTTACCACACCTAACATATGATATCATATGATACTGTACCGCTAACATATGTTACCAAAAAGGCTTAATTAGTATAATACGCATGGTAATACGGTGCAGTTATGGCCATGGCTATTAGTTATAACTTGTTATTTCTATGGGATAAAAAACATTCTATAAATGGGGTTAGTTCAGTACTTATAACTGGTATAACTCGGGCTGGTAACTCGGGCTGGTAATACGGTGGGAAAGGTGTCACTTTAGTCCATGGATTCCACCTGAGAGGTGGTGGAACTCATTGGCGACGACTCGCACGCCACCGAGGAAACGCGGGTTGTCATGGGGAGAGATCTCCATGTCATTGAATGATTCAATGTTAAAACCAGGTTATGATTTGTTATCATGATATGTCACTTGGATTTTTTGGGGTGTTGGATTTATTTTGTGATTCCAATGCTAGTGGCATTCAGATTGTATAGCAACCCACCAGAAAAATGCAGACAAGGGTTCAGTGACCACTGTTTCTAGTAGGATTTTACTTGTCGATCTTTTTTGGAGGAAATTATATTTTATGTTGGGATCTTCCTAAAATGGTGCATCCGAAGTTAGTTATTGATTTTTTTTTAACCAAGTTATTTGCATTTTTAGGGGGAATCGTAATGGCTTGGGGCACCACAATTCTCGCAAACAGCCATGGGGAACCATCCCTAAAATCTCCCCTGTGTGGGACCCTGAAATGTACACATCATTTGCTACGCCAAGATTTTCTAGGGGTGGTCTTATCATTAGCAGATGAATCCTGTAACCGTAAGGCCCGTGGAGCCCGTGGAGCCCGTGGGCCCGTTGGTCTTGGGAAGGGCTCTTCCCAAGCGATGACTGGCAATGATTCTAGAAATTTATTGAGTTGTGAAATGTGACAAGGGCATTGGTTACCTGATAGTGTGGTTTTGGCCGTTTGTTCTGACAACTTCATCTTATCTTTAGCAAATCGCCCCATCACAAAATCCTAGCAATCATTGATGTGTCAATCTTGTCTTCATGTTTGGTGGGTCTCCGCAGTCCGTTTAGAGGTTCAGCCCTTACTATCTCCTTATTTTATCAATCGCCTGGTAGACCGGGGTACCTTTAGATTCTTTGATAGAAAAAAATAATTCCCCCATAATATCCACAGCAACCACCAAACATAATTGACCAAATTCACAAAATATCCGCTACCTCGATTTTTTAGGTCTAGATCTAGATTTGTGAGCTCGACCTAGATTGGTATGTATAGGTACGTTTGTATTTTGCAGAGGTGCCATGGGGAAGTTGCTCGGCGACTGCCAGCATGGGCTCGAAAGTACCAACCAAAAAAAATGCCTTAAACATTCACATGAACAACTCAACATTCCGCCAACAATTTTCCAAATTTAAGACTTATGGCATATCAAATGCTAGCAATGTAAATTTAATTATATAAGTTTACTATAATTACACTTGCTAAGTTTCTTCACTGGTCTTCAATGCTGAAACTCATCAGCAAAGTGGTGATGTGGGGATCAAACAAATCCGTATATGTGTGTTTGTTGTTTCTTTTTTTCCACGAAAAACATGACCGTGGACAAACCGTGGACAAACCGTGGAACGACCTATAGAATTGTCGTGGAACGGCCTAGAATTGTCGTTGAACAACCTAGAATTGTCGTGGACAGCCCCAAAACAATCACCCAAACCCATAGGATCCATGTATGCCCTATATGGTAACATTTACCATCAATATAGCCCAAATGTTAGCATATATACCATACATGGATCCTATGGGAAATAGTGCTTCGAAAGTGTTTTACATCTATTAATACATTTTTGGAGATGGCCTCTGAACTACATGTTAGGGCTGGAAGCAACATTTGATAACATAAATTAAATATAGTTTCATATAGCTGCGCTCAAGCCAGCAGTACAGCTGCTATCAACATCAGAACCCAGTATGTTTTTCTGAATTTCTATGATGGAATCTAAGTCAATTGATTGTTCATCCACATGACGCATTGAATGGACTATGTCATAGGATCAACATGTCCTAATTTACCTAAAACATATCAAAACTATCATTGTTTGGGACTGATTATGACCAAGTGAGGGAACAACCATTCTGACAATTCTAGGTACCTCACAACAAATCTATGTATATATATACATCTTTAAAATAGGTTGATGAACTCTCATGCTATCCCCTTGCGTTACCCTGATCATGCCGCCGCAAATGCAGGAGTTGGACCTGCATCGGATACGCGTCCGAAGGTTGAAAGATGGACAAGAGGGTTGGGCCGCGGCCTCTTGGGGATGCGGGGTTTCGACTTCGGAAATGGGTGGGAAAAAAATGTTATACATTATTTTGGCATATCCCCACTGATGGGAGTATATGGGTTTACAAATAATATGTGTTTATATACATATATGGATTATAAACCACGGATCCTAAGTGGGATGCACATCTTCATATCCAAGATATCGGCCGCTTCAAACCTGAAGCAATTTCACTTCGAAGTCACCAAATATGTTGGGAGGCTGAAGCAACAAATTATGTTTACTGAAGGGTGATTTAAGGCTGTTTGAGCCACATTTTTAGATAAGTATAGAATGGTATAGATGTATAGACCACATTTGCAGACCCGTCTATGACCACAGATGGACTGCTTGTCAAGTGACCAACGACCCAACGACCACGGATCGACACACGCTTTGAGGCAACCCAAATGAGGAACATGGTTGGTTTAACGGATTTCATCAAATCAAGTACCCTCTGGTAAACAAATATAGCTATTGAAAATGGCCCATAAAAATAGTTGATTTACCCATTTTTACAATGGTGATTTTCCATAGTTATGTTAGTTTACTAGAGGGTAAACCCATTAGATCCCATTAAAATCCATTAAACCACCATAAATTCCCATAATTTCCCATTGGATCCCCGGACGTGGCAATTTTTGCTGAACAAGATCATCCCAATGCCTCCATTGCATAGGGGGACGTTCCATTGCATAGGCCATAAAAAAGGTGGTGCCGCCCCAGTGATGTGAATGTTGCTTTGTAACCCCCATGAAATGAATAATATATATATATATATATTATATTATATATTATTATATATTATTATATAATATATTATAATATACACATATATATATACTTATATAAGATGTTATAAGTTTTAATCTACCATACACCCAACAGTATTGGAGTTATGTTTACCAACATAGCTAACTAAATCCCAGTATTTAAGTCCCACTATATAATGAAAAATCATCATTAAATCCCATGACATTTCATTAATCAGGTTAAATCCCCATTAAATCCCATTAAATCCCATCAAATCACCATTAAATCACCATTAAATCACCATAAAACATTGGTTTTTTAAGCGCAGAACGCAGATCCCCCAGGTTACGGCCCGCGGCAACGCCAACAACGTCTTTCTGCAGTTGGGCGGCGACCGTCTCTCCGTCGTGAAGGCGAAGATGGGATTCCCAGCCGTTTTTTTTTTTCGTGAAGGCCAAGATGGGGGGAAAATCCAAAAAACATCCGAAAAATGCCATTAAATCCCATTAAATCCCATTAAATCCCATAAATCCCATTGAATCCCATTAAATCCCACTTATATTTTTAAAAAACACCATGAAGCATGGGGATTTAACTGGGAACATTCCTGGGATTTTTCCGATTTCACCTTGAAAGATGGTGATGTAACAAAGGGAACCATGAAGAATTGGGATTTAACTAACAAGAAACCGTTGATTTCACCAATCAAAATGGTGATTTTGTAGCATGAGTTGAGAATCAAAGACTATGAAGAATAGTTTGTAGGGGTCAGTTTTTGAATTGGACAATCAATTGTATGACAGTGCTATTTTCGGAAGTTATTTGTAAATTTTAATCTTCCAGTTTGTTAGCAATAATTGCAGAAGAAGAAGAAGAAGAAATGCAATGCAACTTGAATGATAGTTGTAGATTATGGTGATTTTGAGCAGGAAAACAGTGGTATATCATTGCTTGAGTGTGAAATCACCCCGATAGTGAGATTTTTTGGAGGTAAGATGAGGTATATAAGTCTTAGTGACACTATCGAATATTTGTAACATTACTTTTGATAAGATACCAGAGCAACAAAAACATCGTTGGAGTATGTGAGGGTGTCAGAAATAGTTTTTTTTTTAAATTGGCACTGCATTTCTTTGCTTGTGTTGTTATCCCATGTTTCCCATTGTTGCAGGTCAGTTGAATGTGAATCCAACGACTGTCAGTATTTGTTTGTCGTTTAGTCATGGTCACTTTAGTCGTGCCTAGATTTGTGCCCTGGTTTGCTCAACTACCATCCCTGCAACCAAAGCATCAGGAGACCTCCTTAACCGATTCACTTTCCATCAGCGGCCAGGACCGGGCGATTCTGTAAAAATCTTATGGGTGTGACCCATGGCTTTTATACGCGCACAGCCACAAACATTGAAGCACGAGCACCACTCAAATGAAGCATTCAGCGAATAAACCGCATGCCCTTTTTATGCAACTCTGCACACTCTTGATGACCCATGTGTTCATTATACATACTAGTTGCCCTTTGGTAAACTAACATAACTATGGAAAATCACCGTTTTTAATGGGAAAACTCACTATTTCGACTGGGCCATGTTCAATAGCTATATGTTAAATTACCAGAGGGTAACAACATTCAGCCCAAGCATGATCCAATCATTTGGGACGTCTGAAACTTGGGTATCCAGCGATTCATCATCATTCCTCTCGAAAGGCCAGAGCCGGGGGTCTACCGAATTTTCACACCCAAACCATATGGACATATGGATGCTTACATACATATAGGAATTGAATGGAATTGATCATGATAACATATTGTATATCCATATATGTAAATATATAAGTTATTTATTATTATTATTATTATTAGTATTTGTCGCATGATATTCCATGAACATCGCATCAAATCCCATTAAATCAGATCTGCACAGAGTCGAGATTTTGATCTCAGGATGCCTTGAGGCAACTCCGGGTCGGAGAGATCTTGGACATCATGGGTGAAGAATCCATTGATGAGGCCGGACCGGACCAGCTGTATCTGTGGCTGGCCTGGTGAATATGGTTATGATATGTTACCCTCTGGTAAATTAACATAGACCCTGGCAGTCATCGGGGTTGGAAGACTTGTTTCCATAAAAAAAATGGTGATTTTCAGGGTCTATGTTAATTTACTGGAGGGTATGATGTGTTATGATCCAAAAAAAAAAGATGGAAACCTAAAGGACCTAAAACATTCTAAAACCTATCAGCTCATAGCAAATCTACAATTTGTAGACAATCAATGCAAGAGTTCGTCTAAGATCTATAAACATCCATCCACATCAAAATTCATGTAAAATCCATGGACGATTCCAAATCCACCTCTAAAATCCATAAATATCCATAATAACATTCATCAAAACTCATCCAAAACCATGAGAAAGTCCATGGAACATCCATAAGAATCAATAAACATCCATCTACTGTCATCTACTACAATATTTCACTGTAGTTATTCAGCTTTTGGGTCGCACTTGGAGAACTGTGTCCCCTGTCCAGCCTGTCCCCAGCGCAGCGCAGCCAGCGCTAAGCCATCAGGTCTCCGGGCTGCTGCGTGCCCGTGTGCGAGCGCAAAGCGACGGCTCGGTGGGCTGGGGGGCCCAGATGGGCCCAGAAGCTCCCAAAGGCTCCAGGGTTGATATTTGGTTAATGATGGTTAATATGAATGGTTAATATTAATTGTTATTATATGGGATCATTTCATGGGATATACCATGTTTATAGTGGTTAAATATCTTTCATATTCACTGGTTGATTGGTTGGTGGTGACTGGAACCATGGAATTTTGAATGATGGTTTATCATCATAGTGGTTAATGATGGTTAATGATGGTTAATATTAATGGTTAATATTAATTGTTATTTTATGGGATCATTTCATGGGATATACCATGTTTATAGTGGTTAAATATCTTTCATATTCACTGGTTGATTGGTTGGTGGTGACTGGAACCATGGAATTTTGAATGATGGTTTATCATCATAGTGGTTAATGATGGTTAATGATGGTTAATATTAATGGTTAATATTAATTGTTATTATTGGGACATTTCATGGGATATACCAATGTTTAGATGGTTTAATATCTTCCATATTCACTGGTTGGATGGTTGGTGGTGACGGGAACCATGGAAATTTTGAATGATGGTATTATCATCCATAGTGGTTATGATGGGAATGATGGTTAATATTAATGGTTCATTTAATTGTTATTATATGGGATCATTTCACATGGGATATACCAGTTTATAGTGGTTAATATCTTTTCTATTCACTGGTTGAATTTGGTTGGTGTGACGGGACCATGGCAATTTTTTGATGATGGTTTATCCCATAGGGGTTAATGATGGTTAATGATGGTTATATTATGGTTAATATTAATTGTTATTATATGGGATCATTTCATGTGATATACCATGTTTATAGTGGTTAATATCTTTCATATTCACTGGTTGATTGGTTGGTGGTGACTGGAACCATGGAATTTTGAATGATGGTTTATCATCATAGTGGTTAATGATGGTTAATGATGGTTAATATTAATGGTTAATATTAATTGTTATTATATGGGATCATTTCATGTGATATACCATGTTTATAGTGGTTAATATCTTTCATATTCACTGGTTGATTGGTTGGTGGTGACTGGAACCATGGAATTTTGAATGATGGTTTATCATCATAGTGGTTAATGATGGTTAATGATGGTTAATGATGGTTAATGATGGTTAATTGTTTTTTTTTTTTTTTATCACTGGTTGGTGGTGACTGGAACCATGGAATTTTGAATGACTTTCCATTCAGTTGGGAATTTCATCATCCCAACTGACGAAGTCCATCATTTTTCAGAGGGGTTGAAACAACCAACCAGTGATCATGGTGGTTTAAATATGGAACCATTAAAATGTTAAACAGGGATTTTGTCAGATTGAGCTTCAAGGGGACGACCAAAAAAGCCAGAAAATACTGATGTCATCGAACAATCCAAAACAATCATGTTAACACATATACTTTCAATAACTCAAACCAGAAATTCATTGGATTTTTTTTTTTAGGAAAATCTAAACGGAAACCGTTGTGTTTTACCACCAATTCTTTAGTCTCCTATAGGTTTTTCCTGACATTTTGTTCCCTTCAACCAATAGAAGGTAATCCAATGATCTATGGATGGCATCACCAAAAACTTGGAACATTGAGAAGAAACATGAAACAATATCTGGTTGGTGGTTTGGAACATGTTTTTTCATAATATATGGGATAATCCTTCTCATCGACTAATATTTTTCAAGATGGTTAAAACCACCAACCAGATATGGTTCATGGTGAAAAACACTAACTACATATTCTGTCATACGTTCCCAGCCACTCACCACAATATTGTGTGTTTGCTATTTCCCTTAAAACCAACCCCAAATGTTGGTAAACACATGAACAAAAGTAAGAAAACACATGGTATGCTCCAGTTCTAGTCCCCGTGTTTCATAGGAATCCTAAGAGTTGCCGGTGCAGGATTTCGCAACCATACCCTATAGAATTCACCTACAATGTGGGGACAACGATAGCAAAATATAGCGAAGTTGGATAGATTGGATAGCGAATTTCACCCCATGACTCAGGGAATTTTCGGGAATGATCCACTGGCTACCTATCAATAATCATCCCAGCAACCCCCATTCCCATCCATTCCCTACGTTTAGCACCAGTAAGATGAATACTGTCACAAAATTGGAGTTCATTATTAGTGAAATGGAGTGGGGTTGATATTCACTATGGCCATAAAACTATCTAATTTCACTCAGTCAGTACCATAAACCAAACAATCATAAACAATCTAAATCGGAATCAAAACCATATGTTTCCTCAAAAGCATAGTCAGTAATCTAGAAATCATAGTACCCTCTGGTAAATTAACATAGCTATTGAACATGGCTCATTTATAGTGGATTTTCCCATTAATAGCATGGTGATTTTCCATAGTTATGTAAACGTTTACCAGAGGGTAAGCCATAGTCAGTTGACTATGGTCACCATTTTTCTATGATAAGATGTCAGAAGTCACCACTGAGGTTGGGCCACGAAGGTGGGAAGCACCGGCACGACTTTCCTGCGCCAGCTCTGACGGGTCCAAAACAGATCCGCACGGCGACCGGGGGCGACGCTGCTGGAACTGGGCCCAGTTTTCTGATGGAAAAAGCGGGAGATTTTCGATGGATTTCACCAGAAAATATATGAAATTGATGCAAATTGTGTTAAGGATGATTCTGAAGATTTTTATTTGGGATGATTTTGTTGATGTTTGAGTTTTTAAGAGCAGTGGATTTAAAGTTTTGGCAATGCAATGTATATAATTATGTTGAAAGTAGCATTTCAGGAATATTGAATATACAGATGATGGGCCTTTATTTGTGGTGAGTCAAGGTGCAAAAATGCATCTGAATAGGAAATGGACCGATACCTGTGCTTGAGGCCTTCTGGCTGCAATTTTCCGTTTGGGATCTATGATGGTTGCATGGCAGTCTTGGCTGAGCCCGTATTAAAGACCTAAAAACAATGTTCTTAGGAATTCAAGACCTTGCAATTCTAGAATCTATCCCATATGCTCCATGTATGGAATATTTACACACATTTGGGTAATTTGGGGGGTAAATGTTGCTAAATATTCCATAGATGGAGAACTTGGGATATAGGAATTGACACGCGGTCTCTGCAGCGTTGCCCGCCTCAAATCATGCGCTTGATTCGTGCGGCCAAAGCAAGCAGAGGTGGAGATGGCAGCTGGTGACGAATGGGGATAGGTCAAGATTTAAGCCCCACAGATTGGAATATATATATATATACATAATGTATATGTTTAGTATATGTTTAGTAGGAAAGCCCTCGAAGCATTGGCATATTCAATTTTGACTACAGCATTCAGCATTCAGTTTTGAGTTCAAGAAAATCTGGGTAACGTCATGGATGACCCGGTGGTTGCCTTGGAGTTTCGGCAAATCAGTAGTTGAACATGGCAATGTGAGATATCCTCTGGTAATTTAACACAACTATGGAAAATCACCATTTATAGTGGATTTTCCCATTAAAAATGGTGATGTTCAATAGCTACGTTAAATTACCAGAGGGTATCCCATTCATCTCTATTTGAGATGATTCTCATAGCCTATGGATCCAAACACCTCCTGAGAAGGTACCAAACGCCCCCAGTCATCATACCCCAGTCCCACTTCCTAAGAAGGTACGGCTGGATCCATAGGGATAGTTAAAGTTGATCTGTTCATTGCGGGAATAAATGGCCAGAGGGTACACCTGGGTTGAATGATTTGCACCACAAATGGATACAAATGGCACATTGAGTGTAGGCAAAAAAGATGATATTGTATGGCAAGTATGTATTACATAACAATGTGCAGCAAAAGCTGCGGTAGGTGCATATTTTACATGAAATTTATCCCAGGACCCTGATTGTTACACCAACAAAAAGTTGTTTTTCGATGGCTGTTCATGTTAATTGAGGTGGTCCCACATGTAATTACTGGTCATCGATAATGGGGGGGGGCTTGTGATGCGCACAACTGCTGAACATGCGGGGTAAATGGTGGTGACCGGGCAGATGGCTGGTCGTTCTTCAATGCTCATTTGGGGGTGTCCGAAGTCATGGGGATAATTTCCCCAAAATGGTTGGGTTATAATGGAAAATCAGTAAAATGGATGATTTAGGGGCACCCCTATTTTGGGAAACCTCCATCTGTCGCATCTTAGATTGAGACCGTGTCATCCGAAAAAAACACCTGGCCTTGAACTATGGTGTAACCCGCGGTGATCGTGTTTTTTTGTCAAATGGATTTGGATATCCCATAGTATTCCCATAGAAATATCATAGAAATACCATGCCCGCCAGTCAAAGTTAACCAATTCTTGTTCCATTTTTTTTTACTCTCACACAAAAATTACTATACTGCATGTTTAATCTCGAAACATGGCCCAATGAGACCTATTCAAATCATGGAAATCCCTCCTCTCTATAGACTAAACATCACCTAAGATTCCACGAACTTGGAACACTGGTGAGATCATCGCTAGTCATTTCAGGTTCATCCCACTTGGTGCGTTTCGGAACACTGGCGATCAATCCCATAATTTCTGGTTATTCATGGTTATCCCATTTTACTGAAGACCAAGTCTTCAAGACCAACCAATTCTGGGGATGGAATGATGGAAGAAAAATTGCTTCAACGTGCCATTTGGTGACCAACGTGCCATGCAGGTGACCCCGAAAATGCCGCGCTACATTGTGGGAGGCTTTCTCGCAGAGGTTGGGAAAAAAGCAGAAATGGTTTGGGGAAATGCGTAGGGTCTTAGATTGAAACCACTGACTGTAAGTTTGGAAAATGCAACCAAATTCCATGGTATATCATTATCTGGCGATTTTTTCGTATCACCCCGGGCTCGAACGTCGATAAACACATTGATCATCTATAGCTGAATTGATCAAAATAATAACTATGGAACCTCAAGAATTGGCTTCGGAAATGTCTGGAATATGATTTTCTGAACTTGGATTGGACGCAATTTTGAGCGTGCAATGTGAAAAAAAAATCGGGAGAGTAGAGGCTGACATGAAATAAAAAATCGCATGGCGAGCTATAATGGGATAGGTCTCTCTATTTTCGCCTGGTAACTTGGAACTTGGATGAACCAGAGCCAAGAATCGAAATCAGATATGATGACCTAATTTGATGAGTTTTTCCAGGCTATGGCCCAGCAGGCAGCTTCTGTCTTTGTGAAATCTCTCCGGCGCCGCAACGATTTGGAAGGCACTGAACCTCCCAGACTCAGAAAAGGTGGTCTGGGAGACTCAGATGTGACCATTTTTGAGTATCGAAACCGATGACTGGGAGATCTCCCCATGACCTACAAGTCGTGAGGCCCACGATAGCGTTCAGTTGGTGCCAATACCAGTAACTCCAATAACTCTGGTTTATGGATGTTTATGGTACTTATAACGAACTAGTTACTGGGGCGAATCTAAACCCACTTATAACTGGGGGACCTCACATTGTAGGAAACTTCCTAGGCAATTCATGGAAAATCTTGATCCTGGCACGGCCACCGTGATCACCGTAAAAACGAGTCCATTGAAGTTGCCATGGAAAACACGGACGCGTCATTTGGGTATGAGAATTATGATATAAGTCACACACTTCTACTTGGTTGATGAAGATGATTATACGATATCATACTATGACTATAGCATATTAATGGTTGCTGGGTGACCATTCATGTCTGCAAACCACACATGGTATGGAATGGATATCAGTTGCCAACACCAACGAACATGTACAACTAACATGAATATACTTCATACACATAGTTCAGGGGTGACTGAATATTTCTGAGAATTTTAAGTAATAGCTATGGGTCAAAATGGATGGTTTAAGCCTTTGGAATGATTTGGTGAATTCAGTTGGTACCCCGTCGTTTTGTGACCCGAAGCGTGTCGTAGTGACATCACCCATGAGGATTTTGGAACCTTGAAGTTCGATGATATACCGAGACTTAAGTGATGGCTTCATAGCATGAAAAATGTCCAACTCTTAAACCAGCCGATGCCGAGATGGAGGTGTCCTATGTTTTTTTTAGCTATAGGGCTACTCCCACGACTATCATCCACTATGATTTCATATCCATGAATCTTACTGGAAACCCCCATATGTCTCCGCTATTTTGATAGGTTTTTCTATTTTCCAAACCATCCATTTCTGTCTCCGCCCTTTGGCTCCAGCTGAGCCATGTGGGGCGTACCGTGGGGACCGGGACCATGGCCCGGGCTCCGCGGAAGCTTCGCCCGCGCTGGGGGCGTCCAAGTCGACCATGAAGCGAAAAGCGCCCAGGAATCTGGTGCTCACCGTGCTGCTGCGCATCTTGCCTCTGGTTCCCTGGACTTTATTATGATTGGGATTTCTGTATACAAAAAAAAACATGATATTTCTATATACATGATCTAAATACAATATACAGTATACATGTTTCTCAATATGACTCAATATATAGCATCATAATTTATAGCAGCATATTATAACTATGGTTATATATATATATACATATATATTTTAGGGGATATTGATGGCTTAGGCTTATGGTGATCCTGACCAGTTACTGTAGGGTATCTCCCTGGGTATCAGTGATCCAGATTGCATCCCCGAGATCCCGAGGAAGATGCAGAAAGATGCAGACAGTTGGACCCTGAAAATGACCAATTTATAGTGGTTTCACTAGTCTTCCAAGCCCGTTTTCTGGCAGGGTCGAACTGTTAATTTACTGGAGGGTAAGTTCTTGTATCATTTTTTTTTTGTGGGCGCTTCAAAGCAATGGGAGTATACTGCTATGCTGGGTTCATGTGCAAATTCATGGATTGCCAACAACATAGACCCTGAGAATTCCTGAGAATCGTCCGTCGCAAGAGGAAGGGAGTATTCCAACCCCCATAATTGGCAGAGTCTACGTTGGTCGGATGGAGGGTATTTCTACATCTATGATCATTTTTTGCGAGTGATGCTGGTTTTGACACCTTTGTCAGACTCAAAGAATTGAGGACACCAGCAATTTACTTACTGGTGCTTAGTAGGGAATGAGGGAATGATCCACTGGCTAACTATCAATAATCATCCCAGCAACCCCCATTCCCAACCATTCCCTGCTAAGCACCAGTAAGTTTAAGCATAGCTACCATCCATTCTTTTTGTTTTTTTTGGAGGATGATACAGTGGATGACCGATACTCTATAGATTCAACATCATTATTTTATCCTTTTCGACTCAGGGAACTGATGGAAGCAAATTTGAGTTCGTTTGGATTTGGTTTTGGTTGTGGAATGTAACTTGACGCACATATGATTGATGATTGATTATTGGGTTATATATGTTTTTCCCCCTGCCAGGTGAGGGTTGTTAGATTTTATCTAAGTTGCCTGGTCCTCCTCCTCCTCCTCCTGCCTCGTCCTCCTCCTCCTCCTCGTCCTCCTCCTCCTCTCCTCCTCCTCTCGTTGTCCTCCTCCTGTCGTTGTCCTCCTCGTCCTCGTCCAACTGCGACCCGCGATCCACAGTGTTCTCTGCCGGACCTCAACCACGACCATCCACGCCCAGTGTTCCCTGCCGGACCTCAACCACGACCAGCCACGCCCAGTGTTCCCTGCCAGACCTCAACCACGACCATCCACGCCCAGTGTTCCCTGCCGGACCTCAACCGCGAGTATCCACGCCAAGTGTTCCCTGCCGGACCTCATGTAGGAAAATATGGGACAAAGAATGTGCAGAAGAAATGTCAGATAGAATGCCAGAAGATATGCCAGATAGAATGCCAGAAGATTTGCAAGATAGAATGCCAGAAGATATGCCAGAAGATATTCCAGATAGAATGCCAGAAGATATGCCAGATAGAATGCCAGATAGAATGCCAGAAGATATGCCAGATAAAGTGCCAGAATGTTTGCCAGAACATATGCCAGAGGATTTGCTAGATAGAATGCCAGACGATATACCAGAACATATGCCAGAAGATACACCAGAACATATGCCAGAAGATATGCCAGATAGAATGCCACAAGATATGTCAGTCAGATAGAATGCCAGAATTTACGCCAGAAAGAATGCCAGAAGATATGCCAGAACATATGCCAGAAGATATGCCAGATAGAATGCCAGAAGATATGCCAGAACATATGCCAGAACATATGCCAGGAGATATGCCAGATAGAATGCCAGATAGAATGCCAGAACATATGCCAGAACATATGCCAGAAGATATGCCAGATAGAATGCCAGATAGAATGCCAGAAGATTTGCAAGATAGAATGCCAGAAGATATGCCAGATAGAATGCCAGAAGATTTGCCAGATAGAATGCCAGAAGATATGCCAGATAGAATGCCAGAAGATTTGCCAGATAGAATGCCAGAAGATATGCCAGAACATATGCCAGAAGATATGCCAAATAGAATGCCAGAGGATATGTCAGATAGAATGCCAGAAGATTTGCGAGTAACAAAATGTGTAAATGTCATGGTGGGGATTACACTATAGACCCGTATATGTTCGGCGATTTGTATTTTTTTTGTATTTCATCATCCAAGTTCCAATGTGCCCATGTCTGACCCATACCAACATGGGTTGCCATCAGGTCAGTTGAGAATGCATAGACCCCTTGGAAATTGTATTGTTCCCCAAATTCTTGGTGGTCGTAGCCTTTTTTGAAGCTACCCTGACCCTCAAAGTATAACTAAATTTTGGTCAAGTATTTACCTCAGGAAACTGGAGTTACGTTGAATACATATATCATCATATATCCATCACATGACATGTAGGGAAAAAGAAAAACACCGTACCGGGGTTTCGCTACCTGCCATTTGAGGTCCTCTTGCCCTTGCTGGTGGGGATTTTGCAACCGGAAGGCAGGGTTTTCAATCCGGTTCCATCCACTGAAAATCAGACAAATGCATCAACATCCGAAAAAAAAAAACACTTACAATTCAGTGCATTTCAGAGACTCGCATCCGTTCCATAGATCGTTTCGCACTTGCCGTGTTCCCTCCCTGGCACCACGGTGAATCACGTCGTTAGGCGATGGGGGCAGCGGCGGCTACTGGAAGATGGTCTTCTCCGCTGCCGCCTGCGGCGCGGTCATCTCTGCAGCCGTGCCGTCCGCGCGCTTCGCCATTTTGGCCGTGGCCATTGTGACGGTGCTGCTGTTGAGCGTGAGCTACACGCAGGTGACACGTTGTAAACATTTGTAAACGACGTTCGAAATATCTTAAAAGATCGCAAAATGATGGAAACTGGATCTATGGAAAGAAATTGAAGTTTCATGGATTTTCTTTGTATTTATGGTAAAACTGTATATGTAGGACTGGAAGGTAAGTTGGAAATAAATGATTATGTGTTTGCTTAGTTTGATGATTCGTTGATTGTCATAATTTTATTTTTATGTTATTTTTCATGATCAATGATTCCGTTATATTCTTTCAACATATGTTTACACAGTTGATTGATTCAATACAGTTTCCCATACATCCTACAATGTTCATCAACTCCCCCACCTACGCGTGCTTTGAGTTAAATAGGGGACAGTGTGGTCCCAATCGTAAAGAATTCCCATTCGAAAATCAGCTCAATCCCAGGCTAGAAAAAATGGCATCCAATGGCATCCAATGGCATCCAATCCTTTCATTGCCAGGTCTTACATGAACATTTGGCCCGCCTGAACACCCCAAGTTCTCCCGACCTGCCTCGGCCTCGGGACCCGCTGGGCCCGCCCCGCGTTTTGGACGACGCCGCCACGGCGGCCGCGGCCGCGGCGGCGAAGAAGCGCGAGGCCGCTGAGCAGGTCGCGGCGTTTCGCTGGCGACCGGCGCCGCCCAAGGTGGGGCAATCCAGGAGTTTTCCATCAGAATTCCATCAGAAACCAAGAAACATGGGAGAAATGGGAAAGCCATGGCGAAAACTGGGGATATCTGACGACATGGAGATCCAAGAGACATAAAGATAGAGTAATACAGAATTGTGGAATTTAAGCAACATGCAATTTCATTCATAATGCTAGTATGGCCAATTACTGCACTGCATGTCTTTTTTCATGTCTTTATGATGCAGTTTCTGAGATTTGCTGATCTTTGGTGATCTTGGTAGTATAACCCCGGCTTTTTTCACTTAGCAAAAACATTTGAATGGCAACATGTCAATGTATCCAAACATATTACAACTGATGGATGGACTTTGATGTTTTTGGTGGTTTACTATAGCAAAGACTGCTATGGTATAGATGAGATTCGTATTTGTTTCTGTTTTGTGGTGAGTTCATGTTATTTCATTTCTATTGATTTCTATAAAACTTGGATGTTGAACTGAAACTCACACCTTTTTGGGATTAGTGGATCAGCCAGCAACCAGAGAAAGTTAGCAGGTCAACAAAATAGCCATGATATGCATTATTATGCATTACTGATAGCGTTTGTTCAGTGATGGATGTTGATTTCACACTGTTTTCATCCCTGTTGTGGTTTGTACCAGGAGAAACACAAACCTGGCCCCTCATGATTGTAAGGGATATAGTGGATTACCTTATCACATCACTTGTTCTATCAGCTAAGCAGTATTGCAAAGGGATAGAGTTGGTGTATATTATGAATGTACATTCTGTGATCCGTATCTGATTTATGGCCGGTTTGCCGTACTTGATCAATTCCAACCAGCAATCCCATCTCCCACTGGAGAGATTAAACGCTCTTCCACAATCCCTAATGGCCCAAGTGTAACATCTGTGCATTGTTTGGGCTTTTTGGGTAATTTCAGTAGAAATTCCTGGAATTGTTCATGATTTTCATGTTCAATTTCGACCGAAAAATTCTACGTCGACATGGTCCCGGTCATGGTGATGATGATCGCCGCCAGGTGGAGGCCCCAGTTGAAATGGCCAGCTTCAGTGTGGTGTTACCCTGCGCATTCGAAGGAGAGTTCGCGGAAAAGACCGTGTGCCTCGAAAGAAATGCCGGCTTTATGGGAGCGGTCCCATCTGGTTTCTGTAGGATGGCTTACCATCTGGTTATTTAACATAGCCATGGTATAGATGGCCCATTTATAGAGGATTTATAGATGATTTTCCCATTAATACCTCCATTTGTAAGGGATTTTCCATGGCCATGTTAAATAACCAGATGGTAGTTTGGTATTTGGATCCCCAATGCTCCATCTATGGAATATTTAGCAACATTTACCCATTACCTATGACCCAATTGTGTGTAAATATTCCATTCATGAAGCAAACATGGGGATGTATTTTTGACCTTGGGAACGGGGCAGGGATTCTTTGGCTATTTTCTGGGTCATCGTTCGGATGATGTTTTTGGCATTTTGTGGCTAAGTGGGAGATATTCCAGCCATAGGGGCATTGAAATTTGGGTCCGAAAGAATTTTGGAAATATAGAGAGAACACATGTCCCTTACATCGGCAAAAGTAGGTGGTTGGTAGCAAACAGGATGTTGTTTGTTGACTCAGCGATTCCACTGTTTCAAACAGTTCTTTCCATTCATAAGTGAAGATAAGGAGGTGAAGCTCCAAGCCTACCATATAGTGTTGCGAGGGGACAATATCAGAAAATGGCCTGACAGTTCAGGGTCCCTTTCCCCCACAGCTGCTGCCGAATCCTTTAGGTGGGCTGTGTGGGAGAACACCGACACTTGGAGAACTCGAGATGTAGAGACACTGCATGGTTTCTATACGTTTCTCAGGATTGGTTACGATTGGTGGTTTAGATAAACGACCAGAGAACCGTTATGTTTTCCATCATCGCCCAAGCATCTTTGGATATACTATGATATACTGCAAGACTGCAGGAGTCTACACTTGATCTACCGAAAATTGAGGTGAACAAATGGCTCAAGATATCCCAAAATCCACTGCGACATAAATCTTCCTATCCATACCGCATAGCCACATTTACCAGAACTGGGTTTGTCTCCAGCTTCGGTTGGAGCTGAAAATAATGGGTTTGCCAACTGACCGGGGTGAAATGAGATACAGCAATCCTTTTGAAGAGCTAAATGTTGATGGGATTTGTTGGTTTGTTGGTTCAGTGCTCATGTTTGAAAACTCTTGGAATGTTTACCGCACATTGGTCCAAGAATTGGTTTCATGGAAACCGCCTAGAAACCACCAATTGCTGAGTGGTAAAATCCTTATTCTTGGTGCTTAGATATCTCAATGTTTGGGTAAAACCAATGTTTGCTCCAGCTTTCTATGCATCTCTTTACATAACAACACTACCTGGAAAATTCCCACATACCCCACATGTATGGTGCCTCCGAAATACAACCTTAGGACTCATATGTTTGATTGTACAAATCATGTCAAATTAACTCCCCATTCTTGACTTAGTTTCTCCAGCTCAAATCCCTATCAATGGTCGCAAGACTCACACTTCTTTTCCTCTCCAACCCTTCTCATTGTTTTCCCCCCATGTTTTCCCATCTGGCTTTGGCGAAAAATAGAGTTCCCCAAAAATCCCCTGGGCTACCAGGATTGTTCCCATTAAACTGCTGTTGTATGGGTATCCCAACGTTGCATATTGACTTTATCCACTGAGTATCCCTATTATTGGCTATTATATCACCATGACAGTAGATTAATCAGGATCAGTTTCTGATAAATCATACAAACAAACAGTTTTATCATGGTATATCATGTTATATCCCATTATATGCCTGTGATATTTCCTTTTATGTTTGGTTTGCACCCATAAAGCATCCACTTCCCCCTATTTTGAAATAATTTCTTGAAACTTCAAGACACAATTGGGATGATCGTGATTTCACACTTCAAGATGTTGGTTGTTACATCCCACGCTCTCTGAGCGAAACATTTCCCAATCTAGCTGCTCCTTTTTTTGGTGCTTCTTGTCAACATCATATGTGTATATATATATATATATTAAATATGTATATATATATATATTATATATTATATATATATTACATATATATATATATATTTAAATATATTATATATATATATATATATATATTACATATATATATATACATTATATATATACATTACATATATGTAGGTTATAGTTCATGTTCTTCTATCCGGCGGTCATATCTTGATTTGGATGGTTAGGTGATACCCATAAACCATCCATCCTTTCAAACAGGGATGCTCCAATTTCCCCAATGTCCATGCCCATGGATCAATGTTTTTTTTTTCCATGATAGTCTATCTATGGTGACATTCTGTTGGATATATCATGGAAACAAAACACCATCCATTTTTGGATATGGTTGACCAACGACCAATTCCCATGAAGTAGCAAAGGGAAATATCATATGACATATCCATGTTCAGGCGGCATCAACAGGCTTGTTTTTCCCAAGCTCAACACTGTCAGCCGCTCAGGACAAGCAGATTCTGAAGGAGATCATCGTGGTGGACGACGGCTCGCGTCCTCCCTTGCGGAAGATCATGTCGGAGCAGTTGCTGAGCGGTGGCCCAGGGGTGCCCAAGATGAAGATCGTGCGACACGAACACACCTTGGGCTTGATCTCTGCCAAGAAGTCAGGCGATGTTTTTTTTTGCTGATGATTCGGGATGTTATTTGTTTGGGTCATATTGTTTTGTGATATCATGATATCTATATTGATATGTATATATATATACAGTACATAATATCGACATATATATATATATATTATTGCATACGTATTATGTGTTTATAACTGGAACTTTCAACGTAACACTTGTTTCTGGTAATTCCCTCCGAATGCCGGGTAAAAGAATGCACAGAATGCACAGCTTTAAATGACGTGGAAGGTCACATGTTTAGGTTCAAGGATTCGGCGATATAAATGTAAGGTGGTAAACCATGGTAAGCCCAACGCCTTAATCCCTAATGACTTAACCTTGACAGAAATGGGTGGGATTTTTTCACATAGAAGGTTTATGATTGGTTTTCCCACACAGTTACACATAGTTCTTCATTTTAGATTCATTTTAAGTATCGACCATCTACTTTCGGTGCCCAATTTTGACACACACACTGCTGTACCCGTCCCAGAAATGGATATGGCCTTTTGCTTCAGTACACCTTAATGGTGGGCAGAGGTGGGTCCATTCTATACAGGAACCTCTAGTAACATATCTTTTGGGGGTACGAGTTGCTAAGATCCCTTGAATACCTCCAATCATTTTTCCCATGAACATTGCCACTTCGGGAGTATATTCCATTCTCAAAGCCAAAGCATATTGTTGGGTACATCTCCCAAGTGATCTTAATTCTGATAGCTCATAAGTTTTTACGGCATAGCTTTATTTTTAAGTTAAATCTACATAAATCTACCACAAAGCAAGCACTTGGAGGGATGGTCATCAAAATCAGGCGACCCCACCCTGTGGAGGTATGAAAAATCCTTTGTCACCTCAACCCCCCTGTGAATTACCATGAAATCCCATTCAAGTCCTGTTAAATTCCCATTAAACAAATCCCATACGAACATGTGAAATTACTATAAAACATGTAAAACATCATATCTCATGCGAAAATCCGCACTCTCGTCTCCGAGTTACGTAACTTGCGTTCGCGTTCAGGTGGCGACGCTGCATCGGGCGATGTCATCGTTTTCTTCGACTGCCATGTGAGCCCCCGGAAAGGACGCCTCATCTTAAGGAGATGCTATGGGCAGTATAACTAGACCCTCCAAACCATAAATTTGTGGTGTTTTGCCCTATCAAATTGAGTATTTTTACCATTTTGTATGGGCTATTTGGAGGGTCTAGGTATGTTTATATAATTATATATATATATATATATTATTGTGTATATATATATATATATTTGAACCACATATTGGGAATGCAATTTATATAAGGTCAAAGTTGGGTATGATGTGCAATACATATATATATATATAACATTACAATAATACATATATATATAATATTATAATATATATATATATTATTGTTATCGTTATTATTATTATTATTTTATTATATAAATATATATATTATATAATTGTATATATAAACACTGCCAATTGTGTTATATGAAAAAACAAAAACAAATATACTGTCTATATATATATATATGATTTTATCTAACACAATTGGCAATGTGACCTAATAATTGAGGGATGATGTGGGTCCCCATGAAAATTATTGGACCCACAGCATGTTTGAATACCAAAGATATCCAATTTTCTGGTGACATTGGTAGCTCAATTGTAGGGACCACCTAGCCAGGATCTGCATCCGAAATGACGTCAAAACCTGTGGCCATCGGTGGCCATCATGATGTCATTTCAGGTCATTTGAAGCTTTGTGTTGGGCTGTTGCGATAAGGAACTCCCCTGAGTTCCCAGGTTCCCATAAATCAATGGGAGATCTTCAGGATCCTAAAATGGAGGTACTGTACCATATAAGGCCAAATTTTGTGGGGATATTCCCTTCCATAGGCCTTATATATGGTAGGTACCTCCAATAAATCGGTTCCTGAAGTGACCATTGAAAATATGTGGATCGTCCCTATTAAAAAGTGACACAAAGTGTGCCTGACTAAGGATGGGAAATGGCATTCTTGAAGCAGATGAAGAGGAAACACGACCATCGCACCATTGTGGTCCCCACGATCACCTCCTTAAATCCAGATACCTGGAAAGAGATTCCAGGCCAGGGCTGACTTGAAATGACTTGAAATGACTTGAAGTCACCTGGCACATGGCCACCACATGTAATTAATACATACAAAATTCATGATGGATATGTACAATCAAACATTAAAATACAGAAAACGGTTGCATATACTATGTGGCTTTTCCCTTTTCCTGACATGCAAATTTTCTCATTTTGTCGGCCAAAATATCCAAAAAAAACATTTTGTTTCAAACGCTGTGCGCAGCGTTTGGAGGGCAAACCGTTGCGGTTTGTTTGTTAACCACTACGTCGGACGTGTGACAGTTTTCATGCGGTTTCCTTCGGTTTCCTGTGATTTTCCCCTGGACCAACTGCAAATGGCCATTCTTAGACCACTTGGCTAATGGTGAGAAAGAATGGCCATTTGTAGTTGGTCAGTAGAACTAATAAATGAATATCAATGACAGAGCAAAACCATGAAATTTAAACCACCATTCTACTGGATTTTTTTTAAAATGTGTCGAATGGTTGATGGTGCTTTCTGTCAAATGGTCATCATGTGGTTTATAAAGTCAGAACTGCTTCCGTGCCAGAGTCACTCACCATCAACCAGAACTCAGAAAACAATAGTCTTGATCCACAAAACATGATCACTCGGAAGACATGAATCAACAGCTTAAATAATCTGAATCAACAATGGCCGACTATCATATTTTTGACATTATTCAAGAGATAAAAATGGTTGCGTAGCTTAACTGCTTAACTTGTTGGTGATCCTTGCCGCCAGGTGGTGGAGGTGGCAAGGTGTGTTTCATCCTTTGGAACAATGACTTTACTTGGCTCTACAACCCCGGGCGGGACGCTCCATTGATGAGTGGCCTGCTCAACAGGACCGTTTTTTGTCATGTTTTTCTTTTGTTGGTCAAAACTTAGGTAAGATGACTAAGATTACACTCATGATCATCCATTCGTAGGGATAATGAATAATTAGCCATATTCTAAGGGTTCCTTGTATGGGATATAGATGACAATACCGGATGTGATTACCACGCTTTGACCGTGGCAAATACATTTGATGACGTTTTATGAGTTTTATGTGTTTTTTGTCAACGAGGTTCTTCCTATGAACAGCCTTTATTAAAACAATGGTTGCTTCTTTATGACGATAATGAAATCAACCAGACTGCAATGTTGACGTGCACAGTATGTGGATTGCTTGATGTGTCTGAAACTTAACATTTGGGAAGACAACATACAGGTAACGATTTAAGTTCGACATTTCAACTGAATATTTTTTTTTTAATGATCAATAAGCCCTTATGATCGCAGTTGTAGGTTCATGAGCCATTAATAAGCCCCTAGTGTTTGCAGTTTTGTTCCCAATCCAGCAGAAGACTCGCCGCCTCAGGATGTTTTCACTGTGCTTAGGGTTTCTTTCCAAACAATGGGGCTGGATGCTGATTAAATGATGGAGAAAACATGAGAAAACCTCGGTTGGCTAGTGTGATTTCTTTAACCATGAAAAGAATATGATCTAAGCATGAAACATGGGGATTTAAGTGATTTAACCACTGAACAATGGATTTGGGTGTGTCTGAAAATGGCGTATACCCTCCACATTGCCAATTTCGTCGGGTAACTGATAATCAACCAGTGGATCTAGATCCAGGAGTAGCCTTTTCTCAGCCAATCCCTGCCATAGGTGGAGGTTTGCTGGCTCTGAGCCGGAGATGGTGGGAAGAGACCGGTGGCTACGACACCAAGATGGTGGCATGGGGCGGCGAGAACATCGACCAATCCCTGCGGAGCTGGTTGTGCGGTGGACGCATTGAAGTGGCCGATGGAGCATATGTGGCGCATATGTGGAGGGATCCCAAGAATCCCAAGACAGCTGCTATGGCTGGGGAAAAATAGGGAAAAATGGCAGGGTTTACCAAGCCATGGGAAAAACTTGGAGTTTTCCCAGTGAAAAACTAATATGAGGTGTTTCCTGCATTTTGTTTCCCTTCAACCTATCCAATGAGTTGAAAGAATGATGTGTTTTTGAGATTTTGTTGATGTTGGGTTTTCAGGAGGTCGAGTTGCGTTGTTGTTGCGATGTTTGAAGGCAACAGCTGCTATACTGTTTGCGATGGAATCCAATGATAAAGGTGATTTAATGCTCCTTCATACAGAATGGAAATAATAAACCTTCAAATTAAAAATTATTCATTCTCATTGGGTTGGCAACGTATGCCAGAAATGAAGAGAAATGACCCATTGCATATAAATGCAATCAATCTAAAGCTGAGTAGCTTCACTCTGAACCTAGATACTGCAACTTGGTGTTGTTTGATCTTCAAAATCACTAGGTTATCAGTTACCAACCAAGGTTTGACATATCCTCATTCTTCAAACCATTTCTAGACCCTCCAAGTACCTACAAAAAATAGTTATTCTATCAAATTCTAGCCATTATTTCTGCTGGATATTCTGGGACTTTTACCAATTTTCATGTGTGCTTGGAGGATTTGTTGTTCGATGATGTCAATGCTATTTTCAAATTACCCAACAAACCATGCTTCCACTCCTTCTCTCAGCTTTTTTGGATGTTCTTGGTGGATATCTCCTTATTTCCAGCAAAAATCGTAATATATCCCATTAGATCCATATTGTTGATGCTTAAAATCCCAATAAATCTCGATAAATCCCAATCTCCAGCTTTTCCCAGCCTTTTTGGGCCTCGTTTTATTTTTTCCGCCTTTGACGACTGCAGGTTTTGCGCTATCCCATCCCCACCAAAGACGTGATGCGCAACAAGGCCCGTGCCGCCACAGCTTGGTTCGGTGACTTCACGCAGAAGGTCATGACCTTCCCGGAGTACGAGATGTTCACCAAGAGCCTTGGATGCCTTGGATGCCTTGGATGCCTTGGATGCCAAGACGGGGGTGCTGTTTGAAAATGGCCCATAGAAATTGTTGATTTAGCTATTAAAGAAAATTAAAGATTGTTATTGTCCATGATTAATTAGCTATGTTAGTTTACCAGTTGGTACGTCATGAAATCATGAGGATTTCTCATATCCGATTCAGATGATTCATCATCCCCCAAATAAAATGGGTGTTTAATGTGGGTAAGACAGTGTTATTTTCACCATCCTCCAGTCATCACCATTTTTATCGGTGGTATAAACAATTCCCTTAAATGGGTTTTATTATTATTGCTTTACCCACATCACATTACTAGCAGTAGCATCAATGATGAGGGGAGATGAGCCATTTTCATGGGGATTGAATGGTGTTTTGACCATCAACCATACGGATTTTATGTTTTTTTTAATGGGATTAATTAATCTGGATACTGAGCATCAATTTATGAGATATGTGGACATAAGAGATAAATGATGGCTGGTTGATGATTTTTTGGGGGATTTTCTACATGATTTAAGCATCAACGATTGGATTTGTTCTTGGGATACATAATGGTTGGGTGATGATTAGTTCGTCATTTAGTGATCATTAACATGGCTTTTAGATATTAATCAAACTACGGGGATAAAAGTAATGGTTGCATGCCCAAAAACATGAGAGTTTCACTATCAACAATAGGGATGTTTCATGGGACATGACATAAATGGACACATGTGTTTGAAATATTGGGATTATGGGATGAAATTGTTTTTTTTAATGTTGTGAGTTGTGGGAGTTTCTATCAGGGGAGTTCATAGAACTTCATGGGTTTGATGTTATGACTTTTAGATCATATGAAATATTTTATTATTGTTGTTGTTTAAGATGGGAGTGTGATCGTTGTTTATGCTTTAATGGGGGATTGCCCGGGAGTTAAACTGCACAGATGGTGAGGAATTGTGAATTACGCTGACTTCAGAATATTTAATGGTGGTTGATTTTAAGATTTTAGTACTACTGGTTGGTGGTTTCAAACATGTTTTATTTTCCATAATATATGGGATAATCCTGTCCATTGATTATTTTTTCAAGATGGTTAAAACCACCAACCAGTAAGGGTGGTTGATTTTAAGATTTGGGTATTATTGTTTTTACATGTTTTTACCAAATATCGTTTGGGTCAAATCACAGTCAATGTAGTGACAGATACTGGTGTGTCTGAAAAAAAATGCTCCAAGCAATGGCATTTTAATCTGGTTGGTGGTTGAACATGCCAATCAATGATACCAAATGGAGACAGAAGCCAGTTTCAGTTAATGGAGAACACATATTGTATGAACATGGGAGATAGTGTCCTCAGATTTCCGAAAAAAACATGTGCCCCTGAATTTGAGTGATTTTCGTTCTCAGGAATGGTGAGAGCATTGGGGATATGAGTGAGTTTGCCGCACTGAAAGAGAAATTGTCTTGCGCCCCCTTCACCAGTGCCTTGACGCAACGATTTTGCACTCGGCACTGAGCGCCAGTTTGATCATGGGTCATGTGTGCTGATGATCCCATAGCCCAAAATTTCACATGATACCTGAAAAAAGAGGTCCCAAAGATGATTTTACCTACTGAAAAAAGGCACCTTTTTTTATGGGTGAAAAAAATGGTGAAATTTCGGGTTTGCCATCGTCACTGCTTGATGCTGGGCACAGGGCTGATTTGTAGTCATCGCGGAAGCAATATTCTTTTTTTGAGAAATAAATGGTTGGTGCCACAGAGAAATGGATCTTGTTTAGTCAAGCTAGTCAGTCCGAGTCCATTTCTTAAAAACTTGGATTTCCTGCCATTCTGGCTCTTTTTTTAGGCACAACAAATGGGAAAATATTCATTCCCGGCAGAACAAACTGTTTTTGCTAAGTGGGCTCAGTCTTGTGATTGTATGAGCATTTCACCTTTCGTTCCCCTCATTTCAAAGTGTAATACGAGACTCACCAAATGTTGCAATGAGCGGTTTTCATACAATAGCTTTATCTATCTACTATATATATATATATACATACATAATCAAAAACTTATACACTTGATATTTAATAGCTATACTATATATTATATATATATACATAATCAATCATCATCAATCATCACCATAAACCTCACTTGATCTGAGGTGTTCAATGTTCCGCGCCCAGCCGAGTCCCGAGGTTACTTGGATCGTTTCTCCTACATCTACCTGGATGGTGGTCTGATCCCGGATCAGGTTTTTCAGCTTCGAGAGAAGAAGACGGGACTCTGCTTGCAGCTCCGATTTTCAATGGGATGCCACCAACATTGGGGACTTATGCAAGAAACTTTGGCAAACATTGGGATTTATGCAACAGCAATTGGCAAAAATTTGGATTTATGCAACATAAATATACATAAATGGTGATTGAACCAACGAAAATGGGTATTTAAGCAACGAACATGGTGATACAGCCAACAAAAATGTGGCTTTAACCAATGAAAATTGGGTTGTTGCCAACGAAAATTGGAATTTATCCAACAAAAATGTGGATTTAATCAACAAACATGGTGATTTGACATGATTTAACCAACAAAAATGGGGGAAATTCGCCAACAAAGCATGATGGGTTTCTGTAGGAACTCACATCCATTGGGTCACCCACTCATTTGACACCTGGGTTAAGTATGGATTATCACATATTCTGGTTGGTGGTTTGGAACATGAATTTTATTTTTCCATATATATGGAATAGTAATTCCAGCTGACTTTCATATTTTTCAGAGGGGTTGAAACCACCAACCAGTATTATGTGTAAAGTGAGTCCTCTGACTTTCAGGAAATTTTCACAGGGATATTGGGAGGAACACATCATCTTGTTCAAAAATAATTCGCTTCTCATATGAATTTTGCTGGTGAATTACTATAGTTACTAGGGTCCCATCTCCCTGTCATCTCTTGCCTCCCAGGCATATCAAGCGCAACGATCGAGCGCCTCATAATGTAGTCTTAGCAGCCTGTGCTGGACATCATGATCTGCACCAATCATCAGAATTGCAGCTCTTTGGCTTTAAAACAATGGATCCATAAAATCAGAACACCTACAAATGGACATATCATGGGAATAGAAATGGGGATGGATCAGAATATCTATATAATATGTATATATATATATCTGTCACATAATATATCATAATATGGGATAGAACACGACATAACTACCATATTTGCGAGGAACCAGGCTTTGTGGATAACCTGGGTTGCCACCGGGTCACCGCAGAGCATCAGAAATCGTTTGGATGATCCGCACATCGCTCAACATGATCGGAGTGACCATGAAGAATCGCAGTGTGAATGTCCATGGTCCAATATTTGAAAAGCAAACACTGCTACAGTAGGATAGGGATGTGTCAAGATGTGTTGGATGAGCTGTGACCACAGATGGATGGCTACCCCACAACCTTGGAACGAAACATGATCAGCGTGGTATGTGTGTTTATTGTTTACATCTAAAATCTCAATCCGACCCCACGTGAGGAGAAGCTCTCAGGTGCCACCATATCATACCATGATTCATAATGCATTCAGTATTCATCCTTACACTTCATGCCAATTTCCAGGCTCTTTCATCGTGGGAACCGTGATGCCTCCAAGCGTGGGAAGCCATGCTGTAGCGGCATCATGCACTGGAACTTCCTGCAGTGTTTAGATGCGCAACGTGTTGGAATGGGAGTCCAGACATTCGAGTGCCTTGATGAACACCCAGTTCAAGTAGATGGGTTTGTTTCAAAAAACAGAGATTTCTTGCAATTTTAGTATGAATTTCGAAGATTCTTGGGTCTGGGTCAAAACCGAATGATAATATTGCACATAATATTTGTTCTTTTGGTATAGCATTCTTACAAAGTAAGCCCACACTGAAGTCAATCCCGGGAGTTTGCATCGCCCAACAGCACCGTTAAAGGTGCGAAATCGGAGGCAGCTCCCAGCACCAGAAAGTGCAACTGTCGGAAGAGGGGCAACTGCTGTGGAACTGGAAAGGCGCATGGTCAGGCGCGGCGCCGCTCTTGCTGCTTTAAGGTCACTAAGGTGCGATGATAAAATTAATGATGGAAGTCATGGGGCGGCAAAAACGGAAGCCATCTTGTTTCGAAAAACTTTATGGAATATAACTATTTTCGGGAAAGCCCATCCCAAGATTGAAACCACCAGTTTCCGAAGAATCGTGTATCTCAAAACAAATTGTGGAAAGCAACAAAAAACACACAGAACATCTTCGATCATTGTCCAAAAATCAAAAAACACATGTGAACATCCCAAAAAAAAACACGAGGCACACCAACAATGCCACTGAATTCCCCCCAAAAAAACGGACAAACCTTGGGAAAATCCCAAAAAGCAACAATCCGCCAGGGGCCCTGGGCTGTTTCGCCCCCCAAGCCCCGAAGCTGGGTGTGGCCACGGTCACCAGCGTTGACCACTGCAGTGCTATGGTGGAAGCCTTGGGGGATGAGACCTTCCCAGGTGCACCTGCACCTTTGGAGCAGGGGGAGCAGTTGGGGGATGTTGAACTGTTGGGATGGGGATGTTGGGTATAACTTCACCAGAAATGGTGATTGAATATGATGGCCTAGGGGATTTCATGCAATTTAGTTGGCTATGAATGGGATTTCATGCAATTTAGTTGCCTAAGTTGGTTTATTTTGGTTAGGCTTTTTGGCGATGATGGAAGAACTATAGTAAAATAAACCACCGAACATATTTTGGGGGCACCAGCACCACCTTGTGTGAAAAAAACATGATAGAAGTGGAAAAGATATGTTAAGTATGCTTTTAGGCACTCCTTTGCGCACTAATATGGATGTTAAGCATCTTTATACGAAGCATTGTTTTAGGCAAACACCGATGTTGATGTTTTTTCAAAGAGTCTAGGCCTACATTCAGAAATTCGATTGAAGCATACATTGTATCGTTTATTTCATGCTAAATCTTTCAGGACAGCTCTTATTTTATATTCAGGTGGTATGTGGGTGAATCAAGTCCGGCATTTCACCGCCAGGTGATACCGGAACGGTCCCCTCCGCCTTCCGCCTGAAAAGCCGGGACGGCGGTGGCGCGTGTGCCGCCGCTGGCACCAAGGAGGGCAACGGAGATTCAGCCAGTAACATGGAGACCGGGCTGCAGCTAGGGACAAGTCTTTTCTGGAAATCGGCGCCGGCATAAATATAGAGACATATTTGAGAAAGAATATTACACTGGTTGGTGGTTTCAAACATTTTTTTTTATTTTCCATGTCATGTATGGGATGTCATCCTTCCCATTGAATTTCATATTCTTCAGAGGGGTAGGCTCAACCACCAACCAGTCCATTGGATCCATCTAAATGATGATGATCCGAAATCACTTCACTGCATGGGTGTTTTTTGCCACGTTTCAAACTCATGTTTTGCCATTTTGAGAACTGGGGAGATCTTCAACCAGGGGAAAAGAGGAATCGTTTTGCGTTCTTTTTTGTCCGGAGATCATCCTAAAAGTCGATCATGTTCGGAGACATGGCAGATTTTTTGATCCCTAAATTATGGGATGAAAGGTGTTGAAACATAGCTATCAACCAACCAGAACACGGTTTTTTGTTGGTTTTTTGTGGTTCAGTATAGCGGCTCACGTTCATGAATTTTGAAGAGTATTTTTTTTCTTGTATATTGTTTCCTCGAGGGACCAAATTCTCGATGCTTGGAGAGTGCAAGCTTGCCGTTCCCATCTCGCATAACTTAGGTGGTCAAAATCCGCATCGGTTGATGTTGGTTTCTGTCCATTAATGATGTTCAAGTGGAATCAAGTGGAATCAAGTGGATAAGTATCTAAAATCATTCCAACATATCCATTCGTTGGTTGGTTTGTTGGTTGGTTGGTAAAACAACTCACAGCAGTAGCCGTGGTCCACGGGCATTCGACTCCACCTTCAAAATCTACCAAGTTCACAACCCTTGTTGTTTTTTGAAGCCCAGTTCTTCACCCGCCAAGCGAGTTCTGTGGACCCCAGTTGATCATGGTCACCATGGTCTAAATCTCGAGGTTTACACTTTAGATCCCCATCTGTGGTTGAAAATAAGAACCTATCCATCCAGAGCTGCAAAGTTCATAACTCCATCTTGGGTATCAGCTAGGGGTCTCTGAAGACCCCTGAAGACCCCTAGCTCCATCTCCATCCTACTCTGCGATGTTTTGTTTCACCCCTTAAGGAGCTTCATTTCCGTCCCTGCGACGAGCAAGACGCCGCGCAGATCTTTCGCGTGACACCGCGCTTCGGGGGCTTCGAGATCAAAGCCGGAGACAGCGATTACTGCTTGGCAGCTCGGCTTGACACCATGGGAGAACCATGGAGAACCAATGATGATTTAAGGGGACAATTAACCAAAATTAACCAACAAGCCATGGTGTTTGTTTTTCTTATGGAGAGGATACAAGGGGTATAACCATGTGACGGAGTTGCTCATCCCAGTGACCCTTTGCTAATCTAACATGTGAAAAAACGTCCATTTAGTTGGATGATTTACCTACGAAGGATAGTTATTTTCCATATCTGGTAGGTTGAATTCCCAGAGGGTAGTAAGTGCCCATAAGTAAGTAGGTTTAGTTCAGTCATAGCTGGCTTGAACAGATCGGTGTATATTGATTTTATGTCTTGATCCTCAAATTGTAGAGGCTGATGACAGATTCTTAATTGTTGAGAATATAGTATAAAAGTTCCTTCTGAATCAATATGACTATGAAATTTGTAATTGTTGACATTGAGAACAATATTAATCTCAATAATTACAATATATTACAGTACAATGGAATAATGACTTCTGTTGATGTTCAAACATATTTGAAATGATGATCATGAATCATACAACTGACAATTGTACTGAAACCTGATGGCTTCTGTTTGATGTGGCTGGGTGGGTCAATACCATGAGACCACCAATTGATGTGGGAATGAGTATCCAAAAGCGATGACAAATGAATTTTTTGGTGTGACCACTGGCGCATCATGATTGATTGCATAGCTACTTATACAGCTGCCTCCAGTTCTAGCTGAGTTTGGTGCCTGATTGCTTATGCGAAAACAAACCACGAGTTTTTGAAAATTCTGCGTATCCTTGAGGATGATGAGTGCTGATGTTACAGGACCTGTCTTTTCATCGATGTGTTGTGGCAAAGACATCGACCCCAATTTCCAACGAGTGGTCCACTCAGTCGATTTGGGGCCGCCAATTTCCACCGCCAACATATCGATGTCTCAAACATACAGAAAATCATGTCAAACCTGGTACGGTTTCTATGATCAATGGGAATTTCAGGATCCTAAAATGCCCTTACATAGGCCTTATATAGGCCTTATATATGGTATAGGTACCTCCAATTTAGGTTCCTGAGATGGCCATTGATATGATGGGTCTATGATTGTAGGGTCCCTAACGGTCCCTATGTTGTTTCGTGGAATCCCAATGTGGTGACGAAAAAAAAAAGCTGCTCGCTTGGCCTGCGTTTTTTTCAAGGACAGTGGCGGCGGAAGTCAAGCCCCCCGGCGCAGAGCTGAGAACATAGTGGACCATGGTGGAACATTAATACCATATCATAAGCAATACCATATAATTAATAGGTATAAAACCATATAATACCATATATAATTAGTAGCTATTCACAAATTAATTGTATATATATATATACATATACAGTAATTTCTATCCATATTATAAAGTAGTTCATCGATCCTAGAGTCTATGACTCCTTGCATACCAGGGATGTTTTGTGACTTAACTGGATTCCAACCAAGAGACTCCAAACCCTCTATCCTTTTTGATTATTGTTGCCTTTAGGAAACAAATTACTCTCTGGTGATTTAACATAACTATGGAAAATCAGCATTTATAGTGATTTTTCCCATCAAAAATGGTGATTTTCCATAGTTATGTTAGTTTACCAGAGGGTATTTTGCCTGGTCAAAGGCATCTTCTGATGCTTCCCGGCGTTTTTGCACCGGCGCCAGCAATTCTGGTTTGCAGGCTTTTTGAACTAGTTGTTCATTTTACCAGCCGGCGTAATTGCGCACAATTTCGGCACAATAGCCCGTAATTCCGGTGCAATTGCCTGCAATTTCGGTATAATTTGCAGTGGGTCTGTTTTTTGCATAGTTTCCATCTGTAGGTGAAAGGCATTTTTGAAGAATTCCGGCGATTTCCCAAGCTTTCAGCGTAAATGCAACAACCAAACAAATACCAAACAAATGCCAAAAGAGTTTGTACCTATAGACTCTCCAAGTACCCTCAAACTATCTTGAAATGGTGGTTTACCTCTAAGTTGGTATATCATGGTATATCATATATAATTACTGTATATGTATATACATATATACATATTACATGTATGTATTTTAATATAGCATATAGAATCATATAGATATCATATCTATATACTTATAAATATATATTTATATACATACTTTGGGTTAATGGCCACATTTCGTAGCTTTTCAGGTCTTGGTCTATCCCTGCTACGATGAGAAGGCGCACAACCTGAATCAGGTCTGGCGAATACGCGCCGCACGGCTCCTTTGGGAAGCGGAGCATGGGAATCCCATCTGCGTTGATGCCAAGATCACTCATGAGAAGGCGGGTGCCATGACCATGACCTATAGATGTACCTATGAAATATATAATTTTCCATGGCTAAATAACCAAAGGGTATATTCATTACATACATTTCTATGGTGAATCTATATTATATCAATGGCCATTTCAGGAACCGATTGATTGGAGGTACCTACCATATTTTAAGGCCTATTTATCAGGCCTATGTAAGGAAATATCCCCACAATTCGGATAGAATTGGATGATGGGAAAATTGAAACCGGAAACCCCCAAAAAAATTGATGGTAAAAACCCATGGGTTTCCGGTTCAGATTTGCCCGAACAAACCAATCCATTGAGGGGAAGGTCGCTGTTGGTGTCGATGTTGATAGACCACTTCGTAACTAGTTCGATATGTCTAAAGAGTCTAAACCCAACAGTTATTGGAGTTGTAAAGCAACTTAGCCTTGCATCACCTCGGGAGGACTCATAGTCTTGGGGGATGTTGCGAAGCGGTGAGAATGAAGGAACTAAGAATTATCTTCATGTACCTAGCGAACCTGAAACCTAACTTTAGTTTTTTTTTTCTCAGACCCTACGATTTCATAGGTTCTTGGTTCCACTGGTAAACCAACTTTCAAACGGGCACCCGGAAGGTGGATATTCCATGATGTTCCCGCTGGATACCCGTTTTTTGCATCTGGCGACGAATCGAGCGGGTTAGCCCACATCAAATGGCCGAGAAATCAACCAGTTGTTTAATGCGGAAACCGTTCATCAAGCAGTTGATTTTTCTGGCTGATGTACATGAAATATCATGAAATAATGTTCCCCTCATCTCACAACAAATTCCACCCAAGTTTCAAGAATTCTTGGTGAACTGCCGGGCAGTTTGGAGGTTATGATGAAAAACACATGATTTCCAGCGGAAATCATGATTTGATAAACTGGCATACACAAATAACTGGTCCTTCTATCATTCTGTAATCAACACCAATTAAGAACCAGTTAGTCACCAACTCAAAAGATAAAAGCATCATCTCCGTTTTATGATCCACAATTGAACCTTTAAAATACGCTATTTACAAAGTTGTTTTTGAGTAGCACCTTGTATAAACTGATATTTAGATTGACCCACATGGTTTTGGTATCACGTGATATTTACTGATATTTACTATCATCACTACAGTTATGGCCCGAAATACCAGTTAAAAGTACTGAACTAAACCCATTTATGGATATTTATGCTATATGTCATATGTATAATCCCATTGAATTCAACCAGTTATACCCAATAAATGGCCACAACTACCCTCTGGTTATTTAACATAGCCATGGTATAGATGGCCCATAGAAATAGATGGTTTACCTATTAATAGCATGGTGATTTTCCATGGCGAACTGTTAGTCATAACCAGAGGGTACTGTACATGGCAACATTTCCAGAAAGATCTGTTTGATTACCGGAAGGTAGCGGATTGCTCAGTTCATTCCTTTCAGTTGTTATAACAAGTTATAACTAATAAATGGCCACAACTCTATGATCATTCTATTCATCACTTAACTCAGTGATACCCCCACCGTTGACCGACTTGCAGGTCACCCCTCCGCAGGGCGAATATCGCCTGGTGACCTGCGCACCGAAGCCTGGACAGCGCTTGAAGAAACACGAGGAGAATGGCGAGACCTTTCTGTTGAAGGACCAAGATGATGGACGTTCCTTGGGAAAACAAAAGGGTGGAGGTTTCCAGAAATGGATATAGCTGGGTGGTTTATAGTATCCTATTCATATGGATGATTCGCAGCCAGGAAAAGCCCCAGTTTGGGTAGGGAAATCAATGGAAATCATGCGGTAAACAACCAGGAAAAGCCAGAAAAACAAATCACTTATTAATGTAATTGGCTAGAGTTTCTAAGCACCAACATGATATGAACATGAGCATATTTTTCTGGAATTTTGGAGGTCTTGTCGGAGTTTGTAGGGTTTGTTTGTTGATCTTTGTTGATTGCTGGAAATGTTGAAATAATGAGAACCACCCATATGGATTGATGGCCAAGCTTGGAATCAAAGCCAACTTAAAAGTGCAGTTGAGGCCCTAGAAATCCTAGAAACCAGTTAGAAATGGTTATATAAATGGCTAGATCCCAGGCTGCCAGGTAGATACTTTTGTACTTCAATCTTTTGCTATCAATGGCAAAATGTACCAGGGTTCCGGATATCCCAAAGAGTTTTGATCTTCAAAGTAGTATGGCTTTGGCTGAACACAATATGGTACCTCAAAATCCATTGGTTAATCATCATTTTTCCATACTACATGGCAGTGTGTCAAAACCTTGTACCCCTGGTGAACATCAAAATAGCTGGTAAATGGATGTTCATCCCCCTAAAAATGGTATTAATAGGTATTGATCCATAGCCACATGGCCATTTAGAAGGTACAGTATACCCCATTTTCAGACAAAGCTGCACGCCTGATGAGAGCCTGGTTTGCCCAAGAAATGGCTCAAGATCCGGGCAGGATTTGCCGCAAAGTCGAAGATGTCCTGTATCAATTGTATCCCCATCAAGTAGCGGCGATCATTCAACAAGAATCCTCCCAACATAAAACAACCACCAACCAGACACCATGTAAAAAAAAGGGATGAACATGATGAAAACCCATATATATATATATATATTTATTTATTTATTTATTTTTGGTACCAATGGTCCCATTGATGGGACCATTTCGACCATGGGGCTGGAGCCATCGGTTTTCGCCGAGCGGCGCCGGATTGAGGATGAATGTTGCTTTCTCTGAAAAAATCGGGGAAACACACACATTAAAAAACAAGTCCAACGGATTATCATCATGTTCCCTGTTAGAATGGCTCTATATATATATATATACGTATATATATATATACGTATATATATATATACACCCTATTCTCAGACAAGGTCATATAATGAAGCTACGGACGATGTTTGGTGGAAATACACATCTTTGTATAGGATTTCATGTAGGTATAAAATGGTATAATATATATATATATATTATCAAAGGTTGAAGGAGCTTTGAAGCCAAAATTTTGAAGCTGCAGCGCAGCCAGGTTGTCTATCTGCTCTGTCTGGAAATGTACTAGGCCTCTCGGAGAGTCTTGGATAAAAATCAGGCTTCTGGTGTGTTTTAATTGCTGGGGGGACAGGCAGTTTCTGATAATTCGAGACTGCAGATATGATAAACATTGATAAACTAATTCTTACCCAGAATCCACATTCAGGATCGTTGAGCATTTGGACACTTTTTTTCTAGCTTTGGTCTGTGTTTTGGAGAGGTGACATTTCAGCAAATTCCTGAAAGTTGATGCAATGTACCGGTAGGTTATCACATTGAACCGTTTGAACTTTTGAAAAACTATCTACGTAAATGGGTGTAACATGGGGTCACTGATCATTTTATGAAGGATATATGATATATATGTATTATTAGTTCATCACATGGATTCATATGTGATCCATTTTGTTGCATTCTGGATTCAGAACATGATCTCAATATCAGCAAGGTATTTTCACATAATTTCAAATTAATATAGTTTTATTATGTTTTATTCACATCCTAAAGATATGTAATTTCATGTTGTGACTGTGTTTCCTCTAGCCTTTGGTAATTTAGTACAACCACTCGTAACTGTGGAAATCACCATGACATGTTGATGGGCAAATCATCGAATTTTTCATCGATCTCGTTGGGACCATTGCCATAGCAAAGTGTTACCCTCTGGCTATGACTAACATAGCCATGGTTTTTCGATGGCCCATAGAAATAGATGGTTTACCGTTTTTTATAGCATGGTGATTTTTTCCATGGCCATGTAATAAATAACCAGATGGTACAGGTAGTTTACTTGGGGGGAATAAGTTCTTATGTCCCATGAAAATCCTCAGAAATCCCTTTGAATCCCCATGAAGTTTATGGTTAAATCAGTTAAATCATGATCCCAATTTGTATCTCCAAGAAATTTCAAGAAATTCTTGGTTTGTATGTTACCATCTGGTAAACTAACATAGACCCTGAAAATCACCCATGTTTAGAGGAAACTAATCTTCCAACCCCTATCTACCAGGGTCTATGTTAATTTACTGGAGGGTAAATCCCAATTTGTATCATGTTAAATCCCAATTACTGTCAGTCGTCTTTGTCGTCTCTTTTGGGCTGCGAGGTGCACCAACCAACATCGCTGGCGCATTCGCAGCACCAACCAGGGCGGTCCACCTGTGACCCAACTGCAACACGAGGCATCAACGATGTGCATCGATGCTGGCACTGACCAGAAACCCATTCTGTATCCATGTGCCTTGCCGATAGATGAGGATAGATGAGGATAGATGGGGATAGATGGGGATAGATGGGGATAGATGGGGATAGATGGATAGATGGGGATAGCCTTCAGTTGAAATCCTTAGACGGAATATGAGGTATAAGTGATTGTAAGTTGTTAAAATCTGTTTGGAATGAGGACTTGAACCAACAACAATATAGGATAGTTAGATAAAATTAGTGGATAATTCATGGATGATTGCTGGAACATCTTATGGTTTACTCTCTGGTATCATCAAATGTGGCTGGGAAATCCTCGCACTTAAATAGAGGTTTCGAGCTTTTTTCAAGCAAGCCGCGTTTGATTACAAGAGGGTAACAGCCATAAATAGGAGATGAGTGGGGATATGGTATATTTAAAGGGATAGTTATAGCCAAGAATATGATAATCTGATATGTGGCTGAGTCTGAAAAGGGTGATTTCATGGGATTGAGTGGGATTTGAATGGGATACATAACCAACAATACTAACCATGTTAACCATAGTCCATTAAACCCATGGTTAATGTTTGGTTCCCTATACTAACCATGTTCCCTATACTAACCATGGTTACCCTATAATATTTCTGTGTGAACATGGTTAGTAGCCGGGGAACATTGTGATTGAACAATGCATGGAATGGGCCCGCCGGGGCCCGCCGATTTTCAGACTCAAATCGAGATCAACATATGGTTCAACGGAAAGGGAGATTAACCCAGCGGAACATGGTCCACTTCTTGATGATTAACCATTTTGATGATGGGATTTTCACCAATTTAGTGAAATTCACCATTTCTTTTAGTGAAAATTCACCCAGCTAGGAAAATCCACCTTGCTTGGTGATTTACCAAAAGAAAAAAAATATGTGGATTTTCCTGCAAGCCACGTTTGATGACCGGTGGGTAAGAATGAACCACAATCCAGGCGCCAAAGATTTTCTGGGTACTATGAACCATCAAAGCTTGGGACCTACTGTGTACCTATGTTGCTTTGAATATGACTACCCTCTGGTAAGCATACAAAAAGCTATTGAACATGGCCATTTATAGTGAGTTTTCCACTTAAGAATGGTGATTTTCCATAGTTGCGTTAGTTTACCAGAGGGTAAGAAATTTAGCCATGCCGTATCATTTGCCTTGAGATCAAAATGGCACATATCACTATCAAACAGGGTTCAACCAATTTCAGAGAGAATGAGACATGGAATCAAAATGAATTAACCCAATCCCGGAATACCTGTCAGAATAGGATGATGTGACAGACACTGGCAGGTTTATAAACAGAACTTGTTGGACCCGACAAGAAAGGGACGATTTGGATGGGCGAACATGGCGCCACGTTGTCGCTGCTATCCCTTTTGTCTTCCCCGGCTTGTATAACTTGGACTTGTACTAATATGCCATGTGCTATCTCCACATTTCAAACGAAATGCTGCATAGAAATGAGATGACTTGACATAACAAGAAATCCACTGCCATATCTCTATTGGTCAAAACAAAGGTGAACCCTCATATAGCTGGTAATGGATGTTACCCCAAGAATGGTACATTTGTTGAATCATTTGTTACTGTCCAGGTTTTGATCTCCATATCTTTCCACTGTTTTGTCGACCTTGGGGGACTCCATCTAGCTTTGCGCAAGGTCACCAGGGCCGTGTGAATCAGCCACAAAAGTTCCTAGGCACGGCGTGACATTCACGGGAGAGGTTTGGGGCATTTCATGGCTGAAACCGTTCATGCTGGGATGGGGCAAACTGTTCATCGGCGATCCAAAGGGAACGCCAAGCTGAATAAAGTCCTGGGGAATGTCTGACCTACTGACCTACTCTCTGGTGGCTTGATCCAAGTGTTTCTTCAGCCAAGCGCAGCAAGCGCAGCAAGCAGTAGGTAAATTATAATAAATGGCCAGTCGCTGGCCCAAGCCCCGTTGAGACGAATTGAAGAACCACTGGGAATGCCATGTCTGCAGCGCTTGTCTTGCATCATTTCGAATGCTGTATTGGGGGTAAAATTTCCACTACTACCACACAAAAAACAAAATGGGACACAGTTTTTGATTGTGAGTCACCCCAAGAGTTTCACGGGAGCATCTGAGAGAAACACGCCGGTTTGCACGGCATCTTCACCATTTACAGATGATGTCTGGTGGCTAAGGTAAGGAGTAATTAGATGATTTGTGGATAACTGGCAATGAAGATATCATGCATTGGGAAAGCCTCATGAATCTCAACTGCGCCCATATAGAGTATAGTTACAATCCACTTACACTAATACCACTTTTAGAATATTCTAGATACTTATAGGCTTATAGGTGTATATATATATATGTATAATATATATATATCCCTTGGTTACACAAATTATTGATCGTGATAAACACATGTCAACCCAATATTGTTCCCTTTTAAGCTGGTGTCCACCATTGGTTCAAGTTGCTTCACAACCCCCCATTAAAAACAAGTTCGATATACCATCAGAAGCAGTGAAGCTGTTCTTCAGAAAAACACCTAACTTGTCTAAGTAGTAACTTAGTGACTTTTAAAATGTTGTTTGCTTTTCATCACCATTACCCTCTGGTAAACTAACATAACTATAGAAAATCACCATTTTTAATGGGAAAATCCACGAAATAAATGGCCATTTTCAATAGCTTTTTGTATGTTTACCAGAGGGTACCATGACCGTTCTTTACCATTGACGTCAGGTTTTTCGGCCCAGGTTCGCTGTCCTGGAGGAGCCCGGCTGGATTCAGAGTCCCCTGACCTGGGGCGACAACGGTCGGCGGCGGACCTTCGAGCTGTGCCTGGATCGTCTGCCGGTGCAGCAGCAGGGTGTGGCGATCCAGGAGTGCCAAAAGGTGAGGGCTGGAGATGGGTATGGCTCAGTTTTTTATATATATATATATATATGGGACCACAGATTGACTTGGAAAAAAACTTTCTATAGTGACTAATTATAGTGTTCACCAACTCAGGCTCAAAATCGAAGCCCCTTTTTTTGGGACAGGTTGGAGTGATTGGAATGTATCTGTATTAGTAGGAAATCTATATGTTCAGTAGGAAAACGCCCAATGACTTGACCAAAAAAAAATCCAGATGGGTGAACATCAGGCTACTTGAAGGGTGCACTTGGGACGAGCTTGATGGATACTATGACTCCTATGACTATGACCCATAGGATCCATGGTGCTGGTATATACGGTAACATTTGGGGTATATTGATGGTAAATGTTACCATATATGGCATACATGGATCCTATGGGTTATGACTATGGGATAATCCCGGATTGGTTAAATGGTGATTATGGAAGTTGCAGCCAGAACTTCATGGCGATTTAACCCAAAAACATGGTTGATATTTCCAATGGAGCAGTGATTTTGGGAGGCGAGTAGCCGAGGCGCCAGTCAGGTTGTTGTTGGAGCCAATGTGCTTGGTGGTTTCAAGCATGGAATACACACATGTTGTCATTTTTACTGCATATGCCTTTTTTTGGAAGGATCGAACATCATGAAAGCATGGTAAACAACAAATTTCAGCTGCCGGGAATGTGCTCATATATATATATATATAGATATGTTGAAGAATGTTGAGACCAAACTTGACTAGGATCCTACTTCTCATTCAAACCTCTACTAGGAGGAGGTGCCGTACCAGTAAGAAAACTAGTTTAGATGATAATACCATAAATCATAAATCCTAGTTATTGGAATTATAAACCAACTTAGCTAACTATGGGGCAACACCTTCTAGGATACAAATGGACTTGGATCCAATTGAAGCGTCTGATACACCCAGCTATAAGTGGTACTTGCATGGGCCATGTTTTTTTTTTAAATAAACTTAGCAAGTGAATTATATCCCCAGACATCACTGGGTTGCTATTCCCTATGGATCCAAACACCTCCTGAGAAGGTACCAAACACACCCCAGTCATCATACCCCAGTCCCACTTAGAAGGTACGGCTGGATCCATAGGGAAGAAACCCACTAATTTTCATATAAACCCATATAAACCCACTAAATCCATATAAACCCATATAAACCCACTAAATCCATATAAACCCATATAAACCCACTAAATCCATATAAACCCATATAAACCCACTAAATCCATATAAACCCATATAAACCCACTAAATCCATATAAACCCATATAAACCCACTAAATCCATATAAACCCATATAAACCCACTAAATCCATATAAACCCATATAAACCCACTAAATCCATATAAACCCATATAAACCCACTAAATCCATATAAACCCATATAAACCCACTAAATCCATATAAACCCATATAAACCCACTAAATCCATATAAACCCATATAAACCCACTAAATCCATATATAAATTTTCATGATCCTTTTCGGGATACTCCATTGACATAGTGAACTCAGCCACGTCAGACCCGCGCTGCTGGCGTGGAGTGGGAAGTGTTGAACCCCTTCGTCCCCCTGGAGCGGCAGCTGTGGGAACATGCCGCGAAGCCGCCCAAGGGGACACCTGTCTTGGGCGGCGACATGGCTCCGCCATGAAAAAACGAGCCGGCGCTGGAAACTGTGGGGACTTGGATCAATGGTAATTTCAGGATCCTAAAATGGAGGTACTGTACCATATAAGGCTATATTTTCTGGGGATATTCCCTGAAATTTAGGCCTGAAAAATAGGCCTTATATATGGTAGGTACCTCCAATCAATCGGTTCCTGAAATGACCATTGATTGGGGGTGAGGCCAATTCTGGCACCTGTGTATTTCCCAGTTATAACTGGGCGAGAAAAAGAAAAACTTACCCATGTGCTTTTTGAGTGGGCTGAAAGGCCCAATTACCTAGGGATGAGTCACATAGTCACCAAGTACAAGGCGGCAACAAGCAAGCATTTGATGAGGACATGTAATCGGGATACACTGGGGGTATTGTATATATATATATATATGTATATGTATATTGTAAGTGGTTGGTGCTTTCAAACAGTGTTGAGTACCATATGCCTTTGGTATATTCTTATTATATCTCCAAACAATCTTAATATCTCTCGCAACATATGTTAATATTCAAAAGTACATCTAGAGATATCTAGAGTAGTGTTTTTTTTTGCACTCTATCCACAATATTCCCCAATTAACATATGAAAATGTCGATCCCCAAGCGATCCAAGTTTTTCCCGCAGAGCTGGCTGAAAACCCAGAGATTTTCGCTGAGGTCCTACGGCTGGGAGGCGGACGCTTCCAAAGTGCGCCGGGGAGGCGAGTGTTAGCCGCTTTTTCGGAAGATGGATATGGCGAGTTGAAGTTTTCAGGAGATCATGTGTTGTTTAAAGGATATCATTGATATCATTGATATCATGTTTTTTTTTTCAATGGATATCATATGATATCATGTTTTTTTTTTCCGTTGTGTCCTATAAATTGAGCATTCGGTGGACCTTGCAGACATTGTCTCCAGCGCAAGGACCTGAACTGGCACCCTTGGATGTACCATTGACAGTGATGGGGGATATTGGCTTCGACCAAGATAGGGGATAGAACAGAGAAATGCCATAGTTACGTGGTTCCCGCGTGAAGAGGTTGGCCTTCTGAAGGAATAAATGGGCCAAGGTTCAAATGTTTCAGATTGTTTCAGTAGAAACCAGAAGAATGTTCCAAATGTTCATGTGTTAAGGATTGTTAAGGGCTTCCACTGTCAAAGCGAATCAAAAAAAAAACACGTTTTTTTCGCCATGGCCAGGTTTCACCCATGGAATGGCACCTGCGTGTGGGATGAGGACCATCCCACGTTCAAAAAAACTGGACTTGGGAACCATGGATTGGTTGAAGGGAACATATTTTAACCGGAAAAACCCATGAAAACCCCTATGATCTTCATGGGAAAATCGATGGTTTCCGAAGATGTTCCCGGAACAACCAGTCCATTGAGGTGAACATTTAGAAAAATCCCAAGGATTTTTGGGAACTGCAACTTAGCAAAACTGATGGTGTGAAACACACCACGAAAAAATCGATGCAATGCCGAGTTTTTGGGCCTCTAGATCTCTAGTAAACCCGGTAAAGTGTACCTAATTCATCCTTGCAATATATCATTGGTTCGCTTAAATACACTTAGATCCCCCACTTACGAGAACAAACATGGTTTTTCTTAAAGATTATAAGATATTATAAGATTGGTATTTCACACATTCAAAAGGAGTGTGTATGTTTTTTTCCGCGTCACACATGTGCATCTCAATGCATCTCAAGCCATAGTTTGGTACGTTTACTGATTTTGTTTTGGGTACTGTGAGGAGTGATTATTAACCATTAACCATCATTAACCACTATTATTGGTATATAATTCCATTATAAAGATGATTATCCCATATAATAACCATCAACTTGGTGTTCAATGGGATGTATCTTCAATATTTCACCCATGTCTCTCTGAAATGACTCAGTCCCCTGGTCCCGAGGAGTTCAGCCTATGCCTTGAGGCCGTCGGCGGCTTATCTCACCGGTTTTGGTCATTGTTCTTCCCCAGCAGTCTATAGATATACGTATGAATAAGTCGAGGTTTCCGAAAACGGGAGTACCTTACTATAATGCATGTTTTATAAATGTGGATGGAACACCCTATTAAATGAATGATTTGCAATGGTACCTCCATTTTCGGAAACCTCCAAATATATATATATATATATCGGTATACCTACAAGTTATAAGGTATATATGTGTGTTGGCACCACAGGTTTGGCAACTTCTTTGCTAACCGCAATGCTGAGGCTTCAGACCTTGCAGAAGCTACCATGCAGGTGGAGGTTGGCTAGCCTCGCAGGGGACCAATATCATTAGTGAAGCGTATTTGAAACTTGTAGAAATATACAACAAAATGGTGTGACATGGTGTGACTGTACATCCAATATCTGACTATTTGTTGGTTAAACCCTCCATTTGCTGCTTGGGCCGCCCCAAGTTTCATATGCCATCCGAAAATGGGGGAGATACCACCCCAAAATTCAGCATCTTTACCAGAGACAGTATTTTTATGGTGAAGCAGTAAAAGAGATGGCGTACCCTCCGGTAATTTAACATAGTCATAGGAGATATATGGCTTTTGGCCTTTTTTTTTCGATGATTTATCTCCCATCGCCAACTATTAAACTACCAGACGGTAACTCCCCATTTATATCCCAATTATATCCCCATGTTTGGTGGTTGAACCGGTTAAATCCCTATTGATCACCATAAAATCACATTAGAATCACAACATGTGAGTCCCGTTGAACTCAATCACCTTCAATCCCCTGGTTGGTGACTGGAACCATGGAATTTTGAATGACTTTCCAGAAACAGTTGGGAATGTCATCATGGTGATTCATGGTGATTCATAGGGAATTCACCAACCAAAATGGGGGTATTAATAGGAAATACCCTCTGGTAATTTTCTATATATTGGGAATGGAAAATCATCCCAACTGTTACGAACTAACTCCATCATTTTTCAGAGTTGTAGGCGAAAAACCACCAACCAGCTATTCACCAAGCAATTAGCCGATGTGCCCCGTGACCTGCACCCTGGAGGTTCTGTCTCTGGACCGTGGTTGGCTAGGCAAGGTTTTCCACCGATGCCGGCCATAAACTTATTGCTGTGCCATGTTGGATTGCAGATGTCTTTTATAAATATTTACCGATATATACAGATAAATATATATAGTACTATACAATGTGCGATATATTAGATATTTCTATTGACAATATAGAAACTGTATTATTACTGTAAAAAGTCACAACCACTTGATGTGACAGTCTTGCAAACAGAGTTGTATCGAATGTTGTGTATGGTTGTATGACACATATCGTTGTTGGAGTCCGTTTTGTGGGGCCAGCTGTGGGGGAACCGGAGAAATGTTGCGATGCTCCTGGAAATCACAGTCTTACTGGATTATTTTAACTATTTTACACTGGATGAATACACAGATTATAGCATTAATATCCCGCATGGTTTTTCCCCAGGGATATCTATACAATGTGAGGCCCCCCAGTTATAAGTTGGTTTATAAGCCCCAGTAACTAGTTCGTTATAAGTACCATAAACCATAGTTATTGGAGTTATGTGCACCAACTTAGCTATCGAACGGGGGCCTCACATTGTAGAATTTACATGTAATTTTTGGGTCACCACGAGCCACGTGCCATGTGCATTTTGCGAGTTCTGCTCGCACCTTTTTTCAGGTGGAGAAGTAGCCACACAGCTGGCGACAGGACGTGCTTCCCCAAGAAACAATGGTGGATGGGATGAAATCGCTAGGGGGAGTCATAGCTGGGATTTCATCCCCTACATCCACCATCATCCACCATTAGTTTCCTGTGAAAAGTTTGATTTTCTCACGTCTCAGTTGGACATTTTCCGCTGAAAGGGATGGTTTCTCGAGCAGAAACGTACCCGGCCTGGTAAACTAACATAACTATGGAAAATCACAATTTTTGATGGCTAAATCAACTATTTCTATGGCCATTTTCAAGTTCGCAAACTGTTAGTTTACCAGAAACGCAATGGTTTGATGTGACTTTTTTCATCTGAAAATCCAAGGGGAATCCTGAATCCAAACACAAGACGGACTCCGAGCCATTCCATTGCTATTTCTGGTGGGTCATTCAAGTCCCTTAGTTTTAAGAAATGCCCATGTCGTTGTCGCGATATGTATTGTTCCTGGAAGCAAGTTGGATGGTCACTAATCACTGATGAAGGGATCAGTAGTGGCAGTAGTGGTGTCATTTCATTTCGGCCCTTTCGATTGGATGTGATGGGACAAGGATACGACATATACGTAAGTATTATATGATGTCCAATGATACCATATATTATGCAATACACAGATATTAGGAAGTGGATAAGTGATTCATACGTAGGATATTTATAATATCTTATTCACATTACTGAGAACATCTAATATCCAGTGGATAAGTGAAGGGTGTCTGCACTGTCCTTCTGTAAGGGGAACCCACAAGGTGGGGTCCCCGTTGACGAAATCACTAAGTTGGTATACCTATAACTAGGATTAACTAGGCGAATTTTAAGGTTTATTGTAGTAGTAGATAATGGTAGATATATCATATCTATACTAGTTGGTTACGACTATATTGGTGTGTGCTGGATTTGGATAATTATTGGTTTATGGTAGATATAATCTGATATAACTATATAAGTATCTAATTACAGGATGGGGCCCCCGTTCGAGTTCGCGTTCAGTTGCCTGGCTGAATTCTATGGTTTATGGTAGATATAACGAACTAGTATTCATGGGCTTTATACTATGGTTTATGGTTAATCATATAGTTAATGATAGTTCATATCAAATATATACAAATTAGAAGTAATTATGCTATAAGCTATAGATAAAGCATATGGTTTTCATGTGCTTTATAAATCGACATTCACATCACTGGGGGGGCACCACGGCACCATCCTGTGGCGCTCACCTTGTGAGATCCCGAAAAAAGGAGTCCTCCGACTCAGTTGGATCCAACGGACACGAGGTGAGCGCAGACGATGTTCGGTCAATCTGGGAAGGGTATTTGAATACTTCAATATTTTGCACTAAAGATATGTATAGATATTTATATATATATATATATGTATGTATCTTCTTTTGTAAATACATGTGTATATATATAAATCAACCAACCAAGGCTTGTTTTTATGTATCCAGGACAAGCCATGCTTTGATCCTCAGAGGAGCAACAAGAATGAGTATAGAATGAGTAAAGGTACCAATTGTGGTAACGGACAATTTTTTAGAGGTTGAAATGAAGCGGTGGTTACTCCGTAGTTATGTAGTTGTAGGAGGTAGACATTGAGATTTCGATTTGTCAAATGCAAAACAACACTTGTAAGAGTATCAGCGTCTTTGTTTTGTCTTTATTCAGGGTCTAGGCCTAGGCATATCTTAAGATACTATGGGTTTGTCCCGGAAATGAGAGGTAATCTTCCCAAGAAAAGCAACTTTCAATATAGAAAATTACTTTACTTCGAGTTATCCCCACCATGACATTTATACATTTTGTTACTGGCAAATCTTCTGGCATTCTATCTGACATACCTTCTGGCATTTTATCTGGCATATCTTCTGGCATTCTATCTGGCATATCTTCTGGCATTCTATCTGGCCGTTGAGGTCCAGCGGTGCACACTGAGCTGGGAAGGTCCCAGGTTGAGGTCCAGCGGTGCACACTGAGCCTGAGCTGGGCAGGTCCCAGGTTGAGGTCCAGCGGTGCACACTGAGCTGGGCAGCTCGCAGGTTGAGGTCCAGCGGTGCACACTGAGCTGGGCAGCTCGCAGGTTGACGTCCAGCGGTGCACACTGAGCTGGGCAGCTCGCAGGTTGACGTCCAGCAGTGCGCACTGAGCTGGGAAGTTGGCGAAGAGCTTGGCGACGAGTTGGCAAGGTTGGCAAGGCGGAAGTGGAAGTGGAAGAGGCGGAGGCGAGGAGGAGGGCGAGGAGGACAGCTAGTCGAGGAGGAGGAGAAGGAGGAGGCGGAGGAGGAGGAGGAAGTGGCGGGCATGCGCTCTGATAAAATCTAACAACCCTCACCTGGCAGGTGGGGAAAAAACACACATAGATTATCTCATAGAATGATGCTGACAGAATTTGAAGTTCGATTGCCAATTTACCCTCTGGTAATTTGACATAACTATGGAAAATCACCATAGAAATCGTGAATTTTCCCATGAATAGCATGGTGATGTTCCATCGTTTTTTGTAGGTTTACCAGAGGGTATCTGACAAAGGATGACATCCTGCGATAAAACCCATTAGATCCCATTAAACCATCATAAATTCCCATAAATTCCCATGAATAGCATGGTAAATCCTGGGATTACAAGCAGCATAGACTGCCCATCTACCAAGTGGATCCAACTGGATCCAATTAAAATGTTGGTTTACCAAGATCTCTCCCGGTCGCCGAGGTCATTTCCATCCCCGCATGCGCTTGCCCTTGAAGCGCAGCAAGACGACCCGCGCCTGGACGGGACCCGTGGAGGTGCTGAGACGGGGAATCTGTGGCGCCTCGCAGTTGCTCATGGATGAAGATATATACATAATATAATATATATATATATGTATATGTATATGATGATCATATTATATATATATATGTATATATGAAATTATATCATATATATATATAAATATATATATATATATATTATGATTCAGAAAAACCGTGGTGAGCAACAACTTTCAGATTTGCTTCGGGTGTTCGGTGTTTGTAGATGTTTTCCCTTCAAATAACTTTGGGATACGAGTTCGAACTGGTTTAGTTCATCCCATTAGATGCTAGATGGTCTTACTGCACTTACTCCTCAGTTTTTTCTCCACTTTTGTTTGTTTTCATTGGGTTGATTTAAGATTAGTTAAAAGAACAACAAAAACTTGCAAGAAACAGTTTTTCCCAGCAAATCCAGGAGTGTCCTGTAGATGTCCTTTGAATAAATTGTCTGGCTGCATCAGCTGGGTTTTTCCAGCATATCCAAGGCTTATTGGGGTCCCACATTGATAGTTCATCATTATTTTCCCTATTAGAAACACATCAATAACCATGATTGGAGGTATACAAACCATTTCCAGATACACCCAAGTACTATATATCCTGTTGTTGGTCATATTTCCCAGAGTATATCATGGCATAATACATAGTATACATAAATGCTGTCAGGCCCATTGTATATACATACAGTATATATATACATATATATATATATATGTACAGTACCAAAAAAGATAATAATAATAATAGTAATATTAATAGTAATCGTAATAATAATCATATTAATAATAATAATTAACAATAATAATATTAATGTATATATATACATAATTAGTATATTCACATTGTTACCACATAATGTACCTATATCCCCGTTTGAATCCCCATGACATTTTCCATCGCAAGTTGCACCTTGGGATCTACGTCGTGGGCCCTGGCGATTGTGGCCCCGAACCGAGCTGGTGGGCTAGCCTGGAGATAGCCTGGAGATAGCCGAGATAGAAATGGGGAGGTTGAAGCATCATAGCATCATAGGGATTTTTCATGGCATTTAATGGATGATTCATAGGGATTTCATGGGATTTTTTGTCGGAGAAATGGTGATTTTGATATATGTTCATGGTGATTTCATGGAATTTTCAGGGGAATTATAGGTGATTTATGAATATCTACGGGGGATTTATGGGAATCTTAAGCATTAAATTTCATGGGATTTCATGGGACTTGGACTTTTTATGCTGAGTACTGTAGGGATTTTTCATTGCACTTTTCATGGGAATCATCCGGTTTTAGATATGAGAATGTGATCTGAAGATATCAAAAACTTGGGCTTACTGTTATCAATGGCCATTTCAGGAACCTAAATTCCAGGTACCTACCATATATAAGGCCTATGTAAGGCCTATGTAAGGGAATATCCCAGCAAAATATAGCCTTATATAATATTTTAGGATCCTGAAATTCCCATTGATGTTATGTTTGATAATAGGTGACATAGCTGACATGTTTTCTATGGAACACGGGTCATGTATATCCAATTGGAGGGCATACCCGGGCCCAAGACACACCCAGGTCAGGCTTGGGATTCACCCAAATTCATCCGTCAGCTGTCGAATCTGGAAATACGTGGACCATGCTTGGAGGGAAATCAGCAGAAAACATCAATAATTGTATATAACTATTATATACATATATATGTTAACATATAGCATATAACATACAGTATTTCATTTAGATCAATATTTTAATGTTGAGCGTAGCTACAGCCGACTCTTTTTCTATCCGCCATGATTTGCTAACCATCATCCAGCATGCCGGGTACAGCCGCCAACAACTGGGATATGTTCTGGAATGTACCCCTCTAGACATGCCGTGTGCCTCCAGCTAATTGACATGAATATGGAAAGTCAACCACGCCCAGATAAAAAAATTGCACGCAAACCATGTTTTTTTCACGAGTAATTCATAGCGTTGGTCATATCACCATTTTATCACCATTTTATCCCTTTTGTATCCTTATAAATCTCCATCAGCTGCTGGTATTGTCATGGATCTGCTCCATTTCCCAACTAGCAACCTCCATATAGTAGGGATTTTCCCGCCAGCCACGTTTGATTACCGGGAGGGTACAACATCAGATGTTCCCTTCATTGTCCATTCATTATCCATTATTTATCCCATTATTGTTGCTTAAATTCTCCATTTATCACCATGATGAATGTTCGATTTGCCCAATACCTCAAATTAATAGAAATTCCTAATATCCCATTATCCCATTGCTATCCCTTTAATGTGGGTAAAACAATGCCATAAACCATCCCCCCAAATCACCATGTTTATAGGTGGTATAAACCATTCCCAGATGGGTGGTTTATGATTGTTTACCACCGTTGTATCCGATGATTTCCATGCCGTGTCAGGCTGATTTTCCATGGATTTTCCAAGGTTTTCCACTGGTCCACCGCTCAGGATGACAAGCGTGGGGCAGCTCCGTTGGGATCTTCTCACGAAGTCGATTCACTCAGTATGGCTATCCTAGGCTACCCGGATGGCTAGGGTACCCTAGGCTGGTTCCCTAAAGTAGCTGCTTAATCGTACTGGTTAATGCTTACTGGTTAATATTTCCCCATCATATTCCCATTGTTGTTGGTTTATACCCTATTAACAATTACTAATCAATATCGGTTCAGCTTGTTGATTCACCCAACATAGCCGGTGACACCCAAATGAGCTGGTGCTTTTGGCTGATTTCACCAGGATCATCGAATTCACTTGGTCGAAAGCAACATTTGGCGATGTCATGAACAACGCCAACAATGCCAGTTATAAATCAATTATAAATTATAAATACCAGTTATAAATCAGTTATAAGTTTAACATAGTTTAACCAGTTATAAATCTAAATACATGTAGAGTTCCGGCTCTTTACCAGTTATAAATCAGTTATAAGCCCATTGATGGAATGACAAGCCTAAACACCGAGGCCCAACTTGAGCAAGAAGCGACAGGCGCGCTGCATGATTTGCTGCATGATTTTACATGGGAAGAGTATTGAAACTATGGGGGTAAAACCGCATGTTTATAGATGCTTGATACTTGGAAGTTCTAGGCAAATTGATTTTGGATGATTTTGATGAGAACATTTTGGAATTGCTAGATATGTCAAAGAATAATTTGTAGCCTATAGCATATTATAGCTAATTATTCCCCTGTTGAGGCGGTTGTAACCTAGTCACCATTTACACATCTCCAGTAATCATCCAAGTATGATGTGGAGAAGGCTCATCTTGCATATCCTAAGAAACGGTGAAACTCACATTACCATGTTTTGACTATGGAACATATGGCTTTGTCTGGACATAGGGTATACCCCCAATTATAGCCGTTTTATAGGGAACATGATGATAATCCGAAGGATTTAGGGGAAAACTATTTTCAGACAAACAAATATAGAAATATCTTAACCAACAGCCATAGTTCTGGACAACAGATCCGATCTTTCATTTCAATATCCACTAAGATCTCATAAGATGCCACTGGTCAATCATCATTGGCCCTATTCAAATAGCCATTTGGGGTGCTATACCATATTTTCAAACGTACACATCCATTCCAGCATTGTTGGACCAATTGGATATAGTTGTAAATAAGTTCAATATCACCAACACTGGCAGTTACAACTATGCTATTACGTATATTTACCCAACTTATAAACATAAATACCAACAAGTCTATGTTAATTATATATGGGTCGAAATTGAGTACTTCAATGAATGGATCATTGAAAATAGACTAAGCCAATATGTGGTGCCAGGTCCTTATGACCCACATCCCAACTTGACCATGGCAGGTCCGTGAACTGCCAAGCAGCGCTTGCTTGGAGTTTACCATGGCCCCTTGGAGGAGACACAGCAAAAACGTTTTGGTGGAAGGACATGGATTCAAAACGCGTTTTCCGAGGAAAATCGACCCTTTGGTACACTAACATAGCTATTGAACATGGCCATAGAAATAGTTGATTTATGTTGATTTACCCATTAGAAATGGTGATTTTCCATAGTTATGTTAGTATATCAGAGGGTAGGTTTTAAGGGTTGTGTCTGAGTGTCTGAAAATGGGAACCAGAAAATAGTAAGCTGTTCATCCGGTTTAGGTTTTAATGGGCAAAATGACCAATGATGAAGCAAACAATACCAACCATGGGATTTTGGTGTACCCTAGGTTCAGACAAAGCATGACAAAGCTAAGCAACTATTTCCCGCATTTTAATCCAATATGTTCATATGGATTATGCCACGTGAATCTCACCTATCATTCTACCAGTCCTATATTTGAAAGAAAACATCAATCATTCTACTTCGAGTGATCTCCGCCAAGTGACATATATTTTGGCATATCATTCGACATATTTGCTGACATGTCATGTTTACGTTGTCAATTTGTTCAACAATCAGATATCAATCAGATATCACCCTTAAAATCCCCTGGTTTCTAAATCATTTCGCCCATTCAAACATATCTCAAGCCATTAAAAAAAACTGTGTACCTTTGATCAGCAATCCATACGTCCCCAAAAAAAAACACTGAGGTGGCCCTATGGGACCTTGTGATCCCGGATTGGAAGGCGCGGCGCGGCAGCTGGCACGGCAGAGTTTTGATTTTGGATGGGGATTTCATGGAAAAATGATGGGAATTTTTGATGAGGAACCAGGGGAATGTATAACCAACCATAGTTCAATATATAAGAATTTCATAATTATGTGATTTATTTGTATTTGGGTGTGTCTGAAAACGGGGTATGCCGCGGTATGCCCAATTAAAAAGAGAAACTGATGATCAACTGCTGGATTTTTGGGGTATGTTCAGACAAACCCATATTGGTTTCTGGTGGGTGTCTGAGATTGAACAAGAATACACCTTGCATTCTGGGGTATGGACATGTCGTTTTTTGGGTTCTCATCTGGACTTTTGCGAAAGTATGTATTTGAGATGATTTGGCAAACTTAGCAACGTGGAACTTGAGCGGTTTTGCCGCCCTTTTCCATTGGAACTGGGTAGCTCGGTGAAACTGGGCTCACGAACCTGAAGAAAAATATGGTCAGGATGCACAGTTTTTGTATTTGTCGTGTTGATGTGTCAACTTTCATAATTCAAGGAAATAAAGGAATTACACGGAAACAAGGTTTATACAGTATTTATGAGAGTTAAACCCCTCCCCTTGTTTACGAAAGTGAATAATTATGATGCGCAACTATGTGCTTTCCAGAGTGTGTCTAAATTCATCGCCCACTAGACTCATTCTTCGCTGTTGATTGGTTTTCTGCACGGGTACCCCCCGAACTGGATATCAGGTTCCAATTTTGGCAGTTCCCAGTTCCCAAGCTTTGACGCCATAGGCTCTCTCGGTCGATGATTTGTTGGTGGATCTCCACTTTCTGGTGGAGGCGCGCGCACGAATCGGATGAATTTCCCATAAAATCAGGGGTAACATTGGGCAATTTACCATCTGGTAATTTGTTACATAACGAACTGGAAAATCACCATTGAAATAGAGATTTTTTCCCATGAATAGCATGGTGATTTTCCATAGTTATGTGACAGTTTACCAGATGGTATTTTTCAAATTTGGTTTTCAGAAGAGAAGTAGGGAAGTGGAAGCTCAAACAGATGCTCTTTCTCCTGGCGTCTCCAGATGTTAAATCCTCCTCTGGGACCGGGGCTATCGGGTCAGGAATACAGAGCTGATCAAAGCTGAACGTACCATTTGGGGATGGTTGGAACCACCCATCAAAATGGTGATTTTTAGGGACAGTTTGTACAATGTGAGGCCCCCAAGATAGCTAAGTTGGTTTATAACTCCAATAACTATGGTTTATGGTACTTATAACTATAGTTACTGGAGCTTATAAACCAACTTATAACTGGGGGCCTCACATTGTAGAGTTTACGACATAAACATCACCTATATACATCTTTCTGTTCCCAGCCTCTGCAGCCTCTGTTCATCCTGAGATGGCCATATTAGGCCAGGGTTAACCCAGCGAATTGATCTCTGGGTTTCACCCAGCATTTGCGCTTTGCTGCCGCCGTGACACGCCTTGATGGTAGCCGCATGGCCATCTCCGGTGAGTGGACTCCTTGGACCGGTAAAGTTCTATGACTGTATGAGGTACCCGGCCTGGTAAACCTACAAAGAACTATGGAAAGATCCACCGTGCTATTCATGGGAAAATCAACTATTTCGACTGGGCCATTTTCAAGTTCACAAACTGTTAGTCATTACCAGAGGGTAAGACGCTTTCCATAGCTACGCATTGTTGATTGATTCTATCATGAATAACATGATGATTGCATCCCAGTCAGGACCGAAAACTCTGTGACAGCCTCCACATAAATCTCGAGGAGTGTTGCTTACTTAATCTAATTGCTAATGGCCCACTTATACCATCTTATACCACAACTATTTAATTGAATTCCATCATTAAATATTGTCTGATGATGTTTCAAAACCACAAATTTCTCCATCATGTTTGTTTGCTTCCAAAAATTCGTAGAAGCCCAGGTGCATAAAGCCATCTATACGGAGGTTGTTATTTCACCCATCACCACGGAGCGTCCAGTTTGGTCAGACGTCAGGCACGGGGCGATGTGGACGAACTGGCTGGGCTGCCCTGGGGCCCCGGGCGGGGCCTGGGATCCAGACGTGATCCAAAGGGGGCACTGAAGCAGTGAAGACGTGAGATACGTGAGACATGTGGCAACAAATAAATATGCAAAAATGTCATCACAATATGCTGTGAAGATATTTTTGGGAGGGCAGGAAAGGAAGGAACAATTGCTGTAGTTAAAAAGCGGAGATTCATGGCATTCAAACTGATGAATTGCTCATGGCTGACTTGGATGTTGTCGAGGTTGCCTGTACCTTTCCGGCTCTTAGTAACTGTAGCTCTCATTTGTTACTGTCACATGTTAGCATTTTCAAACACGGGTTGCGAGCCTTCTGTCTCTATCTAAGGAATGTACAAGTGGTTTTGAAACCTCAGGCTGTAATTGGGTGTTTGGGTTATATGTTTTTGGCAATCCATTGTTTAGTCCTTTTCATCCCACACTTGCTTGGCAATAATTGATCCTGGTCAAATCCACTTTTTTTTTGCTGGGTCACTACGAGCCCCTGTTTTTTCTTTTGTGTGTAGTTTATTGTTCTAGCTGATTCCATATGGGTTGCAACTTTGAGACTTAAGGCCTGCTAGTTTCCAATCATCGTCTAAAATCAATTAAAAGCATCCAAAATTGGGGATTTGATGATCACATATGATCACTGATAAGTCTCAAATCTAAATTCCAATCAAGTTCTATCAAGACTGGGTAAAGTCGCAATCTAATTACGTCCATTGTTTCATGATGTTCATGACAATTCTCAGAAGTTCGTCACGTCCCCAGGTGCTCCTGGAAGAATCTATGGAGGTGATGCAGGCCTGCAATCCCTGGGCTTTCACCAGCAAAGAATGGGTTGGTTAACATGGGCCAGGAAAGAATGGGATACCCGGCCTGGTAAACCTACAAAAAACTATGGAAAGATCCACCATGCTATTAATGGACAAATCCACTAATTCAATGGCCATTTTCAATAGCAAACTGTTAAATTACCAGATGGTATCATGGGGATGTCAAACAATCATTTTATGGAGGCCAAAAAATGTTGGCGGATTCAATGGGACATGATGACATGATGCGAAGGACCAGATGACCAATGGGGCAAACATGATGGCATATGATTGCTTTGTCTTAAAATGGAGGATTGACGTCCGGTTAGATCATGTCAATTTCAGATACTCTCTGGTAATGACTAACGTAGCTATTGAAAATGGTGATTTATAGTGGATTTACCCACTAATAGCATGATGATTTTCCGTGGTTATTTCTATGTTTACCAGGCTGGGTGTTTCAGTGGGAAAGATTGATGTCTCATGAGATGGACAGTTTGGCAAACCAAATTTAGAGACACTACCGTTGAATTGGGGAATTGGGGATTGGTCATCGAGAACACTGGAAAGTTGACCAACACAATACAATTTACGGGGAATGGACCAACAAAGAGTGGAATATCATGGGGAGGTATGGGGAGATTGTAATCAACCATTTGATGCTTGATGTTAACATCAGGCACCATTGTAATCCATCAGCAAACATGTTGATATCAGCAACGATGGGGAGTTGAGCAGCAAGAATGTGAGATGAACCAACGCTATATGTCCTGCTCATGTGCGAATCCGATCCACTTGTTACAGCAAGTTATACTATAATTAGATGTAATTAGATTATTTATTTCTATCATGTTGTCCATCATTAAATTATACCAGTAATGATATTACAGTCTATCATTGTCAGATAGTCTTAAGTATTTATATGTTGATAGATAGAAACTCGTCCTAAGAGTTGACTGAAAAAAAACAATTGACAATTGAAATTGATAAGAACACACAACTCTCCGGTGGTGAATGCAGGGAGCGATTCTATGCTGTAGGGATCCAGTGGTATGTTGGTCCTCAGAATCTCAGCTACAATCAGATTTTTCCAGCACATGATAGATGTGGACTGGGAAAACAGCAACCAAATTTAGAGTTTCGAAATCTATTTCAGTAGTATGCTTAAGTATTTAATCACCCATAGGATCCATGTATGCTATATATGGTAACATTTACCATCCATATACCCCCAATGTTAGCATATATACCAGCACCATGGATCCTATGGGTCATGTTAATCCCATCATAATTTTTGTCCCATCAACGGAACTCCCCCTGGTGCTGACGATTCCTCGGATGATGAGGCTTCCTCCAAGTGGCGAGAGATGTATCCAGCACCGGACAGTAAGGTGGGATCTTCTTGGATCATTCGGCGCATTTGGAAAGCCCAAAATTGGAAGCCAGGGTTGATAAAGTTGATAACCCCCCTTTTTGTGTTTAGATCTTGAATTATCTTGATATATATTGATATATTGATATGGGCACCAATAAATTTGATATATTTTCCATTGATATTGATATTGATAAAGATATTTAGATAATTTTCGATATTGATATGGGTACCAATTAGTACTGTATCACTATTCGTAAGTGCTTCGCCAACGGTGATGATAGGCTCCCAACTCCTGGGATATCATGGTGCTTGGGAAAATGATATAAATTTAGCGTCCTGGGGTCGTTCTCCCTCACCATAAACCATGATAAGTAACTATAGGGGAAATTATACCTTCCAGTATTTTAACATGGACCCTGGCAGATAGGGGTTGGCAGATTAGTTTCCATTAAAACTAGGCTATTTTCAGGGTCTATGTTAATTTACCAGAGGGTAAAATATATTCATTTCTAATTTGGGAACCTCGCCTTCTATCGGATAGCTACGTAGTAAGCTCAACTCTCCTCCAGAGGGGCTCACGCAGAAAAAAAAAGCCCTCGGCACCGGCCGGTTGCGTGTAACCATGGGCCGGTTGTCCACAAAGAATGCTAGCTGCTATACGAACATTGATATGATATCCCAATTAATTTACTATAGTCAGTTTACTATTTGGCTGAACAGAACATGTACTATTTGGCTAAACAACTGTGTCCAAACAACGAAGACCTGATCAGATGATCTGCAAAATGCGGATCGAACCACTGCAGATGGAGATGGTATTGCATATATACCCTTCGGTAGTTCAACATAGCCACATAGCTATATGGAAAATCATCCTTTATCTACAAATGCACATATCTCTGGAAAGCATTTACCTACTTAAATGGGCCATTGTCCATAGCTATGTTATGTATCCAGTAGACATACAGTGGATGGAAGAAATCCTGCATCACCTTGGATTGTTGAAACCCTATCAATAGTGGGATAAACCACCTATCAACTGGTTCAGGATTTCTTCCATTCACCGTATGATTGCATCAACCCTTCATCGCCAATGCTGCCAGGTTTGCCTTCAGCTTCCCAGGACATGACGAGAAGGGATCAAAGACTGACGCAAAGTCGGGGACATTTCGCAGGAAATCAACCCTCGTGGGACATCAACAAACATACCCCTGTTGATTGGTCATAATGATAATGTATTGTACTAGTTGGTTTATTGGGGATCATTGTAATTCAATGTAATCCGCAATGTGGATGAGTATTAGTCAACCAATATAATGAGATGGGATGGCAGTAGTTTTCTTGGCTCAAACGGAACATGAGTCATGTTGATGGACTAACTTTCAATGGGAAAACTATCTTCACAGAAAACCTAAGGCCTAAGGTGAGACAATCTTCGGTGTGATATGCCCTTCAGTAGTCTAACATGAGAATCAAGTCTCCCCCAATTCATACAGTTGAAGCCCTTTAATCGCTATAAATAGGGTTATCATGAACCAGAAATGGGGCGATTTCATTGGTTTACAACTGGCAAAAGACCATAGCTGTATCGATATCTGGGCCCGCGTAGTTGATCTTTAGGATAGAGCATAGCACCATGCTGCAGCATCTTTCCATGGATTGGTTTACGGGAAAATCTACACAGGATGGTGCCCCCCGGTGATGTTTGTTGGTTTGTAAACGCCAGTAACTATAGTCATATATACCATAAACCTTAGTTAAGCATAGTTAAGCCACTTATAAGGCAACTTAGCTATTTTGGGGGGCCCGTATTGCAGGAAACCAATGGAAACCATGTTTTTTTTTCCCATGAAATCTAGGCGAGGTTACTCTAGAATTTCCCTTAAACAAATCACATGAATCTTGCTTTTGGATTCCCCAAAACAACTAACCGGCCACAAACCTCTGACAGGCACAGTTTCTATGCAATGAATACAACCCCAGTTCAGCGTTTCTATTTGGAATCTTCAAAATCTGGGCCGAATATTTGCGGGACTAAAAGTTTTGACACTTAAGAATTGCAGACGTATTATGATAATATGATATAACGTGTCTAGCACACCAACTAAACACCAGTCTATATCTTTGTATACTTGGTGGCTCATTCCACTTAGTAAGTGGGTTATAACCCCAGTTACAAATGGGATAAGTAGGGTTAATCCACTTATAACTGGGGTTATAACCCACTTACTAAGTGGGATGAGCCACCAAGTACATGGGAAAAGATATGTTCTAAGGACCAAGCTTCCCCTGAATTTCGAATGCGCCCGCAGGACACACTGCTTGAACCTGGAGCTTCCAGTGAATTGCGCTGGGGCCACAGCGCTTTAGTGTTTTTCTTTAAGCAAATGTGTTAGGTCCAAACAAAAGGATCCATGTTGTGCATTGTTATGCCATGTATAGTTATGTTTGTTGGTCTATAAAGCCATTCAGCTCGAAATATCTCCGCATTTTTTCGCCAGTCATGTTAGCTAAACCATTGTCTTGTTCAAGATGACCGGACCCCAAGCCCTGAACATTCTGCTGGTCCGACAATGGGGACCCGACAACAGATCCTGCGTCTCGAATTCTTGGCTTTTCGTGGCTGCTGCTGCAATGGAATTTTTCGTGCTGTCCTGGAAAAGATAGTTGCCTCTATGCCTTTATGATCCTTTATGGCTACTGCTTCGCTATGACCCGTTTTTCGCATCACTCGAAACTGTAACATAGTTTTGATCACAAGGCCACAAGGTAACATTTGTTTTGTAACATTTTGTTGGTGGAACAGAAATATTGCGTTTCTTTTGCACCACTTGGTATTGATGATATGTTCATGGCACCAAAATAACTTCTGTTCTTTCTTGAGACAAAGTTGCAAGAAAGGCCCTCGGCCTTGGCTCAATCCAGAAATGGGTTGTCGTTTTTTTTTTTATGTCTTGAATGGGTACTCGTACTTTGAGGGTCCAGCTTTTCTGCAATTGCATACAACGGTCGTTGAAATAGTGGCAAATTGTGTTTTTGATCTTTTTTTCATGTTACTTTTCGTAGGCATGTTTAGGCAGAGATGCTTTGTCGCATGGTTCCGTTGCTGAGTTGGGCTCCTCGTGCAGAACATGACATACATCACCAAATCTCATCATGATGTGTCGCCACACACAACCCATTCATGCAAACTTTCTTTGAGGGTCTAGCTATGCTGAATTTGCAGACAACTGCCACAGTTTTGTGCACCATTGTTTGACTTTTCCAGGGGCAACAGTCCCCTGGTGAATTTGCAAGCGCCATGAAAGCTGCGAGGCTTGAACACTCGGATTTGGTCCAGCATCAAGTTGGCATCGTTCAGCAGTTTCGAGAATTTTGGATAGAAAACCATCTCTGTGACGTTGTCCTGAAGAGCAATGATGGTTCTGAGCATCGTGCCCACGCTGCTGTGCTATCTGCCTCCAGCATGTTTTTCAAGAATTTGCTGGGTGGATCCTTTCTTGAAGCAGACCAGGTGCAAAGAGGACAGCCAGTGGAAATGGATGCTTCTAAAGCAACACTAGTCGCTTTGCTGGATTTCATATATGGTGGACAACCAGAGGTGAATCTGGAAGATGGTATTGAACTGCTGCGACTGGCGGATCGCTGGGAGTTGTCAAATTTAGCAGGTGCGATTGAGAAGGGCTTCTGTGCGTCCTTGGACAGCAGTGGTGCCCTGCGAGTTTTGGAAGAAGAATATGGGCTTGATGATTTGAAGGCTGAGTGTGAAGAGATGGTTGCAAAGGATTTTGAGTCTTGCATCCAGCAGCCAGAGTTTGGAAAGCTCAGTGCAACTCAGCTGGCCCGAATTCTGAAAAGATCAGATTTGAGCGTTTCTCGGGAGGAAGTGGTGTTGCGGGGCATTTTCAAGTGGCTCAGTCTCTCCAAAGACAGGAACACATCTCTGGGTATGTTGTTGCAGCTTGTTGATTTCCAGTCGATTTCTGTTGAGAATTTGCTTCGGCTTGGCCGCTTTAGTCTGTCGGGTCCAGCTGGTGGCCACCTGCAGCGAGAAGTAAGGCAAGCTTTACGAGTCCAGCATAGAAAGAGACCCCAAAGTTCAGATAATGTTCAACCCAAGCGGCAGTGTTTGCAACATTGGTCGCCAGATTTAGGTGCCAGCTCACATGCTCTCAGGCAAGAAGTGCTGTCAGTACCGTGCAAGTCTTTGTGCTGGCACGAAGGTGCCATTTATGGCACCGACACCCGCGGCAACATCATTTCTTGGAAACCTGGTGATGCAGCTACCGATGCACAACGAGTTGTGGGTGAAGGCGCTGCAGTGGCTGGAATCAATGACCTTGGCCAACGCTGTAAGCTCGCCATCTCACCCAGTGGAAATCTCTTTGTGAAGGATTACGATCATGAAAGATTTGTTAGCTTTGAAAATGGATATGGCCGAGTGGTTTTTGACGAGAACTTTTCTGCCGACGATGTCACCAGCCTGTTTTGCTCGCCTGCTGGAGTGCTATATGTTCTGCTTGAGGAAGGCACGGTTGTGCAGAAGTTGGCGGGTTCGTCGTTCCAGACAGTGATTGCTGCTGAGACTCTTCCAGAAGACCTGCAGTTCAGTGCAGTTGAGATTTTCGTCACCATGCAAGAAATGATCTATCTCGTTGATGACAATATGGGCCATGGCCGCATTCTGCGCATCAATCCGGCTGAGCCATTGAAACCCGTTGTGGTGGGACAGGTCCCAAAGGAGGACTGCCCGGATCTATGGAGTATGTTTGTCACGGAAGCTGGCACCATCTATGTCACGGACGATGGTCAAAGAAAGGTGTTGGCATTCCGCCCCGGCAACACGCACCCCATAGAAGTCTTGCAGTGTCCTGACGATTTGTTTCCGCTGGCAGTGCTGGTTCTTGGCAGCTCAATGTATGTAAGCATGGCGGATGACCGGATCGCACCGAGCACCGGAGGCATCTACGAATATACGCTGCCTCCTGAGTTGCAGCTTGAGTGAAAAACCATGAGCTCACATCATTGGTGGCTTCGCAAGTAGTTCGCAAGTAGTACCACGACCCGTTCATGCAACCATGCTAATGTGATCTAACCCATATATCCATGTATGGTATATGCTAACATTGGGGGTATATTGATGGGATCCATGTCACCATATATAGCAGCACCATGGATCCTATGGGTAATGTGGTTGTATAAGGTAAACCCAATCAGACGTCTTTCCGAATGTGTTTTTGTTGATGCCCTTGTTGAGACTTGGAGTTGATTTGGGTTGTGGGGCCTTGGTCCTCAGGGCCCCTAGGTTTCCCTACATTGCAAAAAACAACCTGGGATTGAACATGATTGAACCACCTATCTTCTCATAGGGTTTATCAATCCAGGGTTGAGATATCTTTGTAATGTGGTGCCCCCCAGTGATGTTTGATGCTGTTTGTTGGTTTATAAACCCCATGAACTAGTTCGTTATATTTACCATAAACCATTGTTATTGGAGTTATGTGCGCCAACTTAGCTATCTAATGCTATCTAGGGGGGGCCACTTTGTAATGTTTAATGCTCAAATCAAAGCCATTTCAGGGGCCTAGGACAACCTGCTCAGCGCCTGCTCAGGACTCAGCTTGGCTCCAGATACAGGTTGGACACCGAGATGAACCGTTTCACCATCCCCCGATGGATCCAAAATGATGATCCAATCCCATTAAACCCTCCATGAGTGGTAAACCTACAAAAAGCTATGGAAAATCCTATGGAAATCACAATTTTTCATGGGTAAATCCACTATAAATGGCAATTTACAACCCAAACTTAAATCTGCTTGGTGGTTTGGAACATTTTGATTGTTGTTCCATATATTGGGAACAATAATCCCAACTGACGAGCATATTTTTCAAAGGGGTGGGTATACCACCAACCAGGTATGATTGGGGAAGTTCCAACATGTTCCAATCACATGAGGCCATGGTATTGGTCAATATTGGTCAAATACCTTGATTGATTCGATCCAAGGCGGATCAAACTTCAAGAGTTTCCAAGCAGCCCTCTAGACCTTACCACCATCATCCACCATCCAATTCCGGGAAACTGTCCATGGAATGGGATTCGTTAATGTGGGAAATTAGACGGTATCCACGATGTTTTCCCTGATGATTTACACTAAAACATGATTGCACAAAACTGCCCCAAAATTATCCTTAGACTATTTATTGCGTTTTAAAGATTGAACACCAGTGGGTGAGGGTATAGACTTAGTTCTACATCTTACCCATCCATATCATACCCATACCGATGTTTCCCAAATTTGGGTCCACTTAAGACATGTCAACATCATGAAAACTGACATTAACATACATTAACCAACATTTTCTTGGGTGAGAACGTTGGATGTTCTCCATGTCCAAATCTGGCAGAGGTCTTGGTGCGAAAATCTGGCAGCCTTGAAAAGGCGACTGTCCCGGGAAAATTCCCGGGTTTGGAGCAATGATTTACGGCTGGGTCTGGTTGTTTCATGCCATTACCCATAGGATCCATGCATGGTATATATGCTAACATTTGGGGTATATTGATGGTAAATGTTACCATATATAGCATACATGGATCCTGTGGGTTATGATTGGGAAGTGATGACGCGCCAGTTGATTGTTCTTTTCTTTTGGTGCCCTATTTGAACAAAGCCAGACGCTGAGGAGTTCGATTTGTGCTTTCACCAACACGATAGATGGACAAGAATGGTACAAACCACTCGAAGAACCATTTGGATATCCATGTAATTTGCTGGTGGAAAACCACAATTAATATATCATGCTTAATCACAAAATGATGAATTTAAACATCTGAATTGATGTTATTGCTACTGACCAACTAAAAACATCTAAAGATGGCTGGTTATGGTGATGATCATGGGGATATCAGCTATACCCTGATAATGATTAGACCCATCAGCCTTGAGTCATTGAGCCTACCTAAACCCCAATCTAATTGGTAGATGGTGTATCTCTTCAGTTGAGGAGTGTATCCATTACAGCTAAGCCATTCATCGATGGTGAATGGTGTATCTACTTGATTAGTCGATGCTGATTATTGTATTTTCGGAACAATTCTTATTGATACTTTCAGGGTCAAGGTAGTCACCAATCACCAACTTACGTACGATTTGTTTGGCCTCGAGCTGGCAGTTGCAACTGGTTAGTAACCATTGCCATAGTTGCTGGCCGTGTTGTTCAACCAATTCATAAGATTCGCACGCATAACAATCACAAAACACCACCAATTGTTTTTTCTTTTCTTCACTACCACGCTAGATTTTTTGTTTCACTTGTGATGATCCCTTTAGAAGCTGAATGCGACCAGTTCCTACCCGTAACTACCGGATTTCATCCAGTTCCCAACCAGCTCAGCAGTGTGCTCGAAGGCTGGTGATGCTTGATATCTGGCATCACACAGATCAATGGATCGTTTTAAGGGAACATTTGCAAGAAAACACCATATTCAATGGTAAAATCCATGGTTTCCTGTAAATTTTCCCTTGAACCAATCCATTGAACAGATGTTCAGCATTTCCGATGATGTGAATAGGATTATGAAGAGCAGCAGCGATCCACCGAATGATTCCTCCTAAAATCTCGCTTGATTGCGGAAAATCTGAACCGAAACATTCGGAAATCGTTTCTTTTGTTCTCTCTTTTCCCTATATATATAAATATAAATACTGTATATATAACTGGGTGGTGGTTTGGAACCATGGAATTCTATGACTTTCCATATATGGGGAATTATCATCATCCCAACTGACGAAGTCATATTTTTCAGAGGGGTAGGCTCAACCACCAACCAGGGTATATACATATAACCATGACTTAACCATGTGAATTTCCGTGGATTTTTCCTCCCAAATTTCCTCCTTCCCCATCTCACGCGCTTGGCAGGTCCTAGAGGCCGAGGCAACTGTGCCACTGCAGCGGGGCGGAGCCTCGGCTGGTACTGAAACCATTGGATTTGGATGGTACAAGATGGTGCTGGTTGTAGTTGGTTTATAAACCAGTATAAACCCCATTAACTAGTTTGTTATCTATATACCATAAACCATAGAGGTGCCCCCCCAGTTATAGGTTGGTTTATAAACCCCATGAATACTATTGTTATATCTACCATAAACCATAGAATTCAGCCACAAGACTGAGGCAAGTGAACGCGATTTCGAACGGGGCCCCCATCCTGCACACGATTTACTTATGTTCAGACATTCAGACCGTTCTCATAATTTGTTCAGGTTGGTGAAAAAGTAGAACAGCCGGATAATATTTGTGGAGTGATTTTTGGTTTCGCTGTGACAGTGAGTTGATAAACCATATTGAAGGGACTCTAGGATTTGGTTTCGGTAATATGACCTGCCTGGGAAATGCCGATGTTTTATTATTCCGTCTATAGATAAATATAAAAGTATTACAAAAGGGCGATTTGTTCACTAATTGCCAGGTTAGATTGGAGGGTACGTAGACCACCCTAGAAAATGGAAGGTTTACCACTAGGAAGGACCAAAATTTGTGGATGCCATGTCAGTTCTGACCAGACATGTAGGATATCAATGCCTCAAGAGGGTAACCTCATCCAGTCTTGACGCTCATGACCAGCAGACATCAATCTATTTCTTATCGTTCGCTATGTCCTGCACCGTCCAAGGTGTTTGATGGTAGTTATAAAATGTTATAAAGAAATTCATGAAGGCTTTATTTTCCCATCCACAGTATTTGGAATAGTTCCTTTCCTTTGCAAGCCTCCTATCAGTGATTTTTTCAGGTTATAATTATGGTTATCATGAGCCATAAAATTGGGTGATTTCACTGACCTGTATCTGGTATTTCGGGCCATTATTCAGGATTATTCCGACAAAAAAGGGGGGGATCCTTAGGTCCTAAAGTAGGGGTACCCCCAGTTCTCATCCATCTATACTGGTTGGTGGTTTCAAACATGTTTTATTTTCCATTTCATATATTATGGGATGTCATCCGAAACCCATTGACGAACTCTTATTTTTCAAGATGGTTATTGCACCACCAACCAGATTTATGAGTGGATTGTAGCTAATAGTTAAGTTTATATTTGTTATACATGGCTTTTTCACCATTATGGACTATAACCACCTGGTTATTGCACCATATTGCACCACCAACCAGTATAGATGGGATTTTCCATGAAACCATCCAGCTACCCCGGAGCCTCTTGGCTTGGCCCCAGGATGGCCTGAGGCAGTGTTGGACGAGAGAAACGCGGTTGCACTGCCGGCAGATCCCAGTTGCGCGTTGCATCGCCGTGGAGTAACCAGTTGCTCCTGGTTCTATGCGCTCTTGAGGTGGAAAGAAATGGAAATAAGCAAAGGAGCGCAATGATATTAGATCATATTAGATCAATATTATGAGAATTCGAAGATCATCCCACATGTTGAGTGGTTCATAGTGTCAACGAACCAGTATTAAATATACAATGATCATTAATGTAATCAATTGATATGGAACAATGTGAGTTTCCAATACCAATCACATATTCCATTATTCTAATAATTGTTATGCCATTATTCACCAATAAGAATGTGATAGGTGATATTCCAATACCATTTTTTCAATATGTTCAATATCAACCACGTTTTTAGTGGTTCAACATTGGTTTAATCAGATTGTCTTCACCTTTTCGTCAACAACGCATTTTCAGGTCGCCTCTGGAAGATTTCGCGTCTGGACGCTTTGCTCAGGTGGAAGATGCTGGGAATGTGTAGTCAAAACCAGAGAAATGAAGGACATGTATTTAATCCATGATGTATCCTGGGAATGTGTAGTCAAAACCCACTTAGTCTCCAGTCTTATTCAATCATATCCATGATGTATCCTGGAGATCAGAGGCGAATGGATGTGTTCTTACGACGTCATGAGTCATAGGTGTCCAATTTGCATGGCTATGAGTCAATTGCTGGTAGATGGAAGTAAATGGATTTTTTTAGGTTTTGATACACCATTACTGTAGGACATGTAAATGACGAATGTACATTAGGACATATAAATAGTCTGAAACATTACATTACTATTCATGATGAATATGGATGAATTGGTCATACATCCCCAAATGAAGGACATGTAAATAGTCCATATTCCTCACGATGGGTTTCTGTGCCTGGCCATCCTATCCCCCGATTTTTTTTTTTGTTATACCCTCCATATGGAGCCCCAGAATGAATAGATCCAATCCTCCAATCCCAAACCAGGCTTTGTTTGAGGAGGTATTTAACATTAAGATCATTAAGGGGAAGGGGATTCTTGGTCTGATGGACGGGTGCGGCAATACTTTATATTTGTTTGCTATGAATGGTGTTTTTCCCCACCTGCCAGGTGAGGGTTGTTAGATTTTATGTCAGTTGCCTCCTCCTCCTTCTCCTCCTTCTCCTCCTCCTTCTCCTCCTCCTCCGCCTCCTCCTGCCTCGTCCTCCTCTTCTCCTCCTCCTCGTCCTCCTCGTCGTCCTCGTCGTCCTCGTCGTCCTTGCTCAACTGCGACCCGCGATCCACAGTGTTCTCTGCCGGACCTCAACCACGACCATCCACGCCCAGTGTTCCCTGCCGGACCTCAACCACGACCATCCACGCCCAATGTTCTCTGCCGGACCTCAACCACGACCATCCACGCCCAGTGTTCCCTGCCGGACCTCAACCACGACCATCCACGCCCAATGTTCCCTGCCGGACCTCAACCGCGACCATCCTCGCCCAGTGTTCCCTGCCGGACCTCAACCACGACCATCCACGCCCAGTGTTCCCTGCCGGACCTCAACCGCGAGTATCCACGCCAAGTGTTCCCTGCCGGACCTCATGTAGGAAGATATGGGACAAAGAATGTGCAGAAGGAAGTTAGAAAGAATGTCAGAAAGAATGTCAGAAGATATGCCAGAAGATATGCCAGATAGAATGCCAAATAGAATGCCAGATAGAATGCCAGAAGATATGTCAGAATATATGCCAGAAGATATGCCAGATAGAATGCCCGATAATATGCCAGAAGATATGCCAGATAGAATGCCAGATAGAATGCCAGAAGATATGTCAGAATATATGCCAGAACATATGCCAGAAGATATTCCAGATAGAATGCCAGATAGAATGCCAGAGGATATGTCAGAATATATGCCAGAAGATATGCCAGATAGAATGCCAGAAGATATGTCAGATAGAATGCCAGAAGATATGCCAGATAGAATGCCAGAAGATTTGCCAGATAGAATGCTAGAAGATATGCCAGAAGATATGCCAGATCATATGCCAGAAGATATGCCAGATAGAATGTCAAATAGAATGTCAGAAGATATGTCAGATAGAATGCCAGAAGATTTGCCAGTAAGAAAATGTATAAATGTCATGGTGGGGATCACACGAAGTAAAGTAATTTTTCTGTGGACGGACAACATCCTGCACCAGTTGGTAAATTATTGAGGTAGATTCCCATGAAACACCGCAAATAATGGGATTATAAAGGGATTTTGCACATCTACCAACTGGTGATTGGGATTTCTTAGCCATCTACAGTATTTGATCTTCTGCGGCTGGCGGTCCTTCTGGCAGTTGTAACTGTATTTCCCAACAACATTTCCTCTGTTTTTGTTCAATACTAAACTGTCCTCCAGTAAACTAACAAAGCTATAGAAACCATGGCTCATTTATAGATTATTTACCTATGAACCATATTTAAAATTTAAATTACTTTACTTCGTGTGATCCCCACCATGACATTTATACATTTTGTTACTGGCAAATCTTCTGGCATTCTATCTGACATATCTTCTGGCATTCTATCTGGCATATCTTATGGCATTCTATCTGGCACTCTATCTGGCATATATTCTGATTTTCTTTCTGGCATATCTTGTGGCATTCAGAACATTCTTTCTGGCATATCTTATGACATTCTTTCTGGCATATCTTCTGACATTCTTTCTGACATTCTATCTGGCATATCTTCTGACATTTTTTCTGGCATATCTTCTGACATTCTGTCTGGCATATATTCTGACATTCTTTCTGACATTCTTTCTGGCATTCTATCTGGCATATCTTCTGACATTCTATCTGACATCTTTTCTCACATTCTTCCCGTTGAGGTCCGGCAGTGCCTATTGCGATCTGGAAGTCGCGGTTGAGGTCCGGCAGTGCCCACTGCGGTCTGGAAGTCGCGGTTGAGGTCCGGCAGTGCCCACTGCGACCTGGAAGTCGCGGTTGAGGTCCGGCAGTGCCCACCTTGCGATCTGGAAGTCGCGGTTGAGGTCCGGCAGTGCCCACTGCGATCTGGAGCTCGCGGTGGAGGTCCGGCAGTGCCCACTGGGATCTGGAGCTCGCAGTGGAGGTCCGGCTGTGCCCACTGGGATCTGGACTGCGAGGAGGAGGCGGCGGGTGAGGAGGCGCAGGAGGCGGAGGTGGAGGCGGAGGAGGCGGAGGTGGAGGCGGAGGAGGAGGAGAACAGCTCTGATAAAATCTAACAACCCTCACCTGGCAGGTGCGGAACAATATGATTAAACATGATTATGTTTCATATAGGTATGTTAAATTGCCAAGGGGTCGTTTGATCTTGGATGGTTTTTGTGGCTTATCTTGGGAATTTCCCTTTAGGACCCCTCAGACCCACCCTTTGCTAGTGGTCAGCTCCCACTCCATCTTGAAGGATGAGATTGCCATATGAGTCTGTCTGAAATTTAGCATTATTTCAAACATAACTATGTATACGTATATATATATATATATATGTGAGTATGTATGTATGTATATATGTACAAATATATATATATATATGTATTTACATATACATACAAATCTATATAAATCTATTGTATATATATATACACATAAATATGTATGTTCCTATGAATACTACATTTTTTATCGGTATCCGCATTTTCACAGCCATAGTACCTATACATTGGTACCGTTTTTTCGGATCTCCCACGGTCCAGAAAAAACAGTCATGGCAGGTGCCACTGTTCGCTGAACATTCTCGCGCTGCTGGCATGGAAGGCGCAGTGCCAAGTGCTCAAACTAAGCGCAGAGTGGAATCTTCCTGTAATTGGTGATCGTCATGGGGATATAGTGGCTATATAGTTGGTATGTATGGATGTGTATAGAATCATTGGGGGTGTATCATGTATGCTTAATGGGACTTCCAGATATTTTACCTCTTTGGTGAAAGAACAAAGTATGTAGATCAAAATACCGCACAATAAAAATCGATGTTCCATGCAAGATGTCAGGGCTGTCACGGCTGTTCTTCTTTCTTGGTGCCACGTCCTTTACCCAACGGTACAACGTGGTGGGTTCTTGGGGGTAGCAGTTCCACATAGCTTTGGAAGTTCATCATGGTTTGGAAGGGGGAACATCTCCATCTACATGCTGAAAAATAACAATGTAGAAGTTAAAACCACAACATTAATAGTTATTATACTATGGTTTTTACCATAGTTATACCATGTTATTAACCCGTTTTTCGAACCGCCTGTTGCGCATCCAAGTTTCAACGCCCAGGAGTTGACGCCTTCGCGATCCCAGGCGAGGGCCTTAAGCCTACCCGGCCTGGAAAGATCCACCATTTTAATGGGTAAATCGACTATAGATTGGCCATGTTCAATAGCAAACTGTTTTTTCTTTTGAATGGCTTGCCTAAAATATAATGTTGGTAGAACAATAATAATGCATCCCCCAAATCACCATTTTTATAGGGGTTTAACCACACTACTAAGATTTAACAAATTCTTCTGAAAATTATCAGACTTCATTCATGTTTATTCCATCTTTCAGGAGTGTACAAAGACATGATTTGTCGGAGTTCAACATCATCATTGTGTTTGGCTTTTGGTTTGAAATGGTTTCTTTGAAATCATCTCCCACATTCTCCGCGATTGATATAAATATACCAAAAAATATATGCATAAATATATTTACCTTTGGCACCACCCAAGAAAATGCAGAAAAACATAGGGTCAATTGAGTCAATCCAAAAACAATCATACAGTAAAGACACCTGCTGCACCACTGCCAAGAACCGCCTTAGACTGAGGGTTAGATTCGGTTGGTTATATGCACCCCAGTTGAAATTGGAATATGAAGTGATCAAACTGTAGAAATATCAAGCATACATATATAGTTAGCCTATGTTAGGTATTAGTTAGCCTGATTTTTGTTTGACCAATGATTCTTTATATGTGGTATTGAGAAGTCAGATATGAAACCAACTGATTTTTGATTAGATCTCGATTTCAGCTGATTTTAGTGTTTAAATTGTCTTTGCTTTTTCTGGTTGTCCAAGCATTTCCAAACTAATTTGTGTCTATAGGATTCTATAACTATTGGATAGGTTTTCCAAAATGTTCCATGGTTTTCCATTGCTTTCCATGTTTGTTCATGTTTTTTCCAATTGTTTCCATTTTTTCATCATTTTTGTCCATGGTTTTTCCATTTGTTTCCAATATGAATCTGGTTGGTGGTTTCAAACATTTTTTATTTTCCATAATGCATGGGATAATCCTTCCCATCGACGAACTCATATTTTTCAAGATGGTTATCGCACCACCAACCAGATTTATGAGTGGATTATAGCTAATAGTTAAGTTTATATGAGTTATACATAGCTATAACCATTATAACTATAGGGACTATAACCACCTGGTATAACCATTATAACTACTATAGGGGCTATAACCATTATAACATGATTATAACCATTATAGCCATCTATAGTAGTTATTAGGGACTATAACCACCTGGTATAACCATTATAGCTAATAGATTAATAGTTAAGTTTATATTAGTTATACATGGCTTTTTCACCATTAGGGGCTAAAACTACTAGAAAGGTGGCTTCGTTCTGCCCATCGCTGGCTCGCCAGGTTCGGTGGGTTCCATGAAATGCGGCTACCGCCTCTCAGGCCACCTCCGAAAAAAGCAAGGGGCGACCGGGTCACCACCGGGCGGGGGATGGGAATTTTACCAACAATAATGGGAGAATTAATGGATATTTCATGGATTTAATGGGAGAATTAATGGGAAGTTGGCTATCAAGAATCAAGAATGGGAATATCATGAAATATCAACAGAAATGGGACAATTGATGGCAATGGATATTTCATGGATTTAATGGGAGAATTAATGGATATTTCATGGATTTAATGGGAGAATTCATGGGAAATTGGCTATCAAGAATCAAGAATGGGAATATCATGAAATGTCAACAGAAATGGGACAATTAATGGCAATGGATATTTCATGGATTTAATGGGAGAATTAATGGATATTTCATGGATTTAATGGGAGAATTCATGGGAAATTGGCTATCAAGAATCAAGAATGGGAATATCATGAAATATCAGCAAAAATGGGACAGTTGATGGCAATGGATATTTCATGGATTTAATGGGAGAATTAATGGATATTTCATGGATTTAATGGGAGAATTCATGGGAAATTGGCTATCAAGAATCAAGAATGGGAATATCATGAAATATCAGCAGAAATGGGACAATTAATGGCAATGGATATTTCATGGATTTAATGGGAGAATTAATGGATATTTCATGGATTTAATGGGAGAATTCATGGGAAATTGGCTGTCAAGAACCAAGAATGGGAATATCATGAAATATCAACAAAAATGGGACAATTGATAGCAATGGATATTTCATGGATTTAATGGGAGAATTAATGGATATTTCATGGATTTAATGGGAGAATTCATGGGAAATTGGCTATCAAGAATCAAGAATGGGAATATCATGAAATATCAACAGAAATGGGACAATTAATGGCAATGGATATTTCATGGATTTAATGGGAGAATTAATGGATATTTCATGGATTTAATGGGAGAATTCATGGGAAATTGGCTATCAAGAACCAAGAATGGGAATATCATGAAATATCAACAAAAATGGGACAATTGATGGCAATGGATATTTCATGGATTTAATGGGAGAATCAATGGATATTTCATGGATTTAATGGGAGAATTCATGGGAAATTGGCTATCAAGAATCAAGAATAGGAATATCATGAAATATCAACAGAAATGGGACAATTAATGGCAATGGATATTTCATGGATTTAATGGGAGAATTAATGGGAAATTGGCTATCAAGAATCAAAAATGGGAATATCATGAAATATCAACAAAAATGGGACAATTAATGGCAATGGATATTTCATGGATTTAATGGGAGAATTAATGGATACTTCATGGATTTAATGGTGATGTAATGGTGATGAGTGGGAAATGAACTATCTATCAATAATGGGAGAACTATACTGGATACTTCACTGAACTTTATAACTTATAATGATGGGACCATTTATAGGGACACTTGATGTGACAATTCATGGATATTTCATGGATTTAATGGTGATTCATGGGAAATTGGCTATCAAAAATCATTGAATATCATGGGATGGGGATACCTCAACCATCGGGATATGATTCATGATGGGATGCAACTTGACTTACCAAATGTTTTTTGGGGGATGTATGTGGGTAAATGCATATAAACATAAAGAAATCCTGAACATAAATGAAAATATGGCGATTATAATGACTACAAACATGCGGGTTTCCTGGAACCAATGATCAATGATGATATTAATAAGTGGTTAGGGTGGGGTTATAACCCAGATGGGATAAGCCACATATGGACTTACTAACCAGGATCTAACCAGGCAGTGACTACGTGCGAAGATCCCCCAGGGCAAACTATGGTGAGATCTTGAGTCTGCGATACGCTGAGGGAGAGCAAAGGAGAAGCCAGCGAAAGCCGAGTTGCTGGAGGCATGGGGGGTAGCTCCAAATGCAGTCATGGATGACCATGACCATACTTGGTTGGTGCTGACTGGAACCATGGAATTTTGTGACTTTCCATATATTGGGAATCATCCCAACTGGTGAACTCCATCATTTTTCAAGATGGTTAAAGCCACCAACCAGATATAGTCATATGGGTGCAAGTCAAAATAGGAGGTCCGGAACAAGCTCCGGGACCACACCCGTTCCATACCCCCGTTCCATACCCCCGTTCCATACCCCCGTACCATACCTCCTTGAAGGATCCGTTCCATACCTCTGTTCCATACCTCTGATCTATACGCTAATATATATATATATATATATCTGAAGAATATGTGCAGTCTGATTTTACATTTGTACGCGCATACTTGAGCGCACATACATAGATGAGTGTGTACATGCAAGAATACGTTTACTATGCCCAAGCCCTGTGATTGTGTTGGCAAGTCTGTGCCTGCAGCGTTTGTTGTGTGATGGTAGGGATGTGCTTGGCTGTTGTCGGCTGGCAGTCTAAGAATGGATTGCTTGTAACCGGGCCTCCCTCTCAACCTGTGGCAGGTTTGCGCCTGCACCACTTACAGTTGCTGCCCGCTGTGGCACAGCTGTGATGTTTGATGGTAGAGATGCGCTTGGCTGTTGCCAGCTGGCAGTCTAAGAATTGCTTGCTGCGCTACTCTCGCTCCAAACTGCCAATTTTGATAAAGATGTGCTGCGTGGTGGCAGAGCTGTGCTGGAGTGGGCCGCTTCGTTCCAGACCCCGTTCCATACCCGTTCCATGCCCTTTCCAGACCCGGACCACCCATGTACCATCCCTGACCCACTTCCGGGTGAACAAATGGCAGGTTCTCACATAGACTGCTCCTAAGCCATCCTTTGTGCGTGGGTTTTGGGAGCCTAGAGCCTTGCTACGCGGGGACACTATCTACCCCATACGGACCGGGACCTCTGAGTTTTAAGAGTAGGAGGTGGGACCTGCGTGACAGGTCTCAAGCTGAGTGGACAGCTTCACATAGTAGTCCTAGCTAGTGCAGGAGCACTAGCCATGCAAGGCAAACCTGCGTTGAACAGGTGTACAACAAGGATGCCGCGCAGATGAGAAATGAAAATGAGCGGCGGCCAGCGGTAGTAGCTTCAACGTGCATATCTTCGAGATGTACATTATATACAGTATATAATACATATATACAGTATACATATTTATACTTATGTATAGCTTATACTTCATCACATTCCAAAGGTCCGGAACAAGACCAGTTACGAAACCCCTTCGTTCCATACGTCCGGAACAGCGCGGAACGTTCCATACACAATTTTGACTCATAGCCATATAGTCTTGAAAGCTATGGGTGACAACTGGGGATCCTCCATGACTTAAGCAACACTCAGAAGTTGGTAACACTGAGAAGTTGGTAACTTTAGCTCATGATTTTGCAAGGACCTTTTTCACCAGTCGTTTGTAAGTGGCGATGGATGATGCCTTGGAAAATGGGAGGCCACTGAAGCCTTGCATACATTGGGTGAGGCCTCTGAGACCATTGAAGTGTAATCAGTTTTTTCTCATTCGAATTGCCACAACTCCGGGTGTTTTTGGTACCGATGTTCAGACTCTCCACGACTCAAAACGATCCGCGAAACGCTGGACTCTTTGAGCTATATTATAGGGAATTGTACGAGCTAATTGATTGGAGATTATGATAACCCTTGGTTGCACACCTTGCAACCAAGTAGTGTTTCATGAGATTAGATGGGATAGAGGGTATTTTTTTCATGGCTCAGTTTGGCATATGCATACATTTTGATTTATCGATTTTCCTACCTTGATAGCAACCATCCCGCCTACTGTAACATGGATTCAATGGAATTCAACGGCTTATCCAAGTACCTAAAGTGAAGGTACCGTACTGTACAAGACACGCACCGATTGGGAGAAATGTTACGGAACATCTCCATGCTCATAGCAACATCAACATACATCAACTAACTAAATGGGCCATGGCTTCAATATCTTCAATAGCAATTTGTGTAACAATATTTAAATTGCACATGTCAGGTACCTCCAATAAAAATATTTAAAAATCGGTTCCTGAAGTCGTTCCTTTATATAGACACCTGAAGCACCAGGACCTGCAAAGCACCGAGGAGGAAACGGAAGTGCTGCCGGAGCCGGAGGAGGATTCGTTGCTCCATGGGGAACCACGGTGGGGGCGAAAGTGGGGATAGACTGGTTGGGGAGATACTGGGGATATGTGGAATAGTTGTGGAATAGTTGGGGAGAATGTAGACTAGTTGGGGACAATAGTTGGATTATGAATATAATGGGGGTAAAATGGGGATTTTGGGTAATATGTTTGGGGAGAACATGAGGATATTTGGATGAATTATGTTGCGACATTGCGTCATGGATGGATTTTCTATGGCCCATTCGCATCCGTGGTTTTGGGAGTTTGGAAAGATTTGGGTCTAAAAATAGGGCAATATACGGTATACACCCTCCAAATGGTATTTTCACTTCAGCAGAGAGAGCCCCTCCCCCCGACCCATCCATCTTGGCCACATCCTGATCTGCAATCAAAATCCAGTAACAGTTGTCGTCCCAATGTCGATTGCCTGATATATTGCATCACAACCTGATGCGGTATAGTCAGTCATCATGTGAAGCGACAGAATTCGTCATGTAGGAGAGTCTGGCATGAGCTTCTCTGGAATTATGTCCAAAAGCTGGGCGAGAATCAGCCGTACCATCTCAGATGGTTTAATCTTTGGTAAACTAACATGACTACGGAAAATCACAATATTTAATGGACAAATCCACTATTTCAATGGCCATTTTCAATAGCTATGTTAAAATACCAGATGGTTTAATCTTTGCTGTATAGGTGTACCATGGTGTACCTGTGCATCCGCAAAGTGAAAAAAAGATCCGTCGATGTCCTTGGCCTTTTCAGCGTGACGTTTCACTGGGAGGTCACCTTAAGCCACTCCAATTGGCCATAAAGTTTATATACCCGGCCTGGTAATGACTAACAGTTTGCTATTGAAAATGGCCCATTTATAGGTGATTTACCGTGATTTACCTATTAAAGATGGTGATTTTCCATATTTTTTGGTATGTTTACCAGAGGCTAGGCACAATGATGACTGTTTCGACATGGATTTTGGGGTTTTCCCCGAAGATCTCCAGGAAAAGACACAACGTCGACGTCTCAGCACCATGGATCTGGGTTTTTCTTATTGTGATCTCACTGCAATGAATGATGGGGAATGATCATGAGTCATTCCAAATTGTTGCCTTATTTCAGATGAGTGAAATATATTAATATATTATAATATATTCTCTGGTTGGTGGTTTGGAACATTTATTATTTTTCCATATAGTGGGAATAATCATCCCAGCTGACAAATATTTTTCAGAGGGGTGGCTCAACCACCAACCAGACATGTTTACATGTCCGTGATATATGCCCATCATCCCATGATATTTCAGATGAATGAAATCTATATTACCATATTTTATCATAATTTACCCAGATGGAATATGGATGGGAAGGTCCTAGGTCCGGTGCCGAGCGCATGGACACAGGGCATAGCATCATCCCATTGAAAATTACGAAAAACGAGAAAAATCCCAAGGCTAGGCAGAGACAACTCGAGTGTTTAACTATGGTCATCAAGATGAACACAGTAAAACCAGGTGGTGTTTCGTAGTTGTAAGTTGGCTTATAATTTGCAATAGTTAATCATGTGATTCGTGAACTTAGCTATGGAACACCACCTTGTACCGTTGCTGTGTGCTCTGCAAAATGATGTCTTGAGGCAAAGAAGCTGCAGCTCACACCCATGACCATGGCTACAGAAAGTGCCAAGCTCAACGGTAGGGGCAGCGGTACACGGTGATGCGAAATGATGGGCGAAGTAGCCAATATAGTTGTAGCATGGTGATTTCTGATCGATTTAACGTGATGTAATGATCAACAATAGGGAGTTAATGGAATTTATTGGGCGTTAGTGGGATTTAATGGAATATAATTAATATGGTGAAATCATGCTGCGACCTCACGTCGCGACCTCACTGGAATGATGGTGAATGTAAGGGATAGTTATCCCAAAATAACAGCATTTTTCAGGTCAGTGAATAATTTTAATTTATCCAGAGATATGATCCACATATATCAAAATCGTTTGAGCCCTTTGTCATGCATTCAACTATAGCATCCCACCTCATCACAATAATGATATGTTAACAGAGCCACATAGCTTGCAACATTTCACAACCAACATTCATATGATACCTGTTATATCTTGTTTTATTCTTGCGTAATTTGAATTATTTAGATATTTATACATTCTACACTTTCTAGCAAAGTAATTTGGGGATGGGTCAAAACCGGTCAAAACCGGTCAAAACCTATGAAATTTCCATCTAAGTGGGGGGAATAAACATCGATCGCAGCTAGTTGAAGGTACCGTTTGGCTACCAGGGCTTTGACCCAGAACCGAGGTGGGAAACCTTTGTCCAGGCCTGGGTTGGGGTACACGAAGACGACACTTTTTTTGGCGGATTTGGACCGGGATCTTAAACAAGATATGTTACAGCTTTGAAAACCATATATATATATATATATACATGTAATTTAATTCATATACAATAATATATATATATATGTATGCATGTGTGTGTACGGTATGTTTATTGTATACTTTTAAATGTTTACAGATAGATGGATGATGGATGCATCGATGTTACACCCATGAAATCTTGGCTTCCGAAAATCCCAAAGCAGCATGCCATTCCAATAGCAACACAGTGTTCCAAAGCTGTTCCAAGGTTGGCATGTGAATATTCTTGGGATTGGTGCGGGAATAAGTTGAGCAAGATCATGAATCCCCATGAACATGTTGAACAACTTGGTTTGATTGAAGTGAACACAACTGAGAGTCAGCAAAAATGGTGACAGACATGCAACAAACCCGGGATCCAGTTTTTTTTGGTCATGTTCAGCACCGCAAAAAAACATGTGGCGCGTTTGGCCCTGTGAAAATCACGGAGATGGGCATAGACAGATGGCAGTGATGGCTCTGCATCAAATTAATCCGGGCTACTTTGCATTCAGCAATTTGCAGCTAATCTATTTATGTAGCGCATTATTGTGACTGAACCCGATTAGCTCAAAATATGATTCAACGTTCATGTACATCACACACCCCTGAGGAAATCCTGGTAGCTAAGACTTTCCATGACCGCACACTGGGACGGTGTGGGATGTCCCCAACGTTCAGGAGATGGAAGCAAAACCGAAACGTGTCGCCAGCGGTGCTTGAAAGAACGGACCCTGTTTTTGATTTTAACGTTCGACGTGCGACGGGATGTTTTCTCCCCTCAAAAGAAGAAGAACAAATAGGAGTTTATGATAGTTTATGATAGTTTATGATAGTTTATGATAGTTTATGATAGTTTATGGATACGGCTTACCATCAGCAACCATTACAAGGGTGAATCTTCACCTTTGTGGGGGTCAGCTTTGCTTCCCAAGTCACCATCCTCTAAAGAAGGTTGGGTGAGTCCTGGATTTCAGCGTTATTTAACGGTTTGCCATGGAAAGTGGATGAACATGTCCGATTTTATAGATGATGTATAGAAGATTTGCCAAAAAAAACGGTGTGATTTTCCAACGCTATTTTGAATACCATCTGGTAAACTAACATAACTATGGAAAATCATCATTTTTAATGGGACAACTCACTATAAATGGCCATTTTCAATAGCTATGTTAAATTACCAGAGGGTAACCAGAGGGTAGAATTTAGGAACATGTTTTCCCGTGATAACCTCACACAATACAATAGGATGATCATTGCAGTTCACTACAGTCGGTGGCCCCCTTCCAGTTGTCAGTTGGTCAAAAAAGACACAGAATTTATATCTGCATACATCTACTATAAATATCCATAAAAACCAAAGAATCATAGAATCCACCTACTTATAAACAAACCCCGACTATGGTTGTATCTACTATAAACATCTATAAACTATAAACATCCATAAAGCAAAGAATGAGAGAATTCACCTACAAACCAACCTTACAAACTGGGGCCCCACCTTGTAGTACGTTCTTTTTGTTAAGGCCTAGGATGAAGCCAGCAGACCAGGTCGGGGATTTCCCAAATGGTTCCATTGGATTTGCCATCCCTTCAGTCGAATGCGTTCTGGAATGCGAAGAATGCGTGGTTCAGTCGTATTGTACTAACGTAATTTAGACTTTGATCCACAGTCATTCATTTTTGATTTATAATATGTTTTGTACTAATTATATAATATTATATACATAATCATATGTGATGTGTGTGTATATATACTACTCATCTACAGTCAAGTTCATAATCTATTTATCTATACTGTGGGAATGTCCCGATCAATCGCCACATCCACATGCTCCACAGGTTCAGCTCCCGCGTGCGAGATGTTGCCAGAGGAGGCGACAACAACGGCGGAGATCCGGAATGATCCGGCAGAAAAAAGGTCGTTTTTTTTGTGGGTTTTATCCTCTGGTAAACCAACATTTTAAGGGGATCTAATGGGAATTTATGGTGGTTTAATGGGATTAAATAGGTTTTATCCTCTGGTAAACTAACATAACTATGGACAATGACAATTTTTAGTAAATCCACTATAGATGGCCATGTTCAATAGCTATTTTGACATAACCAGAGGGTTTTATGGAAAATCTCCATGGAGCTATTTTCATGGGAAATTCATCTGTGTTTTTTGATCCCAGGGAAATCCACTTAACAAATGGGAAACTGTAGGCAAATCCAAGCAATGGTAGATGTCATATATGTATAAGGATTTTTTGGGATTTTTCACAAGCCATGTGTTTTTTTTTGTGTTACTACTGTAATTATGTTACTGTATCATTTGGGAATGATCAAACCAATCTAGAGTAAGGATATTTACACACATAATTTTAGGGATGTTAGGGAAATCCCACTAGATTAATAAAAGTGGATTTGCTGTACATTTTCACAACACCACGGAGAACAACCATGGAGGAACCTCAGGACATGATCTACCTTGATGGTGTTTTTGTCCGGGTGATTTTGATGTGTTTTTTTTTTGGGGAGGGGGGTGTTGTGAGCGCCAACATGTTTGCATTTTTGACATTTCATTTCTGCAAAAGATACCAAACCCTGTTCTTTCCAGAACCAAACATTGTTGCTTCTGTAACAAAAGCAACCACTGTGCATTCTCAACAGCTCTCCCAATGTTCTACATAGATACATTGTTTCAGCCAAAGCAAACATGAATAATAGATAAAAACAACAAAACAAACAAGTGTAAGTGCCTTTCCAAAGAGTGCAGCATTGCTTTAAAAATGTAAAGACTCTACATCTCTACAGGAGTTTCCCTCAACATATGCAATAGTTCTTTTGGACATGTGCATTCTAAACAGGTACCAATTTATGCAATATGTTCTCTATAAACAATGAAGGAAAAATGAATTTGCAAACTGCACGTGTAAAATAATTTTGCATAAAGAACGCCATTCCTCAATGTAACAGTCCCTTTGCAAAAAGTGTGGCATTGATTGAAAGATAAGTAGCATTTAAAAAATGTGCATTTTAAGCAGGCACCAATTTATGCAATTTGTTCTCTATAAATAATGAAGGAAATAAACATGCAAACATCACTTGTAAAAAGACTGTGCAGAAAGAACACCATTCCTCCATGTATGCAACAACCTTTTGCACGCATTGTTGCATTCTTTGAAAGATGTGTAGCAGTACTTCCCAATTTCAAGGAGAACCCTCCTATGTATGTACTGAATGATTTCAGAAATCATAGCATTCCTGTAGGAAAAATGTAGTATGCTGTTTTGCAAGATTGAATCTATTCTTGAATTACTACAGCATGGTTTTGAAAAGAGCGCCATCTTACTAACACATTGAAACATGTGTTTTACCTTTGAAAGTGCAGATTCTTGTTTGCAAAGTGGGCAACATTATTGTAAGGAAGTGTAGCAAGAGCCTACTCTAGATTCCATTGATGATGCAAAAGCCTGTTTTTAAAATATGTGTTGTTTGTTGTAAAGCAAGTATTGCACCACCTTCTGCAGCATATCCTTTCAAAGAGTACAACTGTTCTATGGAAATGTTGTTTTGTTTTGAAAAGGGTGCTATGTGACTCGACTTTCAAAAAGTCTTCAAAATGTGCAATATCCTTTCTTTGTGAACAAAGTAGAATATGGCTTCAAACAATGTGCAAAAAAATGTAATTATAGATTATAAATCTTAATGCAAACTTATTCAAATATCATCATGGCAATGTAAGCAAGTGCTACATGCCTATGAAAAGAGTGCAGTAGCACAACTACCTACAATATCTCTTTCAAACTAGTGCAGCATTTGCTCGAAAACAAAAACTGTCAAATTACTGCAAACTGTGCAAAATCTGTGTCAATCAAGGAAAGCCTTCCTTTGAAGATGCACATATGTATGTATGTATATATATATATATATATATACATGTGTGTCTATGTATGTATATGTAGTCTTAAAAGTGAATAGTTTCTTGGCAAATCTGTGCAGCATCCCTCCAAGAAAGTGTAACATGAGCCTACAGCAGATTCCATCGATGATGCAATAATGCTTGAGAAGATGGTCGTATTACTTCAGCAAAGTGTGCCACCAATTTATACAACATGTTTTTCAAAAAAGTATAGCATGAAACTAAGGTTATTATCTAGGACATGGCCGAACATTTCAAAATTGGAACACACAGTCTTCAAAAGGTGCAGATGGCTGAACGTTACCAAAACACAAAAAACTTGGAAAAAACAACAAACAAGTTTCAGAGAGTCTTGGCTGGGAACCCCCCTTCCAAAGAGTCTAGAAATATTGTGTTTTTTTTGTTTTTCAAAGGTTTTTACCAAGTGTGGGTACTTCAAGGAAACTGGCATGAATCACAGGCAAAGCTGTCAAAGTGCCTTGGGGAATGCAGTAAAACATCTCAAAATAATCTTAAATCATGGGAAAACTGCACTCCCAAGGGCTGCCGTTCTGCATAAGAAAGCCAAGAAGCATCATGAGTGGATAAACGACAGCCAAACACACGCGAATGAGAGCAATTAGGGATAACAGCAATGCCAGGACCTATCCTTTAGTTTTCTGTTTGGGGGGAGCTGAGAGCTCCTAAAAGCAAAAGTAGTTCATTGTTTGGGATGCGTTAGAGAAGGGATGAAGCAGAATTGATGTGGATTAATCTGGATTAATCCTGGGATGCAAAACTTCGAAAAAAACAAAAAGAAAAAAAAAAAAACAAAGATTTGGCAACTAGTCCAGACATCAGAGTAGTTGTGTTTTTTTTTTTGTTTGTTTTTTTTGTTTTTTTGGTTCGCTCCAGTCGAAAGGAAGAAGTCACGAGTCAATCCGCGAATCTTCGCAGGACTAAGCACTGCGAAGACGACAATTTTGCAGTTCGGGTTAGACGATTGCGCAGTTCGGGTTGGAGGATTTTTGTAGTTCGGGTTAGACAGAAGACAGCAGACATTGGTTGCTTAGTATATCAAATGATTCGTCCTACTCACACAGGCTGTTTTGAGCGCAAAAAAAACATGAAACCATCCATAGTATCAAGGCTACATATCCCCAAAATTTCGTTTTTTTAGCGCTCACAACACCCCTTTCTGTTTTTTTTAAGGATAAACCAGAACTGTTCATGGATCTCAGCTTGAGAACATTAGGGGAGCCCTGCTCACTCTAAATGGTCAATGGATCAAGCTTAGGATTCTTCTTCAGTGATTTTAGTTTATGTCTCCGCCAGATGGGAAGGCCCCAGCTCCTCTAACATGCTCCAAAATCAATTTTAGAATCTCCCCGTAATCCCTCAAAATCCGCCCAATTCTTCCAAAATCTTCCAAAAATCCTCAAGAAAAAAGATCCCAAATCAATTTGAAATCATCCAAAAATGATCCAAAATCATCCCAAATCAATCCGAAATCAGCTGTTCCGGCAGGTTGAGGAGTCAGATGTCGAAGAGTCATGGAAGGTGCCTTGAAAAATCATGGGTTTTTCCTGAGAAAAGGGGGGTGGTTTCCAAGGATCTTCAAGGATTTGCATGGCTTTAATGGATGTTTTAAGGATTTGTTTTGTAAGATTTTTGAGGTACAAACCATCGTTTTGGTTGATTTTTTTTTCCCCTGGCGAAACCAAGCTGGGATTTAAAAACAGAGGACATATGTTGGTTTTGCATGAACAAATATGGAGGTTTCCATAAATGGGCGTACCCCAAATGGATGGTTTATAATGGCACGGCAAATCCATCTATAAATGGATGATTTGGGGGTACCCCCATTCATGGACAGCCTCACATAACTTCACGAAGAATTTCCAGCAAACTTTTTTTGTTTACCAGACTGGGCGTGAACGTCCCAATTGTGCATTTATTGTGATGTTCATCAGGTAAGCAGCAGGCTTGAAAAAAAAATCCAATCCAGTGTCCGTAGAGGTTGAAACTCCTCACATTTCAGGGGTGTGCAACCCTAACCTTGTTGTTGTTATTGCTTATGCGATATCCGAGTGTCCATTGGTCATGATAGTGCACAATCATCAAAATGTCGATTTTTGCGGGTATTGGATTAATTCAACATGGAGCACACTGTTTTTGTTATTTAGTGAAGCACCCCAAAAAAATAACGTGATTCGATGTAACCTATTTGTTTTGTCTCATTGAAGGTCAGGGTCAAATTCTATGGCGCAATGTTGGTTCCATCCAACTAGTATGTTAATGTATATTCTCTATCATCTTTGTACGAAGGTCAATCAATACACCATCCATGTATGACAGACGCTGGCAGACGCACAGCCACATTATGCATAAATGTATGACTCTAAATGTATACGTACATCATATGATTTACAGTGTGTAGAAATAAATCTATATATCTCCCAGAATTGTTTTATAAAAAGAAACAGGAAATCCCTATGCCAGGTAAAATACGATCTAGTATCATATAATGATATACGATACAATGATATACATATTTAAAACTTAGTTATACCTTCAGTATCAATATTGATATGTAGTCTCAACTCACTGTTTGTTTCTTTTGTATTAGACTGATGTATTATACATTTAGTGTACATGTGAGTTGTTTGTGTAAGAAATACTATTTTGACACATGTGTAATATGTATATATATATATACATACACATGTGACTCATGATGTACATGATAGACATGATTATATATATATCACAAAAAATAGGTGTATCTATATATATATATATACAGGAAATAAAAAACGCAACTATTTTTTTTTGTTGGTCACATGCGTTGTTTTTCTTCCTGCCGACCATGGGATCAGAAAACAGGACCTGCTTCCCTCAGCGCCCAGCGTCACCCAGCTGGCAGAGTTGAAGGTCGAGGGTATCATCAACGGATGTCAGGGAGAAACTCTAGGAAACTATGATATTATGTTAATTTCCCAATAATACGGCAAGACCCTACGGTTTGCCCGCAAGGTTAGAATGGAGTTCAAAATATGATCCTTCGACATGCTCAAAAACCTGCGCATTGCCAGTGTTTTGGTATTTACCAGACGACGAACCCTAAACCCTAAAACCCTAAAACCCTAAAGCCCTAAACCCTAAAACCCTGAAAACTCTGAATCCGAAAGCAGAAAATACTGCGTATACGCAGTATTTTCTGCAATTTCTCTTCTCATGTTCGACGACAGGGAATCCTCAATGTAGCAGTCCGGGAAAACCACGGGGTCTGTGCGTAACAATAGATAGATAGATATAGATACGTAATCACTGATATGGAATATAATGAATATAGTACTGTGTACTATTGTGTGTATTTGGTTGTAATATATCCACTATGGGTGTATAGTAATATCTGTACGTAGTAGTATAATGTGTATAATCCGCAGGATTGGGCCCCCGTTGGATAGCGTTCCGTTGCCTTATTTTTGTGGCTGAATTCTAGGGTTTATATGGTAGGTATAACTATAGTATTCATGGGGTTTATAAACCAACTTATAACTGGGGCACTATCCTGTATAGTATTTGGATGTAATTTGGGGATTTGGCAGAGTCTATGTTAATTTACTAGAGGGTGTGTATATATATATATATACACAATAATTATATAGATAGATATTGATATGTATTTACTGATATGGAATATACTAGGATTATTACTGTTATGTGTATTTGGCGATTTCCTAAGATAAACGGTACCCAAAATCATCCAAGTCATGGATGACCATGACTTAGTAACGTGCTGACATCCATGGTTTTGAGATACTTCCCCCTTTCAGGACACCTCCATTTGTAACTAGAATGTTTGGATGTACTGATACGGAATAATAGCTGATATGTAATTATATGTAATATGGTGGATGTATATGTAATATAGTTATGTAGCTTACATTTATACGTAATTGCTGATGTGTAATGTACTTATGTACTAATATGGAATATACTTGTATGTATTTATATGTAATATGAATATGCATATCTAAATAATAGATATGATATATTGATATGTATTAATATGTATTGATATGTATTGATATATATATACACTGATGTGTATTGATCAGGTTTTGCAGTAAAAAATAACTCATATGTATCCACTGTATTTATTTTTTTTCGTGGACATGGTCTTTATTGACAATTCTAGTGTTAAAGTCAGTGGTTGATGTTTCTCCTCCAGAGTACTTAGTAACTTGTAAGTGTGCTCCTGTAGGCAGAAAATTCTGCCCAACCTTAGGAGGTTTGTACTTTAAGTGTTTCTTGCTCCCAACTCTTGGAAGTGTCTGGGAACTCATGAACTCGTGCAGGACGTCACGGGTGCCCACTGCATGCCGGGAGCCCAGTGGAATGAATGGTTTGTCCAACATAGGGAAGCTCAGAATCCAGGGGCTTTTATCGTGGTTTCCAAGGGGAATTAGATCTATTAGATCACCCAGTTCTGGGATTTTCTGGGCAGGAAAAGCCCCTGAGTTAAAAGTTGGTCCATATACCCTCTGGTTATTTAACATAACTATGGAAAATCACAATTTTTAATAGGTAAACCATCTATAAATGGGCCATTTTCCATGGCGAACTGTTAAATAACCAGATGGTAAGATTCCCCAGAATTCACCTACAAACCAACGGAAACCGACCCTTCACCCATGACGCGCCGGCAGGCTGCATTTCTACGTGCATGACGCGCAGCTGCTTCAAGAAACCCAAGGCCGCCGTTTAGGAGACGATTTCTGAGGTTTTGTTCAGCTCAGGTCTCAGGTTAGTGACGAATCTTTGGGTTTATTAAAATAGATGTACCTTCTAAAGGAACCAACAACCACCACATGTTCCTTTGGTGACCACCGTGCAGGCGAGCTTGAATTGGAGGCCGCTGTCGTCGCTGTCGTGGGACACGGACTCTTGGTGATGTTTTTTTTCCCCATTTTTTCCCAGTTCAGATGGACATCATATAGTGGTGGTGATTAACCACCATCAACCAACACTTTACAAAAATCGTAATCAAGTATTAATCACCATCTTTTCTGCTTTTTAACCACCAAGCATTAAATTGCATATCCAATACAAAAATGGTGGTTAATACCAAATTATCCAGATGAATCTCCAACTGTCAGGTCTTGCTGGGACAGAATGTCGCCTTTCATCTCAGCCAAGGCGCAAAATTTTTGGCGATTCGTTTGGGATTCTTGGGAAACCCCAAGAAATGGAGATAGACACATATACTGTAATACATAATATGATAAATGAGGCATTTCTTGGTAGAAGGGTTCCAGCTGTTGATTTTTTGTATTTGAACACGTGGGCAATTGGGGTAAAGAAGACATTACTGGTTTGTGGTTTGGAACATTTTCTATTTTTCCATATATTGGGAAAAATAATCCCAACTTACTAATATTGTTCAGAGGGGTTGAAACCACCAACCAGTTTATCATCAATTATCTATCCATGTCATGCAATTGATTCGGGTATGGTTGAGATCAATGGAGCATGGAAGGTTTTCCCGCTGTATTTGATAAAGTTGATAAAGTAATAGGCATTGAGATCCGATATGTTGACAAAAAATTGGATATGACATGGATCTACACTCAGTTCAGGGTAATATGTTTGGTTGCAGGGTTTGTTCAAGTTTGTTCAGGTTGTTTTCCGAATGTATGATCATATGAAAATCTATGACCCATTTGAAGACCATGTGCATTTTCGGGGTGTTCTCTGGAGCTCCGTAGTTTGGGGTCAACTGGGGCGCCTCAAAGCCGCAGGTTGATCATGGTTCATCATGCTTAATCAGGTTTAATCATGGTTATTTCATGTTAGTTCATTCCTTTGCCATCCTTTTCCCATATTTTCCCTATCCAAAAGGTACAACAACATGACCTAATTCACGTGGTAAACCCTGGCCATAGACCTACCATGCCTGGGGCATGGTTACCACCTATCTGTGAGGCAGCGGCTCGTCCTTTCAACGCCAGTTTCGCATCAAGAAGGTGCCTAAAGACCAAAAACAATGGCGATATGTACCCTCTGGTAAACTGTTATTGAAGATTGATTAAAATTAATAATAGTAAATGGAAAGATGGATTAATAGTGATTTAATAGTGATTTAACTAAATAAGTAAACTATGGTAAAAGGAATGAATGGACAACCTGCGGCTCTGAGGATAAACATATTAAATAGTGGGGATAATGGACAATAAATCACTATAATATTAATCACTAGTAATCACTATTTAAACTGTTATTGAAGATGGATTAAAACATTTAATAGTTATACTTAATTACCCTTAATATCTTAATGGGATTTCAAGGATTTATGGATCCAATGGAAAAATGGTATTAATAGTGATTTATAGTGGGTTAATAATGTGTTAATAATGGTGTAATAGGGATTAATAGTGATTAATATTGAATGGGATAGAACTGTTAATGTCAACCCTGGATTAATAAACCCCGAACGGCTGTTTAATTGGGAGGGTACCATAAAAAAGTATCAGATGAAATGGCTATTGGAGGAGCACCACCATAATTAATAAACCATGGTTTATTAATCCAGGGTTGACATTATTGAATATGGATTAACACATTTAAGGCCAGACTGCGATTTCCATGGATTTCCCTGATCTAATTTCTGATGTGGTGATTTCCCCATTCCCAAACTCTGAATGTTTACCAGAGGCTATCCAAACATTCTGCTGTTTTTTTGGTTGACGCACCTTCTCATGGGTTCTTGGTGAGTATCCTCCATGGCAGCCTTCCGCAGGCTTCCGCAGGTGTTTCATCACGAAAAATCGGCTGACAAAAAAAAAGTTCAAGCTGTCAAGGTGTTTCGTCACCCAACATCTCCAACATCATTTGGGGATGGGTCAAAACCTATTGTTACCATATTTGTGGTAATCAACATCCATTAGCCAGCTCACAGGGTTTTGACTCATAGCCAGGTCCTGACCCGGCTTCCCTTTTCGGTCAGGTAGCCAGCAAAAAAAAATCATCCAGGGCCCATCCAGATGAACTGATCCAATGAGTGGATCTGTCATGGGATCATGGGATAGATTGGGATAATGGGATATCTATTGTTCATGCTACCCTCTGGTAAACTAACATAGCTATTGAAAATGGGCCATTTAGTTCGTGGATTTACCCATGAATAGCATGGTGATTTTCCATAATTATGGATCTGTCATGGGATCATGGGATAGATTGGGATAATGGGATATCTATTGTTCATGCTACCCTCTGGTAAACTAACATAGCTATTGAAAATGGGCCGTTTAGTTCGTGGATTTACCCATGAATAGCATGGTGATTTTCCATAATTATGTTAGTTTACCAGAGGGTAATTGGGATATGTTTCATCTATGGGATATATTTGGATATTATTCATATCATATGGTTATTGTTTTTATTTGATAGGCAGATCAGTGGATCATCATTATCATTATCATTATGATTATATTATAAGAATATCCCAATGAATACCCTCTGGTAATTTAACGTAGCTATTGAAAATGGCCATTAATAGTGGATTTTCCCATTAAAAATGGTGATTTTCAATAGCTATGTTAAATTACCAGAGGGTATCCAATTATCTAATTCATATTTATAATTATCATGATCTTATAGTATATAATCATCTATATTATATGCATCTAATAATCTAAGTCATATTCCAATGAATATCCCACCAAACAGATACGGAAACTGTATTCACCTTGTCGTTTCCTGCGCTGTTGCTGAAACGTCACCCTGTTGCCAACTATGTAGAATTTTGCATATCATAAAATGTATGCATGCACACAATATTCTATATGCATATCTAGTATATATCTTAATGTACCTTGCCTTGATGGAACTGTACATTTACTGTATACTCACCCCCCCCGAAGATGCTGAATTTGGCAGCCTCCGTCAGCCTCCGATCCTCGAATAGAAAAGTAAATTGAACTTGTCTACCTTCGTGGGGAGCTGGTAAACTATGCACCAGGAATCATATACTGTACAAGATGAGGCCCCCCAGTGATCTTTGTTAGTTTATGTAGCCGCTTCACTTTTAGCAGTTATATCTCCATATGGCACTAATTGACCAAATTATAAGTCAACTTAGCTATAAACGAAGCCTGATCTTGGGTGAGGAACTGCCCATCGAGTTACCACGGCACAGTCGTTTGGGTGGCCCAGGGGCGGTACGTTGGGTGAATAGTGTAGTTCTAAAACCTGGGGGACTTCCAGGTATAAATTGCAGACAAAAACATATTGCTGAATATTATTTGAGAATTGTCATCGATGTAACTGTAGGTAAGGCATCAATAAGTCATAAACAGTAGAACATTATTTATTTTCACCCGGCCAACTTTGGATTCTGGATGGCCTAGATGTGAACCAAGTTACTTATCGTTTTTTGGACCACTTCTTGTATGGGCAGATTGTCTATTATTGTGGCAAGCATTGGTCGACTGATCCTGAGTGTATCATGGTGACCTCTCCCCATACATCAAGAGGAATCTGTGGAACCGACTAGAAGAACGGCTCATTTATCATCATTTATCCAATAGAAAGAACCATAGTCCATACCTAAGTGGGTTTGTCTGAAAACAGGGTACCCCATAGTTCTACTGGGTCAATATTTTTTTTTTCCCAGGAAGCGGTGGAAAATCTTGCCCATTCCAACGCAGCAAACAGCAGGCCAGAATGGTGACTTCCAATACCCATAGGATCCATGGTGCTGCTATATATGGTAACATTTACCATCAATATACCCCCAATGTTAGCATATATACCAGCACCATGGATCCTCTGGGATATATTGTTTAGTGGTGACTTTTCATTTGTTTATTTGTATTTGTTCAGTATTACATATGGTTGGTGGTTCAATCTCATTTCTTCTTAGTGGTTACTCTAAATCCTTATGAACTCCCTGTTCTTTGTGTTTTTCATCCCGACATGTTGTTTTTGGGTGGGTGTGTTTCCAATTAGATATATGTACCGTACACACACACATATATATATATATATATATTGGAATCCAAATTTTCAGTGGTCAAATCCGGATATTGGTGGTTAAACATCCACGATTTCGAGTGCTTCGTGTTCCCCTTCAAAGAAACGTTTCAGGCTTGCAGTTGCGCCTTCGGAACTCCTCACAGGTAGGGAAGAGCGGTGGCGTATAATTAGTATAATTGATAGATTTATATATAATAATCATAGTTATCATAGATTTATATAATAATAGTATATAGTATAATTTGATGTATAGACTATAATTATTCATGTTGTAATGTACAGCATAAAATAATGTTGGATTATGATAATTGATGTATAGAATATTTCAATCACAAAACTGGATATTCCAAGTGATTACCGAGTGATTTTCACAGGACTGGATATTCCCGGGTGGGTAATCAGAGTTTTCCGAAAAGACCTGGGGATGCGGGCGCTGGGCTGCCCTGGGTCACATGATGTCACATGGGTGGTGAACATGTCCCTATTCTCTGGACTAATATATATATATATGCAATATAATATAATATAATATAATATAATATGATATAATATTATATGATATAACATGATATATATATATATATAATGATGTAATCCAATATAATCTAATCTAATATAATATAATATAAAATAGTATGTATATATTACAATTGGACGGTTTAATGATTACGGAAGCTGACCAAATGTGATCAACCGTTGCTACGATCACATGAAGAAGTAGGTACTCGGGTACTCGACACTGGGGTCATCTTTGATGATCTTTGATACCCGGCCTGGTAATGACTAACATAATAACATAGCATTGAACATTGTCCATTTAGTTCGTTGATTGACTTATTAAAGATGGTGGTTTTCCAGTTTGTGAACTGTTAGTTTACCAGAGGGTACTTTTTTTTCATTTTCATTGATGTTTATTATTATTGTTTGGATTGCATATTTCAGGTTGAGCCGTTTAATCTTCTTACCCATGGGTCTTCCCCCTGTTCTCACACTGAGGTAAGCTCTGCAGACCCAAATCCATGTTTGTTGGGCTACTTGGTGGCGCAGTCCATTTAGTCAGCGCAGCAAAACCCCACTCAGTATGTAGGCATAATTATAGGTATTATAGATGATACCCAGTATATTACTGGACATACCCTCTGGTAATAGCTATTGAAAATGGTCATTTATAGTTGATTTACCCATGAAAAATGGTGATTTTCCATAATTATTTATATTATATATTCACCAGAGGGTAACATTTTTGGTCTTCAGTCATCGCGGTTCATCCCAGTAGAGTATGTCCAGTTTGAACGATGAACTAAGCCACTTGAACTCATCATAGTGAACTAAGCCAAGTACCGCACTGCGCGTGTCTGGGAGGTCCTGGGTTCCACGCTGGTAGATTTGCAGGCGCAAAGTGGACATGACTTGGATATAACTCTTGGGTCAAAACCTATTACCATCTGGTTATTTAACATAGCCATGGGAAATGGCCCATTTATAGATGGTTTACAGTACCTATTAAAAATGCTGATGTTCCATGGCTATGTTAAATAACCAGATGGTATTATCAATTTTACTGGGATGAACGGATGAACATCCATAAATCCCAGCTATTTTGGGGTTAAAAAAAAGGTGCCAGGGTTTTGACCCATAGCCATATAACTTGGATGTAACGACTCATAAGCATTCATAAATTCATAAGCCGCTTATTGACCAGGCGCCACTCACTGATCTCCAGGATATATATATATATGTATGATTATATATGATATATAGATCCGTATAGCTCCCAGCACTGCATGTAATGCTGTATCAATCTGGATAAGAGCAACCGGGGACGGTGGTGGAAGGGTCTACCAGTCTACCATAGCGCGAAGCAAAGTGGGAGACATCCAAATGTAGACCGATGCATCCACTATTTGTGATCCCTAGCTCCAATTATATGAAAATAATATAGAATATATACTTATATACCGGTACCCGTATATACCGTAGATGTTTGTATATTTGAATAGTTTACAGTCATCCTGGAGTAGAGAGAATGTGGAAAGCTCAACCGAAAACTGCACTGAGATGGCCTTATGTCGGAAGTTCATGGAAAATTCTATGGAACATTCATGACCACAATCATGAACAAAAACATGGAACACACATCATGAGAATTCATGAAAACATCATGTAAAAACATGGTGGCGGCGCCTGTGGAGCGACCGCGCTCTTTCATGTTTTTCAGAGGTCGTTTTAGAGGTTCAAAGCACAATTCCCTGTAAAACGCAGGACTTTATTCATGAACCTTGCTCGATCGATGTTACAAAATGGTTCAAAAACATTGGAGGCGCGCCTCAAAATTAACTTCGTGTCGTTTTCGCTGTAGCGAAAACGCGATTTTTGGAAAAAATGGATTTCGAAAACATATTCCCGAAACACATTCGAAGTTTTTTTTACCTATCTTCACAACGTAGCATCCAGAGCGTCCCTGAAGTTACTTCAACATCTTCACAACGTAGCATCCAGAGCGTCCCTGAAGTTACTTCAACATCTTCACAAGGTAGCATCCAGAGCGTCCCTGAAGTTACTTCAACATCTTCACAACGTAGCATCCAGAGCGTCCCTGAAGTTACTTCAACATCTTCACAACGTAGCATCCAGAGCGTCCCTGAAGTTACTTCAACATCTTCACAACGTAGCATCCAGAGCGTCCCTGAAGTTACTTCAACATCTTCACAACGTAGCATGCCGTAGCATCACACCCATCCGGCAGCCGACATGAACGTTATTAGCCCACCCCATCCCCTCCCCCACCCCACCCCATTTGAAGTTACTTCAACATCTGAACGACGTAGCATGACGTAGCATCACATCCTTCCGGCAGCCGACATGAACGTTATTAGCCCACCCCACCCCCCCCCCACCCCACCCCATTTGAAGTTACTTCAACATCTGAACGACGTAGCATGACGTAGCATCACATCCTTCCGGGAGCCGACATGAACGTTATTAGCCCACCCCATCCCCCCCCCACCCCACCCCACCCCATGCTCTGACGTAGCGATTGAAACAGGACGAACATCCCCAAGAACCAGACATTCACGTCAAATCAACATGAAAACATTAAGACCAACTCAAGATCACATGGTAAAATTTACAACAGTGCGGTCGCCTGAGAGGCGCCGTCACCAAAAATAGACCGATGCATCCACTATTTGTGATCCCTAGCTCCAATTATATGAAAATAATATAGAATATATACTTATATACCGGTACCCGTATATACCGTAGATGTTTGTATATTTGAATAGTTTACAGTCATCCTGGAGTAGAGAGAATGTGGAAAGCTCAACCGAAAACTGCACTGAGATGGCCTTATGTCGGAAGTTCATGGAAAATTCTATGGAACATTCATGACCACAATCATGAAAAAAACATGGAACACACATCATGAGAATTCATGAAAACATCATGTAAAAACATGGAAAACATCATGGAACAACATGGAACAATCATGAAAAATCATGAAACATCATGAACACATCATGAACAAAATATGGAAAAACCATGGAAAAAAAACATGGAAAACATCATGAAAAATCCATATTCTACTTGAAGATGACCAGACAAATCGATCTCAGAAATCACCAGGACAGGCAACTCGTGGAGACCTTGCGGGAGAAGGCTGATATTTTTTTTTCAAGAAAAACGTGGGGAAAAGGATGGGACATGAGATTACTAATCTAGATTTACTAGAAATGGGAAATGGGATTACTATGTGGTGATTTCAAATCTCAATCTGGATTTACTAGGGAAAATCTGGGAAATAAGTGGTGATAAGTGATAATATCAATCTAGATTCTAGATAGATATATATATATATGATATACATCCTTAAGGGATCACATCATGAAGTAGTAGTTCTATTATTCCCACAAGTAGTAGTTCTATTATTCCCACAATGTGGGCCGTGCACTTATGTTTGTTGCTTTGCGAACCCATCCAACTAGTTCGCTATATCCACCATCAATACTACCATCTGGTTATTTAACATAGCCATGGAAAATCACCATGCTATTAATAGGTAAACCATCTATAAATGGGCCATTTTCCATGGCTGTGTTAAATAACCAGAGGGTAGTTATTGTAGTCGAGTCAAACACTCACCTCCCTAGGGCCCCCTTCCGGTGTGGAACGACAGTGTCTTTATGCCTTGACCCTTCTAGCTTGTGCATATCATGTGCGCGAGTTTTCAGCATGTAGCGTATGTTTAAAGATTTAAAGGTCAGCATGGGTAAAAGCAGCAGAAAGGTCTATAACACCAACTTTGATGGATTTCATTTAATGTATAATATATAAATATATATATATATATACACATTATATACATTATATACATATTACCTATAGGATTACTTGTTTTATACATTCTATTTGGGATGGGTTAAAGCCACCCAGCCCAGTTGCCAAAGATCGATTTCTTGCACCATGGAATGCATGGAATCCTTGGATTTGTTGATCCGAGAGATCGGAATGGCAGTGGGATGTTTCTGTAGGGCAGAATACCCGGCCTGGTTATGTCAAACAGTTGTTGTGATGGTTGCTATGGTTATCCTCTGGTAAACCAACAGTTTGCTATATTTGCGAACTTGAGAATGGTCCAGTCGAAATAGTTGATGAATCCATATATTCAGAGCATGGTGGATCTTTCCATAGTTATGTAAACGTTTACCAGAGGGTACCATGGTTTTTTTTGGAACCTTGGAACTGATCATCTTACTGGTGGCAGCCCCAGTTGGTTGAAAAAAAAACCCATGTTCAAAGTAAATCTCGTTAACTCCTATGGTAACACGATGAAATAGCCATAGTTCTATGGCGAATTCTCTGGTAAGCTGTCACATAACTATGGAAAGATCCACCATGCTATACCATGCTATTAATGGGTAAATCAACTATTTCTATGGCAATTGTCAATAGCTATTTTGACATAACCAGAGGCTAATTCTATGGGGCACCATCTGTATAGCTCCCCAGTTTTCTCAGGCGGAGCTGGCCGAATGCCGTCAGCTCTGGTCGTCCGGGGCTCAGGGGAAAACGGGCGGAAGTTCATCAGGAGAGGTACCGGTAAACATACAAAAAGCTATGGAAAATCACCATTTTTAAGAGCTAAGAAAAACAAAAAACATGGGCCATCTATACCATAGCTATGTGGCTATCTTAGTTTAGGATACGTGGATCTATGCCTCCCAAAGAAAAGAATTTCAACAAACACACTTGGATTTGAGTACTGAAAAGATGTGATTTATCCAATAAGGTATGGAAGTTTCACCAGTAATTAAGTGAGAGATCGCGATTTTACCAAAAATAACGGTGCGTGAACGAAAAACAAATTGGGTTTAACCACGGCACCTGACGACTTACCAAGACAAGTTAATGTGGCTCCAACCGATAAACACGTGCATACCACAAGCTGGATCTATATCCACTAGCACCAACATTTAAACCAATGAAATCCATGAAGAACCAGCAAGGATGGTATTTTTGCCGGTGAACAAATGGACAACACAAATTATGTGATTTTGCGCTAGCGGTAGATCATATTTCGGAATTTTGCGCTAGCGGGAACTACGAATTGAATTGGGAGACCGAAACTTCAGAATGATGATGACCAACGACAAGTGGAAATAGCCAAAAAAACATGGGGATCTTGGCCTTCTTGGGTGATTGCCATCAAACATCAGGTGTTTAGCAAATAACAGATGAGTAAAAATCTTGGTGACTTGGCGTCACACTTCTCAGCTGATCCAGGTAAACAAATATCACTGTGCATGGGCTAAGAACCGTATAGCTGTTGTTATCAACCTAACTGGCTATTTGGGGATTTGCACATAGGAATATCTTGCAACTAACCAGAATTTCATGAGGAAACTAGGGTTTTCCGCTTTGGGGATTCACCTTGGACCGATGTTGACAGCAACAGTTTTCCATCAGACTCGAAGTCAATTCTTCTGATCCTACTACGATTTCGAATGATTTTCATGCACTGTTCCAAGGAGGTATGCCATGAAATGGAGTATATGAAAAAAACAAATCTATCTCTCTAATTTAATTTGTTGTATTGTCATCTACCGCATACCACATACTCAGTCGTGGCATTCTTGAGGATCAGTTGCTGACTTCTGGGAGGTTTTATTTCCAATGATGTATCCCAAATAATTTTGTTCAAAAGTTATTGCCAATCATAATTGGCGCAGCATATAAAAATCATTGCACGTGAATTGTATATTGTGACCAAAAAAACAACTCATAAACAGTGGCATAATATGTATTCACGCTAAAGTTCTGGGGTAAATGTTATTTTTTGTGGGCCGAGGGTCAAGGGGCCACTATGTTCATGGCGTTATACCTCTGAAATGTTTAAGCTACAGGCAGCAGCTGCGCTGCGTGGTGGCCTCAATCGGCAGGGTGTACACACGGAAAATCACGAAGATAATCAGATCAGATAGTTCTTGGTATATCCTTGCTTTACCGGATTCCAAGAACTATCTGATCTGATTATCTTAGGGATCTGGATATCAATAATCAGATAGTTCTCGGATTCCATTTTTGTTGATCCCCAAATAAATCCAAATTATGTTCTGATAATCTTGGGTAGTACAACTCGCTTTGATCATAAAACGCTGCATTTTTGAACCTGGTCCAGAAATGGCTATAGATCCTCTAGAATTGCAGGTTTGTCACTGGGTTCACGGTTGTGTCCTCATTAACATTAATTCACCATCGTGTTCCTTTTGAATCCAGTAAGAAGGAATATGTTTCCCGCTGAAGAACGGTATCTTTCGCACAGTTGGACTTGTTGGTTGGCCAACATTCAATCACCGGGACAATGTCAAGATTGGGGTTGATGTTTGCGTGATGCTAAGATTTAGATATACTGAGTGTGGTGATGATAATGCTGATGGTGATTGTTGTTGAATGCCTTCGTGAATCATTGGTTGGTTAATGTCTTAGGTTCCTTGCGCACATTGTCAGATATTGTCAGCCTATGTTTGGTTGGTTGGTCCATACATCTTATATTACATGTTATTGTTATTATATTGTATTATATATATTATATTATGTATTATATTAATAATATATATATATATATATTATATTACATATATTATGTGTCTATATAATATCAGCAGATCTCCTATTGTCACCCCTGTATGCTTGTATCATTGATTGCCCCCACCACCCAGATACGGTTCCTCAGGTCGGCTCGCTGCAAATGTGGGTTTGCTTGACTCCCCTGCAGGTCATTGACGTCGGCAGGGCGAGGGTGGTTTGGGGATCCCAAAAGAAGGACAGCAGTATCTGGATACCTGGTTGGTCGTTTGAAATAATTATCCAACAGGCTGTTTTTTTCATGTTTGACAAACACTGTGGGATTATAACCAATGATTCTGGGGACGTTGCACATAAACATCGTGAAATATTGTGAATGTAAACGCATTTACAACGTCCTCTTACAGTCGATGGTTTGTTTTACATCCCAAAAGGTTGGATGATGATTCTACATGGCTTTCGCGCTTCTGAGAAGGGTGGCTCAACCACAGCCAACTATACATACGTATATAATTATACCATATATTATACATATGTCATATACACATATATACAATATAATGATATATGTTTTTAATTGTATATATATATACATAATATATATATATATACATCTACGAAACATATAGCATATCCATAATTGTATATGGATTGAGGTTCATTTTGCAAGGTGTTAAGTTGCTTATTCCTGCTCCACGGCCATACTACCCACTTGAAGCTCACAGCATCTTGACAGCTGTTGCACGCCAAATTTATCCCTTGATATTGTAAAGTCAACGAACCACTGGTGATTTCCTGTGGTTTAGTTTCCGCGTTTCTGCTACTTGAGACCGTTTTTTCATGAAGAAGTGGGGGTAAATGATGGTACATCCTAACTGGTGACGGGTCTTTTGCGAAGTCACTTGGGAATCCGGCGTATCTACATCAAAATCTCATAGTGTTTCTAGATGTTTCTTCCAAAAGTGTACATCCCATTCACCTGGATAGATGATGATAGAGGATCCCCAAATATCACAAGAAGGGGATGATCATAGATAGATAGATGATAGATAGATGATAGATAGATGATAGATAGATGATGATGATAGATGATAATAGATGATAATATATGATACAGTAATATATGATAATAGATGATAATATATGATAATAGATGATAATCGATGATAATAGATGATAATAGATGATAAATAGATGATCATAGATGACAATAGACCATAGATGATAGATAGATGATAGATAGATAAACGTTGGTTGAAACTTCCAGAGCTACAATTCTTTATCACCAACAGAGCCAGCCAAAACGATGAGGTCCAAGGCCTCGATTTAGGGTTTGGTGCGGACTGGAAGGTTTTCACAATGCCCATTTAGAGATGAGTTTAATTATTTATTTTTACATACATATCTGGTTGGTGGTTTGGATCATTTTTTATTTGTCTATATATTGGGAAAAATAATCCCAACTGACTTTCATATTTTTTCAGAGGGGTTGAAACCAACAACCAGATCTATTATACCATATGGATCCAAATAAGTACCCTCTTAGGAAGTGGGACTGGGCGATGATGACTGGGGGGTGTCTTGTATCTTCTCAGGAGGTGTTCGGATCCATAGGGATAAATATATATGTATTATAATATTATATATATATATACATATTTGATTTGATATATATATATACATAATATATATATATACATAATATATATATGTATATATAATATGTATATACATAATATATATACATAATATATATACATAATATATATATATATATATACATAATATAATATATATATAATATGTATATACATAATATATATTATGTACATATATATATATTTACATAATATATATAATATGTATATACATAATATATATTATGTACATATATATATATATATATTTACATAATATATATACATAATATGTATATACATAATATATATATATATATACATAATATATATACATAATATATATATATATACATAATATATATATATATATATTATACACATAATATATATATATATACATAATATATATATATACATACATAATATATATATGTAAGGTATTGTTCTGTATTATGGTGATGTTTCAGTTAGTTCGTGTTGAAGTACCAGATGTTTTTTGAGGCCAGGTCCATGAGTCCTGGGCAAAAAAGTCTCCGAAGCTTTGATGAATGTTAGGAAATCAATGATAAATAAACAATGTCTTGATTGGTGAACAAAGAATGTGAACAAAGATAATCCTAGTTATGTCTAGTTTGGTGAAACAAAACATGTCTTAGTCGTGTTGATTTTCAAGCTTTTGGATTAATATTAGACAATCATAAGCCACTCATAGTTTGCCGGTTGGAATCCCACCCATAAACAAGGTCAAATTGGAGGATGGTTTAGCATACAAGTAGCACATGTGCTCGAACAGCAGGGACCCCCCAAACGTATCATTGTCAAACTGTTTTTTTTTTTAATCTGCTGGATGACTCGGAGTGACCGAGAGAAGAATGGCCAGTAATGTATGGCGAAGAGAGGAATATAAAAACATCTCAGCTCACTGCAGGGAGGATAAACAAATACATAAACCATGGTTTATTAATTTGGGAGGTACTCCTCCAATAGTCATTTCATCTGATTTTTTTTTTTTATGGTAACCTCCCAATTAACCAGCCGTTCGGGTTTATTAATCCGGGGTTGACATTATAACAATACATTTGGGATATGCTTGGCTACGTTTACCCATACACAAAAAGATGATGGGAAGAGCTGGACTAGTAAATGAGGTGGTGAAGACAACCACAAAGTGCACCAAAATGTGTTACAATACCTTTCAAACATAGGACATGATTACTGACAATGAATGATCCATGATTAAGAAACATTAAGAACCCTATGTCAAATAACCATTTGAGAGGTATCATCTGGTAATCGTCCATTCTAGCAAAGAGAAACGGCATTGCTTCCGGCCCTCGGCACGCAGCTGGCGCCGTGCCAGGCGACGCTTGAGCTCGAGAGACTTGGATAACGACCTTTGGGGGATGATTGGAGATTGGTTACTCTCCAAACTCACAGTTTGCTATGGAAAATGGACCATTTATAGGTCATTTACCGATTAAACATAGTGATTTTCCATAGTTTTTTGTATGTTTTCCAGAGGATAAAACCCATTAAAAATTGTAATTTACCTTTTAAGAGAAAGTGATTTTCCAGTTCGCAAACTGTAAGTTCACCAGAGAGTGACCATGATTTTGATCTGGGTCGTCCATGGGTCGTCCATGAAACCCCACAGCCACTGTCAACTACTAGGAATGGGTGCCGCAGGTGCCAAGTTGCACCAGATTGGGTGGTGATTATGGCTACAGTTTTATGGATATGAAAGATGAAAGCAACTAAAGAAACAGGGGGCACCTAGTAGTGGTTGCCTATCATTGAACTCGACCATGGTCTTGGAAGTTTTTGATCCACGGGAGAGAATAAGACGATGAAACATCTAACTACTGCATGCCAGTCTTCCAATCACCTTTGGTTTACACTAGCAGGATGTCATTCCCCTAGCCAGATCGATTGCCAGGTGATTCAACTTGTGTTTCAGATCCTGAAGGAAAACTGACAAAACCTGGGGTCCAAAGTGTTCCAAAACCTCCCAAAAGCAACGCCCAGGAAAGATCTTTGGCCACTTCCTTATCGGCAAGATCGAGTAGAATTGCGTGTTATTTTGCACGAGGCGGCAGCGGAGAAAACGTGTTGGTCTTTTTGCAGGGTCAAGAGTTGAAGTTGATGTTTGCATTTTTTGGCTCCGAAAATGGAAGAGTTCAACGTTCAGAACGCGTACATTACATTTGTGAACATTGCCGCAGTTCAGTGTTTTTGTTGGTGAAGGTATCTGCACAATTTTCACGTCACCACCACATAACATGTCTGTGACAACAATATATGTCATGTTTCAGCTATGAATTTGATCCAAAACAAACATCGTCATGTTGTTTCCCTATCAGAACTATCAAAAGTATTAGAACGCTTACCGCCATGACCATCACCGCCACTATCAGTATCATCTCGTCGTCGTCGTCGTCCTCCTCCTCCTCAGCAGCAGCAGCAGCAGTAGCATCGGCATTATAGTTTTACGTTGCTGATGTATATATGTGTTATTTTAAACAAGAAACACACCATCAAATTCAAACCAGCACAAACCATCATACACATTCATAAAATATCTGAAATATGGTTTTATATAATTACAACCATGTCCCCAATATCTGTCACCAAATATTTGTAATCACCATCATCGACGTGATCTCCTGTATCGTCTTGACACTCTCCAGAGGTCCTTTTTTCGATGGCCAGCACAGCCAAAGAGGCGCCTCGGGGTTGACTCCTACGGAAGCCCAACGGAAGCGCGCAGAAGCAGAAATCTGCAAGGGGCATGATAGGAGATACAATCGGATATAATATGATATATATATATATATAATATGATATAATCTCTATGAGATTCTGGGGATACTATGGAGATATCAGATATATTCAGATATAATGTTATTTATGGGAAATACTGGGATATATTGAGACAAAATGAGACATCCTGTGATTCAACCGGACAGGGTGCATGAGTTTGTCCTTGGGTATACCCGGGATACCTTACCCGAGGCCATTTTGACAGAAATCAATGATCAACCAGGATATGTTTGGATACCACAGTTTTTGGAGACAGACAAGAGTATGATGGGCATGGACATGGTGGCGATGCTGCTTCAGGGTTGGTACATGTCACCTTGTAGGGATTTGGAATGTCACCGGAATACACTCCTGAAATTGAAGACGGAAAGGACGTTTTTACTGCTGGGTATGGGCATTTGTTGATTTCCAGGTTATATAGAAGAAGGATGAAGGAGGTATAGATGTTTGTTGGTTGGGTGATTGCTGATTGGCCCGAACAGCCATCATCACCGTTACCACCCATGACCGCCCGCTCCCAAGACATCACCAACAACCACAGGATCAGAGACAGGGAGCATGTGGATGTCTCTGAAATTCCATCAACATACAGTAATTTGGATTGACTAACAAAAACCGGTACCCTCCGGTACTTGAACATGGCTTTCTGAAAACCCATCATTTGTAAATGTGTGTTTACCAGTTTACCATTAAAATCTCCTTTTTTTTAGAGGATTGCCCGACTTGCCACGCTTGATTACTGGAGGATACGGATAAAGCCAATCTAAGACCTTGGAAAAGCCACAAAAAGTGGGTGCCCAGGTGAGCGGTGGAGCTGAAACCTCTGTTGCTTGATGATTTCTTCTGTGGTGATACTATCCTTTAATAGCATTTATAAATATGAATTATGGTTGGCTCTGAAATCCCAAATTATTCTGAAGATTTATGAGAATACCTACTAAACAAGCTGTATTTCACGAACTGACATTGCTTTTGAGCACTGCTCACCGAAAATTTTGCTTCGCCACAGGCTGTGGCAGCTGTTGAACTTGACATGCCCGTGGAGGTGTGGCGCTGGCGTGGGCAATGCCCAGGGGTGAACATTGGGACAGGTCCCCTTCGGGTTCGACAGGTCCAACGGGTCCTCATTTTGGGCATGGGTTTTTGGATCATTCCCCCATTCCGTAGGAAAATCACAATTTGGAATAGGTAAATCCACTATAAATGGCGATTTTCAATAGCTATGTTAAATTACCAGAGGGTAAGTATTTGGGGAACCATTCCCTATGTTTAGCACCAGTACCCTCTGGTAAACGTTACATAACTATGGAAAATCACCATTGTTCATGGGAAAATCCACTATAAATGGCGATTTTCAATAGCTATGTTAAATTACCAGAGGGTAAGTATTTGGGGAACCATTCCCTATGTTTAGCACCAGTACCCTCTGGTAAACGTTACATAACTATGGAAAATCACCATTGTTCATGGGAAAATCCACTATAAATGGCGATTTTCAATAGCTATGTTAAATTACCAGAGGGTAAGTATTTGGGGAACCATTCCCTATGTTTAGCACCAGTACCCTCTGGTAAACGTTACATAACTATGGAAAATCACCATTGTTCATGGGAAAATCCACTATAAATGGCGATTTTCAATAGCTATGTTAAATTACCAGAGGGTAAGTATTTGGGGAACCATTCCCTATGTTTAGCACCAGTACCCTCTGGTAAACGTTACATAACTATGGAAAATCACCATTGTTCATGGGAAAATCCACTATAAATGGCGATTTTCAATAGCTATGTTAAATTACCAGAGGGTAAGTATTTGGGGAACCATTCCCTATGTTTAGCACCAGTACCCTCTGGTAAACGTTACATAACTATGGAAAATCACCATTGTTCATGGGAAAATCCACTATAAATGGCGATTTTCAATAGCTATGTTAAATTACCAGAGGGTAAGTATTTGGGGAACCATTCCCTATGTTTAGCACCAGTACCCTCTGGTAATTTAACATAACTATGGAAAATCACCATTGTTCATGGGAAAATCCACTATAAATGGCGATTTTCAATAGCTATGTTAAATTACCAGAGGGTAAGTATTTGGGGAACCATTCCCTATGTTTAGCACCAGTACCATCTGGTAAACGTTTACATAACTATGGAAAATCACCATTGTTCATGGGAAAATCCACTATAAATGGCGATTTTCAATAGCTATGTTAAATTACCAGAGGGTAAGTATTTGGGGAACCATTCCCTATGTTTAGCACCAGTACCCTCTGGTAAACGTTACATAACTATGGAAAATCACCATTGTTCATGGGAAAATCCACTATAAATGGCGATTTTCAATAGCTATGTTAAATTACCAGAGGGTAAGTATTTGGGGAACCATTCCCTATGTTTAGCACCAGTACCCTCTGGTAAACTTTTAAATAACTATGGAAAATCACCATTGTTCATGGGAAAATCCACTATAAATGGCGATTTTCAATAGCTATGTTAAATTACCAGAGGGTAAGTATTTGGGGAACCATTCCCATGTTTAGCACCAGTACCCTCTGGTAAACGTTTACATAACTATGGCACCATTGTTCAAAAATCATAAATGGCGATTTTCAATAGCTATGTTCCAAGGGTAAGTATTTGGGAACCATTCCCTATCACCATTACCCTCTGGTAACGTTACATAACTATGGAAAATCACCATTGTTCATGGGAAAATCCACTATAAATGGCGATTTTCAATAGCTATGTTAAATTACCAGAGGGTAAGTATTTGGGGAACCATTCCCTATGTTTAGCACCAGTACCCTCTGGTAAACGTTTACATAACTATGGAAAATCACCATTTTTCATGGGAAAATCCACTATAAATGGCGATTTTCCATAGTTATGTTAGTTTACCAGAGGGTAAGTATTTGGGGAACCATTCCCTATGTTTAGCACCAGTGTTTCTATTTGGGGAATCTGGGGGAAGGAAGGCCAAAGTTCCAATGAATTGCTGGCCCTGGAATTCACAGGGAGAAAGTCTTAAATTGTCGAAAGTGTTGTACGCATTTCGCTGGATATGCTGTCAGTACTGAAAATGACTCACCTATATTATAGGCCTATATTTGCCCCGCACAAAGCATTGTCAAACCATGTGACTGCGAGACTCTAAGATTTCAAAAAGTTTTTCGCATGAAACAGTCAAACGGGTTCTGGATACCATATGTTCATCCACTAATGTGGATCCCCACGAAAAGACTTCTGAGCACCTCAGTTTGAGGGAACGACCTTTAGATTTTTTTGACCATACTGGGGAGGTGTGTTGGTCATATCCCCACGTACAAGCTCTGTGTGGTTCACCGAAACTTGGATGAGTAGTTTAGCACTTTAATCTTATGCCATCTTATGCCATGGCTGGGAATATGTTTTGCTATTTGACTATATGGAGGTTTCCTAAAATGGGGGTACCCCTAAATCATCCATTTTAGATTGTTTTTTTTTGATGGATTTTCCACTATAAACCATCCATTTTGGCGAAACCCCATTTATGGAAACCTCCATACAGTTACGTTTTGCATGTTTTTGCAGAGTATCAAGATGAGCCCTGGATATCCCACATCTGATGAGCCGTGAATGCCATCTTCCTGTTCCACCGCACGCCAGCGGCTTCATCGTTGTCGACTTCCTTCTCCCCAGTACAGCCCTGCCCTTGATGGATCAGATTTTTCTTTGGGTTTGGGGCGAAATTTCCTACCCCGAAATGCGAGGTTTCCATAAATGGGGGATCCCCAATAGCTGGTTAGTTTACAATGGAAAATCCCAATGAAATTGGATGATTTGGGGGTACCCCCCATTTTAGGACACTTCCAAATGATGCTTAACAGCTAATTTCAACGGACCGCAGTGAATCTGAGCTTCCTAGTGCTTTTGACTTTCACCCCAACGTTGTTGGGCATTGAAAGCCAACCATCACCAACAGACTAAGGTGAGAGAATTATAGTCCAGCAACATACGGTGGGTCGTTGCGAGATCCTGCACCACCAAAAGGATGGTTGAAAAGCTATAATTTTTGGGATGTTTACCTCCGTTTTTGATTGGTGCAGGATTTCGCAACCATCCACAGTATGACTTAATGAATTACTTTGAACAAATGTTGAATTACCTTTGGCACTCCATTTTTCAAGGTGTATCTTAGTTTCACGTGGACAGTCACCACTTTTGAGGATGAACGCCCACCAGGCAACAACTTCGTTTCAGGTTGGTGAAGTATTACAATTCAGACAGATTAATCCATTTCTTGCATTTATGTTTCGGTAATAATACCACACATCCAATGACCAGTTGTTGCGTCAATGAAAATTCAACTGTTCAACCATTTTCAACCATGTTTGGATGATCCCCACTTGATGTTCATTTGTTTATTCATATGTGCTGTGTAGTCACCGTTTGTTTAATGATTAATGAAGAAAACGTGAATGATTGACCCAGCTTAACTTTCATATGGGTGAGTCTGAAAATGACAATGCTAATAAATACAAGTGATGAACATTTGGTTCTAAAACCGTCATTTGTTGTTTTTGTTTGTCCCTGACCCATTTTTTTCAAACCAACCTATGTCTATAGATGTTACCAGAACTAGCTATTTGTGGTTGGCAACTGGATAATATAATATTATATGCGTATATCAGTATATCTCTTGGTATATCCCAGTCTCAGTTTTCCTATAGTTCCCTATTGTTCACGGTTAGATCCTCTAAGTTTCTTCGTTCCTTTAGCCGAAAACAACCGAAATGTGAGCAGCTAGGTGATGTGCGGCCGTTGTGTCTCCGCGGCGCCAAAGCCGGCCTGGTAGCCTGGGGGAAGTCTGGTGGTGGAGCGTTGCGAAAACACGCCACTTGGCGGTTGAAGAATCAGTTGTTGTTTTTGCAAGTTATTAAATATGTTTAGTCAACTTAGTAACGATGTTTTTGTTTTAAGTATTCTTAATTAACAAAGTAAAAAAATAATCGTTGGCTAGTTGGTGGTTAGCCATATTTATGTATTAATTGATAACTATCAACAATATTCTTACAAATAGTATTTATTAATAGTTAGTATAGTCCATTTGGCAAGTGGTGAACAATTTCATATTTGTCGAATTATGTTGAATCTGTCGCAAATCGGGTATGGTTTATATCGGTCGATTTGTTTGGTTCACAATACCGTTTACCTCAATTATTTTACATACAAATTGTCCGGGTGCTAGACTTCAATATGGCTTCAATATTTGAAATAAGCTATTAACCACTCAAAGATTTCCTCCCTATGGATCCAAGTACCTTCTTAGGAAGTGTTTGGGGTATAATTTACTATAATTTGGAGGCTTAAGTACTTTCTCAGACAGTGTTTGGATCCATAGGGCCTATATACTTGATATATTTTTATATGACATACACTTTGAAGAATTGACCATCTTGACCGGGTGCTATACGACTCTCAGCTGGATGGAAAACATCCCATGGATGTCGGAGAGAAACATCTCGTTACATGGGGTCAGACTTTATAACATCTTTTAACGCAACTTCCAAAAAGCATCAAAGAGCTATAACAAAACCAGAATCCTGTTTCTTACGATTTGACTTTATTTTTTTCTATTAGGGAATACTCATACCCTCCGGTCATGAAACGTCGCAATTGGACATCCGCTCGAAATTGTGGTTTCAATAGGAAAATCACATAAATACCGGAGGGTCATACATCAATTCAATAGGCTGTTACCTTTTCCATTTTTTTTGGGTGTTGCTACGTTTGGTGTTTGCACTTATGACACACAATGAGAAAAAAAAACATGTCCTCCACGGTGTGTTTTGAACATAGGACCACTAAACATGTTTGATATGTCTATTTAATGCGCAATATGTATATACACATATATGTATATATTCATGTATAGAATTGCAGAGAATCTAAGCTCTGAGATTCAGCAGGAATTGCACTTACCAAGAAAGCTTCCAGCCATGGGGGTTTGTCACGGCTCCACAAAATTGGTGGCCCAAACAACCCAGGTACCCAAATAGATCACGGGATGGATCTTTAGATAGTCCCTCAAAGTTGCACACTGCACACTGACCCCAAGAGCTATTTGTTCAGATGTTTTAAGTATATATTGGTATTGTTTATTTAGAAAGAATGACCATTCCAGGTCCAAGGGACAATTAACATCACATACCATCTTTGTCATCAGAGGCTGCATGTTTCGCCCAGGGATAAGCTTTGAATGGCGATGTTCTTTTTCTCTCACGATGCTGCTCTCAAGTACGCAGGCCGAGGGATTGAGCAGACTGAACATGTCAGAGTTTTCTGAATGTTTGAGATGTTTCGCTGTAGTATATAATTAAGCTAATGTGTAACCTCCGGTGATAAAAGCAATGGAACAGATGTTCATGGATGATAGATGTTTACCTAGATGTTTATCATGATCATCTATGTTCATAATCATAGAAATGTTTAGCTAACATGGCCCATAGATGATGTTCCCAGCTCTAAACCTCCATTTCTATGGGGCATCAGCTAGCCATGGACATTAACACTCGAGGATCATCCACGGCGCTAGGTGTTGAGGTGTTGTTTAGTTGGTGGAAGATCGTAGTTTTGGCCAGAATTGATTCAAAAAAGTGGATGAAATTTGGGATAAAACAATCTACAAATATCTACAACTATTAGTGATTCTGATATTCCATTGATATTCCATTATATTCCAGATTTCTTCCACTTAAACCATGTTTTTGTTCGCAAACAAATTAGACACACACAAACTGTGTCTCTCTGGATGTCTCACGGCATACCAAAATCGTCGGTAGCTATGGATGTTCATCCCCCAACATGTATATATGTATATTATACAGTATATGTATATATAATGTAATATGTACATATTACAATACATATATTATATATATATTATGTGATAGGTAATTCTATCATATTTATATATATAGGTCATTTTTAATATTGGAAGATGGGTTGGAGTTCACTCTCTTCAGTGACTTCCACTGGCGATTTGTTTTCATTCGCCGCCAGAAAATCCTCGTGATCAGCATCTTCGAGCCAAAAACCTGGCAGCTTCTTGGTTCCTTGGCAGATCATATGGATCGATAGCTCCCCGGCTGTTCTTGGTGTGTCTTAAAATGTGGTGTACCTCCAAGTATGTGTATTTTATATAGGGACAATGATGATTAAGCATTGGATTTATTGCATAGGGAAAACTTGAGGTTATGAGTCATTATGAGTTATGATCCTCCAAAGCAAGTTTCTTTGGGTACACAGGAGGATCACAGCCTTAATACGTTTTTTTTTCATGTCCAGTTTGTGAGATACCCTCTGGAAATTTATCGTAGCTATTGAAAATGGCCATTAATAGTAGATTTTCCCATTAAAAGTGGTGATTTTCCATAGCTATGTTAGTTTACCAGAGGGTACATCGGTTCTATCTCATGTTGGGTTAGAGCATGTTGGCGCCTAGCCGCTACGAACGATACGATGTCCTGTCCAGAGCTACTTGGATGCGGCTATGACAATTGGTTTCACCGACATCTTTTTGGACCCGTTCAAGAAAATGCACTGCATCCCCACTGTTTGGACATTAACAATGCCAAATGGAATTACTGTAGGAAAATCATGTTGCCTAAGCTGGCTGGTGGTTTCGAGAAGTTGATTCACTGAATAGATAGATTTCAACTACATATGGAGGTTTCCTATTGGAGCTGCCCCAAATCATCCAAGTCATGAATGACCAGTCATTGGACCATGGCTTAGTATTGAAACCCATGGTGACTTGGGGATCCCCCCATGGATAAGTGACTTAATCTCCAAGACACTTTTTGGAACCTGCTGAGGTTCCATGATTCCATTGTCACATAGTGATTGAGTCTTATTATCACCTGATAGTCTACAAGGTGGTGCCACCCACTTGTGTTTGCTGGTTTATAACCCTCATTAAAAACATGTTCGATATATTCACCGTCTGACAACCCAATCGTTATATCCCCACTTCGCTTGCAAAGCAAGTTAGTTAATGTTAGTTAATGTTAAACCAGCATGTTGATCCTTCAGTCCCTATTGTTAATGGTTTTACATCCCAGTCTCCCATCACATATAATAGGGAATGATACTTGGAATAATTGTGGCATCCATATATATATATATATATACTGACTGTATATATTATCTATATTCATTAATGGCCTATTGTTAATGGTTTTCCATCACATATCCAGATCATGATGCTCTGTGGAAAACCATTGACGTATTCTGAGGTACGGCGGAGTTTCTCCTGGATGGTGTCCTGTCGCAGGCCGGAGAGTAGATCTATGTATATCTGGGTAGATGGTAGGTGACTTTATGTTGGTATAAATATACCCTCTGGTAATTTAACATAGCTATTGAACATGGCCATAGAAAGAGTTGATTTACCCATTAAAAATTGTGATTTTCCATAGCTATGTTAGTTTACCAGAGGGTAAACTTTGATCATCATCAGCGCACCAATATCTGTTTGTAATGTGTGTAAGGTATGTCTCAGATGAACCTAGGTAAACCATGTCAATTTTTTACCCAACGAATAGAAACGCAACCCTGCGCGAAAATGGGGGTATCGGAAAGCTTGCGATCCCAAGCTGTGGCTACTCTCCATCCTAAGCCATATTTCAGAGCATCCAATTTGGTAGCCATCAAAAAAACAATGAGCCGCTGGTAACGCGGCTAGCTGGAAAATCCTCGCACTACATGGAGGTCTAGTTTGCTGGGAAAATCGTTGATTTCGCTGGGAAAGTCATCGATCAATGGTGATTAATGGGATTTAACCAACAATATCCAACAATATCCAACAATAATGGGACAATTGACCATGAATTGACCAACAACAATGTGATACGGAACGGATAAATTCATAAGGGTAACATGCTTTTTGGGGTGGATGGTTTTATGGTCCAGCTGTTATACCTTCCTGCTGATAGGAACGGCTAGATTTTTTCCGCATAGCTGGGCCAATGTTAATGATCTATTTGTAACCCATTTATCAATTTGATACCGTCATATCACAAGGTAATTTTCAGATATACACATCTGGTTGGTGGTTTGGAGTATTTGTTCCCATATATTGGGAAGAATCATCCCAACTGATTCATATTTTTCAGAGGGGTTGAAACCACCAACCAGATATGTTTACATGTCCGTGATATATGCCCATCATCCTATGATATTTCATAGTGTCCACTAATATGGGTAGATATTGACGACCTCACTACGAAGTTACTGCAAATTACTATGGTTAGTAATTACAGCCGGGTAAGTATCCCCTTATTCCAGGTTGGTGAATGATATTTCATCCACCTTAATATCCCCATTGTTCATCACATTTTTTCAATGGCTGTCTGAAAATTGCGTTTCTGAAATGTTGAGAAATGAATCACTGATGCTTCCAAACCTTGACATAGGATATCCCCTTAAAATCTATGAAAAATCCAGAGTTAAGCGAGTTAAGCCTCATTTTCTCCATATTTTCCCAAGGTTTCCTTGGAGTTGACCACATTTTTTGGAGGATCAATGGAGGATCTTCCACTGCTTCCCCTGAGTTGACTTCAACTTGTGGCCAGGTGTCCGAGCTCAGTGGTCGGCAGGATCTCGACGACATCCCGGTGGGGTCGATTGTGGTGGCTTCAAATGGGCAGTGGGATGGAACAACTCCTGTAACTCGTTGGTTAGAAATGGCATGAAACAGGGGTTGGTAAATGTCCCTTTTGGGGGATTTTGAACATCACCTTCAAATATCTGTTGGAAATTATATCCCCAATACTTGGGTGATGTTCAATTGGGACATTTACCAACCCCTGTGAAATAAGCCAGTTATAGCTGAGTTGATCGCCCCTCTAGGGCTAGTTATAGTTATTCACGTTGCATATGGATTATGGTTATGGTTCATTCATGGATATACCCTCTGGTAAACTAACATAACTATGGAAAATCACCATTTTCAACTATAACTGGGCCATTTTCCATAGCTATGTTAGTTTACCAGAGGGTACTATCTTAAACGGGCCGATACAGAAATGGCTGAAAGTACAGAGTCCTCTGAGTTGATCGGTCCCTTTTGCGGGCCACACATAGATATTGTCTACCAGAGTCCAACTAGTACGAGTTAAAACTAGTTAGCCCAGTTGTATCCAGTTGATATATATATATATATATATATGATTATTTGTTATATACATTATATATAAATATATATATATACAGTGTAAACCATAGCCCCACCACTGTACCATGCCGTAAATATTCGCAGGTCTTGACCCGCAACCACGCTGGAGTCTGTGGTTCCCTGAGCCTTACGGCGCGGCACCGCCCGGATCAAGGGCTTCAACCCTTGGGTCATCAGGAACAATACGGTTTTAACATGATTTAAACATCCAACATGAAATATCTGATTGGTGGTTTGGAACATGTTTTTTTCCATAATAATTATATGGGATTATCATGGATTATCCTTCCCATTGACTTCCATATTTTTCAAGATGGTTGAAACCACCAACCAGATATGGATTTCATATTAAAATCATTAAATCTGAGATTTAGCCATTTAGCCATCCAACAAAATAGGGATTTAATATGATTTAATCATGCGTGGGAATTTCACTTTTTACACATAGGGATTTAAACATAAACTAGGGATTTAACTGATTCGCCAGGAATGGATTTGAGGTTGAAACTGAGTAGTATACCCCATACTCTGTCGTGATCAAACATGGCAATGAGACAAGACCGACATATGTGTTGGGGCGAATAGATATTCAGCTGGTATTTCAAAACAGTTTCTTCAACTCTACCTCTGATATTAACATGTTCTTTCGGTACCTGGTATGTTTAAACCTGGTAATACCTCTTTGTATGAATAACCTGTACTCTACCTCATCTACATTCTACCTTTCCAGGAACTGATTGAACAATTGCCTCAGCTTTCGCAGCTTTCGAGGGACAATCCAGATTATTTCATACCCTCTGGATATCTCTGGATCCAGCCGTATTCCTTCTTAGGAAGTGGGACTGGGGCATGATGACTGGGGGGTTGAGTACCTTCTCAGGAGGTGTTTGGATCCATAGGGATAGAACGTAATCTATAGATGGGGGAATGTACATGTTTTGATTAGACTGCGAGAGGGTACTCGCACCAAGATCAGAATTTGGGACACGATCGAGCAAAACATGGGAACACATCATTACACGCTGGGATATGATGATGTAGAAAATACACGTCCGCGGACGATCCTTCTACTCCTCATCTAAACTGATCATTGATTGGCTAGCTCTTACTTCGGGATGAACATACTGGTTGGGATTGCATCATGCACATGTCAAACAAGGCGCCTTAAATGATGCTGTTTCTTCTTCACGTCCAGACTTTAGGTCAGCATTCCTGCTGCCCATCTACAGATTTGCCGAAGAGTCTCCACTCGCCTTTTTTCATGGGTCCGAATCCAACTGAAAGAATTCAAAAAAGACATTGAAACTGTGGGATTTCCCAAGTAAACATCTCCAAAACATCTCCAAATCTCAACCTCCCGAGCTCCAAAAACTCCCAACAGATCGGCAAAATCCATCGGCCTTGCCAGGTCCGGGCGGTCCCTTGGAGCCTGGCTCAGGACTTTCCACTTCAAGCAGGTGAGGTCAGTGGTGCAGACACCAGCTATCCTCATCCAAGACAGGGGTTGGTAACTGTCCCATTTTGGGAATATTGGACATCACCTTATAGTAGCCATTATAGACCATATACCTAATGGTTGGGTGATGTTCAATGGGGACATTCAATGACCCATGCAAGATGAAAGTGGATGGAACTTAAGTCATGAGTGAATATATAGGGCTTTTTCTATGGTTTTCTATATTTTCAACTGGTGGTACAAACCGTGCAAACCTTGCTACCCCCTATACATGTTACATTCACTCTTGATTAAGATATCCTCATCTGAATGTCATCGTGAATGAATATGTATCTGAAGGTAACATGAAAGACACCAGCTATCATCTTGAATCTCTTGGTGGTTTCAACCAGTTTTTCATGTCAGTCCGGCTTAGTGATACCTATCGCTCTGCGCGAAGAAAAACAACCTGTGCTCATCGGATCTCATTGGCGAATTCCATCTGAGCAGCCGCCCCTTTTCAATGAGAACATTTACCCTCTGGTTATGACTAACATAGCCATGGAAAATCACCATTTTTAATAGGTAAACCATCTATAAATGGGCCATCTATACCATGGCTATGTTAAATAACCAGAGGGTACAATTTTACAAGTGATTTTATCCCACAAGCAGGAAACGATATCCGTGTGAGAATCGATGATAGAGTTAACCAACATTCCGTAACATTCCGATTCCTTTGCCGGAAATGATTGAAGGAGAGATCATGTCCCACATTCAGCACTGTTTCTTTCAGAAGTTTGAAAAGGGCAATTTGCTCAACTTCATGCGCCATTTATATGGGTTACTATCCGTACTTCTATGAGTTTTGAGATGGAACTTGTGGGCTCCCAAACATGTTTATATATATATATATTGGGCGTTTCCTAAAATGGTGGGGTACCCCAATTGGCTGGATGGTTTATATGGAACATCCTATTAAAAAAGCCATGATTTGGTGTATTTTAGGAAACCTCCATTATGAATTTAGGATTTTTTTCATAACACAAGTACCGTTAACATGTTTTACACTAACCATATTCTAGGAAAGCTCCATATAAACCTTAATAGCTGGTTGGTGGTTTGGAACATGAATGTTATTTTTCCATTCAGTTGGGAATATTTTTTTATCCCAACTGACGAACTCCATCATTTTTCAGAGCCGTAGGTATACCACCAACCAGATAGTTTCTATGTGGATTCGTTAAGGCCCCTATTGGCCATGGCTTCCATGTTGAGAGGGTTTCCATGGCCAACGGGCCTTGGCCCCGGCCATGATGGCCATATCCTGGTTACTGTTCTTGATTGTCACAGGCTAAACGGTATATAAAACTGGGGTTGTAAACCAAGAAAACATACATATAATGGGTCGATATATTTATGCAAATAACAGTTTTTATTCAGTGGATAACATGAACTATCAACAGGAAAAACCCTTCCCCTAATGTTAATAACTCCCAAGAAAATCCACATATTTGGGTCCCATGTAGGGGATGTGGACTATTACATAAGCGTAGATGAATGGGATTAATATATATATATATGTAATTATACACACATTCCATCATATTCCATTATAATCCCATTATCTCCCATTATATCCTATCATACGCCATAAAAAACATCAGTACAATCCCATCGTATTGGTTAGTTGTTTATAAAGATTATCCTGGCGATTTCATGGCATATAATGGCAGATTTCTGTACCATGTTGTAGCATTAAATCACCAGATTTACATGTATCCATTCACGTACCCTTTGGTTATTTAACATAGCCATGGAAAATCACCATTGTTCATGGGAAAATCCACTATAAATGGTGATTTTCCATAGTGATGTTAAATTACCAGAGGGTATCACATTATATCCTACTATCCTTATATGGGGGTGGGTCAAAACCTATTAGGATCAACGTGAGATGAAAATCAGTTTGCCAGCTATTTTGGGGTTAGATACCAGGGTTGGAACATGAATTTTATTTTTCCATATATAATATATGGGAATAATCATCCCAGCTGACTCATATTTTTCAGAGGGGTTGGCTCAACCACCAACCAGATATATTTAAGTGCCTACGGCAAGCCCTCCGGCCATAGCCATTTGGTGTAGAGGTGATTGTTCCGTCTCGGTTCTGTGGTCAGTCTTGGTTATGAGTGACTGGCAGACATTGTTGGACGATGGACTCGTTGTAGACTTTTGGCGGTCTGATGGTAAGTGCACATGGATGCGTAGATGCTGACCTGCATTTTTATTAGCACCGAAGTGCCACGCAAGTGGAGTTTTCCGACACGTGTTGCGGGCATGTTTAAGCAGCGGCACGTTTTTTCCTGCTTTTGACCTGTTTCGAACTGCCAGGACACGTGTTGGGACTGACCTGTCGCCAGAGTCAACTGGAAAGAGAAAGATTTAGATAGAGGCATTTACTTGCCACGGCATCACTGTCCCTTTGAAGGCTGTGAATGGTCTGGGAAGGATTCTGGAGACCAATTGAAGCACATCATGTCAGAGCATTGGACAGAGGACATGCAAGAGGCTGTGAGGCTTCTGGGGGCGGTGGAGAGAGAGGCAGCCGTGTACTCAGTGCTGAACGCAGGTATTTCTATGGTGTGTCAGGAGAACACAGGACCGGAGAAGCTTGAGGCGTTACTATGAGGCACTGTATGACAAGGAGCTCCAGGGGCTAATTTGTTTTTCTTGCGGCTGCGTGCATCCACATTTGCCAGGCGAAAAAAGGCAGAAAATAGCCTGGCAGCAAGTGGGCTGCGCAGGTGGAGTGGGAATGCGGAAGTTTTTAAGTTTGAGCGCAGAAGAAGTAGAGGATATCTTCGGGGTGCAAGCTTACCTCGGCCGGTATGGTGCAAGAGGGGACGGATATCCGGATCTGAACAAGAGCCCTTGGAGGGAAGAGCTGGCGCAGTGGGCGTGCACTGAGACCACAAATTTTAGATGTTTTTACTTCAGGCACTTAATGAAAATATTAATAGACGACGGATTTTTCTTTTACACATTTTGAAAAACACGATTGAATTTAAGAAATAAAATGATGGAAAAACGCATTCGAAGGTTTATTCGTTGGGTCGTTATTTTTGCTGAGTATATTATCCTGTTTCAGGATATTTTCCGAATTAAGAACCTTCCTGTTCAGGAACCATCCTTTACAGGAATTTTCCTTTTCAGGAACCATCCTTTTCAGGAACTATCCTTTTCAGGGTATCATTCCATTCAGAAACCATCCTTTTCAGGAACGATCCTTTTCATGAATTATCCTTTCCAGGGAATGTCTTTTCCAAGAAAATTTCTGTTGATTTTTTAAATTTGTGAAATTTGCTCCAAATTTTCTGGATTTTCTGAATTTTCTATTTTTTTAGATTTTCTGAAGTTTCTGAATGTTCTGACTTTTCAAAATTTTCTGCACTTTCTCAACTGTTTGGATTTGGTAAATGTGAAGATTCTGGAGTATATACAACCGTATCCTTTTTAAGAATTTCAAAGAACATGTTGTGAAAACAATGTGAACGCTCACAGAAATTCAAAATAAATTGGCTTAAAGTGGGCTCCATTTTGGGACCACTACGCAGCATGAACATTTAGGTATGTCCATCTTCTTTGCTGGGATTTTCCTTTATAGGAAGAATCATTTTCAAGAAGATTCCTTTACTGGAAGTTCCCTTCACAGGAAGTATCCTTCTCAGGAAGTTTCCTTCTGAGCTGCTGCCAATTCCGTTACTCCATCGAAGAGAAAAACCGACAAAAAAGCATAAAACGTGTGTCCAGATATTTTCAGATATTTTCAGATATTTTTGACTAATACTCGACTATATTTGATTATATCTTCGGGATTATGTAGCAAATTCAGATAACAAACAAGTGGAACTTAACGCAAAATAAATTAAACATCAATTTAAACAGGATATTAGCAGGATAATAGCAACTTTATCAGATATTTATAAGCACGTTAAGTGCCTGAAGTGAAAATATCTAAAATTTGTGGTCTCAGTAGGGTTAGGTTTGAAAACGGTCAGGAGGTAAGGTTGCTTTGCAATGCCGAGGATAGGAGATGCATGGAGGAGAAGCATAGTGAAGATTTTTGTGCAGAATGTTGTGTGCCAATTTGCTGTAGTTGCAAAAAGGCGCTGCGAAGCTCACCCCCAGTCATGCCTGTGCGGGCACTAGCGAACAACCTGTGGACGGGCTTCGCTGCGCCCATGCTGGCAGCGGAAAAGGTTACCTACTTGGAATGCATGTTGGCATCGTCCTGTATGTTGTGTCTGATGTGTTTTTCGTTGGAAACACAATATGGGAATGTATATTTGGAGAAAGCGCAGCAACAGACTTTCCGCGTGGGGGCCCGGGGTAATATCACATTGTTCCCATTGCCTTTGGAAGAGATTACGGCAGAGCTGCGGAAGCAGGCTGGAGAGGAGCAAAAGCTTCGGTGTGCAACAGCTTGTGTGTGCAAAAGGTTCTGAGTGTAGAAGCGTCTGTGTGTAAAGCGTCTGTGTGTAAAAGCCTCTGTGTGTAAAAGGTTCTGTGTGTCAAAGCTTCTGTGTGTAAAAGCTTCGGTGTGTCAAAGCTTCCGTGTGTAAAAGCGACTGTGTGTAAAAGCCTCTGTGTGTAAAAGGTTCTGTGTGTCAAATCTGTGTCAAAGCTTCTGTGTGTAAAAGCTTCTGTGTGTCAAAGCTCCTGTGTGTAAAAGCGACTGTGTGTAAAAGCTTCTGTGTGTAAAAGCTTCTGTGTGTAAAAGCTTCTGCGTGTAAACGCGTTTGTGTGTAAAAGCTTTGGTGTGTCAAAGGTTCTGTGTGTAAAAGCTTCTGTGTGTAAAAGCTCCTGCGTGTAAACACGTTTGTGTGTGTAAAAGCTTTTGTGTGTAAAAGCTCCTGTGTGTAAAAGCGTTTGCTTGGAAAAAAACACCAAAAATCCGTCACTCTGCTGGGGGAGAGCTTTTGGGACGGAAGCCGGGAAAGCCTTTGTGTGGAAAAGCTTTTGTGTGTAAAAGCTTCTGTGTGTAAAAGCGTCTGTGTGCAAAAAACACCATAAATCCTTCACTCTGCTGAGGGAGAGCTTTTTGGACGGATGCCGGGAAAGCCTCTGTGTGTAAAAGCGTCTGTGTGCAAAAGCTGCTGTGTGGAATAGCGCCTGTGTGTCAACGCGTTTGTCTGTAAACGCTTTGGTGTGTAAATGCGTCCGGGTAAAAGCTTCTGTGTGTCAAAGCTTCTGACGAGTCGAAGTCGGAGTACGCATCGGAGTAGGCTGAGTAGGCGTCGTCGTAGTAGTAGTAGTAGGAGGAGGAGGAGTAGTAGTAGACGGGGGGGAGGGGGGTGGACTCAATTCAGACGAGGCAAAGATGTGCGGGGAGAGAACAAAGGAACAAGTACAAGCCAAGAACAGAAACAAAACAAGAACAAACAGAAGAACAACACCTCACAACCAGACACGCCGGCAGGCCGGCGGATTCCATTATACTCCCAGTGCTGATAGCATTTCAAAAGATCCATAGAGGTGAGCGTTCACAGCTTTTCGGGCAGGTCGAGAGCCCTTTGCGGTGCCGTCCTTCGAAAACCGAGACCCTCGCTCTGTGCTGGAGGCACCGTAACATTCATAGAGTAACCATGTAACTCTCCCTATGGATCCAGTACCTTCGGAAGTGGGACTGGGGTATGATGACTGGGGGGTAGGTACCTTTTCAGGAGGTGTTTGGACAACTAGTGACATGTCAACTTCTAGTATCACCCATCGAACGAACGAGGTCTTTTTGTCGGATCTCCAGCAATCAGATTAGCAATCATTTGAAGATATGACTCAGGTGACGTCATGAATCCTTAACATAACAACGATTTGGAGTATACCAAAAATAGTGGTTAATGATGTTTAATGATGGTTAATGGTTAATAGTCACTGGTTGGTGGTGACTGGAACCATGGAATTTTGAATGACTTTCCATTCAGTTGGGAATGTCATAATCCCAACTGACGAACTCCATCATTTTTCAGAGGGGTTTGCTCAACCACCAACCAGTTGAGATTCGATATGATTCGATTGCTATTTCCGTATGCTCCATGGTTGGTTTTTGTTTCATGGGGCGCCACTGGACCTTTTGATCGCCCAAGTGTTGGGTTCGCGGACACCATTCCATCATTGCAGAACTTGGTTCTTTAAATTATATTCCTCATGAAACACATATAGTTTCTGCATAAATCTGTTGTTGACACACGTAAAAAACAAAACACATATGGTATACTATGATTGTTATATTGTTGTTATTTATTTCATGAGGATATTTCACGATATTTATGGTTCATATGAATTAACACATTATTAAAATATATTAATCTGGTTGGTGGTTCCGGAACATGAATTTTATTTTTCCATATATTAGGAATGTCATCATCCCAACTGACGAACTCATATTTTTCAGAGGGCTAGGTATACCACCAACCAGATATGTTTACATGTCCATGATATATGCCCATTATCCCATGATATTTCATAGTGTCCACTAATATGGGTAGATTTTGACGACCTCACTACGAGGTTACTGCAAATTATGGTTAGTAATTGCAGCCGGGTAAGTATCCCCTTATTAACATATATTAATAGATTAACAAGGGGTTACTTAATAGATAAGGATCCCCTTATTAACCATATGCATATATATTAATTTATTAATCTATTAATATGGTTATTCAACAATATGGTTGTTGTATTGTTATCTCCCCTGCTCTACGATCGTTCTTCCAGCCAGGATCTCTGTGCTGAACGCCTGGTGTGTGATCCACCGACGAGGACGCGAACCGGCGAGCCGTTGCGCGTGTCGTGTTTGGGGGGTATATAAGATGAAAATTGTAGGCTTAAATGGAACATAAATGGAACATATAGTAGCAGTAGCACTAGTATGGAAAATTGCACTAGTATCTAGTATGAACATCACATCAAAGGATTCATACTAGTACTACTATTCTATTCTGGGTATATATATATATATATATATATTGTATATTCCATTATAATCCCATTTAATATTCCATAAAACATCCTACGTAATGTAGTACTATGAGATTATATATTATACCCTATGGATCCAATCACCTCCTGAAAAGGTACAAGACACCCCCCCAGTCATCATGTCCCAGTCCCACTTCCTAAGAAGGTAGGGCGGGATCCATAGGGAAAGGATTCATTTTAGTTGTTTTGTTAAGGATTCATGACGTCACGTGAGTCATATCTTCAAATGATTGCTAATCTGATTGCTGGAGATCCGACAAAAAGACCTCGTTCGTTCGATGGGTGATACTTGAAGTTGACATGTCACTAGTTGTTCGGTGTTGCAACTGGAATCAGAATCCAAGGGGCATTGCCTCATGTGGCTTGATGACATCATCTGAGGGTGAAGGACTGGAGTTTTTTTTTGGGTCGCACTGTCGCAGTCTTTCGGCAATGATTCCAAGATATTCCAAGATATAAAACAAAAAAAATCGGGACCCTACTCAAATAAAACCAAAGCCAGCCTTCTACTGATAAAAAAGTGGGGCAAATTCGAAGACTTGGCGAGCCTCATGTTCTGCTTCAAACATTGATGAAGACCACAATGCCACGTTGACGTTGACTGGTCCCATCTGGTCCCAAAAGACCCACGGCCTGAAGCACCTGTGAAGTATGGGTGAAGTATGCGTGAAATACCACGCTTACCCTCTGGTAAACTAACATAACTATGGAAAATCACCATTGTTAATAGGCAAATCAACTGTAAATGGTCAATTTTCCATAGCTACGTTAGTTTACCAGAGGGTAACCATGAAATTCTTTGTTTTACAGTTTTACCTGGTGCCATCTGGCACCTATACGTCCAGCTTCAGAAGCAGCAGGGATTTGATAACTTATCTTTCGACATGCATAAAGTCTAGCTTCTAATCCTCTACACTTGCTATGGAGAAAATCGTCCAAAAGTTGTCCTGGTCCTTCGATAGCAAGTGTAAAACCGGCACTGTCCTAGCGACTAAAGAAAAGGGATCACAAATTCTGAGTAAAACTCAGCATTTGAACAGATATTATTTTTACATTGTATTCGGATTACTCGGGTTTATTGTATGTGCAAAGTATTCATACGGACATATGTATGGTGCCTTGTTGACTCCCCAGTTCGAGGAAACGACCATAGAATCATGAATAGGTATCTAGATCGATAGATCGATCGATTGATAGATAGATATAGATGATGATAGATGTAGAATGATATATAGATCTGTATGTATATATGTATATATATATATACACAAAGATATAGCTATGTAGTTATTAGATAGATAGATAGATAGATAGATTAGATTAGATTAGATTAGACAGATAGATAGATAGATAGATAGATAGATAGATAGATAGCCAGATAGACAGATAGACAGATAGATGGACAGATGGACAGATGGACAGATGGACAGATGGACAGACGGACAGACAGACAGACAGACAGACAGACAGATAAATAGATAGATAGATAGACAGATGGATAGATAGATAGATAGATAGCTAGATAGATAGATAGACAGATGCATAAATAGAGAGATAGATAGATAGACAGACAGACAGACAGATAGATAGATAGATAAATAGATAGATCGATAGACAGATAGATAGATAGCTAGCTAGATAGATAGATAGATAGACAGATAGATAGATAGATAGATAGACAGACAGACAGGCAGATAGATAGATAAATAGATAGATAGACAGATAGATAGATAGATAGCTAGCTAGATAGATAGATAGATAGACAGATAGATAGATAGATAGATAGACAGACAGACAGGCAGATAGATAGATAAATAGATAGATAGACAGATAGGTAGATAGATAGCTAGCTAGATAGATAGATAGACAGATACATAATTAGATACATAAATAGATATATAGATAGACAGATAGATAGATAGACAGACAGACAGGCAGATAGATAGATAAATAGATAGATAGACAGATAGATAGATAGCTAGATAGATAGATAGATAGACAGATACATAATTAGATACATAATTAGATACATAAATAGATAGATAGATAGATAGATAAATAGATAGATAGACAGACAGACAGGCAGATAGATAGATAAATAGATAGACAGATGCATAAATAGAGAGATAGATAGATAGACAGACAGACAGACAGACAGATAGATAAATAGATAAATGGATAGATAGACAGATAGATAGATAGACAGACAGACAGGCAGATAAATAGATAGATAGATAGATAGATAGCTAGATAGATAGATAGACAGATACATAATTAGATACATAAATAGATAGATAGATAGATAGAAAGATAGATAGATAGATAGACAGACAGACAGGCAGATAGATAGATAAATAGATAGATAGACAGATAGGTAGATAGATAGATAGACAGACAGACAGAGTAGATAGATAAATAGATAGATAGACAGATGGGTAGATAGATAGATAGACAGACAGACAGATAGATAGATAGTCAAATTCATCTAGCTAGATATCCATCCCCGTGTCCCTCCGTTCGCATCCAGGAGCTCCAAGGCCATCCGGCCACCCATCTGCCGCCGACAGATCCGACGTCGCCAACGCCGGAGATGGCGCTGGGCGGTTGCCTGGAAGCGATCATTGTTTGGTGGATCTGATTATAGAAATGGGGATGGGTCAAAACCTATTATTATCCATTTTAGTGGGATGAACATCCATTTACCATCATTTACCAGCTATTTTGGGCTTCATTAGGTGTCAGGGTTGTGGCCCATAGCAAAATGACTTACTGGTGCTAAACGAAGGGAATGGATGGGAATGGGAGAATGGGATGATTAATAATAGTTATTGTGGATCATTCCCTCATGATTATCTTTCTGGTGCAAAACGTAGGGAATGGATGGGAATGGATGGGAATGGATGGTGGCTGGGATGATAACTGATAGTTAGCCAGTGGATCATTCCCGAAAATTCCCTACTAAGCACAAGTACACTGTAAGTTATAGACATGAAAAAAACATGATCCATTCATCTACAATGATCTATAATGATTAGAATAATATTTATAATCATTAAAATGATCAAAACATCTATCATGAGTCATTCATCCACACATCTACATCATGTAATTTTCAAACGGAAAATGGGGAACAAAAACCTTCAAAAATTTGATTATACCTTGGATAATACCCTCTGGAAATGGTATTGTTTTGATGGATTTTTTTCCAACCACAAGAGAGAAAAATGGGGACTTAGTGGGATTTTCCATGGGGGAAATGGAATTTTTGGTGGATTTCTAGGTGATATATTTATTATATAAAATCTATACAATGATTGTACTGGAAATTGTGTTTTTACAGGGAATTCATGGAATTTTCGTGGGAATTATAGGATTTATGGATTAGCGGTGACTTAACCACCAACAACAGGGGATTCTTCAATGAAAGTTCTTGGATTTTTCAGGCTAGAGCAGGTTTTTTGTGGTATTTGCTACCCTGTATAAAGTAATGAACTTTGATACAAAGGTTGATCATACTGTATAGCTCAAAATCATGATAACATATGTATTATAAGGTAGAGAAAAATCAAAAAATCATGATTATATCCAACTTAACCCCTCTTCTCAAACGATAAACAGTTTAAATCTCATTGTTTTTGTTGCGCCTACGAACCTGGGATCAAGGCTTTGGCTGCGTTGGCCGCCGCGACCGTAAGCGCCTTGCGCAAGGACTGGAGCGGCATCCGGGTCCCTGCAACTCAATTTGTATATAGACAGAAAGATTGTAAGAGAGTATAGCATTCCCAAAGAGTGATGCCGAACAATTGGAAACCTGGAAACTATGTGAGTAACCAACAAAATTAGCGGAAGACTAAAGTAGCGGGGAGTGGACATGGGATGTTCAAATTTGTGCAAAATCATTCACAACCGATAGGGGACCACTCACTTTGGCCATGTCCATTGCGGGCAGTAAGTAATTTTATCCACCACGCTTGTGGAAAACATCATGGAACTACCAACCGGATTTTACATTTTTTCTGTGCAACTGTCATTATGCGGTCATTATGGTATGTGTGTTTAAGATACTTAAAGAACCTTAAAGATACTTAAAGTGTGAAAAACTAGCCGTTTACAAACTCAGACGGTCCTCAGAGGTATGTGGACAGTTTGCAGCACGTTATAATGCATATAATGCCAAGCAAGACCTGTACAATGATTTTGTGTGGGGCCTTCAACCTGTTTGTCCATTGACTGAGTTACCTTTATCAACCATGTGGGGATGGATGGCTATTGGCTTTACCGTAAAATAGTGTTTTTTGTGACCCATTTATTGGTTATGTTCCCATTACAGTAAGATTTATTAATTATTAAGTCATTAAGACCACAGTAAATCTTGATTAATTAAACCATTGAAATACTGATACCCCTGAATTACTCCGTATGTTTTTAGCTTTTTGGAGTATCCTAGACATGTGACACCCAGAGGAACTCATGCCGCGCGGACGGAGTTCGCCTTGCACTCGGACTCGGATCAAGACCCTTGACACACTGCATGTGGGATGTTCATCATCCAGTTCATCTGGTATGAAATATGATATACCCTCTGGTTATTTAACATAGCCATGGTAGAAATGGCCCATAGAAATAGATGGTTTACCTATTAATAGCATGGTGGATCTTTCCATGGCGAACTGTAACAAATAACCAGAGGGTAATATAGGGATGTTCAGGTTTTGTCCACCCATCCCCATCTGATAAAGACATATATGTACGTCAATGTCAATAAAAAGCAGGGAGGTCACGACATTGCTGGTGATCTCTGCTGGTGGTCGAGACATGGTCTCAAAGAAATGGCCACGAGCCGCTCGGTAGTTTGAGGCGCGGCAAGCCTGTCGACTCACTATGGTTACATGGGCTGAAAAACCCTCGCTTGGCTTGTTCTACCCATCATGTAGGATGGGTAAGTATACCCTGAAACATTCCGATTGGCTCTGCTGTGAAAATACCCCCTTCTGAGACATTGTAACATAGACAGTGATGCAGCGTGCAAATTTGGTTCGGATCTTCACCAGACTTGAAGCAGCATCCCGCTGAGTGACCGGTTGATAAGCCTGGTTTTCAGAAGTGCAGGCTTTCATGGGGGTTATCCCTTTATAACTGGAGCTTACTATATCCTACTCGTTGGTATCCACTTACTGGGATGATCCTCCAGACTTTCAACGCCACTGCCACTGTGAGGTCCAACTTGTGCCAACGCCAAAAAATGGGCACTGCATGTGCTGTACAGTTCCAGTAAAAATGGCACTCTGATCTGTCTTGGAGCGCAAGCAGGAACAATCCCATCTCCTAAGGTACTTAAAAAGTGGGAAACCCAATGCCATCAACATCATCAACCTAGCATTTGGGGATGGTTTCTAGCCATCATATAGCAATCTATGGTAACTTCTTCGTGGACCGTAGACCCTTGACTATGATTTACCAACTTAACTTTACAATGATTTGCGAGGTTTAATATGGTTTAACCACCCGTATCAACCCCTCAGTTTAGTTTGAAGTCTCTCACAGCTCGATTCCTGAGGTTCAAGGGTCATATTTGTTGATCACTTGAAAGCCATATGTTGGGATTGCATTGGGTCAACTCTGAGTCAACTTTCCGCTTTCAAACTTGTCGTGCCGACCCGCGGGGGTATCTTGATTTTGCACGACGATCTACGGGTGATGTTGCTGCTTACATGGGCGATGAGCTTTCCATAGCTTACGAACCTGAGAAGAAAGCAAATGTTTTGGCTGTAATTTTGAGCTAATTATTCCCGTTTGCAAGAGTCAAGTATAATCCTAAGACAACAGTTTCCTTGCAGCTGCAACATAGATTTCAGGGGTGTGGGAAATCCCGATATCATCTATGTACTACTGACATCATGAACTAAGAAAGCTCTGGGCCTGTAGAAGTGGCTGTCTTCACTTGTAAATGGCCTACATGACAGATGTTGCGAATTGTGTGATCAGACATTGATGTTGTGTCTGTCGTAAGATGGTTTGAAAGGTCCACGCGGAAAGAGTGCTGCTGGATTCTAGCTCTTGGCAAAGATCCAAAACAGAGAGCTGATGAGCTGGGTGTGTCCAACTGAGATCATGTGTAAAAGCTAATAAACAAACACCTTTTTTTTTTTGCATATGGTTTTCAAACATCTCCCACTAACAGATTGGGGCAATGGATCTCTTGGAGGGCCATTTCTTGTTGGGTCAAAAAATCGCATGCCCAGCAAAAGCAATGGAGTCTGTGAATACGTGCGGATGCGTTTGAAGTGAAGTATTGCGATTGCAGTGTATATATATATGATAGAAATCCGATGAAATCCGTTTGCATTCATCATTTCAGGTGTGTGGATAAGATATTATTTATATACATATGGCCCGATCGATTTGAACGGTTGGTTTGATGACCCATGTCGTCCATTTATTAAGTGCGAGAATAATAATGAATTGGTATGTTTAGGGTTTTATCATGTTGATAGAACAGACCTCACACGGAGCAAGTAGTCGCGTACCCACAAGTGAGGTGGAATTGCTTATCCTCTGCCGTCTCAGAAATTCATGTGCGAAGGCTGCGCAGGCGGTTTGCCTGTCAACCGCCCCTATGCGTCATGCGAAATCCCAGGCCTTTCAAAATGAGGAGACTTAACCGTTAGAGTCAATTTCGATAGTGGAATTGTGGATTTGATTTGGTCCCAATGTCTTTGCGGACCTAACTTGTTAGGATTCACAGAATTCATCGTGATCCCAAAGGACGACATTACCATGGAGGATGTCTCAAGATATGGTGAGTTTTTGGCCATTTACAACTTGGATATTTATTGAGTTTTTGGCAATTTACAGAACTATAACATCAAGATACCTATAAAAGCCATGCAACATGCATAGAAGCATCGTCGATGGCGTGTGAAGAATGGCACTAGTCGATGGAGCACTGCCGCTTGGTGCTACCATTGGATCCCCCCAATTTACTTCGATGTTTTTCCCAGTTGGACTATATACTGTATATGATTATTTATTTATATATAAATATTATATATATATGGGCAATTATTTTATGGTTGCCTAAAATGGAGGATTTCCAACATGGACGGTTGATTTCATGGAAAATCCTCTGAACGTAGATGATACCCATGGATTGGGGACCAAAGTCCTTGGGGCTTCTTCTGCCAAGTCGCTGCGTGCAATTCCTTGGAGAGGCTTCGTCGAAGGCACACCCAACACCTAGGCTCCAATATCTCCAATCAGTCTATAAAAGATCTATATAGCATATGTACAATGTGAGGCCCCCAAGATATCTAAGTTGGTTTATAACTCCAATAACTATGGTTTATGGTATTTATAACAATAGTTACTGGGGCTTATAAACCAACTTATAACTGGGGGGCCTCACATTGTATGCATATGTTGGGAGCAAGAAGGTAAGGATCTTTGATGATATGTGTGTTCTATATTTTTGTTTTGAGAAACACCCACAGCCACATTCAGAGTTGAAAAAATGGTGTCCTTTCTGTGGATTATGATCCCACTTGCCTAATCGCTTCTATCTCGTCATATCCCCTTTTTCCATATCCTTGCCTTTTTCCCTTGTAATTTCATGAAACATCCAAATCGATCTCATTATATCCCATGAAACACTCAAAAACACCAGGTACATCAAATGTTACATTTGTCTCACTGCTATTTGAAGCCTTACAGGCACTCAGACAAAACTATGAAAAGCAGGCAATTCGCGACAGCAGCTCACATGCAGGTGTCAAAGCACCTCCAATCTGGTTTCCAGCAAGAGCGGATTTTTACGTAAACAAATACATATTTCATATGTTTTCATATTATATATATATGTGATATATATATATATATTTATATATCACAATATATATATATCATAATATATATTTATATATCATAATATATATTTATATATCATAATATATATTTATATATCATAATATATATATATATATCATAATATATATACATATATATATATATCATAATATATATACATACATATATATATATATATCATAATATATATATATATATATATCATAATATATATATCATAATATATATATATATCATAATATATATATATTATATCATAATATATATATATAAATCATAATATATATATCATAATATATATATATATATATGATATCCCCTTCTTATGGCATTGTTTACCCATCATCGGCCCCTTCTGATATCATCGGCATGCCGTCATATCTGACCAAGGCAGTCAGGCGACCGTCATATCTGCACTGGTGCTGGTGCACGTCTTTGTGATTCTGGCGCTGGTGGCACCTTGCCCCTGATTTCTACACCTTGCCTGGCCGGTTTTAAGATGTTTGAAGTAAGTCATAACATGGAAAATAAGCCCATTTATGGAATGATAACCCCATGTATAACCTTGAATAACCTTAAACATAGTGTAATATAATGTAATATATATATATTATATAACTGGTAAAGGGCTTTAACAGAGGGGATGTATATGTCCGGTGGGTCAAGACGGTCCTGAAACATCGTTGTTTGCGAGGACACCCATCCAGCGTCCTCCATGATGCCGATTCCCAGTTCACCCCCGTTGATCTCAGTGGATATATAATTAACGTAAAAACTGGTATAATTAATGATATGTTTGACATGACTTATGATACTTATGGCATTTAGTATGTTTATATGGCTTTAGAATGATATTACTAATTTTAATCCGATTCCAGTAGTTACTAGTAGTGATTACTCTAATCCAATTGGACATTGTGCTCTTAACCAACAGGAATGTTGCGATGCAGATTTTGTACTGCTCTCGGTCTGGGATCATTGGTTTCGAGCTGAAAAATGACAGCAGCTGTCATGGAAACAAAGCCAACCTGTTTCACACAGCTATGGAACATGGACCAGATATACTTGTATATACGGGGGTTTCCATAAATGGAGGTACCCCTTTATCGCTAGATGGTTTATAAGGGGAAATCCAATCTATAAATGGATGAAAACTAGGGGTACCCCCATTTATGGAAACCTCCATGTATATATATATATAATATATATATATGTAATATCTAATCTACCTATTACAAATGGTGGTTTGATGATTTGACGGTGATAAACGGTGAGTTTCTATAGTTGACTAGAGGGTAACCATACATTACCGACGCAAAATTTAGTGGAAGGACGGAAAGAATGTCAAGCGGCATAGCCACCAAGATGACATGACATGAGACATGCAACAGGAACCGATTTATTGGAGGTACCTACCATATATATATATATATACATATATATATACATATATAAGGCCTATTTTTCAGGCCTATGATAAGGGCATATCCCCACAATTCATATGATCTTATATGGTACAATAGCTCCGTTTTAAGATCCTGAAGATCTCCCATTTTTTTGAGAAGGGGTTGTGAGAGAACATGGGCTATATTTTCAGACAACATGGTGAGACCTTTTTTCGCAACTTCGGCTGCTTCAAATCCCATGTGGCTGTTGATAAACAGAGACCCTGCCCACGCAAAATAACAATAATAACTTTAAACAAGAATATAATTATCAAATTATGGGATCTGTAAATAAAGTTACAAAATAATATACTTATGAAACTATTATAAAATCCCAAACTTTGATATGGCCATGACATGAGAAATCCAGTAATCCTGTCCCGCCGCGTTCATACTATACTAAACACTCCCGAATATGTGGATTTATCTCTAGGATTTAACATGGTTTCTGTGGGGGGTTTCATATGAACTGGGGAAGGGATTACTATATATATAAACCATTGTACATCAACCATTATTAACCACTATTAATCACCAGTATCCAGTATTAACAACTACTATCAACCCGTATCAACCCGTATTAACTCGTATTAACCCGTATTAACTCGTATTAACCAGTATTATCGACTACTAGCCACTTTACCAGTATTACTATAAGCACTATTAGCCATTGTCAACCGCTACTCACCAGTGTTAACCAGTATTAACCAGTATTAATGGGTATTGACCAGTACTGTCAAAAACGATTAACCACTATTCACCACTATTAACCAATATTAACCACTATTAAACACCATTTACCACAATGCAATAAACCACCCATTTGGGAATGGTTTGTACCACCTATGTATGGTGATTTGGGTGATTGTTTATTATTGTTTTACCCACATCACAGATGATTTCCATAATTTTCCGAGCGAATACAATCTGAACAAATCCTTTCATTTGAGGTATTTTCTTGGGAAATGGGATAATTCATCTATAGATTAATGAGGAATTTATCCAACATCAATGACATAATTAATACATAATCTATGGTGAACTAACATAGCAATGGAAAATCACCATGCTATTCATGGGAAAATCCACTATAAATAGCCATTTTCCATTGCTATGTTAGTTCATTAATACATAATCTATGGAAGACCTTTATCGTTTTCCGTTTGGTTTTTACAAACGTTTTTGTGGCTGGATCCAAGACAAGTGGAGGTTTTAGTGGGAAAATCATCTATAAATGTGCGGAAACCAGAGGGTATATTATATAGTACCCTCTGGTAATTTAACCATAGGAAAACCATAGGAAAATGGTGGTTTAATGGGATTTAATGGGATTTAATGGGGTATACCCTCTGGTTATGTCAAAATAGCTATTGAAAATGACCATAGAAATAGTGGATTTACCCATGAATAGCATGGTGATTTTTCATAGTTATGTAAACGTTTACCAGAGGGTAACCCCAACAAAGCGGGAACGGTAAATTATCACTATTTTAGTGGAATTTTATGTTGGTTTTTCTCTTCTATCCGGGGACTCTAAGTTCCACATATTTGCACATAGATTTTCTGTGGGTTTAACCAGGCAGCTGGCTTACCCTCTGGTTATTTAACGTAGCTATTTTTCACATCATTATCTGGTTGGTGGATTTGGAACATGTTTTATTGTTCCATTCAGTTGGAATTTCATCATCCCATTTGACTTTCATATTTTTTAAGGGGCGTACCCTCTGGTGAACTAACATAGCAATGGAAAATCACCATGCTATTCATGGGAAAATCCACTATTTCTATAGCCATTTTCCATTGCGAACTGTTAGTTCACCAGAGGGTAGGGCTCAACCACCAACCAGTTATGGAAACATCGGTTACTCGATGGGCCATGGAAGCCTCCATGGCTTCCATCGCAGTAAACCCTATGAAAAAAAAACGCCATGGAATCCCGAGAAATCCCATTGAATCCTATGAAAATTCCCATTAATCATGGTGATTGATGGTTGTTAATGGCTTTTTTTTCATGCTTATTCATGGCTATTTTCATGATGCTTATTGATGGTTCATTTCGCCCATTGAACGAGGCTGCCATTCGTTCAACGTTTGAGGTTGCTTGGGCCTGCGCTTGGCTCGGCCCCGGAGTCTTTGCGGCCTCCTCCACCTTAGTGCTGACACTGCTCCTAGCACTCGTGCCTTGGAATGCCTTGGAATGCCTTGGGGCTTGGGGCACATTGATATAATATGGATACTTATATATATATATATATTTGTAATAGGTATATTATATATGTATATATATAGAGATTTTGTACTAGGTATATTAGATAATATACCCTTTGGTTATGACTTGTTAACAGTTCGCCATGGTTTTTCGATGGCCCTAATCGATATAGATGCTTTACCGTTCTTCATAGCATGGTGGTGACTCATCCCACGGATCCCAAGTAGCTTAGATCATCCCTGGTTTTGTGGGATATATAAGTACAATGTGAGGCCCCCGTTCGATAGCTAAGTTGGTGCCAATAACTCCAATAACTTCGGTTTATGGTACGCAAATAAATAACGAACCAGTTACTGGGGCGAATCTAAACCAACTTATAACTGGAGGGCCTCACATTGTAGGGTTAATCCACTTAGAACTAGGCTTATCACCGACTTACCAAATGGGATGAACCGCCAATTCAGCCACTGAAATTTGAGGCGTTTCTGAACGCGAACGGGGGCCGCATCTTGTACCTTTAGTAATTTTAACTTACTGGTGCTAAACGTAGGGAATGGATGGGAATGGGGGTTGCTGGGATGATCATCACAAGTAAGTTAATAGTGCTTCATCTTTGTTGGTTCTATATCCCCATCATATTCCCATTGTTGTTGGTTTATACCCTATTAACCACTACTAATCAATATCAGTTCATCTTTGTACAGCACCGCGAAACGACGCGACCAGGTAGGCATCCCCGAGTCCGGCAGCGGCGTAGCGCCCGGGCGGATCCATCGTTCTCTCGGGGCTGCGCTGGTGGTGCTGCTGACGGCGGCGGCGACGTTTTACCCATGGGAGACCTGGGACGTGAAGGGCGGCACCGAAACAAGGGGGCGAAAGAAGGGCGATGGTCGCTTAACATAACATATGTTGAACCATTGAAAATTGGATGATACATGGTAGCATTTGACCATTCAACCGTTGGAAATTGGAAGTATTCAATCACTTAACCACTGAAAATTGTTGTTTTTAAGCATTCAAGATTGGATTTATGGCTGATATAGTTGAATTGTTCATGGAAGGTTTACATAGAGCGCCCCACTGATGCCCCGGCCTTATGTTTCGGGCTTATGAAGCAACATCAATTTGTTCATTTCACACCTAGCATCTAGTCGACTGCTTCCACGCTGGATGTCCACTCTGACAGGTAGAAATGTGGGCTGGTTACATCTATGTATACATATATATATATATATACAGTGGAAATCAAAACCATTCAAAGACAAATATGTTATCCCTTAAAGAACCATCCTGGCCGGCATCGGGGGACCTGCGTCCTTGCTTTGGGCCTCTGTCGAAGTCGTGGACCGGTGGACCTGAAATTGGTGCCACAGGTTTCTTCGAAATCACCAACGAGTGAGTGATTTCGAAGAAAAAACATGACTGGTTGGTGGTTTGGAACATGAATTTGTGTTTTTCCATTCAGTTGGGAAGAATAATCCCAACTGACGAACTCCATCATTTTTCAGAGGGGTAGGTATACCACCAACCAGATGAAATCCCGACATGCCAATATCAATATCAATATCATTCCCTATCCAAACACCTCCTGAGAAGGTACGGTTGACACCCCCCAGTCATCATACCCCAGTCCCACTTCCTAAGAAGGTACTTACGTGGATCCATAGGGATTATTTCATAAATTAAGGCTATAAATTGGAGTGCCATCACCTATCATCATTATTTTTGGAGTGCCCATTCGTAAATTTCTCATTTTTCCCGGTGAAGGAGAAGAACGGCAGCGGTGGCATCGCCACTTGCCTGGAGGAAGGAGCAGAGGTGCCATATTTCGACGGCTCCCCCTGGTACTTCGGGAAGGCCCGGAGCTGGTGGTGAAGATCACATAACTAAATACATCGAACTAGTTTATGATGGTTATATGTGATTATAGTAATAACAAACATGTATAAACCACAAAACTATATAGATATATATCGAACTAGTTTATGGTTGTTATATATGTATGTTATATGTGGTTATAACAAACATCGATAAACCAACTTGGTGCATTTGATATGGAAAGCGTCGAAGTGAAGGATGATTTTATGGTTTTCGATGGGAATATATTGAACACAATGATATTGGGAAATGATTTGGATGTGATATGATATCGAATACCATGTTGGTGAATATTGATGAATGTGTTGTTCAGAGCCATTCTTAAGTTGGATTAAGTAATGGGACATTGATTGAATTTGGATTATTGCTAAACAATTTGATATACCCTCTGGTAAACCAACATATAACCATGGAAAATATGGAACATCACCATTTTTCATAGGTAACTCCACTATTTCTACTGGGCCATGTTCAATAGCTATGTCTGTTTACCAGAGGCTATATCATATTAAATCCCATTGAACCACCATAAATTCCCATTAAAATCCCATTTTTTATCCCATTCAAGAAACCGCAAACGTCGTAAACGTCTTTCCCCAAGTGATGCCGGGACCATCTTGTCCGGGGACTTCTCCGGGGACCGGAGGGATGGTCATAGCTATCTGCCATGAGATGTAGAGAAAATTCGCCCATTTTTTATCCAAAAAAAAACTAAATCATGATGGTTAATCCATTTTTTATAATGATAAAAGTATAAACGTATACAAAAAACTATAAAAACTAACCATTTTTCGATGGTTACATCCCCATTTCTAGAGGGGATCCTATGAAGATTTGCCTTAGGTTTTCCAGTCATGGGCAAATCTTCCACTGTTTGACGCGTCCAGTTTGGGTTGCTCTTAGTGGAACAAATTGGGCACGTTCAATTGGTGAGTAACATACCATATTGAAGCCATGACTGGGGAAATTTTGACAATCCGCTTGATACCCACTAAAAATCTTAGCGTCCTGTTGATGCCGAAGCGGTTTCCGCATATTAACCGCCGGCGACATCCGCATGACACAATCCGACGGAATCGGACGGCAACAGGATGCTCTGATGTGCTGGCTGCATGCTTCGTTAGCTGCCTTGTGTCTCAGTCTCTTGGCCTGAAGGGCAGGAAATGGCCAGCTACTTCGCTGGAGCCGCTCTTAAGACCATCTAAAATGGTTTCCCATCGGTGTTTTGAGTCATAGAAAAAATGTATGGGTTCTCGGCAAATTTTCAGGTACCTTACATGGTTAAAAAATAGCATGTTTTTAATACTGGTTGGTGGTTTGGAACATTTTCTATTTTTCCATTCTGTTGGGAATGTCATCATCCCAACTGACGAACTCATATTTTTCAGAGGGGTAGGGCTCAACCACCAACCAAAATATCTTCCATTACTCTAATCCATATAATCCATATAAATCACCATTGTTCATGGGACAATCACCTATTTCTATGTTTAATGATGTTTGTTATGCAATAGAAAAACGACGTACATTCACATTTGTGGTTTCCGGATGGATCAGCAACGTGGCTGCCTGGCTCGATCGGTCAAAAGATGGGTTGTTTCATTCGCAAAAAAGATCTCGCTTCCAAAGACATCCAGAAAAACAGAAAAACCATAAATTGATGATCCAAAGCCATTGTTCTACTTGACACCAAAAACCACTGTTCATCATATAGAAAAACACATGGTATCAAAATCTGATCATACAATTCAGTTCTTTTTTCAAAAAAAAACGCTTTTGATCATCAATGTGGTCTTCCATGGGCAAGCCCGCAACTTCGAAGTCATCCCTGACGCCCAGGCATGCCTCATCCAAACTCGCGTTATGCTCGCGTGGTGGTGTGGGCGGTGGTCGCCATTTGGTTGGAAACCTACTGCTGGTTAGTGGCCAACACCTACTGGCTATGCCTTGCAATGCCAGGTGACACCGGGCGTTTGTTTGGAAGATGGTGGAAGATGGGTGGAAGAAAATGTCGAGTTTGTTTAAAAGCCGAGTTCACCGGCAATGTTGATGTGGTGTAATCAGGGAATAGGAGGCAATATGTTCAGACATATCCAACAGTATATGCTATCATTTGGGGTATATTGATGGTAAATGTTACCATATATAGCATACATGGATCCTATGGTGTATGAGTGAAGCCTAAATTTAACATGAAACTCAATGAAATTGGACCATATTCAGAAACAAATCACCTCTGGGGAACCTTTTGAACTACCTGATGATTGGTTTCAGAAATGCAGTTATTAATGCTAAGTTTGGCCAGTGTTTGGGCCAGATGTTTTCAGATGTTTTCAGATTTTCCCCAACTTTCGACATTACAACATGGGTCATGAAAATCATCATTTTCTGTGAGCTTTCATCCCAAAAATCATCCTCCAAAAGCCCCCGAAACACCCAAAAACATGTGCCATGGGCAAGGCGACTTGACCGTCCAAGTCAGTTTCAAACAAATCCGCTGGCCTTCCAAGTTGATGCGTGGTTAATAGACCTATATAATCCTATATAGATCTCTATTTAATCCTATATATATATATATTTATTTCTATTATATATAGACCTTCAAAAACCATTGTTGTTTTTTTAATGTTTTTTGTTGAACTAACCTGGGTTAGCGGTTAGCTTTGGCCTAGCTTCCAGCGGCAGGCCATGGTGACAAGCTCTTCCGCGATCTGGTGAGGAGTTTTGGTTTTAATCTTGACGTGCTGGGACAGGCGCCGAAAATTTTTACATCGGCCCCGGGTTGCACCATGGAGCTGGGAGATATGGCTATGAATCAATACCTATGAAAATACCATTTCTAGTGGGATGAACATCCAGAAATACCAGCTATGACTTGGGGTTCACTAGGTACCAGGGTTTTGACCCATCCCCATATGTCACTGAAACACAGACGTAACACTGGATATGACTAATGTGGGTAAAACAATGTCGTAAACCATCCCCCAAATCACCATATCACCATAAATAGGTGGTACAAACCATTCACAAATGGGTGGTTTATTATTTGTTTTACCTACATTAATTAATGGAGTTATACATGAGTTATACTGTTATACATAGTTATACCCTCTGTAGCATCAATTGGATTGGGATATTAGCCTTGTTTTCAGGGATATTTGCAACGAGCGATTTGGCCTGTTCTTTTTTGTTGAAAACTATATAGTTACAATCATGACTACAATACGTCGCCCCTGCAGGTTGTCACTTAGTTTACAAATTTCATCAACTATAGATATATTAAGCATGAACACCCATAATCTCAATGTCTACCCACATCTAAACCAATTTAGCTATGTTGGGGGACCCACACCAGGTCCTCGTTTCATCGCATCGGGGCCCCTCTCAGTGAAGAGTTTGGATATCATCGATTCGATACTAGTTCTTTCTTTTGAGAATACAATTCCCTGCAGTTATGACCCTTTACCAGTTTTAAGTACTAACAAAAGCCCATTTATAGTAATTTATAGCATCTATAATCTATAGAATGTATAATCCCATAGAAATAGGCAGTTATAACAAATAAATGGCCAATTCCCTGTGATTTCTTTCCACATTCCCAAACAGTGGCAGCCCGTTCCCTCCAAAACGACCCGCCGTCGCAGGCCTGGACTGCGGTGCTACTTCTACGCCGTGTGCGTGCAGTGGAAAGTTCTTTTGGTGAATCGGTAGGCGGGGCCCTTTCCCATAGGATCCATGGTGCTGGTATATATGCTAACATAAAGGGGGTATATTGATGGTAAATGTCACCATATATAGCATAATTACATGGATCCTATGGGTTTGGTTATTGATAAAATAAGACTTTGCGAACTGGAACATGGAGGAACTTGGGATACCATCAACAATAGGGATTGAATGGGACAGGGACAAACTGGGACATAATTATCATGATTTAAATTTATCATGGTATAGCCTTCTGGTTCTTCAACGATGGAAGCCATGGCCCATTCAGCTCGATGATGATTGGAACCCTTGAGATCTTGAAGACCAGATACCCTTCGGTGTAAACGGGGCAAGCTGGAAAATACATGCAGCCCTCAAATTCTTATACAGTGAATTCTTATACAATTCTCAAGCTGTACCCAAGATCATCAAGGTGTTCATGTGAAAATCAACGTAAAATGGGTTGATTTTGCAAGCCACGTTTCAATTTCCGGTGGGTAAACCTTGAATATAGAAATGCAATTTTCAGTCCATACCTTTTGAGATGGTTTAAGCCAAAGATGGGGATGGTGACAATGTCGGATTGCACCTGTTTCAATTGGGAGCTACTGACCAAAGGGCTGTTAGATGGTTTTCCCATTGTTTATACTTATACAATCACCACCCATTTAAAGTTACTTGTCAGGGGGACCATACCAAAATGTAAGATATATTTTTGGGGACCCCCCTTAAATGTAAACTTGGTCGCTGAACGTCCCCCAGTGGGGAGGGTCTTCAAAATACCTTCAAAATGTAAGCTTACATTTTCAAGGCCCCCCTCAAAAACACCTTGACAATATTAGCTTACATGTTGGGATATTTTGGGTACGTCCCCCGTTAAAACAGTGGTGATCTTGTAAATTTAATATGTCATATGGAACATTATGGACCATTATATGTATGCAAATGTATACACTATAACAGTATATGTGTATCAAATTTCATGTTATCATCATTGTAAGATATGATATATCTAACAATGTGTAATACGATATAACATTGTACCCCAGTATATAGCATCATTACATATCACAATATATATATATATTATAACATTGCAAAAGATCACAGATATATGATATCACTCTCAGAATCACAGACATCTTTCACACATTGAAATCAATTCGTAAAGAGATGTGAATATCACGTAGACATATAAAACAGGCTTGCTATGTTTTACATTCTATACCATACCCTCTGGTAAACTAACATGGCTATTGCAAATAGCCCATAGAGTTCGATTTTTGTTTACCTAGAAATGGTGATGTTCCATGGTTGTTTTTGTATCTTTACCAGACCATTATAGCTATGGTGACCCATTTTTTATATTTTAATGTTTAACCAGAGCATTTTTGGGAATTTCATCATGCCAACTGTTATTCACTCCATCATTTTTCAGAGGGGTAGGGCTCAAAACCACCAAGCAGTTCCATGTTTTCCATCCAAAACCACAGATTTCGAGGCGCCTGGAAACTCCAGTGGCTCCTCTTCGTGGGGACCTTGACCTCCACCGTGGCCGCCTTTCTTCTGACCTGGATCAACGTGGCTAAGGGCACCAACTTTCCTGGGCAGCTGCAAAGGCCGCTGGTCACGGACATTTTCTATTTCATCTCCTCGGCCATTTGGTGCCTGGCTTCGGTTTCGGAATGGTTTTTGTTTTTGGTGAATTTTTGGGAGTTTGGTGGTGGATTTGAGGGTGATCTTGATTTTGGGATTTTTGGGTGATTTCATGGGATTTCAATGGATTATAAACTGATTCAATGTGATTTCAGGGTGATTTTAGCTGATTTAATGGTCATTTCAAGTGATTTTAGGGGGTTATTTGGATGTCATGGAAATTGTCGGTCATTTAAGCGGATTTTATATGAGTTTTGGGTTGATTTAATGTTGGCTTTAACGGAATTCAGGGTGATTTAGTGCGATTTCGTGAGATTTTAGGGTGATGAACAGGGATTTCAATAGGAATGACCTAGCAACAAGACTAAAACCGACCCATTTTTTTAAATGATAGCTGTTTGTGTTTAGATCCACAAAGCTGCAAAGCGGGTTGCCTTTGCGGTTGGTTGAGTATGCCAATTTTACGGTGAGATAAATAGAATGAACATCTTATCATGGATCATATCAATAATAGGGATTGCATGGCTTATGTCAGAAAGTTGGGGCCACAACAAAAAAATGTTGATGACTGATTGTACTGGATTCAGCAATCATTTATCCGGGTCTTAGTCATTCAAAATTTGGCGGCCGACGAAGAAGTGATTTGCTGATCCCTGTTGATTGGCTATTTCACGCGGAATGAAGCATCAAATCTACGGGTATTTCTTGTCTTTTTCAGTTTAACCAATTAATGGGATATTCTGTAATTGATATAGAAGATGATTAACGATTGGATGATGGCTGATTATATACTGATGAGGGGTTGTTAGCCTACCTGGTCTATTGAATAGTTGGTAACTATGAACTGACCCATTCTGGGAATCCCTATCAACGAAACAGTAAGATGGGATGACATAGGATTTTTGAACACTGCTTAGCTGATTCAATTCTGTTGCAGGGATAGAAAGCAGCAGGGAAGAATCAGTTGAATCCAGAAGTTGCTTCAAAAAACAATTAAGGCTGGTCAGGATATACCCTATTGTTCAGATTCCAAACTTGGTCCGTTACATCACCGTTCGTTGTGTGCTTAAACCTCGGAGCTGTGTGGTCTTTAAATATATCAATTCCAAGTGTATTTTCAGGCCCTTACACCATGTTGAGCGTCTCTAATCCCGATTTTTTTTGTTTTCTTCATGAATCAGAAAATTTTTAGAATTTGCAGATCTCGCCACATGGAATCTCTGGAAGTGCATGATTTTGTGCATCCTGTGGTGGTTTGTCACCCTTATGGGTGGGCACACTGTGGTTTCTTATCTACCCCATGGTTTGATGGTAAGAAATCCCATCATTTTTCGGGCTAGATAGGTAGGTAGGTATACCACCAACCAGCTATTGAATGACAATCATTAACCATAAAATCTGGTCAGAAAAATAATGGTTAATATATGATTAACCAGATTATATGGTTAATTAACAACGAGTCCAGTGGTTTCACCAATCCACTGAGGTTTCTTTGCGGTTTCACCTTTTCTTACGCCTTCACGACGCCCTGTGTTTTGTTAAAACAAGAGGCCGCTACGCCCCGGGGTCCCCGGTGGAGATGGGACGCTGGGTACCGGGTTTTTCAGGCCGTGATTTTCACGCGTGATTTTGATGGGCTTCGATACATGGTTATTTCTATGGGGTTATCATGAAGAAAAAATGGGGTGATGGACTTATAAGTGGTATTTCGTGCCAAACTTGGTAAATTGTCGCATAGCTATGGAAATCCTCTATGTAACTTTTAAGAGCCATTTTTGATATCAACCCAACAGTTTTTAATACTTTATTTACCCATAATTATATTTACATGATTTTATATGTATAAATTGAGAGTTTCCAGTTCGCAAACTGTTAGTTTACCAGAGGGCAAGCCAGATTTTTTGAAGAGTTCCAAGCAGCAAACATGTCAGACCAATGAGAAGTTCAACATTTGACCCTGGGAGTGTCCAGCTCGAGTGCAATGCCGATAGTGCTGAGTCAACTCGGATGATTCTGATGCTGGGGTTGCCAAATGTCCGGGCATTTGTTCCAGATTATTGCTCTAAGAAAGTCGACTCGCGCACTGCTCCACTGCTCATGGAGATGACTGTGAGATTTGTTCATGATAGTTATTCATCAATCCAACAAAAACTAACATCATTTAGATTGATGAATAAATCTCAGAATTGATGAATAATGGTTGGATTGATGAACAACTATAATGGATTGGATTATAGTTATATCTGGTAATTCATTGTAGTCATTCACTACCATGTCTAGATCTACATGAACCAACATTAACATTAACTCATGTTGACAGACATCAAGTGACACAAACTAATAATGACACACATTATTTCCTGTCTAGTGACATGAGTACTTGTTGGTGTTTTTTTTCTTGACAGATGACATGAGTGTCCACTGGTAAAACTATATAACATCAACTAACATTAGCGAACATCAACTAACATCAACTAACTAACATCAACTAACATCAACTAACATCAGATAACATAAGCTAACATCAGCTAGCATCAACTAACATCAGCTAAAATCAACTAAGATCAAGCAACATCAACTGACACCAGCTAACATCAGCTAACATCACCTATCATCAGCTAACATTACCTAACATCAACTAACATCAACTAACACAAGGTAACATCACCTAACATCAGCTAACATTAACTACCATCACCTAACATCAGCTAACACCACTTAACATCAACTAACATAAGCGAACATCAGCCAACATTGACTAACATCATGTAACATCAGCTAACATTGTCTAACATCAACTGACATCAGCTACCATCACCTAACACTAACATCAGCTAACATCATCTAACATCAACTAACAACAGCTAACATTGACTAACACCCACGCACATCAGCTAACATCACCTAACATCATTTAACGCCAACTAACATCAGCTAACATCACCTAACATCAACTAACAACAGCAAACATCAGCTATTATATAACATCAACTTACATCAGCAAACATCGACCAACAACATCTCACATCACCTAACATCACCTAACATCAACTAACATCAGCTAACATCATCTAAACTCAACTAACATAAACTAACATCTCCTATCATCAGCTAACATCAGCTAGCGTCATCTAACATCAACAAACATCAGCTAACATCACCTAACATCAGCTAACAATGACTAACATCATGTAACATCAGCTAACATGTTTTAACATCAACTAACATTACCTAACATCAACTAACATAAACTAACACAAACTAACATCTCCTAACATTAGCTAACATCAATCAACATCAGCTAGAATCGACTTACATAAACTAATTATCAGCTAACATGATCTAACATGATCTAACATCAGCTAACATTTGCTAACATCATCTAACACCAACTAACATCAACTAACATCAGCTAACATCAACTCACATCAGCTAACATCAATTAAGATCACCTAACATTAACTAACATCGCCTAACATCAACTAACATCAACTAACATCAGGTAGCATCACCTAACATCAGCTAACATCAGCTTGCATTAACTACCATCAACTAACATCAGCTTACATCGGCTGACATAGGCTAACATCATCTAACATCAACTAACAACAGCTAACATTGACTAACACCCACGAAAATCAGCTAACATCAACTAACATCAGCTAACATTACCTAACATCAGCTAACTTTAACTGACATCAGCAAACATCAGCTAACATCACATAACATCATCTAACATCAAGTAACATCAGCCAACATCACCTAAGACCTAACAGCAACTAACATCAGCTAACATCATCTAACATCAACTAACATAAACTGATATCAACGAATATCAACTAATATCACTATACAAAATCTATCATCGACTAACATCAGATAACAACAGCTAACATCAACTGACATCAGCTAACATCAACTAACATCAGCTAACAACAACTAACATCAGCTAACATCATCTAACATCGCCTAACATCAGATAACATTGGATTACATCAGCTAACACCAGCTAACATCAGCTAACATCATCTAGCATCAACTAACATCAACTAGCATCAGCTAACATAATCTAACATCAGCTAACATTATATAACATCGCCTAGCATCAGCTTACATCGCCTTACATCAGCTAACATCATCTAGCATCCACTAACATCAACTAGCATCAGCTAACATAATCTAACATCAGCTATCATTTTCTAACATCGCCTAGCATCAGCTAACATCAGCAAACATAATCTAACATCAGCTAACATCAGCTAACATAATCTAACATCACCTAACATTGCCTAACATCAGCTAACATCACCTAACATCAGCTAACATCATCTAGCATCAACTAGGATCAACTAGCATCAGCTAACATAATCCAACATCAGCTAACATTATCTAACATCGCCTAGCATCATCTAACATCAGCTTACATAAGCAAACACCAGCTAACATCAGCTAACATCATCTAGCATCAACTAACACCAACTAGCATGAGCTGACATCATCTAACATCAACTAACATCAGCTAACATGAGCTAACACCAACTAACATCAGCTAACATAATCTAACATGACCTAACATAATCTAACATTGCCTAACACCAGCTAACATCACCTTACATCAGCTAACATAATCCAACATCAGCTAACATTATCTAACATCGCCTAGCATCATCTAACATCAGCTTACATAAGCAAACACCAGCTAACATCAGCTAACATCATCTAGCATCAACTAACACCAACTAGCATGAGCTGACATCATCTAACATCAACTAACATCAGCTAACATGAGCTAACATCAACTAGCATCAGCTAACATAACCTAACATCAGCTAACATTATCTAACATTGCCTAGCATCAGCTAACATCAGCTTACACTAGCTAACATCAGCTAACATCAGCTAACATAATCTAACATCAGCTAACATTATTTAACATCGCCAAGCATCAGCTAACATCAGCTTACATTAGCTAACATTATCTAACATGGCCTAGCATCAGGCAACATCAGCTTACATCAGCTAACATCAGCTAACATAATCTAACATCAGCTAACATTATCTTACATCGCCTAGCATCAGCTAACATCAGCTAACATCAGCTAACATCAGCTTGCATCAGCTTACATCAGCTAACATCAGCTAACATAATCTAACATCAGCTAACATCAGCTAACATAATATAACATCACCTAACATAATCTAACATCACCTAACATAATCTAAGATCAGCTAACATCAGCTAACATAATCTAACAACACCTAACATAATCTAACATCCCCTAAAATAATCTAACATCAGCTAACATTATCTAACATAACCAAACATCAGCTAACATCAGCAAACATAGTCTAACATAGTCTAATATAATCTAACATCAGCTAACATCAGCTAACATAATCTAACATTACCTAACATAATCTAACATCAGCTAACATCAGCTAACATAATCTAACATTACCTAACATAATCTAACATCAGCTAACATAATCTAACATCAGCAAACATAATCTAACATCATCAAACATCAGCTAACATCAGCTAACATAATCTAACATCAGCAAGCATAATCTAACATCAGCTAACATAATCTAACATAATCTAACATCAGCTAACATAATCTAACATCACCTAACATAATCTAACATCAGCTAACATAATCTAACATCAGTCGACATAATCTAATATAATCAAACATCAACTAACATAATCTAACATCACCCAACATAATCTGACATCAGCTAACATCAGCTAACATCATCTAGCATCAACTAGCATTAAGTAACACCAACTAGCATCGGCTAACATTATCTGACATCACCACATCAGCTAGCATCAGCTTACATCAGTGAATCAGCTAACATTATCTAACATCGCCTAGCATCAGCTAACATTATCTAACATCACCTAACATAATCTGACATCAGCTAACATAATCTAGCATAATCTAACATAATCTAACATAATTTAACATGAGCAAACATATCTAACATCACCTAACATAATCTAACATCACCTAACATAATCTAACATAATCTAACATCACCTAACAGAATCTAACATCTCCTAACATAACCTAACATCAGCTAACATAATCTAACATCGCCTAACAGAATCTAGCATAATCTAACATCACCCAACATAATCTGACATCAGCTAGCATCAGCTAACATCATCTAGCATCAACTAGCATTAAGTAACACCAACTAGCATCAGCTAACATCAGCTTACATCAGTGAACCAGCTAACATAATCTGACATCAGCTAACATAATCTAACATCTCCTAACATAATCTAACATCAGCTAACATAACCTAACATAATCTAACATAATCTAGCATAATCTGACATCAGCTAACGTTTTTCTCCAGGCCAAATCCTTGGAGAGTGCCCCGCTGGCGGAAGCCCTTTGGGCAGCTCGGCGCCTCAAGGCCATGATCGACTGAGTCGATACGAGTCGGTTGAGGCCATTGGTCTGGGTAAATTATAACGACCTCACTGCGACCTCACTATAATCATAGTTAGTAAGGGGAAGCATCCCCAAATGGCCTTAATTCAGGTTAGTGAAATATTATCATTTACCCAGATTGGTTAATATACTGTTAATAATGGTCTATATATGGTTATTATATGGTTAATGATGGTTAATAATAATCTTGTTATCTGGTTATGACTAACAGTTCGCCATGGTATAGATGGCCCATAGAAATAGATGGTTTACCGTTCTTAATAGCAAGGTGGATCTTTCCATGGCTATGTTGAATAACCAGATGGTAAATATGATATGACAATATAATAATGATAATAATAACTATTATTAGTTGTTATATATATATATATTAGTTATTATATATATATTATACGTACGTTTGTAGATAATAGTTTATGACATGTTTTTACTGGTTTAAGACTTTCTTTGTGGTGGTTTCCGTATGTTTGGATTGGTTTATAACAGTTTATCACTAGGTTGTATGGACGTGTTGGGTTGATGCTAGATATATCAAACTGTTCATGGGATTTAGAACTTGATTTATATAGCTATTCGATGTTGGGATATAAAACATATTCGACGTTAGATACTGGTGGACTTACCCAAACATGGACGTGTTTCAGGTGAAAAAGAAATAGGTGGATGTATCCGCAATGAGGATGGGTCAAAACCTATTACCATATTTCGGGGAATAACCATCCAGTCACCAGCTATTTCAGTGTACCATCCTGGTCCTAGGGTTTTGACTCATAGCCATATATATATATTTATATTTAACTTAGTGGATCTTCATGGGGTTTATATCGAACACAACTGGGAGCACCACCATGGATTGGTGATTCACCTTGATATTGTGAACAAGATAGTGCTCAACATATATTGGGCTAATAAGAATCGTATAATCACCATAGATATTGTTCAAAGGGATTCAAAGGGTACATGTCAAACTGTTTTATGTTGTTTCAATGGAACATGGAAATAGTCATGCGAGTATGGGTCAAAGTGTCAATGTTACACAATGGAAAACATGGTGCTGAACGATGATATTCTATGCCCATATTGTTTCAATCGTCACATGTTTCAAGCTGCCGTTTTCGAGGCCTATGGCGCCACAGACCCTTCTGGGCATATAAGACAATAAGGGCCTCAAAACAGCTCCACCGTGAATGATGATTCATAGAAGGAATAGTTTTCAAATAATGAAAAACTGATCAAATTGTGAAATATAATCATTTGTTCCGACATCTATCAATCAGTCTGAAGAAAGAAACATGCGCATGTTGACCAAATAGACATTCAGAAGGGTGCTATAAACCATCCCCAAATGCTACGTAGGTTTATGGCATTGAGTTTCCCAACAAAAAAGGATGAGCAACGACATGGCCCAAAAACATGGGGGTTCCCAAAGACTAGGCATCCAGAATTGGTCCGTTTTGTGAATGGTCAGTTGTTCCACATGGAACCCTGATATACCCTGATGTTTCCAGCAGTCGATGAGCCGGATGATACCTTAAGCACAGGGAATTGTGCTGGCCCTCTAGTGAATATTTCCTGGATGGGAGTGACGATAGCACGCTGGCCCGGGTGGAGTTGGTGTTTTTTTTCGCGCAAGCGCGGTGCACCTTCCAATGTTGGGCTTACCCACTTTAGAGCCTTGGAATTTGGAAGCCCCTTTGATGGTTCAAATTCACATCAATCAGACAGACACATGGAAAAATTGACGCCAGGGTTTTCGGACGGGGCCCAGGTCAGACATCATTTTGGTTTGTTCGTTTCCTCGATGGAAATTGCATGTTGGTCCTCGTACATCTTCCAAAAAAGGGCTGAACAATCTCCAGTTCCACACACCCCAGGGGGGGTGTACCCTATGGTAAATAAACATAGACCCTGAAAATGACCAATTTTTAGTGGAAACTAATCTTCCAACCCCCATCTGCCAGGGTCTATGTTAATTTACCAGAGGGTAAATATCCCAGAGCAGAGGAAAAAATCACCTGAAGACGGTAGTCAGGGCCTCGGTTCTCCTAATCAGATCGTTTGGTGATGTTAAAGTTGGTTTGCTTCCAAATTAAAATGACCCGGCCTGGTAAACATACAAAAAGCGACATAGAACATGGCCCAGTCGAAATAGTGAGTTTTCCCATGAAAAATGGTGATTTTCCATAGTTTTTTGTATGTTTATCAGAGGGTATCATCCGTCACGAAATGAATGATTTACCCCCTGAAACCAATACACAAATGGATTCCAATGGGGTTTCTTAAAATGGGTATGCCCAAAACCATGGGTTTCAGTACTCAAATTGTCTATAATTTGGATGATTTGGGGATACCTGCATTTTAGGAAACTTCCTAAATACACACATCCATTAAAATCGCAATTTAAATCCCATTTAATTATAAATTGTTGTTAAACCACCATTTCTGGCGCATCCCATGGCACAACAGCACCGTGTTCGCCAGGTGGAACGCGCTGCATCGATGACCACCTCCTTTTTGACCTCGCTGAATTTCATGGGCCGCGCGGTCTGCGGCATTTGGTCCAAGCAGATGCCGGTGACTCGACAAATGACGCGGCAGACTTTAATGAAGCGGCATAAGTATATCCATTATATTATATAATCTGGTTGGTGGTTTGGAACATTTGTTATTTTCCCCAATAGTTGGGATGATGATCCAATCTGACTAATTTTTTTCAGGGGGGTTGAAACCATCAATTAGTAATACTATTAAACAAAAAATGTGTGTCCATTAAGATGATGTAAATGATAGTCTTTAATGTATAGTCTTTATGGATATTTATTTCATTTAATGATTTATTGATGTATAGTATTGTGGAGGGTATGTGTCGTATGGTTTTGTATGGTATTGATGCATTGTATAGTAAAATTCAATTATTTATCTATATACATAGATGGGTATTGTACGCTTATATAGTTGTATACTTGTGTGATAGCCTTCCAAAGTAGCTTTAGGCCCTTGTGTTACCCGAAACTAATGGTATTGTAGTTGGAGCATATATCTGTATATATATATATATGTATATACACACACATACCGTCACATACCCTTTGTGGAATTCATACAAATCCCTCTCGTTTGACATATCTGTATAGCTGTGCTGGCTGCTCTCCGTAAGCCATATCTGAAAACTCCACTGGGCAGAGCCCAAATCATATTGAGTTGGCTATAATATATGTGTTCTCTTCACTCTCTCTATATATGCATATAGATTTATATATATATATACAATAACATATCCCGCCAAATATCCCATAACATATCCGTCACATCTCATGGCGTTCCATCATGTTCCATCGTCCGCAACCATGGTCGTTACCAACAGTTCACCCGAGATCTTGACTAGATATGTGATACCAACGTAGACTTTACAGGCTAGTCAGGACCCTTAGTGTAATAGCAACTTACAACTCTTAACACTTAATTCTTGGTGATAGTAGTTCATAATCATATAATTATCACTATATATTTATATATAGCTGGTGATAGTAGTAAATGATATCATTGTTTCATATTCATCTTACTCAACATTTACCGCGGCGACTTCACCGAGGTCCCTGTGTGGTTCTTCTTGGATGTCTTGATGTGGGACTTCGATGATTTGGCCAACGCCATCAGCCTGGCTGTTTTGTCAGGCGCGCCAAGCCTGGTGTTGGACAAAAAAACATGGATGAAGCAACAGAGGGTTTGGGAAACGTTAAGCATCATTGGCTTAGGTCACCTAGGCCGATCTTGGGAAATACACCAAATTTTGTTTGTGTTTTTCGATGGGGACAAATATGTGTATATCAAGGTTGCTCGAACCTATTGCAGGTACATCATTGCCACATGCAAGGGTGACATATACAAGAAATAACAAAATTTTACCTCCAAATATCTACCCTGTTTCCGCCCCAAACGTATGTGGGGTGGCCAGGGAGCAACCCTCTTTAAGATCAATCAGATATTACAGCAAATCATAGATAATCACTGATTCAAAGTTCAAGGTATATCACATTAGATAGATATTTTCACCATTTTGGTCCATACATTTTGTCATTGGGAAATCGCCGAATGTTTCAAGCCTCAGTACTTCACCGCCCGAGAATCAAATCAGAATGCCATTGGCAATCCCTTGAACCATAGAACTCCCTCCGCACGTATCACGAATCGTCGAGGTCTGCTGTATCAGGATCGACCGCCCGAGCTTCAGAAGCCGGCAACTTTGGCAGCTGCTGTGGGGAATTGAGTTTTGCAGCGTTGCCGTTGGGAAATATTCCCCCAAAATGGGAAAATTGATCGAAGTAACTGTGAAATATTGTAAAATCACCCTTTTATTATCTCTTACAAACCCGCCGAACCCGGGTACCGTTTTTTTTGTGTTTTTTTATAAGGTATTTTTTTGGGGGGGTCGGGGTACCAAAAATGTTTATAAACCAGCGCCCCCCGGGGTTACAAACCTTGCATCACAACACAATAACTATTTTGTAAACTGAACCAATTTTGTGGGGCTATAAAATGACAATTTTTTCAACTGGTAAGAACAAACCCGGGGGTCTAAAAATCTTATAAAATGCCTCCGCCATCCTTCCCCATTGAATTCCTCCTGCACGACCCCCGCGGTAGCGAAATGACTATTCATTGGTGGGACAAAAAGGAGGATTTTGTGTTCCTGAACTATGCCATTTTATTAGGTTCTGAAGTGATCAAGTAGGTATGAAACAATTTCCATTTTATAAGTGTTTTTTAATATGCGGCAATTTTTAAGGACCGTAGATTGGAATCGCCATGAATCGCCATTTTATAATACTTTCGTACACAGGACTATCATTTTTTAAGAAACATCTACTGGCGGTGCCTGGGTTCCTGGTCTATAAGGGGGATATTATTGCAAAATTGTTCATTGCCAGTCTTATTTGGTGGAGACAAAGTGAGAAAAACTTGTGATCATTTGATACGCAATGTTTGTTCCCGTTTGTGTGCCGGCATAGTCGGTGGTTTCTGATTTACCAGCCCTAGTTTTATTGATTGTCCTGGTTTCAGGTTGGTCTGCCAATCAAGTTGTCCTTTTAGTGTTTTGGTAAACTTCCCAGATAGTTCTGTAAGTAACGGTACTTTTCGGTAATTAATGTGAATCTATTTACGGAAATCCTTTTCTTCACTGCAACCCAAAGGTTTGTACTGGTAATTTTCCAATCCGTCAATGTCACAGAATGAGTTGAGACCATTGTAGCTTTGGATGAAAACAACACATTGAAAGACAAAACCAGGTTCCTGTAGAGTGTATCTTAAACCAAATCAGCAAAGGCTCCATAACCGATAAGAAATATGCGTACCACTCCAAGACCCACAGACCCAGAGACTCAAACCCAACAGTCACAGTCACTGCTGTTGGGATTTTTATTTATACACGGTAGTACAGATATCTGATAGAGATACACAAGATACATGTATCTGGATACATGTACAAAGGCGACCTTACTGCAACGTCGCTGTAACTATTGCAATTTTTCCAGATATAGTTCTCACTATACATGCTGGTTGTAGTTTGCTATGTGTCATTATATTCCCATGACATTTCCATCAAATGGTCAGAATCTTGGGTCAGTAACTAGCTAGTGAACTTGATTCCAATGAAAAATCCTGTCGAAAAAAAGTGGCATACAAAAGCCATACAAAACCCACTTCTCCAGGCGTTGTTTCAACATATGTCCCCCACTGAGGAGAATGACTGTGACCTGAAGGACAACTGCCGGAGTTGCGACTGCTGTGGCGGCAATGAGGCGGAGTGGCAGGAAAAGGTACACGAATTGGCCTCGCGATCTGTTGGCGTGCCTTGGTCCTGATATAGGGCAGGCCAGGGCTATCATGGCCCACCACCCTTGGGATTGGATGAGCATAACTATCCCATTGTGATCGTTTTTAAGGATCTGATGTCATTTCAGACATACGCAGACGATTGGCAGAAGCTCTACACGAACAATTTGGCTTGGAAACGGACTTGGTGAAATCTCTGATAGGAAGCACTTATCTGTTACTGAGCCGCTTCTTTGTTGACAGTGGTGAGATAGCTTCTTTGAAAAACCTTCTGACCAGACCCAAGCTGGCGATCAGCGAACCCTTCACATTTTGGAGATCCTTGCCGTCGAACAGATGGAGTGTGCATCAGATTCTGACTTCATCCAGTGAAGACGCATCTGGCGCACAGTGATATGGATTGAGGACGCTCAATCCACGTACCAACAAGCTTCAGTTTGTGATCACCTATTGTTCAGGGTCTGCTTTCTTTTATTTCTTCCAGTTTGCAATCAGCGCATGCGTATATGGCAAACGGCCAAGCCGAGAACCGCCGTCTCGACCTTACTCGTATTTTCACTTCGATCACTGTCATGTCATGTTTAATTGTGCTTCGTGGTTGATTTGGAATCTTGATGTGCGCATGTGAATTTCATGATATGTCTCATTTCATCTGAATTCATCCTCTCCCTTGGGGGGTTCCAAGTGTTGCGTTGTTCTTTTGATTTTGTGAATGGAAGTAGGAGTAATTAATGCCAAGAGTTAATCTTTTTGTGAGGGATCAGCAAACCACCGAGGGTGTATACACATATACAGCGTGTATTTATATATATATATTTATATTTTTTTTAAATATATTGAGTGCGAAAGACAGCAGTTGGTTGGTGTTGTACGGGGATATAAGGTTTGAAACACATTGTACTTACATTGATATAGCTACCTGGCTTGATTGTTCTTTTGGAATAGCTAGGAAGCAACCATTATATATAAGGGCAAAGGATGTTTGTTTTTCCCTTTTGTACTGAAGTAGGAGAACTGTTTACCGCTGTGCGTGGCAAAGTTGTGCCCATGGCCGAAAAAGCTGAAAACAAACCGGGGAGAAGTGGGGATTGTTTTTTGTAGCTTCAAGACATGACGGAAAAACACAACTTAACCACCATTAAACAAATAGTAAGCAAATCTCTTCACATATAGACATATGCATACATATGTAGAAATACACATGCATGCTTACAAAAATATTTCAATCATACATAAACAAAATATATATATTTACATATTTACATTCTGTGCATTTTTACAAATATACATATTCATATATACATTCATGCATATACACATATCTACACATATATATATATATATATTTACAGGTTTTTATACACACATGCATTTTTTTTTGCAAAAATATGATTATACGTATATACATACCTACATATTTACATATATTTACATATATATATATATACATAGATACATATTTACATATATACATACATACAAATATACATATTTACATATATACATAGATACATATTTACATATTTACATATATACATAGATACATATTTACATATATACATAGATACATATTTACATATTTACATATACATTTACATATTTACATATTTACATGTATACATGTATACATGTATACATGTATATACATATTTACATACATGCATCTTTACATCTTTACAAATTACATACATATACATATTTACTTTTTTAACCTACGTATACATACATATAATGTATATATATATAGTTATATATACATATATATATTTACATGTACATTTATGTAAATACACAGGCATATAACACACATATTTCTTCATATTTCTATTTGATGGTTCGAAATCCAACTGGGTAAAATCAACCACAATCGGGATATACATGGGATCTTGAATGGGGATATAAAATTCGTCCAGATTGAAAATCAACCAGTGCATTCCTGCTATTTTCCTTCATCGAAGTGATCCATGCAAAGGTCCAATTTTTCCTCATTTGCGCACGGTGAAACATCACTTGAAACGGTGGTCATGTGGTGAAGTTCCCCAATTTGGTTGATGTTTTGATGTTTCAAAACGAAATCTCAGCATTACTGTCTTACATAGATATCCAATGATATTCAAGAACCTCAGATTCGGGGATTGATCATATGTCTGGCCATGTTTAGCGTAATTCCCAGACTTGGTTACAGGAACACCCTTCATCACCCTTCCATGTACGTGTAAAGTGCAGATTTCGCCTTAAATCAACACATTAATTGCATTCCATTGTATCCCATTAAATGCCGATGGAATAAGATGGTTGGTCATGCAGCCCTTCTACCTTTGTTGGTGAAAAACCACCTGGGTTCATCCTGGAACAACGCTCCGTTGTTTTTTCAGCCGAGGTGTTGGAGTTGGTGAATTTTGTTCAGAAGTTGAAGGAACCCAGTCTCATGCCTTCCTTTGTTCCTGATCCTTGACTGCTGGAAGGTGCTGAAAATGCTAGTGGTGTCGAGATTGTGAGTTTGGACCCAATGCTAGATGTTGTTTTTGCATTTTTAGGTTTATAACATTAGTTTTTTTGTTTTTTTTGCAGCAATCGTGTTGTTTGTTTTGGTGTGTGGGATGGATCGGTATAGCCATTTGCCGCCACAAAACACCAACAAAAATGAATGGATTGTACCCCCCTGTCCCTCCTGTCCCTTGAACCGAAAAAACACATGAACATGTGTTTTAGGTTTTTTCCCAACATTTGTTTTGGGTTTGTTTTCTCCAAATATGCATATTCTTGTTCACAGTTTTTCAAGATGTGGGGAGAAATCAATGGTCTGAGAATAACATCCATTTACCAAGTGTTTTGGTGTTCACCAGGGTACCGTTTTTTATTTTTGAGTAATTTAATAATTGCCAAATTGGAATATAGGGTATGGTCAGGGACTGCGGGTCCCGCTAACAACCAGCATCATCGTACTATATAAGACATGTTCCCCAACCATTTGGGGAGTATACCCCGAGGTCATCAAATCGTCCGATGCTTTACCCAGCTACTAAACGGCCCTCTGATGTTTGACACGGACAACGAAGGGTTTACTTTTGATTTCGGGGAATCCCAGTGACTCACCATGTTTGTTGTTTAAATCATGTTAAATCCTCCTATTTTACTGTATCCATTACTGTAATCCCATCCCAATATTTTTAGCATTCGCCACACAAGCCATGGGGGTTCTCCGTGATTTTCCCATCCTTTTTCCCAAGGAGATGTCGACAACCAACGATGTGGTCCGTCAAGCCATCATTCCCTTGTCGCGCAGAGGGGACACAGGCAAGGGCCGCAATGGATGTCCAGGGAATGACCCTGAGACCCAGAATTTACCCTCTGGTAAACATACAAAAGGCTATATTGAAAATGGCCCGTTTAGTTCGTTGATTTACCCATTAATAGCGTGGTGATTTTCAATAACTATGTTAAATTACCAGAGGATATGATATACGACTTCACTCATTTACCCAGCTTTCCGACCCACCACCAGTAGGGGTTGCAGGGTGATGAGTTTTCCTTTCTTTGGAAGGTTGTTTGGCTTGGCAAATGATGCACCACTCCCTGACCCAGATTTTAAAACCAAACAAGCACTGCTGTTGGGGGTACATTTGCATATGTACATGTGGTAGTATTTCATGTAGGCGATTTACTATCATTATATAAGATCAACCCTATCAACCCAAGACAATATTTATATAATATCATTATTTATAGTTATAAATCTTATAATATATATACTATCATATAATATTTTATTTATACTATCATTATATAATATCAAACGCTGGTTCTTTGAACAACAGCCCAGTGACGCAGGATTTGCACTGGCCAGTCTTTGGAGTGGAGGACGCATGGTGGCTGTGGGACGTCCAGCCTGAGACCCGGATCTATGCTCCTCACATCACATTATAATTGTATCTATTTCTATATAATTCTATGTATGTAACATTAAACACATATTACAATTATAATACATATATAATATATTACATGTATATATATATATATATATATTGTTACATATAACATACATACATACATACATACATTACATTACATTACATTACATTACATACATACACACATACACACATACACACATACACACATACACACATACATACATACATACATACATCCATGCATACATACCTACCTACCTACCTACATACATACATACATGCATCCATCCATCCATGCATGCATACATACCTACCTACCTACATACATACATACACACACATACACACATACACACATACACACATACACACATACACACACACATACATACATACATACATACATCCATGCATGCATACATACATGAATACATACCTACCTACCTACCTACCTACATACATACATACACACATACATACATACATACATACATTATATACATTACATACATTACATTACATACATTACATACATGCATACATGCATACATGCATACATACATTACATACATTACATACATACATACATACATACATACATACATACATACATACATACATACATACATACATACATACATACATACATACATACACACATACACACATACACACATACACACATACACACATACACACATACACACATACATACATACACACATACATACATACACACATCCATGCATCCATGCATACATCCATACATACATACATACCTACCTACATACATACATACATACATTATATACATTACATACATTACATTACATACATTACATACATGCATACATGCATACATGCATACATGCATTACATACATTACATACATACATACATACATACATACATACATACATACATACATGCATACATGCATACATGCATACATGCATACATGCATACATGCATACATGCATACATGCATACATGCATACTTTCATACATGCACACATACATACTTACATTACATTACATTACATTGCATTGCGTTACCTTACATTATATTACATTACATATATACATATTTACATATATACATATATACATATATACATATATACATATATACATATATAAATATGTACATTTGTACATATGTACATATATAGATATATACATATATACATACATACATATATACATACATATACATATAATATGGAACGGATCCATTGAAAACACATGTCTTACAATTAGATGACAGCGATTTAATAAACTGTACACTGTACACATACAGAGACTATCAGAAACAAAAAAGATATATATATATATATTACACTGTATATATATATGTGACATAGCCTGTTTTCATGCCCAAAGAACATATTGATTATGTATCTGATACCATGAAATAAGGGCAAATCGTGCCACATGGATGGACCGTCACTGATGGTTCAGCAAGTCTTTGGGAACCCGACGTATCGATTAACCTTCAGAAAAAGACGGATACTAGATCATTATTTAAGGTTTTGCAATTGATCTGGGGTCTCTGGAAATGGATTCTTGGGTCTTTCCAAATATTTTATTTCATTATGTGCTGGCTCTTTTTTGGTACATGAGTCGGTGCGCACTGTGAATCCGAATCTAGCGGTTGCTTTGCAAGCACTATATATATATATATACCAATATTACTCGTGAAAGTCGATCCATTTAGTTGGCAGATATTTGTCATATTGTTCCAAGGGGGAGTTGATTTTTTTACCCGGTGGCTTCAATTTGAGTTTCCGTTTTCAGAGTTGTGAAATTTGACGAGGGCCCCAGTTCTTGTCTGAAAAGTGTGTACCACTCCACTGATGATTTTAGATCAACTATCATTCTCCCTTATCTAAATGGTTATATGCGGGTATACACCATATTCAGACACGCCCATACAAGTACTGGTTGGCAGTTGATATATATATATATATACATATACACATATGTATATATATATGGCTATGTTCATTTTGTTTCCATCTTACCTGGGATAATGATCTCGCTGTAGCGATCACCAGGAGCCCCGAGACCGCCAACCAAGATGGTGACGCATGCTTGGGATGCTTGGCATCATTCCATGCATCATCCCAGGTGTGCGATATATATATAAATATATATATAAATATATATATATATATATAAATATTACATATATAATATATATATATATATATTATATATGTAATATATATATATATGTTTAATATCCATCTATTTCCAATATTATAAGATCGCAGCTGGGCCTGGTTTCTTCCAAAGCTTGTTTTATTAGACTCTTTCGTGACTTCGCTAATACCTGCTTGGTGGCTCATCCCAGGAATCCTCAGAGGCCTAGTTCACCCCGTTATAAGGTGGCAAGCCCAAGAATAAACCATCGAATGGGGGTTTTCCATAGTCATGGGGGTTACCCCCAAATGGATGGTTTATGGTGGAAAAGCTTATTCAAATGTATGATTTTTCCATGGGGTACCCCATGACTTCGGAAACCAAATGAACCAAGCATTTGGGGGTGAAGATCATCCACTCAGGGGAAACGAACTGGGATGAACCACCTTTGGTAGCATAGGGTGCAGGTGTAGCCTGACTTTCGCCTCCAAGAACAACGGTAGACTGCCTACTTACCCACAGTAAGATAGCGGTGTCCCAAAAAGGAGGCCATGATTTGGGGGATGTTTTCTGAAAAGTTGGGGACATGGACCTTGGTTACTCGATTGGTACCCGAAGTTTCCCTGAGAATAGCTTTCCAGATGTGTTGAAACACCCAAACTCTGGCGCATGTCAGTCCAAAAAGATCTTAAACCCCAAAAAACAACGATTCACCTTGGCTAAAGGCAATGTTGACCCAAAATTCCAAGAAAAAATCCCAGCTGGAACGCTCCAGAGTTCAACAGTAGAACCACCAATCTTAGCAGCCAAACATCTACTGTTTTTTTTATTGGTGACATCATGTTACATCTCAATTCAATGCCTTCACCATTTTTCATGGTTGAATCCCTTCGTATTGAAATTACATGAAATTACGGTGAATTCCCTAATTTCACCATTTTTGCTGGTTAAAAATACCAACCCCCCAACACATCCTAAACGTTCAAAGGACAATCACCAAACGTTCAGCCAAAAAAACACCTATAATTTCTACCAGCAACATGTTGTTTCCAGGTGTTTCATCCCCAATATCCAAACAATTCCCGGCTTCTAATCCCAGAACCTTGGGTATACCCAACATCCCAAAATTTCATGGGTGAAAATGGGGTGAAAACACTTAAATCCCAAATGTTCGTTCACAAAATCCATCAATCAATCCATCAAAAACACTAGCTGTTTTTCTACAGCTGAGGCCCTTTACCAGTACACAAATAACTGGTATTTCGGCCTAGTAACTGTAGGTGTTTGTCTCTCAAGATCACAATTATGGCACGAAATACCAGTTAAGTTTTTAGTGAAACAATTCTATCAAAACGTTTCATGATAACCCCATTTATAACCATAGAAATAACCATTTAGAACCATTTATAGCTGGTAAAGTGCGGTCAAGTGCACCGAAGTATAGATGTTCATCAGCCGCCTGAGGATAACACCTTCAGTCACCTGGTCGCCTCTATAGTGGCGGATGCCATGAGTGTGGCCACCTACAGCGGCATTGCGGCGCAGCTCTGTAGTGAGCGGCTGCCGGAGGTCGTAGAGGACTTGGAGCAGTTGCATCGGAGGAGTCACGTGGTCAACGAAGGGCGGGGCCGCCTTCAAAAAAACTGGAGATCCTTTGGGTTGAGCACTCTGAAATATCTTGTTAATAGACGTTAGTAGAGTGAAATAGTGTGAATATGGAAATTTATTGGAATAGACTATGTATATGTTTTTCCCAAATGATGGTTCATACATGGGTTATATAAGTTATAAACCACTTGTTATCCCATTTTTATATTAGGAAGATTCATTTTTATATGTCCAATCCATGCTTCATTTATATGGCTTATAAACCACTGAGGGGGATGCACAAAGTGGAAATGGGTTTGGTGGGTAATATGAGGTATATCGGTATATTTATTTGTAATGACCTTGTGAATTTCCTTATTATTGATATCTGTGGCTTTGGTGTGGGAAAAATGGAGGATGAGGCAGAAAACTCGACTCAAACACTTTTTTGTCGATTGGATCATCAACTGGCATTTATTATCAATACTGGTATCATTTAAAACAATGCATCTCCAATCCTGGGTGGATGGCAATTTTTGGGAAATGAAGCACTGTTCCGGTGGGGAATTGTCAACCGTTTTCACTCAACGGTGGGTAGCGGTAGTCGCGTTTTTGAAGCAGCGCTGGGGCAGCGAAGAAGAGCAACAAAAAGTTACATGGAGTAAATTAATAGAAAGTTCCCATGTTTTTTTAGTTTTTTATTTTTGGAGATGTGATTTTTCATGTTTTGATGGGCACGAAAAATTGGGAGACAGGGACCTTATCTGATATGTTTTTTTCATGGGACCAACCTGGCAGGGATATATTCATATACATAGGCCACTGATAAATCCCATTGATTATTTGATTTTCCTATATATTCTATTCCATTTTCAATATGCTAAAAAAACATGTGTTTGCTTTAGTTTCAACTTCGCATATACAATTTGAAGACCTGGTGCAGAAACATGGGACCAATGGGAACTCTGCAGCCAGGTTCTTTTCGGGCCGAATCGGTATTCCACTAAAAAGATCACCATTTATCCGCCAGGAAAAAAAAACACCGGTTTGTCCCAGAAACCTGAGTATGTACCATTAGCAATGTATGGCCAAAGTGTACTTGGATCCAAAATGATAGTGGTATCATTGGATCATTCAACTATCTATTTATCATTATATATTATGAACAATGAAACAACACAACCATTGGAGATTTGAGAGATGTGTTGAATAAGAGACTAGAATTTAGTAGAATTATCATCAACCATGATCAACAAAAACCCGCGAATCTGCTCGCGGTTGCGATTGCTGGTGGACTGCTGCTGAGGTCAATATTGGATTTGTGCGTTTTGCAGCTGGGTTTTATTCTGAGGATGTGCCTATTAAGCACCATTAAAAAACAATGGGCAATTGTTTGAACCATCTAGTCTTAGTATTATATACTGTACTATTGATATCATTATCATTGTTATTGTTACTATTAGTCTCAGTATCTATGCTGATTGTTACTAATAGAACATCTATTAATACTACATACTACAATGATGATAGCTGCCATGGTTGTTCATTGGGAGGGGTCACCAAAATATGTTGTATTGGGCAAGCATCCCGTAATCACTAGACCTTGACGACTTGCAGGATCAGGTCCAGTTGGGGTGATTTTGGTGGCTATGACATGCCATAGCATGGTATAGAGGTAGGGTTTCATGCTGATGACTACACATAACTACCATAAGTTGGGATATGCCTGATCAACGTGGGACACTCTATCACTCCCAACGACTTTGGAGGGTGGTACCAGCATCTGAGATGTTACCCGCAAACGATTATGGCATAACGTGGCTATGGAAAATCCACCCTGTAGATCATTTCCCACGGAAGCAACCGACTCGATTTCCGCAGGGTTTGAACCTATGGTTTTGATGCGATCGACTGGAGGGTACCAGGGTACCTCTTCCATCTACCGAAGCGCTGAGGTATTAATCAGCACTCCTGCATTTGTAGCGGCTTTGGCGCCGAGCCCATCTTTGGGACTCCTCAGTTTGATGAGTGGGATACAAAGCGACGGGACACTGTCACAGGCACGCTGAACACCTGAGGCATTGATTGGGATGACAAAAGGCAGTGCAGAGGAACAAAAACAGAACACTTGATCACTTGGGTAAGTGGGTATGTAACTTGATATTGCCTTCTTGCCGGTGTAATCATTTTAGGTTTGTTTGAACATATTGCTATAGTGGGGATATAGTGTGTGTGTATATAATATTATATAATGGATATACGAGAAACAAAACTGACTCATCCAGTAATAAATGGTCATTTACCTCAATAGATGGCAATTTGAATATGGCAAATCAGCTTTTAAACCTCATTGGATTTGGGAGGTTACTCCTCTTTTGGACTAGGCGCGATTTCGTTGATCCAATTCCACTTTTTGAATCATCTGAAGGGGTTTCTAGCAGACGTAAAAAAGATAGAAAAAGTCATCAACATGCTAAAAGTACATAAATGATCATAATGTACCAGTATTGTTTGGCAATGTTAGTACAGAAAAGAGCCGCCAGACTACTTCAATATACATATATAATCATATATGTATAACCAACGCAAATCGTGGAATTCACCTGAGTCAACACATTTACCTATCATTTGCTGGCCGAAAAGGAAACACCCTCGGATTTGACCCAAAGGGGCCTTTTTTTGAGGGCCCCCTCGGCGCTGGGCAGGTGACGTCTATCCACTTTGCAGGTGCTCACATCCCAAGTATTTCAACTCTTCGCCCAACGAATGCGCGCCTCGGCCCCGAGAGTTGGATATATCTGAAATGGCCATCAATTTTCATAGGAACATATAGGAACCATGATATTGTTGTAATCCCAGCAAAAAGCCCCTGGAATGTTTGGGGTGCCCCCATTTTCCTGGCAGTTGATGGTCATCCTCAAAGGGCCAGTCCATTTGTAGGGTCTTAGAGTGTCCTAAACATGTGGGGGTCAGCTAGAGTCTCCCATCAGTGTGAAGGCTTCCAAGAATGATTGAGCAGAGCTTTTCAGAGCTTTTGGATCGGGTTACACATGGAAGATGGGACAATGCCGTGTTGCTCTATGATCTACGTGCAAGAAGACATTTGCTTCTGCTGTTAGTAGCTTCAGTTGAATTTAGTAGAGCCCACGAGCCAATTGAAGGGGCAACGCGCAAGATTTGCAAGATGCTGCTTCTCCACAGGGATAGTTGGAAAACCTCATGATCTGAAGAGCGCACATGTTTATTGAACCCAAACAAACATGATCTTCCACATGAACAAATTGTTCTTTTGATGTCCTTTAGTTTTTTGTTCGGAACCATGCCCATATGGCTTTGGCCCATTTTGTTCACACAACATGGGATGGTTTATCGCTACCAAAACCATTTTATATAAGTGTGTCCATTGGAACCAACAAAAACACCTTGCTTGAGTCTCAGGAAATGAACAAGTTCGATGACATGATCCATTTGCTTCATTGCCCCTTGGGGTCCTTGGGGTGTTGGGATGGGCCTTGGGGTTAGCCATGAGGGAGACCCAAAAATCTCTGGCCGTTGGGGAAACTCATGGTCAATCATGGGATGGTGAGGGGGATATAGCAGGATGGCAGGATCTGCAGCATCTTTGTTGGTGGTTCCAACAAGGACCAATTACCACCAAGTCATCATCCAGGTCTGCCAAAAATCCATCCTGGTTGGTGGTTTGGAACATGTTTTAAATTTTCCCCAATAGTTGGGATGATGATCCAATCTGACTTTCATATTTTTCAGGGGGGTGGCTCAACCACCAACCAGCATCTATATCCCATCTCCCATCGCTGAAGTAAAGGAACCACCACATTCTGCTGCAACTTTTACCACACCTTCCTGTCTCTCCATAGGCTTGGCGTAACATTGTCATGCCCGCTATGAGTGCTAAAACATGCATGAGTTTGTACGCATTTTTTTTGCATATTCAGATTCACATACCCTCTGGTTATTTAACATAGCCATGGGAAATGACCCATTTATAGATGGTTTACCTATTAGAAATGGTGATGTTCCATGGCTATGTTAAATAACCAGATGGTATATTCACATAAATCAATACCCGTATTATCCACTACTTCGGAAAGTAGAGAGAATACCCCTGCAATACCAGTTTTTCTCTTATTTGGCCATGTAGGTAATTGGGTAATTAGTCAATTCGATATATATTCCATCCACATTCGGATTGGTGTATCTATGTATATGTTGTACTGGGTTCATGTTGTTTCTTGTCTCGGCTCCCCTGAAGTTGTCTCAGGTCGGTGTGCCGTGGGGAAGTGTGTATAAAGGATATATATGATATTATTATTCCATTGGGTCATTGCTTATTGTAAGACCACAAAACGCATAGGCACGCTGAACTTCACCTACATGAATCTACCATTTGTAGTCATAAACCTTCTTATTGTTTGTTTGTCCATTGCAGGGCACACAACGCAGGGGCACACTGGTTGTCATAAACGTGTTTGTTTATTATGAGTATACTTGGTTTGATACTTGTGACATCCAAACGCAGTGGCATGCTCGGTCAAAGAGAATGTGTGGCCCTGGGTGTTTCAATGATTTTGTGCAGCACGACAGATCTTGTGCCAACATCGGTGTGCCTGCCATTTGGTGCTAGTGGGTTCAAGTTTGGGAGCTGGGTCGATGTTGTAACAAGTGCCGATGACAAGATCTTGTGCCAAATCGTGGTGTGCCTATGGGGAATGGGGAGAGGCCCACATGGGCAGCGCCTATGACTTTAACTTAATGATGTATTTTGTGGCACTTCGCATAGGCACACGGTGCTTACCTGGCTATCACGGTCCCTTTGTCTCCCCTCTGTCTCCCTTACTCGCCCTTTGTCTCCTCTTCTGTCTCCTTTTGCTCTTGCCTGCAGCTGCTGCTTGGCTTGGTTTCCTCTTCTGCTCCACCGCTGAATGCTCTTGAGTTTTACTGTTCTGAAAAGAATGCGAAAGCGTGTGGCTCCTAAAGAGTATGTCAGGAGACTTAGGGGGTCAGTCTCCCAAAATTTGATTTCGGACCTCGTTTGGACCTCGTTTGCACCTCGTTCGGACCTCGTTTAAATTGCAGCCAGTCAAAACCCAGCCCGGAGAGGTTTTGGAAAGGCTTTGCAATGGTCTGCTGCTTAGTCTGCTGCTGCTGCTGCTGCTGTTGTTGCTTGTGCTGCTGCTTCTGGGCAAGGCGCGGTTTTTGGGCGGAGAACGAAAAGATTATTTGTGAAAGGGCTGGAAGCTGTGCGGAAGAAACCAAAAGCATAAGAAGATTACCTGAAAAAAATCGATCCGATCAGCGTTGTGCCATGGGGAAGTGGATGAAAGGGTTGGTTGGCATGAGGTAGATTTGTCATAGAAACCATAGGAATGTGACGTCGATCACATCCAAGTTTGTATGTTGGAAATGCCATGAAACTTGGTGTGCCATGTGGAGGATGATAGCTTTGACTGTTCAAACAGGAATTTGGTTGCTAACTTTTGGTTAACAAGCTTACATTAAACGCATAGTATTGCCTGCTTCAGAGTTAGTCCACTTTGACCGTCGGTGTGCCAATGGGATTTCCACCTGGCGGAAGATTATTGATGTCTGGCGTAAGCAAGGTGCCATGCGGCTGGCGCAAGTTCTGGTAAATGGCGTAGGATCACGCCGGGGCTCGGGTCAGAGATGCTTTGCACGACTTATTTCGCACTAGGTGTGCCATTGGGAAGCAGATAATTAAAGTACCGAAATCAAACGAATCCATGTCCAGAGTCATGACAAGAAAACGGGGCGTGTGCTGCAGAATTGGCTTCTTTTCTCATTTGGATGGAAAGCAGCTGTTTTGCTGTCAATGCGTGTGTGCCACTGGCGGTTGCCAACTTTCAACATTGTTTTATCACCGAAGGAGATGGTATTAAATATGTGTTTCGCAATGGCACGGACACATTTTAACTACTTTGTTTGCCAAACAAACGATGGCGTGGTACCAGTGTGCCAATAGGACTTGGTCCCTGAGGTAACTTCCGGTTTGCCTGGGGTAACCCTGTGTGCCATGGGGATGGGGTAACTTCTGGGTGCCTGGGGTAAGAAACGACGTCCGCCCAGTATGTAAATATATGCATACCATATACGTAATTTCTGTGTGCGTAAATATATGTACGGGCCAGCTTTAAAGCCTTCACTCGGCCACATCACTATAGATGATGGTCAGTAAGGGTAACCTCCCTCAAATCACACAATAATTCAGATGTGTGGTTTCTTTTAAACATGCTTCAGGTAAATGTACAGATTCTGAAGCTAGTTCATGTTATATCATGTATGCATGCATTGACACTCAGTACCTACAAACATAGGAACAAACACAATTTGTGTGGGGTGGGGCCAAACCGCCGTTTCCTCTTTTTCACGGGCTTCATGAGGGTCTAGGTACTGTGGATGGTTGCGAAATCCTGCACCACCAAAAGGATGGTTGGAACCCTATCAAATAATGGGATGTTTACCACCGATCAACTGGTGATTCGGATTTCGCTGGCCCATCCACAGTATCACTTATTAATAATCAATTAAGTACTATCACTATTATTTATTATCTTCACTTATTAACTAGCCATTAAACACTATGAAAATCACTAATAATAGTGGTAGGTTAATCACTTATTAATCAGATTACTAATATCATTGATCACTATTAATCACTATTAACTATTAATCATTATCACTATTAATCAGATTATGACTATTGGAGGGTACCATTTTAGTATCAGATTATAACTCTTGGAGGAGTACCCCCTAGTTAGTAAACCATGGTTTAGCAAAATCCGGGGTTGACATTATATATATATATATTTCCCATATATTTACCCATGATTTCACCATAATTCCACCCTTCACCATAAACCATAACTATAGTTATAAATACTATGTTTATCGATGAGGTGAAATTCCAGATTTCATTTTGGTGGCATCAGTCGACTACTACTTCCAGATCTTCATGAGGAACCGCTGCACAGTTTTCCTGGGCGCATGCGGGCGCATGCTGCGGCCCCCGAAAGGGGTGATTCTATGGAATTTAATGGTGATTTGATGGGATTTAATGGGATTTAACGGTGATTTAATGGGATTTAACGGTGCTTTAATGGAAATTAATTGTGATTTGATGGAATTTTTAGCTAAGTGTGTGAACACAACTCCAACAACTGTGCTATTGATGATATATCGAACTAGTTGCTGGGGTCAGCAAACATATCTGGTAGGGCAGCACCTTATAAGATTGAAACTTTGGTCATCAAATATGAAAATGGATAACAACCCAATTGCAGGTGATTGTCCTATTAAATATGCAGATTGTTCATTGCCCAGTGCCCAGATTAAAACAGGTTGCTTGGATTATAGTGGAGTTAGGGTCGGTGGCCTTCTTACAACACCATGAGGGGCAGTTGTGATGGGCTTTCCACTTACCTTCTGGTAAAACACACATAGCTATGGAAAATCACCATCTTTCATAGCTAAATCAACGAACTAAATGGTCCATTTATGGCCAGAGGGTATGAACCATTTTGCTTCAACATGCCGACGGTGAACGTCTACTTCATCCAAGTAGCTGAGCCACCTCGAGCCCCCGTCACCATTCTCCTGTTACCATTGATGGTTACTTCCTGTTGGAATCCACATTTGTGGTGAAGCCCCACCAGTTACCCTCTGGTAAACGTACAAAAAGCTATTGAAAATGGCCATAGAAATAGTGGATTTACCCATGAAAGAAGCATGGTGATTTTCCATAGTTACGTTAGTTTACCAGAGGGTGTAAGTACATTTTTGCACCGATCAAAGTGATACTCACCTTAATCCCTAGCTGAATCAACTTACCTTGCAAGCTGGGGCACCACCTGATTATCATTGGTCATACCCATTATATCCTAATGTCCCTACATGTTCATGGTTAAATCCCCATGTTGATTATGGTGATTTCCCGATGTTAATCCCCACTTTATGATATTCTAGGTATGACGTTTAAACAAGTTTCAACCATTCTTCTGCGTGATATTCCACCTTTTTCCCATATCTCACTGATATTCCATAGAATTCCATATCTAAGATTTCTACATATCATTCAATATCTCCATAATTCACCATATATTACTTGGTTTTTATGAATATCCCATCCCCATCCCCATATTTTTATTGCTGATCTTCAGGGCGTGGTGCGTGGCGGAGTTGGTGGAAGCAGAAACCTGTGGCATCTCCTCGGTGGCTGGACTGGAGAATTTCGATTATTAACTAGTAATATTGATAATTAATAGTGATTAATAGTGATCAATGATATTAGTCATCTGATTAATAAGTGATTAACTTACCATTATTATTAGGGATTTTCATAGTGATTAATGACTAGTTAATAAGTGATGATAATTAATGGTAGTGATAGTACTTAATTGATTATTAATAAGCGATACTGTGGATGGTTGCGAAATCCTGCAACAGTTGATAGATTGTAAACATCCCATTTATTTATAGGGTTTCAACCATCCAAGGTGGTGCAGGTTTTCTTCCATCCACAGCAGTAGTCATTAATGGTGATTAGTGGGATAGTAGTGAGTATGATAGTGAATTTCGATAGTCATTAATGGTGATTATTAGTGGGACAATGATGATTGACTTACCATTGATAGTGATTAATTTACCATTATTATTAACCATAGTAGTCATTCATGGTGATTAATATTGATTATGATGGGATATCTAGTACAATATCAAACACCATATAGTGAGTATGATAGAGATTAATTATCAACGATTAATATCAGTAACTCATAGTATTCATTAATGGCGATTAATGAGACAATAGTGAGTAATAGTGATAATAGTGGTCATTTATGGCCACTGAAATTTAGTGGAAATTTATAGCCACTATAGCCACTCCAAAAATATAATGATAGGTATGATATGTATGATCTATAGCTATAGATGTTTTTTATCGCCGATTTATAGCCAAAATATTTTAATAATTCCTAAGGATCCAGCCGTACTTTCTTAGGAAGAGGGACTGGAGTATGATGACTGGGGGGTGTCTTGTACCTTCTCAGGAGGTGTTTGGATCCATGGGGTATTCTATAATTTAGTTGATCTAAACTAATACAGCCTGGTAAATAAATGTTCGTATAATATTTATACATATATATATATATATACAAGTACAGTATAATATAAGTACAGTATATAAATTGATCAATATATATTAATAAAAATACATATGACCATTTGTCAAAAATAGTTGTTTAGAAGTTTAGTATTGGTTGTTGATAATTCATCTGGGTTACTGTTTTTTCCTCTTCGTTATGAGGCGGCACGCAACTAAATTCAGCAATTCTGCAAGGCAGCGCTAGCAAACCCACTAGGTTTGCGCTAGGTTTGATTGACAGCCATGGCCTCCATGTCGTGAATGTCTTGCCAGCTTTTCTTACAAGTCTGTCAGTTTCCACATATTCCCAAATTTTCGATTTTTTTAACGTATTTTACGCGCTAGATCGCCGCTAGCAACGCGCTAGCGAAAATTGCAAATACATGCCCCGGTCCACCCGCAGCCCATTCAGAGGCACAGCCATGTTCACGCTTTGGTAGCTTACAGTAAGGAAACAGCGTTGATCAGGAGGCATGTCAAGAAGCATATTGCATTCAGAGAGGCACACACACAGAGACACACAGTTCAGGAGATAGTACCAGCGACAGCGAATGAAAACCGACGTGCGTTAGCCGATTCCTGTGGTTTTAGAAAGATTTCCAAAGGTAACGAAGAATTTCCACGTTTTCACGTCATCAAGGTAGGCTTTTTTTTAAAGGCAAACATGAGGCGGCACGCATGGAATTGCGATTTATCAACAAAACCGGGAACAGTCATTTTGACAAACCGTCATATATTATTTTTTTGTATTATATAAGTGCAGTATATTAATAAATTCATTGATCTAAAGTAGTATTTGTTGCTAAATATCTGGTATTTTTTTGTTCGGATGTCCGTTCAATTTCTGCTTGGATCCACGCTTCCTTATATCATGCATCACGCTTCCAAAATCACCATAGTTTTAGGATATATAGTAACATACTATACTATAATAAGTATAATATATATATATATATACTATATTAATACTATGATGATACTATAAGTGATATCTATATATATATATATACCATTTGGTTAGTTGTTACATAGCCATGGAAAATCCCAACCATAAATGGAGGTTTCTAGCTGGGAAAATCATCTATAAATGGGCAATTTTCCATGGCTATGTTAAATAACCAGCTGGTATATATAGATATACTATAATATATATATATATATAGTGCTATAGTATACCATAATGATACCCAAATATAGTACTATAGTCTTCTATCCAAAACTATCGTGACATAATCCTTGTAATCCATATGTATATATATATTGAAGCTTCCGACTGACACCCAATGGGATTGTATCCCTTTAGTTCATATACACATGCATGTAAATATATATATATAATATCCTGTATATATTTTATGTATAACATGTACATGATGGCCCATATATATATACATAGACATAGCTATATATATAATTATATATAAAGCATGCATCTTCAACCACAAGGTTTAACGATGTGGTTACTAACCACAAGGTTTAACGGTGTCGAGGACCCATAGGGTGTAGAAACATATATGTAGAAATGTACTCTGAGATGAGCTGAGTATCGGATTGGGTACTTGGTGGATGGCTTTACGTTGGATTTACCACCTTGTCCCTGGATTCTGAGTTCTCGGACAGAGATTGTTTGATGCAATCCCAGTTTCCGTTGCCTATTAATTTAACACTGCCGGAACATCACCATTCTTGCTCAAGGACTTTGGCCTTTTTTCCCATATTCCATTTGTCATGTGAGATTGCAACTTCGGCTGGTGCCTCCCAAGTTACCCTATGGTAAACTACCATAACTATGGAAAATCACCATGCTATTAATGGGTAAATCCACTATTTCCATGGCCATGTTCTATGTCGTTTTTTGTATGTTTACCAGAGGGTATGTTAGTTGGTTTCTAAACCTATATAAACCTATATAAACCTATATCATGATTTTTTAAACCTATATAAACCTCATTCGTACTGAAAATCATGATCCACCTAAGGTCATTCACTCAAAAAGTCACCCTTCACCCCAGGTGATGAAGATCCATTCCGAGGTGCGTCGCCGAAACCGCGTTCAGTGGCCGGGGGCCGCTAACAAAAAAAATGTGACCTTTATTTTGTCAGAGACATTTGTTCATTAAGATTCAAAACATGTTTGTTTAAGTGTCTATTTCTCAGGATGGCTGATGGGGCTGATCATAGCTTTGTGGTTAAGCAGTGTTCAAAACCCCTGCTGGTTGGTTGATGATGAGTTCGGGGATTATGCTACTCTTCATATATTGGGGATTAAAGATCCCTAGAACCTGTTGATGATGGGTTGGTTTAGAACTTATACTAGAATCATAGTTTGGGGATTTATAACCCCTGTTGGTTATAACCCAAATTGGGAAATCCCATTCTAAACCAACCACGGAATCGATAGCATCAGCAAGGATCCGAAAAATGGTCGTTGTTTCAAAACGTCACAACGGATTCACAACGGATTGATAGCAACCTCCCGAAAAACCAGGGTTAATAGTGGTTAATAGTGGTTGATAATGGTTAATAGCGGTTGATAATGGTTAATAGTGGTTAATAGTGGTTGATAATGGTTAATAGTGGTTAATATTGGTTAATATTGGTTAATAATGGTTAATAATGATGATTAATGGATGACTAATGATGATTAATGTGGGTAAAACACTGCCATTTTTACCACCCACTGGGCATGGTAACCTGGGAAAACCATACCACCTATCTGCAAAAATGGTGATGACTGGGGGATGTTTTTTTGTTCACATTGGATTACCATTGTTTGGGGGATGATTACCTTTTTTTTTCACATTTTCACATTGGTTTCAGGTTGGGGGCCTAGGGTGACACCCTTCGTGGGTCCAACTGAAACCATATCGTTCACCTCTCGGTGTTCCGACCCAGGCTTCCAGGTAGATACCATCTGGTTATTTGTTGCAGTTCGCCATGGAAAATCACAATTTTTCATAGGCAAACTATGGAAAATCACAATTTTTGATGGGAAAACTATGGAAAATCACCATGTTTAATAGGTAAACCATCTATTTCGATAGGTCATTTATACCATGGCGAACTGTTAGTCATAACCAGAGTGTAACATCAGCTCTACTCCGTCAGCTACTCGTGGGAACACCCTTCAGACACATCTAACACGTGCGCCTTTGTTTTGGACAATCTTGCAGCCTTAATGACTGCAAATGAAGACTCCACACACCTGAATCCTACCTTTGAGGCAAGCTCAGAATTTGTGTATTTTGTTTCTGTAAATTACTGTATGATTTTGTTTCAAAAATTGGTGGCAACACCGCAGCGCCATCCATAGTTCCCCCTGAGGAGCTGCTGGATCACTACTACAACGAGCTTTCGCGTTTGGATGTCCGAGCATGTAAAGCCAGCCGAGCGGAGGACGCTGGGGCGGATGGTATATCTGGGCCCATCTGGGCCCAGGGTAATGGCCTTTCAGCGGCGTGGAAGGCTTGGATCGATAGTGATATATGAAGAGGATATTCTATGTGGAATATCTAGCAATATATCAGTAATATACTTATTCTGTGGAATATCTATCATCATCCTATATATACATGTATATATATATATACATAATCAATATATACTGTGTATATATATATGTGGAATAATTGGGGAATATGTGGAATATAGATATTGATTATGTATATATATATATAATCTGCGGATATGTGGAATAAAAAAGGTGGAATTATTGGGGATATTTCCTGCCACCAAGGCATGGCAAATGGATCAAGATCCTTGCCACGATGGTACCGGAGGGTACCCTTTTTTGGACAAGTCTATGGAAAATCATGAATAGATACTGATACCACAAATGAATATAAATAATACATGAACCATTTTAACCAGCTATGTTGGTTTACTGGAGGGTAACTTATTCTTAATGTATCAAAGTTTATCACCCATTGACTTTGAGATGTGGTACGTGTTTTTTTTTCTACGCGTTGGGTATATTGTGAGCAACCGTGCTGTCTTTTTGAAGCGCAATAGCGTGCGGAAAACATGTGAACATGCTGGTATCTATGATGCTTTGTGAGCACTGGAGTTTCAAACCAACTGCATCTCTTTTCGAGAAACGGAGCGTTGTGAGCACAAATAAAACCAGAACTTCAGTCGTTGAGGCACTACCCTGCAGTACAAATCATAGTACCCCAGAAGTACTAATACAAATGTTGACCCATATCCCGCTGTTCTCTAAGCCGTTATTCCAAAAAGCAGGATAAAGCCATGATCCTCTACCGCATTCGAAATGTGGATGTTTCTTGTCCACAATTGTGGCAGCTGGCACAGTGGCACCATGTATTCATCGCCATTATCTTTTATTGGAAGCAGCCCTGTGACACGCACATAAAGTGAAATAGTATGGGAGTGTACGGGCAGAACTTGGGGGGAAACAAGCAATCAACCTACAACATTTACAGTACTTGGGTCTGTTCTCAGACTGTGGATACCTCAAGAAATGGCAAAACAAAATCTGGGGAACATGATTATTAACAAAACCAGATTTTCAGATGCCCTATTTTCTGACAAACCCACTTGGAAGGGTTCTTTGGTAGCAGATCTGTCATTTTGCCCAGCATGTTTTAGTACTTTGCATATCTTTGCATCAGATGTGCGACTCAGAAAAGATAATAATAAAAGAATCTGTCTGAGTAAGAACCAGAAACAGTTTGGAGAAATTTGAAGCAAGTAAATGTTGTTTATAGGTAATCAAGAACCAATAAATTTGAACCAAGAAAACCAAGCAATCAACCAAGCAATCAACTTGTCCCGTTCATCCCGTTCGTTGGCTCTTCCACTTCCATCATGGGCTGAAACCCTGGAATCAGTTTCTTCAGTTTCTTCAGATATGTGGACATCACAAGCCACCGACCACGTCTCGTTTCCCTAGCCCCAGATAGCCTGGTTGGGCGGGGGGATGTTCCAAGCAGCTGACTTGCCAAGGCGTTCAACGCTCGTTGCTTGGTGGAGTGGGTGAAAATGGTGAAGTTTCCTATGACCGATGGATCGTGGGTGGTGAAACAATAGGATCAAAAAAATGATCCACTATCCCCAAATTCACATCGATTTACATCAATTTACCATTGGCTATGATTCCAATCTATAGGTGATTTATGATTTGCTAACATAACATTTGTCATTTACGAATGGAATGAATTGAGAGGAGGAGACCTCCCCCTGCCACAACAAGCAGAGGGGGTCAGGGGAGGTAGTGACCTCCCCAGCGTCAAAGTGAAGCCTTGATATATCATCTTGAGCGGCATGATAAATCTATTACAGTCAAAGTCATAAGCTTATACATAAACGGTCAAAGTCAAAAACACTCTCCCGTTTCAACACATTGAACAAACCCTTAAATGACACATTGTTTTGGGGAATGGCTGACTCCAAGATAAGTTCTTCTTGCATCCCAGTGTCTATGTGCTTCAGCATGAGTCAAAATCGGATACCTGCGACAATTGGATGGATGGTAAATAATCGGATGCTTAATAGATGTTTAATACGTGTTAATACATGTTAATTGTTAGTACTAAACATTGACGAAATCCCCCAAATCTCTGGTTGTCAATACATGTCCCATATGCATGTTGGGTATACTGGGGCTATTTTCATAGGCTTCTTGGGTCCCGAAGACCCCAGCAGCGCCTCAGCTGTTGACACCAACAATGATGGATCAAGCAAATTGAGGCAACAACTTCTAGATATAGAAAATGAGGGAACGATAGGTCCAAAAATAGATAGTGTTGTGTTTTTGTTTTCCCACCATGATTGTTACGTAAGTTAACTGTTGGTTTTTGATGGGAAGACGATGATCAGTGAGGATAGGGAGGCAGTAGTGATCATTACATTCTTTGTGGTTCAACTTCAGTATGGTGTCTACAGTTGTGAGTCATGAATTAACGGCATGGGCGACATCTATACCACCCAGAGGACAAAAATATGAAACCGAGTCGCATCACATTCACAGCTTTCAGGGGAGCTTGAAATGAAACATATGATGTTCAAAATGGTGATAACATCGCAACAATATATAACCAATGGATTAATGATTAATTTACATGTTTTTCATTATCATCATTAACATTCATACTGTCATTATATATATATATGCATATATATGTGTTATTGACTGGTTCTTATCTATCTTTCTATAAGTCGACTGGTTCTCAGGTCTGCAGTGGCTCATCTTTGGTAGCCAGGCACCGTCTCGACTGGGGCGGGCTTGGGTACGCGGGATTTATGGTATTTCAGTGGGGTCCAACTAAGCTGGTTGGTGGTTTGGAACATGAGTTTTATTTTCCCCAATAGTTGGGATGATAATCCAATCTGACTTTCATATTTTTCAGGGGAGTTGAAACCACCAACCAGATAGCGATTTTATATTTTTTTTAAATAGGGCTTTCAACCATGAAAGATATGGGGGGTACCGACAAGTATTGCTTTTGTTGATGGTTTGTTCGCAAGTTATACTATTCTATTGAGGAATAGTCGAGTATAGGAATCCCGTAATCCAGCCAGAAGGGGACATCACCACGCAAAAAATCCACCTGTTTTTTGCACCCCAAAAAAGATGGAACATTTGGAAACCTGGAAACCGGACATGGATGAAACATGGATGATGAACAAACATCCCAGAGGTGAAAAACTGTGAAGCGGAACATCTTTTTTGGGACCCCCTGTAATCAAACATTGATGGTTTTTCGTGACTGTGTAATCTGAAAGAAGTAATCTCGGACACAAAATATCTTGTAATATCATTCTATATAATTCTATTGCTTTAGATTCATGTAAGGAAAATATAGGACCATATAGGAAAAATCATCTATGGATGTAACAAGTATATCCAATTATATTATTCAGTGCAATTGCTTTGGACATCATGCTGAATTGTAGAAACAATCTACTCAAAATATGATTGGATTGTCCTAGACTCTAGACTTAAATGCTCAACCCAGTAATATTTCAGATTCTTGCAGATGAATCCAGAAATTTGAAGTGTCAAGCAAAGTCAAGAAAAAACATTCCATTCGACAACCGATGATGTGGTCGCTTGCTGACGATGTTTCGAGCTCGTGGGGTTAACAACTGGACAAATGGACCCACAGAATTTAAGTCATTTGGTTAACGCTAAACATCCATTTTTGGGGAGTGTATATCTTATCTGGTTGGTGGTTTTGAACATGTTTATTTTCCAAAATATATGGGATAATCCTTCATTGACTTCCTTATTTTTCAAGATGGTTAAAACCACCAACCAGTGATGTTTGAGCCATTCCCACATCATTTGAACAGTGACAGAATTTCCAGAACCACCAGCGCTTAAATCTGGCGCAGTTTCTGTATCTGTTTCGGCAAGGTTTGAGCATCCGAGCATTGTTTATGTCTGGTGTGACCCATGGAGGTTTCCGAAGTCATGGGCTACCCCAGTGATCGAATCTAAAAGATGGGGATTTTCCCATGGAAATCCCACTCATCCAGCGAGCTTGGATTATTGGGGTATCCCAATTGGAAACCACCATGCCGCCTGATGGTTTTTGGATTTCTTGGGATCTGCCAAGTCTGGTCTGAAAATAGGGCACATCTGCAGTTCCAATAGATTAACACCATCATATTCCCCTATTAAATTCATGGATACTTGTGGATGATTACCATCATCTTCCCCATTAAAATAGCAATTTATCCCATAGATCACCCTTAAATCCCGATACCATAAAATCATATAAGCATTAACTGTCATTAAATCACCATTAAGTCACCATTCTTTGTGGGTCTTTAACAAACCATTTTCCATTCGATCCTCCGTCGCAGGGCCTCTTTAAGAGCTGGGCAGATGCGCATCAACGTGCCAAGATGGTGGGTCGGAGCCTTCGGTGAACGCTGGTTGAGGAACGCCCAGAAAATGGGAGGCTGTACATAGAAGTATTATCTATCTATCTAACTATCCATCTATCCATCCATCTATCCTAGTCAAATCTAATCTACTCTAGTCTAGCCTAGTCTAATCTAATCTATCTATCTTGTTTATTTGATTGCATGAATGATTTGAAATTCACTGAAAGTCATGTGCTTTTTGGAACTTGTTGGTATCTTTGTTGCCACATGGGAGTCTTGTGAAGCCTTGAAGCTTCAGAACTTCCCCAGATTATTGGACGGTACCAATCCGTGGGACATTTCACCATCCAATTTAATACCCATGGAATCCATGGTGCTGGTATATGTGCTAACATGACTGGGGTATATTGATGGGATCCATGGCACACCATATATACCAGCACCATGGATCCGTCATGGGATATTGGATGTTTATTGATGTTTATTGATGTTTATTGATTCAAGACAGGACCCACCATCCATTTTTGTCACCACAGTTTTTGCTCCCACTTAAGTGATCGACCACTCCAATTTTCTCACGGCTGAAGCACATTCTTCGGCCAGTCATGGTCAGTCAAGCAAGTATAGCACCCCCCAAGCAAATATAATAATTTTGAAGATGAAATAGTGATAAATCAATGTCCTATCTTTTTTGGAGGGTTACCTACTATAGTTTTTCACGCCACTAAAAGAAACAAAATAGTTGCGATGACTGGTGCGTTGAAGAAAACCAGCATAACTGGTTAGTCAGTAGGCCCCCATGCAAGCATGGCTTTCTGGATATGTTCACATACCTGGATTTGCTCGATGATTTGGCGGATTTTCCCATTGGAAAATCCACGATCTATGGGGGGATCTATGGGGAACACGTTTTTTTTGGGGGAGTCGGGTCCTTACCGGCCGTAGATGATAACTTTTCCTTTAGAAACGGGTGATTTGTTGCTGCCATGGTGTCATCAAACGCAGAAAATCCATCACCGGGGATTTCCCGGGGCCATGTTTGATGACACTGGAGACATGGCGTATGTCACCAAGGATAGCGCGTCGCGTGCAGAAAAGACAAGCTGGCAACACAGGAGAGTACATCGTTCCGGTGACTCGATAGTTATCGATAGCGCAAATGGTGAGAGAGACGGTACCGTGTCATGTTGTGTCATCCATAGCCGGTATACAAAGGGAGTTTAATCCTCTGGTAATTTATGGTGGTTTAATGGGATCTAATGGGTTTTATCCTCTGGTAAACGTTTACATAACTATGCAAATAACTATGGAGAATCACCATGCTTCATTAATGGGTAAATCAACTATTTCGACTGGGCCATTTCAATAGCTTGTTAGTCATTGCCAGAGGGCAATTCCGGTTTTTGCCCCATGGGGATTTACTCTCTCCATCCCTCAGGGCAGAACTCAGCAGGAGATCAGCAGTTTGACTGTTTTTTTTGTGTCCCAACAAGCTTGACCAAAACTGTACTGGCAGGTGATTTGCCCATCTCTATTTGTTCCTCCCATCCTCGCTGCAGCAAGGCACCTAGTCTAAAGCGCAGAAAGCAAATTTGGCAGACATGTCTTAAGGTTGCTGCGAGACTTAGCAAAGTCGCTGATGGTGTTCGTGCAACACGTCGAGGGCACCGAGCCCAACGGATAGGTGAAGCTTCACACCCAGGTCCTTGTCCCGTCGTCAAGATGTGGAGCCAAAACATTCGTTCCTGGCACACCAATGGTATGGCCTGCTTGGATAGGGCTCAGACTGCAGGTATTTCGCTGGTGGCCCTACAAGAAATGAACATCACGTCAACCAATGCGCCGGCAGTCGTCAATGCATGTCTAAGGCACGGTTGGCAAATGCTGCAAGTCCCTTCTCCCCAAGGTACTTCCAACCGAGGGGGCGTCGCTATCTGCTGCCGTGAGCCACTTGGGTTAGTTCTTATCGATACTTGGAGCGATCCTCAGGGCCAGTTTGTGCTGGCCGAAGTACACGGAGGAAATAAATCCTTTAAACTCTGCAGTTATTATCGCCATGCTGATGATGAAGATTTCCAAGGTCTTACCCGTATTAGCCAGACTCTGTCTAGTGACATGGACCAAGCTTGGATCGTAGCTATGGATGCCAATACGAATCAAATGGCTGGTACTTGCGCCACTCTGATGAACGAAATCAAAGGTTGCTGCCGGGCTCATGCTGGTCACAATTCCAGTAGGTTTCCAATCGACGGTATTTGGTCCTCGCTGGATCTTCGCCCGACTGCTGCCTTTTCGTGGCAGCCAGGGGACGGAGATCACTCTTTAGCTGAAGTCCATTGGGAAGTCCAAACGCAAAAGCCTGGACGCCAACAGTTCAGGTTTGCTCACACCAGGAAAATGGCTGAACAGAATTTTCCTTCTCAGCAGGAAGCTTGGGCTCTCAGCTGTACATCAGACGAGAGATGGACAGAGGTGCTCAGCAATGTGGACCAGGCTTGGCTAGTTTGGTGTCAAGATATAGAAACGTGGCTGACCCGCAATGGTATTTTAGACCAAGGTCGACCTGAACGGCCACTGGGCTCAGCGCCCAGGGTTCAAACCAGCACTCATGCCATGGGCCCTTTGCAGCCCCTTGCTGAGCGGAAGCTCCGTCGCTGGATTCGGCGTTTGCAAGAAGCTCGGAAGTTCAGTCACCTCGGGTACCAACTCAACCCGGGTTTGCAGAAAAAACTTGAATCCACCAGGGATGTGCCTGCTCCTGAAAAGCAGGCGGTCCGTCAAGCAGCTTTCGGTCTGGCAGAACGTTTAGCTCACGGCAGGCTCCAGGCTCTTCTTCAAAATAAATCTAGCCAAAAGTTAAACAAATGGAAAACTCAGGTCACAGACCACAGCGGCGCTTGCAAATGGGTTAAATTGACTGAGGTTGGATCTCCGGTTTTGCAAGATGAATCCGGTCAGATCCTCACTTCCAGACCAAGAGCTCTCGCTGCACTCCATACTTTTTGGTCTCGCACTTTTGGGGACTCTGCTTTGGACTCATGGGATCAGTTTTCTGAAGTTTTTCAAGAACATTTTCCCATGCCGGCCCAAACTGAAGCATTGCCTCCTATCACAGGCAAAGACATTATTCGCGTAGCCAGGAAAATGAAAGACAGCAGGAGGGCCGGATGGGATCACACCCCGTCACCTCACGTGTTTGCCACAACTGGCGATTGACAGGTTCGCCCAGATCCTTCAGACATGTGAAAACATTGGCCGTTGGCCCACGCAGGTGCGTCACTGGAAAATTTGCTTCCTGCCTAAGGCTACCACTCGAAAGGGAGTAGTCGCAGGTTTAGGGGATGTTCGTCCAATCAGTGTAGGCCCCACTGCCTACCGCATTTGGGCAGCCATCAGACTTCAGCACTGCAAATCTTTTGTGGAGGGTCTTCTGTGTCAAGATCAGGCTGGGTGCAATGGGTTAGCAGCGCAGGATTTGTTACTCACCATGGAAAACAAGTACCAAGCTCAGGATTGGCCATATGCCATGGCATTAGACCTGCAGAAAGCTTTCGATACCACCGACTGGACCGTGTGTCTTAAACTCCTCAAACTCGCAGGTCTTCAGGCACCTATCCTTAAACTCCTGCAGGACCAATGGGACCACCACGGAAGGTGGCTCAGCTATCGCGGGGCCATTGATCCCGCCCCGCTCAAAAACACAGCCGGTCTCCCCCAAGGAGACCCATGGTCTCCAATTGCCATGAGCGCTCTAATGGCCGTTGCCAGTCGTTTCGTCCTCAGCCAGGAACCAAACGCCAGGTCCTTAATATATTTGGACGACAGGACATTAGTCGCCACAAGCCGACAGGCCTTGAACCAAGCGCTTCAGGCTTGGGAAGTTCTGTTCCAAAACACTCGTCTTCGCAATAATGCATCTAAACAACAATTCTTGCCACGAACCTTGGATGCTCGGGTCGAATGCCTGCAGCTTGGCATTCCCTTTCAAAATACGGCCAAAATTTTGGGTGTTTGTATGGGTTTAATTCCCCGTAGTAGGACTGAGGAGGAACAGAAACGTTCTGATAAAGTGGCACAGGTCGCTCGTCGAATAGCGCTCCTGCCCACAGCTAAGGCTTTCAGGAACTCGGTTGCAGTCAGCGTCTTGGCGCCCACTGCCTCCTGGGGAGCTCTTTTCAATGGTCGGTGTCCGACAAAACAGGAATGCCAGGCCTATGCTCAGACCTGGCGATGTGCAGTTCAAGGTTTTGATCATCCAGGGGGCCACGACTCTCGTGACCTCACAGCTGTAATGGCTATGGGCCACTGTTCTGACCTTTTGTTTCTAAGTACCCAACGGTTTATGACGGCTCTTCATAAGTGGGTGCTTCGTCCAAATCAGATCGCCATCAATTCAGCTCCTATCAAAGCGTTGCAGGCTGCTGTCCAACGCCTGCAAGGTTCTTGGACTCCCGAGGTGGGGTTCTCTTTTTTCAACGGCCGGTGGCTGACTAGCATGCCGGTAGGTTTCATTTCAAGGTGTCAACATTTGTTTCGCCAGCATTGGCGTACAACGAGGTTCACCGCTTGGGTGCAATCTGAACGCATTGATTCTCAGCTTGCCAGGGCACAAGGAATCCATGCGACTGAGGAACTCATTGACAAACTTAGGTCCTTTGCACGTTCTGCAAGCGGTGATCAGGTGGCTGTGCTCTGTGGGGGCATTACCACTGATGCTCATATTGAGGGCCTCCGAGAATTTTGTCCGGACTGTCACTGCGTTGTCTGTCCTTCTACTGAGCACGTTCTTTGGCAGTGTGAAACTTGGAAAGATCATAGGGTGTTTGACCAACCCACCGATCCCATGTGCGCTCGCATGGGCTGGAATCAAAATGGGGTGCACCCCTGTTTGGGCCAAATGGCCACGATCCGCGCAGTGGCTGCCGAGGCCCGGATGAAAAGATTGCGCCTTGGCAGGGCCCCCTGTGTGGGGGGCACCGTCCTGTAAGGACCCCTGCGCGCAGCTGTGCTGCGCTCCTTTTCTGGCCGCTACACCGCCTCCGGGTGCCAGTGTGCGGCTTCAGCTTCAACAACTGTACTGCAAATAAAGACTGGGATCATGACAGGAGGTCGGATATGGGTCACCAGTCAGGACTTTTGTTTTCTTATTTCCTTTGTGCTTGGTGGCTCATCCCACTTACTAAGTAGCGGAAAAATCCCTGTTTTTAACTGGGGTAAGTAGGCTCAATCCACTTTCAACTAGGGTGCACTAACAAGCAGTTCTTCACATTCTGTTCTTTGTGTCCATTGCGGTTTTCACCGAAGGGGGCAAAGTCCAACCTGAGGCTGGACTCAGTCCTCTTTGTGCTGCTCTACTACTTATATTGTAACATCTATTCTTAGGGCTGGCAACACACAACTGCAATCAGGTCATTCAATCAAACATGATGTGTTCATGTAGTTTAGTACTTATCCATAGAGACTGTGTGACCCCCGAGCCAAATGATATCATATTATATCATATTGTTGATTGATATGTAGATAATCCCAAACATAGTTTAGTATTATATATATATATAAACTATTGCATGGTGGCATATTATATATATACATATATACATATATATATATATATATAAACTATTGCATTATATAATGATAATCCCAAATGATATCCAGCATGGTGGCAAATAGAACATTGCATTTTCCTATCATTCGATGCTTATCTGGTGCATTCGCACGCCCCAGGTGAAGTCGAGATATTCCGGCGGCAGCCAAGGCGTTTCCAAAATCGCCCCTTGGTCATCCATGACCACTGGATGATTTGGGGGTACCCCCATAACTTAGGAAACCTCCATATGCTCCAAGTTATGGCAGTGTCAGTGGAAAATGATGGGAAAATGGCCGCAAGCCATAGAATTTGGGGGATATATGGGGATTTGATATAATTAAAAGACCACTTGACTTGGATTAAATATGATTTAAACAACACTTGACTTGGATTAAATATGATTAAAACACCACTTGACTTGGATTAGATATGATTAAACGACCACGTGACTTGGATTAAATATGATTAAAAGACAACTTGACTTGGATTAAATATGATTAAGCCTGATTAAGCATGTGTTTTTCTTTTTTCTGGAGCAACATCGTTCTTTTACAAAGGAAAACCGCTGGATCTCCTATTTACAGTAGTCCAAGTCAAGTGTTGTTTAAATCATATTTAATCCAAGTCAAGTGGTCTTTTAATCATATCTAATCCAAGTCAAGTGGTCTTTTAAATTGGTGCGTCCCCGACATAGTCAGACATAACCATCTTTTTCAAAACGTAAAACACTGGATTGTTCCAAAGCAATATAAGCCTTGTGGGAGAAATCCCGTACCAATCTTGATACGGATAGTTCATATTTTTACTACTATATACCATCATCGTAACCCGTCATTATAGAGATAGGTCATGATAAACATTATAGCATATCACAGCCCATAATTATTAGTACTTTATTAATTGGTATTGGTGTTATTACGAATATATTAATGATTATTCATTACCCCCAGGGGTATTGAATATATTGGCTATTGATTGATTAGTATTGTCGTGATTACTATTATTGGTATATATTATAAATATAAATACTATGTTCCATTTTATTATTGTTGTCATTACTATTGATCTTGTTGTTATTGTGGATCCAAACACCTCCTGAGAAGGTACAAGACACCCCCCCAGTCATCATACCCCAGTCCCACTTCCTAAGAAGGTACGGCTGGATCCATAGGGTTACTATTATGGATTATGAATGATCACTCTCCAGAAGCTATACCCTCTGGTAAACATACAAAAAACTATAGAAAATCACCAGTTTTGGGGTAAATCAACTATTTCTATGGCCATGGCTTCAAGTGCGCAAACTCTTATTTTACCGTAGGTTCTCATCGCCCAGGACGAGGTGCTTTGCAGATTGCGACGGGGGAGTTCCAACGTACATACGGCCACCCGTCCGCAAGCGCGTTGGGCTGGTACCGGGGTCAACCGTGGGAAATGTTCCCAAAATGGCTGGCCAAAACATGTTGCAGCTCGAATTCCTGTATCATTCAGCCAGTGTTTTTTTGTTTAGCCAGTAATATGGCATATCCACCAATTTCTTGGATGCAGGTCCAGAACAACCCATGAGCTGGTTGGTGTGTTGGGAAGGTATGGACAACGAACATGGATGCACTTCCAAGTGGGGGGTCAAAAACATGTGTGATGATGATTTAGCATCTAGTTATTTAACATAGCCATGGAAAATCCCAACCATAGATGGAGGTTTTTAGCTGGGAAAATCATCTATAAGTGGGCAGTTTTCCATGGCTATGTTAAATAACCAGAGGGTACAGGATGGGGCCCCCCAGTTATAAGTTGGTTTATAAACCCCATTAACCATAGTTATTATCTATAGTTCTATCTACCATAAACCATAGTTAAGCCATTTATAAACCAACTTAGCTATCTTGGGGGCCCCATCCTGTAGCCTCCTAGAGGAGGAGAATAGCCTAAGTTCTATCTCTCATCTCATAAAGGATCCGCCAAAGAATTGGGGTGAATCTTCCACAATGGAGAATCGGAGAATCCATGTTGGGAATACGCCGAACAAGCGATCACTTTTTAGAGGGGAAATCATGAGTTGTGTTCAGTGTTCCACTACATCAACCCTGGTTAGTCCTTAGATACATCATCATCATCATCATCATCATCATCATCATCATCATCATCATCATCATCATCATCATCATCATCATCATCATCATCATCATCATTTTCATCATCATCATCATCATCACCATCATCATATTCATCATCATCATCATCATCATCATAATCATATTCATCATCATCTTCATCATCATCATCTTCATCATCATCATCATCATCATCATCATCATCATCATCATCATCTTCATCATCATCACCATCATCATCATCATGATAGAAATGACAGAACATGATAGATCATGCTTGTATGTTATTGATTCTTTTGTCGGGACAGTACTCCCCCATTCATGTCATGGGATGGGCGCCTTGAACGTGTGGAACGTGCCCCCAAGCATTGCTGGAACATACCCCAAACATTCCCAGGATGTGCCCGATATCTAAATTGGTGTACAGCAAAGTTACTGCTATGGTTTATCCATTTTATTCGTAAATACCATGTCCCTGGACCTTCCAAATCCTAGAGATTTCACGGAATTCTAAGAAGTAACCCTTTTTTGCGCAACACGATGTCAAATTGATCACAACTCCTGATTTGACTCCGTTCTGAGTTGTGGTTGTTACAGGCCGGAAGGTTTCTGCATGACATGTGGTTTTGTTGTCATTTTTTGATGCGTTCGAAAACGTCAAGAATTGCCCTGTCAAACTCCCGTTTCTGGAACCCACCTAATCACATCGATGACTGCAAAACGTATGACAAATAAAGGGTCACTGAGAAATCCGTTGAAACTCCTGAATTTCTGATCTTTACTAGAAAGCAAGAAATGCTAAAAAAAAATTGGAAAAGGATGCCCAGGTCATATATTCATGGTATGTAGAGCCAAGGTATTTCGTTTGTTTTGCTTAAACCTCCACTAGGTTTCCCTCTTTTTGAGACGTTTCCCTTTAGCAAGGACGAGATCATCGAGTCAGATCGAGTCCCTGAGGACGGAAAGAAGTCGAGATCTTCCTCTTCGCAATGGTTACCTTCCTCCAGTGAGTCATCTTGCGACAGTAGCAGCGCAAGCTTGTGACCAGTGGAGCCGCAGGCAGGCAATGGATTTCCTGAGAAGCTGCCTGGTGGTTAGATGTTTTTTTAGATCCTCTATGTGGAAATATCTGAAGAATCCAAAGCAGTGACTGAAGAACATTTCGTCACTGCAGTGGTTACAAGGCAGTGATGCGCCGTCACTGGAAATCCAGGCAGTGAAGCGTGTTTTTTTTGTGGCTGGATCTTTCCATATTTTTCAGCACTCGGAAATATCTGAAGAATCCAAGAGCTCTTTTTGGGACTCCATAGGTCTTTTTGGGTCTCTATGGGTTTCCATGACTATTCCCGCTGTTGAAAGCTGGTACTTTGCTTCGCCCCACGTGTCATGGAACTTAAGAACTAACCAACCACACGACTGCACAGCTTCTCAGGATCTGCCAAACACTGTACCTGGACCCCCCAGGTGTTTGCTGGCTTCATATACCCTCTGGTAATGACCAAAAAAGCTATTGAAAATGGCCATGGAAATAGTGGATTTACCCTTTCAAAATTGTGATTTTCCATGGTTATGTAAACGTTTACCGCAGGGTAGGCTTAAAAAAAGTCAATGAACGTACCATTGGGTGTGGATCAACGCTTCGAGGGTCCAGGCACAGCTTTTCATTTGCAAAGAGTGTGTTTTGCATTTGAAGTCCTGGTGTGCTCTCCCTCCAACCATTCTGACGATTTCTGACGGACTGTTCCGCAGGTCCAGCGTGGCAAAGCCAATTATAAATTAAATTATATATATATATATATAATCCCTTCCCCTTAATACTAAACCGCCCCCTCCCCAAATAATAAACATTTCAGGTAGTGTTTATTATTAGGGTGGTATTTGTTATTAGGGAACCGAAGCGGACCCTAATAATAAATTAAAACCCTTATATATATATATATGTGTATTTTAAAGAAAAAAAACTATTATTTTTGATTTCAAAATCAATTACATCTCCTTTTACAACCAGTTAAAATAAGCATTGCCAAAAATTGGATATTGAAGCGGACCCTATTGGTAAATTTAAAACCTTAATAAAAAAGACTTTTTTTTCCATTTCAAAATCAATTCAATTTCCTTTTATAACCCAATTAATATGTTGCCAAAAATTGGATTTCGACATTTCGAAGCTTCCCCCTAATATTAAATTTAAAATCCTAATATAAAAAACTACAATTTTCACGGTTAACTAGTTTTTATTATTGGTGGACGAAACGCAAAATGGTAGCTTTATGTTTAATTTGCTTTCTAAAGGGGATCAATTAAAAGTCAACCTGAAATTTTCCAAAATTAAAGATGGACCCTAGTTTTTATTATTTGGGGGGGGTAGTAATAGGGGGACGGAAGTATGTATATATATATATATATTAACAATCCTGCATATTGCGAGAACTGCTTGATATAGACCATCCCCCGAAAATGATTTATTATTGCTAAATTGCTTTTGGTTGCAGGATGTTCTTGGGAGCAACAAATGTTGGTGTTGGCACCAAGTGGAACCATTTTGCATCCACAATGGGTTGAGGGACAGCCCTGCTATGGCGTTTTTGCCAGTCCCCTGTAAAGCTAAGACTGACACTCTGGCGTTGGCTTTTCTTCACAAGCCCGCCATTGCGCAGAAAACGTGCTGACCGAAAGAGCCATGTTGGGGTCATTGTGGAACCGTAGTAGCACCAGGCGTGTCTGAAATGTTTTTTTCCCCCACCACAGCAATTTGTTTCGGGGAAACCGGAGGATTACCACATGCATGTCGCAGAGACGACCCAATCAATATTCACAAGAAGGGGTAGGGTGAAGATGCGAACATGATCGAACATGTGGTTGTGTTTGAAAGTAGGCCATACAATGATGTATATATATATATATAACACATTATTATTGTTATTATGATTGATGATAATATATATATATAATATAATAGTATTTATATAATATATTATTACTATTATCGTTATTATTAATAGTAGTATTTTCATTATAATCCATATATATATATACATATTTATGTATATACACTGATTTGATGGCTGATCCAGGGCGGTGCTGCAGGGCTTCGTCTTCGGGAGCGTTGTGTAGGGAGTGGCATTCCCTTTTTGTTGTTATCAGCATTGGAAAAAAACGATATGGAGTGACTTTTAGTAATTTAGTATCATATAGTAATTGTTGGGTATATCAATTATAGTAATATGATACTCCAATTTAGTGAACTCCCCATATTTCTATTGTTCCATGTAGTAATTTAGTATCATATTACCAGTTCAATTAATATGATTATATAATATATAATTACCTTAGAACATGATATATCAACATTAATGATAAATGGTATATATCATAAATCAATGTAGTAACCCTATGGATCTAAGTACCGTCTTAGGAAGTGGGACTGGGGTATGATTTGGGGGGCGTTTTGTACCTTCTCAGGAGGTGTTTGGATCCGTAGGGTTATAGATATACAGTAGATATATTGAATGGGGAGTCAAGCTACGAAGTATCAGATTTCTCCGCCATGATAAATGATTCTGTTTGGCCCCATGAGCATTTTTGGCCATTTATAAACCTTGCAGCATAGTAGGTTGATGTAATTGGTGACGAGACGATATACTGCCAAAAGACATATGAAAGGATATCTAGGACTATCACCAATCAAGATCACTTCACCATGGAGGGCAGCTTGGCTCAATCGCTGCTTCAGAAAATGCATGCCATAGCCATAGCATGCCATAGCCGTGTCTCCACATCGATGAGCCTTGAGTTTCCAAGGGTGAAGGTCATGCAAACCGAATCATGGACGCCGTCAGTACATGTCGCTGACTTGTTTACTTGATTTACATTAATGTCAGTAACATTATATAACTATTATGTAACACCCAAAGAGATAGGACAGTATATACAGCTACCACTAAGTCGTAGTCGTACTTGTTTCGTTCGGTTTTTCAAGTGCATCAGGAAAAATGGTTCAAGATATTGGGCATCACTCAATGAGACCTGAGAGCCGTAAGATACCTGGCTTTCATGGCGCTACGTCGTGAAGAAGGTGGTGTCATGGAAACTTTGAAAAAAAACATGGAATACAGATATTTTGCCATTTCGAAGTTTGGGCAGATCCAAATCATACTGTTGTTTCTATATATATATATAATTATTGAATTATTTACATATTATATCTCATCGTGTCCCTATAATGGTTGGTTATGGTCTGATTTTTTTAATGCCTGTTTTTTTGGGCCACATCCCAATTCTTTGACAAACCCCAATCATATTGTCGTGCGTCTATATATATATCACCATATCCCCGATAAATTTGGAGCACCCTATAACTGGTTGGCGGTTTGGAACATGAATTTTATTCTTCCATTCAGTTGGGAATAATAATCCCAACTGACTTTAACTCCATCATTTTTCAGAGGGGTAGGTATACTACCAACCAGATAATATATCACACAATTTCCTATACTAATCCCTGCGATGGTTTGATCCCTGGGATGAAACTTGCTGGGATGCATCCGATTCAATCCCACCTTTTCAATCGTCCCGGTGATGGGTTCATATAATATACCCTCTGGTAAACTAACATAACTATGGAAAATCACCATTTTCAACGGGTAAATCCACTATAAATGGCCATTTTCAATAGCTATGTTAGTTTACCAGAGGGTATCATCCCTATGGGATGTATCCATCGAGTGATCCTCAACCTGACATCTATTCTGACATGCTATTTGGCATTCTATCTGACATATATGGTTGGTAAATGTCCTGCCTTGGGCATTTTGAACATCACTTTCAAGTATCTGTTGGAGATTGGTGATGTTCAATTAGGACATTTACCAACCCCTGTATATTCTGACATTCTTTCTGGCATGTGTTCGGGTTCAGGCGTAGCCCGCACCCGGAGCTGGCAGAGGAGTTGCACCTTTGTTAAAATCTAGAGACCCTCACTTGGCAGGTGGGGAAAAATCCCTCAATTGTCTACATGTCCATTTTTGTTTCCCAAATGGTTGCTTGGAAATTTGGACAATTCCGATCTGGATGAAACTTGGACAAATAGTTTTGAGGAAGACAAACACTTTTGTTTCCCTATTTTGGTGGTTGTACATTGTACATGTCCGGATCCAACGGTACCCCACAGGTTGGCACAGCAGCCACCAGAGCCATTTCGGTCGCGACCGCTGGGAAGAGCTACGCATTGCCTTGGAGAGGGTCATTCAGCTGAGCTTGAAGGGTGGCAAGATGGGTTTGTCTGAACATATTTAGGAATAAGTTCAATGTATCTGGATAAATTTGATCACGACCTCAACAGTCTCCCTCACTGGAACCATGGTTAGTAAGGGGAATCATCCCCAAATATAGGCTTATTTCAGGTTAGTGAAATATTGAAATTTACTTAGAATTTATGGCAATGTGAGTGGGGAAAATTGGGAACTTTGAAATCAGGTAACCATCAAATTTAGGGACCTGTGAAAAAAAAAACCTCCAGAGAAGCTCCCTATTTTTTTCTGTTGCCCTGGAAGTGTCACATGTCACAAGCTGTTGGCTCCTACGACCCCCATCTTCAGGCCCAGACTTAGCCACAATGCCAAGGACCATGAGCATCTGTGCTACGTGAATCCCTTCCTTCCAGCAAGCGAAAAGGAGGTTATTTGCGAAGATTACAGTGCCTCAAGGAGAACTCTTGGAGGTGTAAGTGAGGTGATTCAAGGGATAATGCGGAATATATTGGGAATATAAGGGGGGTTATTTGGAATTTAATGTGAAATGATTGGCATTTAATTGGATTTTCATTGCATTTATCGGAATTTACCTGGAATTTAATGGGAATACAGTGGTGATATTGCGTGTGGATATTATTTATGGGATCTATTTTGGTATGTTTACGAATATTGATAAGCCTGGCTTTGTCAAAAGCCATGAAATCTCTAACCTCAAAATAGTCCCTATTTACTCTATGGATGTTCCCTCAACATATTTCAGGCGCTAGGAGGTGGTACACCCTGTGTTGCCTATCTACCAAGCCTAGAATTCACCAAGCTCCAAACCAACTTAGCTATTGTAAACATTGTAAACGGACGCCCACCTTATATTATATTATATTATATTATATTATATTATATATATAGTTATATATATATATGTATACATTTATAATTATATATTGTAATATCATAAATACTGTATATATATATATATACTATAGACTATTAATATTATACATATGTAATTTCTAACGAGCCTCGATGGATACAATACCAGCAACCATCGCCGGTCCAGCGGAGGTATTCCATGGTGACGTCATGGGATGTTTGAAGCGTCATGGGATAGCTAAGTTGATGCTAAAATAACTTGGTGAACACAAAAAGGTTTCATGGAGGATATACCATATAGTTAATATGGTATAACTAGTTAATATGGTATAACTATAGGATAACTTGGTGAACTCTGTTAATATGATATAACTATAGATAACTGATAACTAGACTTTATTTCCTAAAGCAACTTTTAAAAAACTGCGGCCTCAGTGGGTGCATTTTCACACCGTTTCATTAACCGGGCTTGGTTTGTAGGTACACAGACACAGCGTTTCATCGTAGGTTGTTTCCTTGTGTATCCAATCCCTATAAGGTAATGACCCAATCGCTTCCCAAATTTTCAGGTCCTCCATGTTGCGAGAAATCCTTTTTGGACCCCAGGTCTTCAGCCCAGCTGCATCCCGGGCGCCTACGACTTCTGCCTGCCTCCAACGGAACGGCAGCACCAACGCCCAGCGGAGTTTCTGCGGGTGCCCAGGTGGTTTTACGGGCCCCCGTTATAGCGTTGGTGAAGAAAACCAGGACGGTTTCGGGTAGATATATCGGACCATAATTCATGTGGTTTATAAACCAACAAGTGGACCAACAAGCATAACAAGTCAAATCCCATTTTCGTTTTGTGTACATTGTCAGTTGACCCATAAACAAGAGGTGTCACAAGTGCTCACGCCACACATTTAGTACATGGATCATTTGTTTACTCCGTGTTTACTGTAATTACCCTCACAGTTTTGGCCCGAAATACCAGTCATAAGTACTGAACTAAACCCAATTTATGGAATGTATAGTCCTATTTATAACCACAGGATGGGGCCCCCCCAGTTATAACTTGGTTTCTAAACCATTATAACCCCCATTAACTAGTTCGTTATATCTACCATCAACCATAGAATTCAGCCACTGAAATTTAAGGCAACTGAACGCGAACTCGAATGAGGGCCCCATCTTGCAGTTATAACTAATCTGTTTGGTGGTTTCAAACATTTTTTATTTTCCATAATACATGGGATAATCCTTCCCATTGACTTTCATATTTTTCAGAGGGGTAGGTATACCACCAACCAGTACTAAATGGCCATACCTGCAGTTATGGCCATTTATGAAAGTTATAACTGCTTATTTCTATGGGATTATACATTCTATAAATGGGGTTATAATAAGCAGTTATACTTATAATTATAAATTAGTAATAACTAGGTTATAAGTACTTATAACTGGTATTTCGGGCCATAACTGTGTAGAATTTCTGGTTTTTGGCGCCGAGGTTCCCAGTGGTGGACGCTGGCGACGAACGACATATCTTCGTGGACAAGCTCCGTTGGGGAGCTAAGATCACTGGATTGGTTTAAGGGAAAATCTTAACCGGAAACCATGGTTTTTACCATCAAATATAGGACTTTCCTGTAAATTTTCCCATAATCCAATTCTATGATAAGAAGTTGGTGAAGCTACCGGGCTACGTTGGGTTCCCCGGTGGCTTCCGGGCTTTCTGTTTTGAAAAAAAAGAGTTTCTGGTTATGACTTGTTAACAGGGCTAGCCATGGTTTTGAGAAACGGCCCTAATCGAAATAGATGGTTTATCTAAACATGGTGATTTTCCATAGTTTGCCTATGAAAAATGGTGATTTTCCATGGCGAACTGTTAGTCATAACCAGATGGTACATCGGATTTATGGTGATGAGAATCAGCACCCAAGGTTGATTCCTTAAGCTGCAAAGTTGAGAATGGCAACATCTGGTTGGTGATTTGGAACATTTTTTATTTTTCCATATCTTGGGAATAACCATCCCAATTGACTAATATGTTTCAGAGGGGGTTGAAACCACCAACCAGACATACATGGGGATTGAACACTGAACTATGATTGACACATGCAAAGATATATTGATTAGACATAGCCAGACACATCACATGTCGGAAAACAAAGCCCCTTGGCTCGAGGAGAAGAGAGGCATGAGGTGCAGCGGATGGGTTGCTACCTTGGTGAAGGATGCTGAGGGGTAGACGAAGGTTGGCTTGTAATGACTTCATTTCTTAACCCATATGATGCTCCATGTATGGTATATTTACCTACATTTGGGTGTATTTTAGGTAAATGTTGGTAAATATTCCAGCACCATGGAGCATATGGGTAATGGTTTATCATTTTCAAGAAGTGAGTATTGTACCATATTGTACCCAGCTTGAGAACTTAAGTGTTTGAAGGCCATTTATGATGAGCTGTTATATTTTCACGGGCGAGGCTTCCAAAGTGGAGACCCTACAGGAAAAGCGATATGATAGCATTGGTCTTGACCGTCCTTATAATATGTACATTATACCGTGTACATTACAAGACTCTATCTGTTCTTGCGGCCAACATTATTGAACATGTTCAGTCTATTGTTGCAGACTCGTCAATGTTTGGTCAATATGTTGATTTCCAGAAATACGCCACCAAATAACACATTCAATTTGTTTCCAATTCCGTAATTTTCCCAAGGTCCAACTGGTTAATGTGTCCCCATGAGTGCTTGATTTTCTACTGCTCAATATTTGAATGTTCACTCCAATATGTTTTTTCTTCATCTTCGGAATAACAGACTCAGTTTTCTACTGCGCATCGGATAATGTCCAGATATAGCCATATAGCAGCTTTTTCCAAGTTCCATCATATGCCATATTTTTCCATATAGTCTTCCAGCGTTTTCCCATCGTTTTCCCACGGTTTTTTCCATCGTTTTCCGCTTCGTGGCCTTCGCGTAGTTGGAGTTGCGCGCACCTGGGGAGGAGATCGCCCCCTTTGCCCTCTCTGAGGCCACCATAACTGGAATGGAAATCCTCTGGGATATAGTGAATCTATAAGTAATCAATCTATAGTGAATCTATAGTGACTCTATAGTGAATCTATAGTGAATCTATAGTTAATCTATAGTCAATCTATAGTTAATCAATGTTATGGAATGATTCCCTTTACATCCCTGGCCACCAGTTTTGTAGTCAGGTATATAATATTATGTAATCCCATTTATGGTTCATCTCTCCCTATGGATCCAGCCGTACCTGGCCTTTGGAAGTGGGACTGGGGCATATGTTGGTGGTGTCTTGTACCTGGGAGGTCTTTGGATCCATAGGGTCTAGGAAAATGTCAGGAAAATGTGGGAAAGTATGGGAACTTCACTGGGAAAATATGGGAAATTCACATTTTTAACATCACTTGTGATTTTCACTTAAGGACATGAAAATCACATGTATTGAACATGTTCACTTAACGCACTTATTGGTGCGTCATATTGGTGCGCCATTTTATAACTGGGAAATGAAAATCATGAACATTCACTTGAGGAAATGGTGACTCATGGGGGACTTGAACCAAGAATTGACAATTAATACCAATTTATGGATAGTTCACTATACTGGGATAATTACTGGAACATGATCTATGAATCGTGGATTGCCCATTGCCATGTGTTCTATTAAACGGTGGATCTTAATGTGATTTCATGGTGATTTTCATGATGATTCAATCGGATTTAATAATAGTGATTGTTGCTGTTCATTATGATTTAATGGAATTGAAGTTTCATGGACTATATATATACACCCATAGGATCCATGTATGCTATATATGGTAACATTTACCATCAACATACCCCAAATGTTAGCATATATACCAGCACCATGGATCCTATGGGATATCTATATATATATATATATATGATTATATGATTGTTACTGTTTAATGGTTTTTTCCATGGAGATGTTCTAATGGATAATTCATGAAGTGGTTGGTAAATGGGGGAATTCCATAGGATTTCATCGCAGGGCTCCTCCTTGGTGGTGTCAGCCGCTTTGCAGGTCGAGGTGGGCACGGCGAAAGCGGGAATATCTTGGCCATGGGGTACCAAAAATATCCGAAGATATCAAGAGAAGACACAGATTGTTTTTTGTGTTCAATGTTTGGAATAGTGTTAACATATGTTTATATGTCACTGACATTGATTAATTGTAAACTCATATAAACTCAACATTGGATTGGATGGGGTACCAAAAAGACAAACATGAACTCAGTCAAAATATGGGTTTCGGGGATTAGATCAACATATAAACCAACGGATTCTGGCTGCCAATTTGATTGACACCATGGCTTTTCCATAAAACCCAGCCTGTCACTTGACTGGCAGGGGATGATTCCTCGGAGACCACCGATGGAATCGGCTGAAGCGCATTTTCTATGGTCTCATCCCATAGGATCCATGGTGCTGGTATATATGCTAACATAAAGGGGGTATATTGATGGGATCCATATCACCAAATATAGCAGCACCATGGATCCTAAGGTCGACCGTGGTCTCTTTGTTATTGGATGCCACTTTATGTTTTCTTGGGCACGAGGTCACAGTGCACGACGGCGGACCTGCAAAGTTTGTGAGAAGACTATCAGCAATTCAGATCTTACTCGGGAACAAGCCGGCAAATCAAATTCATCAGTGACACCAGTGAAGGCCCGACCCTGCCAGAATCAGTTGGGTTCGATCTCGACCGAGTGTCCCGAAGCCCGATCAGTGCATCCGAAACCCGAAGCAGTTGCACTGCCTCGGTGGATCAACAGCGCTCGATCATCGCAAGAAACCCGCAAGAAAATATTAGGGCAACGCATGTGGCAAAATCTATATAGTATATTATAGTATGTTCTTTAAGAGATAGAAGAGTTGTAATCTTTGGATGGTTTCAATAGAGAGGTACTATGAGGCACTGACTGCAGTCTGGTTCACGGATCATGATGAAGTTCCGGCATCCAAATCGTGTGCCCGGAATTGCCAGGGTGATTTTATAGATGGCCCATTTATAGATGATTTACCTATTAAAAATGGTAATTTTACATGGCTATGTTAAATAACCAGATGGTACTCATCCAATATCCCTATGATATCCTTGTCGTATCCCCTTATATGCTGGCATCTCTCAAAATGTCGGGCATCCCAGCAACACGACGCTCAGGAGGGAGACACCGTGCTGGATGCCTGTGCCAACGGCATCACGTCGCCACCTGGCGAAAAACGGAAGAGGGTCTGGGTGAATTGTTGCCGTCATCATAGGGTATATAAATGTATATAACGGACCATTCTATCAGGATAAATGATATCATATATGATATGATTAGGGATATGATGGGGATATAGACATGCGACCAACATTATGTTATTGGGGTAATTCATGGTAAATCATAGAACGATCGCACTTTTTTTTGCATCACCCATGCTATTGGGAAGACCATGGGACTTGTGACTGGATTTCGGTCGTAATCTCATGTGACTCATGTGCAAGCAAAGTCACAAATAGATACATATAGCTTCAGTCTAGTTAACAATTCAAACTGTTTGGGCTGATCTTCCAGCTATGCCAGACAGGTGGTTGGTTCAATGCAATCTACACATTTAGAAACCCATGAAAGGGCACAGGAAACTTGTATCAACATCTTGTTGTAAGTTGTACTCTGATGGATGCCAGATTGTATGGTCAAATGCTCAAAACACCCGTGTTTTTTTGTGTTCCATTTGGTAGCCACATCCCTATTTTGAATCCCACCGATTGATACGGCTCGAGATGAGCAGATCAACCAGTTGAAGTGATGGATGATTGTTGAAGTTGAGAGGAGAATCGGGTTTTTGAAGCCCACAAGATGGGGGTAGCCAAAGCATGAAATACCCAGATTTCGGCCAATGCTTCATAATGTCATAGTTGAGTGCTTAGCCGCTTAGCCGCTTAGCCGCTTAGCCATCCCTCTTTCGACTCCATATGTTTCACCATGTCAATGATCAATTCCAGGGCATTCCAGTTTCTACATTGTATTTTCACCATTTAATTGATCACAACCCATCAGACATGCCCACAAAAAGTGAATCAGAATCTGTCCCGCTGTCCCGTTTCCGATTCCATCTGTCCCTCAATTGGTTTCGGGACACATTCAAAGGAAAACATATAATATGATGGTTTTTAGCCATGCAGCTAGTTGACTGGCTAGTATACGCTATGATCAGTTGGAAATCGATATAACATGCATCCCTGTATCAGTTATCACCCATCGAGTTGATCATAAGTTAGTTACATAATCTAACTACAAAATTATTATTGATTAATAGCCTATCACACGTATGTAATATATACGTATATATATACATATGTATATATTTTAGGTTAGTACCATTAGTACTATATCATTGCACGTTAGTTCAGGTTATTAAACGTAGTACAGTATTGTTGATGTAATTATAAGCATCAGTATTGTTAATGTTACATAATCCATTAGTTACATGTTCCTATTTTTCTGGTGTTATTTCTATTGGTTATTGTTAATGTTACTTTCTAGTTATTACTACTATTGGTTATTTACTATATTGACAATGTTATTACTATTGGTTATTACTATTGTTTATAGTTATTCCATTGTAGTTATTATTATTATTATTCACTTGGTTATTACTCCGCCCATCATCGCAGCAGCCCAGGCTGGTCTTGGCCGGCGGCCTCTTTCCGCGCTGCCCGCGTGGGCAAGCCTTGTCTGCTGGCCTGGAGTAAGGTGAGCACAAAAAGAAAGAGGAGTAGTAATGCAATGAATCTATGAATCTATGTGTTTTTTTTTGGTATTGTCAATAGGAATGTAATTATACATTGATAGAACTTAGTTTTAGAACTGATATTATGCATATATTTATATATATAACCAATATAATTATATATAACACTAATATATATATAGAAATAATATGTATATATATATACATTGATAGAACTAATATACATGAATATATGAATATCATATTAGATGCAAAGATTCGCCGAGATTCGCGCTAATATAAAAACTGCATTTGCAGTTCTACTACCGTGGCTTAATTATGGCCCTTCCGGGGTCGCTTTTTGTCGCCCCAGATCACGACCGAACCCTGGTCTCCCTCAGCCTGGAATCATGGTGAAAGTTAGGGAAATCATCCCCTTTTATGGCCCAACAATTCAGGTGAGTGAAATTTCCATAATTTACCCAGATTATTGTCATGGTTAACATTATGTTATTAGATATCTTAGTATTGTTTGAAACATATCAATGACACTATAAAATGCTACACAGTTTGTGTGGTAATTTTTTACATTGATCACTATAAATTGCTGGTGTGTTTTTCAAACTTTGCAAACTATCCGTTGGTAACTCATTAGATTCGCGACTATAGTAGATAATTGCATCACCAAAAAAGATTAGGCTCCATGTAGGTCCACAAACCACCCAAAAGTGGACGTCGCTGGTTCACCGATTGACCACATTGGTAAATATATTAATTCTAGTACAGTACCATAGTTACGGCCAGCACTTGTGCTATGCCACAGAGTCTTTCGGGCTGATTGCGAACCCAGGGACGTCGTTCATGACGCTCTGTGGTGAATCTGCTGTCCCCAAAAACTGGGTTTTTGTCACTTTTTACATACATCCTTTAAAAACATAGAACAACCCATTGAAAAAAATCCTAAATTAATTAACCCTAAAGAAACCCCATGAAAGTGTATATACTGAAGTACTTGTACCTGTGGGGCGTAGCGCACGTGCTGCGAGCATAGCGATAGTGCAACATATTTATCACGACTTGCGATCCGTCCATTTCCAAGGCCTCATGATCTCCAGGGTCGACTGGTGTGCAACGAGGTGGCGTGAAGGGATCAGCGTGGAGGGACCTTCGTGTGCTGATGCTATATGTATATAGTAATGCATATATATTAATACATATATACATTGATGTACATGATTATTATTTATATATATATATACGGCAAATGCCTGGGCTTTGCCCGGACCTGCAATGATGACAGGCGACGCATCATCATCATCATCATCATCGTCGTCGTCGTCGTCATCATCATCATCACCATCCTTAGAATAAAACCCTTATTGAAGATCTTCAATGAATGTAGAAGTGTAACGGGGGTGGGAGAATTAAACCCTTCTTGAAGATCTTCAATGAATGTAGAAGTTTAACGGGGGTGGGAGAATTAAACCCTTATTGAAGACTTTCAATGAATGTAGAAGTTTAACGGGGGTGGGAGAAATAAACCTTTATTGAAGACTTTCAATGAATGTAGAAGTTTAACGGGGGTGGGAGAATTAAACCCTTATTGAAGATCTTCAATGAATGTAAAGTGTAACGGGGGTGGGAGTTTAATATTCCCTAGTACCTTTGTTGTTTTTCCCATAGGAATTTTGTGAAGTTGCATCAACATTTGTTTGGGAATGGGAAATCTCTACGCTGTAACGCCTGGGCAAAGCCGAGGCGTTGCGCGTATATATATGTATATATATATATATGTATATATATATATAAATATACATATATATATATATATATCAGGCCGCCTGGTTCGCCATTGCCTCGAGCGGCACTTTTTCCTCACGTCAGCCAAGGCAACTTCTTCGCGTCGTAGCAATTTGCCGGGCTAGTTTGCACGAATCCCTTGGAACATGCCTTTCTGTCCACCTGCAATGCTTGGAGGACCGTTTGCAGTCCTGGTTGCCTATGAAGCGCTGCCGCTGCCAGGACTTTGCATTGGCAGCTTCTGTTTGGATCCGTTGGCGACCCAGCGCATTAACGTAACAACCCCACCCTGAAAATATACCAGTAACTTTTCCGATACACCTTGAAAAACATTAAAAATGCAGCCTCTTGGAACCTTATTGCCCTCCGACCCCCCCCCCAGAGCACAAGACGGGCGTTTACAGCGACCGCGGACCAGGTGGCCTGAGGGTATATAGATATCTATATATATATATATATATACATACATACTGGCTAGTACAGTATGTGTGTACCTGGTGGTATGTATATATATACAGGTATTTCTATGTATTTGATTTGTAGATAGGTAGATAAATATTTTGTGTAATCTTGTGTATACGTTTGACCTCAATGTTCACCTTAATTGACATTCAACACCCGGGTTGTGATGCTTTGATCCATTTTTCATGGCTACTTGGAGGGCAGCTATGGGTACCCTCTGGTTATTTAACATAGACATAGCCATGGAAAATTGCCCGTTGATAGATGATTTTCCCATCTATAAACCTCCATTTATAAGGGATGTTCCAGTTCGCTATGTTAAATAAGCAGAGGGTAGGTATTATGCCATCGCCCGGCATTGCCCACCTCCAGAAGAGATACGAAAAAATGCCATCGCAGATGTTGTCCTCAGCCAATTCATGGCCCTGCCCAGGTAGGACAAGTTTTCTGTTAAGGACACAGGTTGACACCCATTGATCCCTCTTCAGCCATCCCCAGCCATCCCCAGCCATCTCCAGCTTCGCAGATGGTGAAATCGAAAGCTAGCCGTTTGCAGCAGACGATGTCGGGTTCCCGGCAATGGCTGTTTGTTTTATTTACAAGTTTGTCGTTTTAGGAAACGAGATGGTAAGCGACCTGCCGGTTTCTGGGTGGCTTTAGCCTATCCCTGTTCTACATTATTTTACATCATCTTATGTTTGGTATACGACCTGATTTGTCAGCCACATACAGCCATTTTGCTAAGTTTGGATTGTGGACATTAAACGGATTTACAACCATTTGCTGTTTTAGATCTTTTGCGTACGAGTTGAAAAGGGACATCGCCCCCACAGAAATAGACTACCATTTTTTTGTGTCCAAAATTTATTTTCATTGGCTTCCACTGTGCCGGATAATGTTTGGATGGGCAGTTTGATACTTTAATTGCGTGCTGTGATTTGGGGAATGTAATATCAGCGTTTCTTTCTGCAATGCGGAAAGTATTTCAAATTTCACATGATTAGAACAAATCATACCTTATTTTCTATCAAGGTTTTTCAAACCATCAGAAAATATCAATTGTAAACTTATAAAGTTCATCTTCCCGCAATCGAAGGGTATCTAAAATTAGCCATGTGTAGGTGGGAACTCCCCCAGAAATGCCATGACGAAAGTCGTGGCTAGGCATACCTTGTTGCCCTGGCGGCTCTTTGACGTGAACGTTCGGGACCTCAGAAAATTGGAAATTTCATAGTTTTTATATAGGGAGACCCTACTTTGAGACACTCAGCCATGTATATATATATGTATATACGATTATATACGTACACATATATTTGAATTATATATTATACTCTATATATATATATAAGCAAAATGTATTTATATATATATAGAGTTGTTTAAATATATATATATACTACAACCGTTATTATCCACTACAAGCAACAGTTGAATGGAATTTTGGGATATGTTTCATTGGTGCCATGGTTTATCCACCAAGGAGCCATAGCTGGGGTTATTTATTTGGACGAATAGGAATGCATGATTCTTAAGCTCTCTCTCTCTATGTATATATATATATATTTATTTATGTATATACAAATGTTTATATATGATGCAATTTTATATAGTTTTATAAAATGTATGTAACTTGGGGAAAATGATAATATGACCGCCACGTTTTAAGTATGATGTCTGAGATAAAGCGTGATAACAGAGGTTTACCCAGCCAACGTGATATTTGTTCAGAAGCCAAACTCAGCCAAACTGGTGATATACCATAACGTTCCATCCATAGTTTAAAGTCCATGTGTAAATGATAGTTATGGATGGATAGTTATGGATGGAACGTTATGGTATATCACCAGTTTGGCTGAGTTTGGCTTCTGAACAAATATCACGTTGGCTGGGTAAACCTCTGTTATCACGGTTTATCTCAGACATCATACTTAAAACGTGGCGGTCATATTATCATTTTCCCCAAGTTACATACATTTTATAAAACTATATAAACTTGCATCATATATAAACATTTGTATATAAATAAATATATATATATACATATAGAGAGAGAGAGCTTTAAACCCTAAAGTTGGACTAGATTTGATCAGAACAATGTGTAGCCCTAGTTGTCACGATAGCGCGTCGTGCTTGGGATGATCCTTAAGTTGGAAGGTCGTGAGACAGAAACCGAGATGCTGCGACTATACAGGCTGAAAGCCAGTGATTTGTCATATACTGAGTGAGTTACTCCATCAGTCACATTTTGGGTGCATCATCTGTTTCTGCCTCCGGACCCCAGAATTGTATGGTTTTTAGACATCGAGTTGGGGCTAACATGAATTCATGTAGCGTGGCGACATTGAAGAGTGGCTTGACTGGACTTGGTTAATCCCCAAATCTCAGGGATGGTATGGGTTAATAATGGTTAATTAATCATCTGGTTGGTGGTGACTGGAACAATGGGATAATCATCTTTATTTCATGGGATTATATACCAATAAGGTTAATAGTGGTTAATGTTTGTTTTAATCATCTGGTTGGTGGTGACTGGAACCATGGAATTTTATGACTTTCTATTCAGTTGGGAATGTCATCATCCCAACTGACGAACTCCATGATTTTTCAAAGGGGTGGCGAAAAACCACCAACCAGTCATGATTTTCCAATTCTTCAATTGCAAATTTTGAGATTTTGGGGCACACCGTTTTTCCATGTTGTTTCATGAACCTGTTGGTTTCTGTTTGAATCGTGGACCCCCAAAAAATGACCCTGTGAGGATCACCGTTGAAACGCTCAACGTGCTTGGACCCGAAGTTCAGCCGAAAAAATTCGGGTAAACTGAGTATTTTTCAATGGGGTTGTCGGAAAATAGGGGCTACCCACAGCATCAAACAGCCATTTGAATAGGAAAAATGATGACAAACCATTGGAATTTGCAATTTTTAGTCCAATTGAATGTTTATACATATATATATATATATATACATATATAAAAGGTATACCTACAATGTGGCTACAAGTATATCAGTTGAATGTCTACTAGAACGTGCCCCCAAGTTGGCTTGGGACGAGGCTCATGCAAATTCGATGTCTTTTGGATGTCTTGTGGATGTTTTCAGGGTGTTTTATGGTGCAATCCAACACTTCATTCCTAAACATACAAGGTAGTATAAGACCCTATACCCTCTGATAATGACTAACATAGCTAGTGAAAATGGCCAACGAAATAGTTGATTTACCCATGAAAAATGGTGATTTTCCATAGTTTTTGGTATGTTTACCAGAGGGTAGATGGGTTTCAAAAGCCAACACCACCTGGAGATTCAGCACTGAGGCCGCTGCTGGACACGCCCCACGTGTTGCTGGAAGCCAAGCCAGCGAATCGGAGTCGAAGTGGACAATGAGGGATCCGAGAAGCGCTGGTAAGTCATAAACCATCCAATGTTTGATGATAATGAATGACTTGAGTCGGTCCCACATATTTTTTTAAAATGTAACAATAGTCATTAGTCATAATTATTATTGCTGTTGTTATTAATTATTTTATGGTGGTTTCCTCAAATGAGGGCACTCCAATAGCAGGATGGTTTATTTCATGGAAAATCCATCTATAAATGGATGATGACTGGGGGTACCCCTATGACTTAGGAAACCTCCATATTGCCTACTGCTTGCTTGCCGAACATTCAACGATATTGTGTGGCCTGTCACATCCTGTCACTATGTTCACTCAGTTTGGGGTGCTCGTCCCAGAACGATCAATCCATGGTGTATCTTAAGGTAGTAGCACACATAATAACCCTCTGGTAAACTAACATAACTATGGAACATCACATTTTTTCATGGGAAAATTCACTATAAATGGTGATGTTCCATAGTTATGTTAGTTTACCAGAGAGTAACGATAAATATCAAATGATAAAGCACAACATTGGAAGTTTGCTAGTTTTATCAAAATTCAACATGGTAAAATCAGGCACCCAGCTGAAATAAAAAACGACCTCACTGCGACGTCATTGTAAATGATATGCTTAGTATACGAGAAGCCTATGGCAGCCCGCCATTAAAATATCTCACAGTTTCAACCTGGTGAAATATGTTCATGAATATGGAATGAATTCACGTTTGTGATATTATTGGATATGATATCTCTGGCTGAAGATCATGAACATTAGGGATGAATATTCCAGGCTGGTGAATATTCCCATTAAGCCATTTAACAATATTCAGCCAGAGATGTGAGCAATACAGTATGTATATGTATATCTTATTTCAAGTATAGATATTATGGCATGAAATATCATTCAATCATCCTCAGCCAATGTTCAAATAACTAATTTGGGATTTGAATTCGAATCTATTTATCACTCAGGTCTTCACTTCTGTCGACATGGCCACCACCTCCAATGCGGCCGAAAGGTCTTTTTCTGGGGGCCGGGGGTCGGTGAAGATGGGTGATGATGCAATAAACATGACTAGGCCATTGAATGACATTTGTTTGTTTGCTTTCCCCAGATTTGATCACAAAGTACTGGCAGGTCCATGAGATGTTGAGATCAATCATTCATCAGATGTGGAGAGGGAATTTCAGAGCCCCGTCCACCTTTATCTGGCCATGTTTCCATCTCCAAATACCTTGCAGTGCAGTGTGGAAACTTGTGGAACTTGATATATTTTGACCCTCAAAGCACCCAGAAAAAGTATAAAAACATGGATTAACACATCTTGACATTGTAAAAACGTGTAGGTGTTTGTAAAGTGCCAATCTCTACAAGATGGGCCCCCCCAGTGAAATGTGTGTCAGTCACCCGCATGAAAACTGTAGATATATCTACCATAAACCATAGAATTCTCATTGTAGACAAACTTAGCTGACTAAATCCCATTAAATCCCATGAGAACACCATTCAGTCACCATTAAATCAGCATTAAATCCCATTAAACCAGCATTTTTGCTGAGATATCAATAGGGGCAACCACCTTTGGCGAACATTTTCTGGGCGCAAAAAAGGCTTGGTCCCTACGACAAGATCCTGCTGGGTCCTCCATGCACCTTGGACCAAGTGGAGACCTGGGGATTTATTGGTGATCTAACGGGACGTTCATGTTTTTTTTTCGGATTGTTTAACTGGTTGGTGGTTTCAAACATGGTTTATTTCCCATAAATTAATGGGATGTCATCCTTCCCATTGACTTTCATATTTTTCAGAGGGGTAGGTATACCACCAACCAGTTAAAGGGACTTTAATTGTGATTTCAATGGTGACTTTTTATGGTTGAATAGGATTTGTTCGGATTCATGGGACTTTAATGGACTTTGATGGTGATTTCCATGGTGTTTTTTTATGGGATTTAATAGGAATCAATATTGGAGTATAGAGGATTTGATATGATTTAATGGAATACCCCTTTTGGGGTAGATTTATCATGATTTATCCTCATTTTGATGAACACTCATCTTCCAGGATTTGGCAAGGTCTATGTTAATTGGAGGAATATTTAAGTCTCCAAGCATCTAATTTTGGGGCTCAATTATTTGAGTTTGTCAAAACATAAATTTGCTGATGATGCCCAACAATAGATATGCTCAACATGATGTACCGATATACGTGCATATATATATATATATACAGATTCATGTTTAAAAGCTTTGATACATTGGATACCAATGTACATTACATATACATGATATTATCAGCACATCATATGCATATGTCATATGGATATGTCGGTCAGACATGCGTGTTTCACGGCACCGTCCCAAAGGTGACGTGGTGTTCCGGCCCGGTGTTTTTGGTGAATCCTAGCCACGTCTACGTGTCTCCGAAACTCCAGTGGATCACAGTGGATCTATTCATGGCTTGGGGGACAATACAAGAAGCCCCCCCCAAATAAGTTACCCTCTGGTAAACTAACATAACTATGGAAAATCAGCATTGTTCATGGGAAAATCCACTATAAATGGCCATTTTCAATAGCTATGTTAGTTTACCAGAGGGTAAGTTAGGTTTATATATCCCCATCTACTTCATCTACTTGTGTTTGATATATTTGAGATATCCACTTTATAAATCAAGCGCCTACTTCTAAAGCAACAGTGTTGCCGATCTGTTGGCTCTCAGTTAACTGTCCACAAAATCATAAGGATAACCCTTCATAGCTCTTTCTCCTTACAAGACCATGGGTTTCCTCATATGATCCATGAACAATACCCCTATCCCCTTCCCAATATATTGGTTCATCAGTAAATATTCCATCCCCGATATAATTTCCATGTGATAAACCCATCAACCAAGGTACCCTCTGGTAAACTAACGTAGCTGTTGAAAATCACCATTCTTAATGGGAAAACTCACTATTTCTATGGCCATTTTCACTAGCTATGTTAGTTATTACCAGAGGGTAATGGGTTTAGTGAGGTTTTTCATAGTGATGCTATGTTAAATTACCAGAGGTATTTCGTTGGCCATTTTCAGTAGCTATGTTAGTCATAACCAGAGGGTACTATTAATCACCATGAATCCCCATTCAACCACAAATCCCCATTCTAAATCACCATGAAATGCCCAGAAAAATCTATTTTCTTCATCCCCACTAAACCATCACTATTAAACTGGCTGGTGGTTTGGAACATTTTTTTCCATATATTGGGATCATCCAAACTGACTTTCATATTTTTCAGAGGGGCTGAAACTACCAACCAGTAAACCTCACTAAACCCATTACCCTCTGGTAAACATACAAAAAACTATTGAAAATGGCCATAGAAATAGTTGATTTAGCCATTAAAAGTGGTGATTTTCCATAGTATCCATAGTTATGTTAGTTTACTCACCATTAATGGACCATCCAAGGCACAGAGGACAAAGAAATGCTGCGGGGCAGTGCACCTGGCGGACTCAGCAAGTGGTCTGCGGCCACCGCCAAGGCGGCTTGGAGCTTCTACATCTACTGTTGAGTTTAATGGGAAATGGTTCTTTGGAAACCATAAATTATGGTGACTTAATGATCTTAATGGGGATTTATGGGGATTTTTCATTGGATGTGATAAGGTTTAGTTAGCTTTAAGATTGATAACTCGAATAACTATGGCATGTCTTGTTGTATATAACATGCTGAAATCACATCCTGCAATTGGGATCGTCAATGATCAATGCCTGAACATATTCAAGATGGGGTTTTACTGTTTAACCATCAAAACATGATGCCTTAGTAGGTGTTTAGCCATCAATGTATGGTGGTTTAACATGGCTCTTAACATGGATTGAGATGAAGAGATGTGTTTTTGGGGCTCTGAGACGAAAGGATCATTGGCACCAAACCCCCATGATAGATGTACAAACAATTTGGGGTATTTATCATAAGGTGAATCATAAGGAAAAACAATGGCATTGTAAAAATTAAACCTTCTAATGATTCAACAGTTATGGCCCGAGTTATACCAGTTATAAGTACTGAACTAACCCCATTTAATTATGGAATGTATAATCCCATTTCAAACCAGTTATAACTAATATTATTTAGTAGCCATAGCCATAACTGAACCATCAGGGATTTTCGAGGTGTAAAGCTACTTACCCCATTTATTCTAGCCAAAGAACTTGTGCCGAGAGGGTCCTTCATCACCCTGTGCCAGGTGAATGCAGAGTCTGGGTGCCTGGATTTTCTGGATGTACCGTTGATAGTTTATTATGTTCCTTATTCATATATATATATATGTATATATATATGTATGTATATATATATATATATTGTTTATATCTAGTTATCTAGTTACATCTCTCTATGTATATATATATATATATTATATTTATATATGTATAATTTATAATTATATATATCTATTTAGATCTGTTTATAACTATTTACATCTATAATAACTATTGACATCTATTGATCCTATTCCCTCTAAAATTAAATAGACACCTCAAACGAAACCCTGGTGGGACAGCCATTGAATCTCTCTAGAAGCTCGCTAGCCTTACACGATTCCCTAATAGACATGTTGGAAATCCAAGAGATTTGTGATATGAAACACCAAAGATGATATGAGAAATGTGATATTATGAATTACCCTCTGGTTATTTAACATAGCCATGGAAAATGGCCCATTTATAGATGGTTTACCTATTGAACATGGTGATTTTCCATGGCTATGTTAAATAACCAGATGGTATGTGATTTGATATGTGGTACTATGTGGTATGTGTGATATGAAACATCAAATAGCTGACGGTAAATATCATGTGATATTCCAAGAGATTTGTGATGATCCCATTATTGTAATAGGATGATTGGAACACCAAACAAGGGGAACATTTCTGATATGACATATCTCATTTATGATAACCCGATAACTCCAAACGATTATGTTTTGTGATTTTCATCATGATCGAAATCCCCTGAATAGCAGGATAATACATGATAATACCATCAACTAGAAGCATGTAGAATTATGATCTAGAAACTATGTCCACTTGTATTCAGGTTGTAGCGCTATTACATGCAAGGGTGTTTGTTCAAAATAATTTGAATGAATTGTGAATTTGGTTTGAAGTTTTGAAATTGAAACCAAATTAATCTATGAGATGTTTATGTAAAGTGTAAAGTAGGATCATGCACAAATCCATTTTGTGAAGTCTTACATTTGTTTTCACTGAGATTAGAGCCAAAATCCACTTGATTTTGAGGCGGCAGCTCAAATGGCTGCACAATTCGCGACACGCTCAGAGATGGGAAAAGAGTGGAGAGTGTTTTGATTTTATCGCGACTTTCCTATGACAAAAAAATGTTTCAATAATGTGTCTTAGCGATTGTGTGATGAAGATGTTAGACTGATGGAACCATGAGTTGTGACAGCAATTCCCATTTTGTTTCATGTCGTGTAGGCTCAGGCGTACATCGTTACTTCCACTTCTGGCCCAAGAATCTGTTCAACATGATTTCTTTTTTTCAGGATTGACATGTTCATGAAACATCAATGTCCCATGTTTTGTTCATGGCAGTTTTACTTGTTCTTTGCATGAAACGCAATGTGATAATGTGATTGCTCATGTTTGTGGTTTGACCTTGCGCTGGGCAAATGTGCAAGACATTCTCAGGGATGCAGTGGACAATGCTTGACTCTCATGACTCTAATGGCTGATCCTCGTGTTTATTGCTTTAAGAAACATCACCAAGTGGCTTGATTTCTTTAGACATTAGACACGTGAAATCACCAAAAATTGCTGGTTTCAACCACTGAGTTGCATTGCTCCAATCAGCACCGCCATCCGCCCATCCGCTGAGTCTTTGGCTCCTGCGGGAGGGAGGCGTGGTGCTGTACTTCACACGAGCGCCCTTTGGCAACGAGATGGGAGAGATGGAGCTTTCGACGACCAGTCGTCACCAACTCGTTGCTTCATGTTGTTTCAATGTGAAGTCATGGTCATCCATGATGACTGGATGATTTGAGGGCAGCACCATGACTTTGGAAACCTCCAGGTGGATATGATTTATAGTTATTATAGTTAAGAAGAGAAAGATATGGTTGATTTACTTCGGGTTGAGAGTGGATGGCACTGGCCCAGGTTGAATTTTCCTGTATGTTGAATTATGGTTCAACAATATAAATAATGATGGTTAATCATGAGAAATATGCTCGATTTTGTGATTCATAATTATAGTTGGCAAGTATTTTTCGCGATTCCCTACCTTTCTTGCGCTGCCAGGCACGCCCAAAGGGCTGTTTCTTGACCGAGGATCGGATCCTGGAGAATTCTGCGCCTGTTCCAAAGTAATGACCGAAGCCTTTCCTCTGCAGCCATCAGATACATTGGGCATCATTCACCACAACTTGTGCCCGATGAAAACAACCGAAAGAAAAAGGCCGGAAGATGCCAGCTCCGCTACTAAAGCTGGGCACAACGAAGGCCCCTCACCTGGGATTCGGGTTTTCCCGTACTCGCCAGTCCAATAGCAACTTTGTGGGCTACAGGCTGGCTGAAGTCCACCTGCTTGTCGTGATAGACAAAGTAGAGGTGGACGCTTCATCATTGATGGTTGATAATGGAACATATGGGAAGGATCAAGTCCTACACATGTTTGTTGCTACTCTCCACTGCCAGTGCTACGTGTCTGCCTGAAAGCTAATTCTTTCTCGGACTCTAAAAATGGCAAATCATGGCACATATTTGCTCAGGATGAGAGGCTTGTGCTACTTGAAAGATCATGTCAAATATACGGGACATGATCATTTTTTCTGGATACAAAATCTATTGCCATCCAATGGGAAATTCCAGGTTGGAAACCATGGAAATGGGGTTCCATTTTTTGAGACGATCTCAACACTATTTAGCCATGGAAAATGGCCCATTCATAGTGGATTTTCCCATTAAAAATGGTGATGTTCCATAGTTTGTTGGTTTACCAAAGGGTATTTACTGTATCTGATTGTTGTTTGGGACAGATATTGAAGTAAAGACGATAATCAGCGAGCACACACACACAATGATAGCTATTGCATATACACCTATTTGGATGAATAAAACAATTTCTTGCTGATTGGAAAAATATGGACAAGTATGGTGGGGGAAACCATCTATTCTCAGCAGTAAAACATGTTCAATATCAGGATGCTAAGATTAATGCAGTTGTTTGGATACTCTTCGGTAAACTATGGCAAAAGTCGAGCTGGAAGTTGGATATTTCAAACTTTAGATGATTTTATTTGCGCCATGATCAAAAGTTGGATTATATACCCATGGTGGGATGCTATATCACCGATAGTATTTTTTTGACACCCATTAGAAGGATATCCATTACTGGACGTATGACCATACTACCTCTACCTATGAATACCATGTTTTGATCACCGCAAATATGATTTAACTACTGAAAATCAATATTGTGATATGGGATAGGCAATCAAGGAAAAGGTTGGGGGATGCAACCAGTACTTGATTTCACATGCAACAAATTCCATTTCATCAGCAAACATGCGGTAAATTTTGAGTAATTAACATGGCAATAGACATCAATAGACCGTCCCCGCATGTGTAGATGATTTACTGTAAGAAGTTTGGTCTTCACACTAATAAACCATCCCCAATCAAAAATGAATCATCCCCCATCTTGACCAGGCATGAACTGTACAAAACATCCCCAAGTGGTGGTTGATTCTTGTGTCTTAACAGATGGTTGTGAGCGGTTGTGAGAACATGTGGATGTCCATGGTCATCACGGTCATGGTTTGGCAGGTTGATAGTTATTTTGCTGTTGCACTACATGAAAAGAACACATGATATCCTCATGGGGATTTAGTGTCATCATTAACCTACCCCCAGAGGTGACCATGTCAATCATAGGGCTTTACTCACGCGCGTATTCTCCACCAACAAGCACTGTCCAGGGCTTATTAACCTGCTATTGTTGGGGTGACCGAAGGGGGGCTCCAGCCACCAGTAGTGCTTCTCCAGCATTAAACTCATGCGCCTCTCTTACAATACCTCTGAGTTTTACCTTGCAATGCCAGCATTTGATGCCCCTCTTGAAGCTAGAAAAACACATCAACATGGAAAGCCCGAAATTCATAGTAGCAGTTTTGTTCACAATATCAGAATTTGTATCCATTTATAATCCACAATTTTATGAGGATCATTCCAATTGAAGCCTGTTACCGCTCCGAGGTTATCCGTGGAGGAAGGTGATGGTGTCATTCAGCGACTCTTCCAACGTGTCGAGGGGCTGTTCGACTTGCAGGCTCCAACGTTGCGGAGTTCAAGGGATCCCCGATGTGGTCCCTCTCAGTTATGTTTGTTGGTTTATAAACCTACCCTCTGGTTATGACTAACATAGCCATGGTATAGATGGCCCATAGAAATAGATGGCTTACCTATCAATAGCATGGTGATTTTCCATGGCTATGTTAAATAACCAGATGGTAATAGCATCCAATAACTATAGACCTACTTATATAGGTATAACATGCAATAACTATGTCCACAACTGTAGACCTACTACTATAAACTATAGAATAACATCCAATGACCATAGATATATCAGTTCTAGACCAACCTAGCTGTGGAATGCGGGATTGGAGCATGTGCAGCATGGGAAAGCGGGCAAACGCAGGCTTTGCAGCGAAGGCTGTTCTAGGATGTTTCACTTTGTGTAGATATTTTTATGTGTTGTTTTTTTTTTTATAAAATGCAAAAAATGTTGTTCCACTATATTGCTGTAGGTTGGATAATTTCCATTTTATAAACTTTTGGTGTGGTGGATTTCTCATTTCATAAGGGATTTCTGAAAAAAATGACGCCCCCCAGGTTCAGCTTTTGTACAGAAGGGGGATTTTTTGTGTACATATATGATATATCAACCTGTAGTCAATTAAACAAATAATAAAACATATTAGTATTACTATTATGTTTAATCATTATTGATTCATAATATATATATAATAGATGGATTCCTAATTTTGAATCCTATGTCACAACAGTCTGGGCGGGGAACTGTAAATCCTAACTAGTCATTGTATACATATATGCACAAGGAAATATGAATCACTATGTATCCAAACTACTAACAAATAAATACTAACTATTGAAAAAATCACTTATCAAAGCTAATATTGAAATTAAATCTCAACATAGAGAAATAACAAAATTATAGATGTAATAACTAATAATTTGATAATAGATTTATCCCAACTATAGATCATAACAGACGGTTACAATTTGGGGCACCCTAGTTATAGATTGGTTTATAAACCCCATTAACTATAGAATTATATATATATATATATCTACCATAAACAATATTTATTGAAGTTATAAACCAACTTAGCAAACTATGGGGCACCACATTGTATTAATCACATCAACATGACGACGTCACTGTGCAACTGGGCACCCTTGAGGTGATGCCTTTGGAGGAGCTCGTGGCAGGCCCTGACTGAAATGGTATCCGGTCAATGAGAAATAGTGTAGAGTCAATACATACTTGCAAACTTACATATACAATATATGTCTCATATGTATACATATATGTATATAAACATATACTGTATGTATATATATATATATATGCATATACATATATAGTCTGTATATATAATAGGTACATACATGTCACATCCACAATAAGATCTATCTGACCCTCAGACGTTGATCATGTGGGTTGCCCAGCAACCAGTTGGGGATGATTGAAAGTCGACCCATAAAAATGGTGATTTTGGGGATGGTTTCCTATTGGTGTTACCCTCTGGTTATTCAACATAGCCATGGAAAATGGCCCATAGAAATAGATGATTTTCCCAGCTAGAAACCACCATTTATGGTTGGGATTTTCCATGGCTATGTTAAATAACCAGATGGTAATTACCACATTTCCCTTTTTTGTTCTGTCCTGTCCAAAAAACAACACTTGGAAGAGACAAAACTGCTGAGAACATCTTTGCACAACAGGCGAATTTGTATCGCTGCCCAATTCTGGGCTGGATAGTTTTGAACTGTATCTAGGTGCACAATTTCAAAAACTTCGGAGGGGGAACCCACTAGATTTGCGAATTTTCTTATTGACCATCAATTTTTGGATATTCCAATCTTGATCGATGTCCGTGTTTATTGACCTAGGATTTGCAAGTCCAACAGGTTGTCCCTTCTTGAAACGCAAGGGGTGCCACTGTTCCTTGTTGGCTCCACCATGTTTTTGTTGGTGGATTCCAGTCCTGAAACTTCCAAAACATGGCAATGTTTAAATCCGGAAAATCATCTTCCAGGCGCTCTTTTCGGTCTCCCTTACCAGTTGGGAACCCGTAAACAATTGGACAAATTTTAAACGCCCTGAAATTCTGCAGGAATCCCTGACGTTTACATCTTTTTCACCATCCAAAATAGGTTGTCATCTTTCTGGGGAAAGGGCTGCCGGGCTGCCCCCGACCCCAGGGCATGCTTAAGTCAAAAGAAACTGATCTCAAAACACGTCAGGCTACTAATCATCTAATCCTATCTAATTCCATATAATACCATATAATCCCGTATAATACCATATAATTCCATATAATCCGATATAATTCCATAGAATCCCCTAACTTCTCCATGTTTTGACCATGTTCATGTCATCGGACGCAACGGGCTCAGCGGCTCCATCCATGTTTTCAGTGCAGGCTTTGTGCCGGGCCTGAGCGCTGAGCCGACGGATTGGGGCCTGGTGGCCCAGCGACCCATGGCCCAGCGAAGATTCCCCCCAGTTTGATGGGTATACAATATCAATTATAAGAGATAACCATTGAACCATGTATTAACTTATTTGATTTATCATGAAATAATGGATATTTCACATAATACAATATCAATTAACCATGTCATCAAATTATTTATCATGAAATGATGAACAAAACTATATATATAATATATATAAGAAATACTGTATACTGATTATACATTATCAATTATGAACTTATCAAGTATTGATGATATGATATGGTTATTTGTTACATAGCCATGGAAAGATCCACCATGATATTAATAGGTAAACCATCTATTTCTATGGGCCATCTATACCATGGCTATGTTAAATATCCAGAGGGTATATATAATACAAGTATATGAACTTGTATATAACCAAATGTGTATAAACATATGATATATTATGTTGTATATAGCCAAGTTCACTGATAGACGGATAGATGGCCAGTTAGGTAGAATTAGAATTAACTGTACACAGAGAGAGAGAGAGGTATGCATATCATATAATATATCATATAATATATCATATAATATATTATATAATATATCATATAATATATCATATAATATATCATATAATATATCATATAATATATCATATAATATATCATATATCATATATCATATTCTGTATATATATATATCAATATATATATATATCATTATATATCCACAGTTTCCAGAGATACGCATCCAAGTGCAGGAACAGGGTTTTCAGTAAGCAACGAGCTGACTCAGCTGGTGGTCAACTCCTTCGTTGTTCCCGATTTGAGCGATGATCCCCAAGGACTCCCCAAGTGATACCCTCCGGTCAACTGTCAAGTGTCACATCACAGAACTATGGAAAGATAGAACTATGGAAAGATCCAGCATTTTTATTGGGTAAATCAACTATTTCGTTGGCCATTTACCCTCTGGTAAACGTTTACATAACTATGGAAAGATCCACCATGCTATTGTGGGGTAAATCAACTATTTCGTTGGCCATTTTCAATAGCTAGGTCCATGTTTTTTGTTGACGATCCTCGAATGCCTAATATGTTTCACGAGGACCAGAGGGGTTGACGTGTCAACATGATGAGAAAATTATTCCCAGGTTCGTTACATCCTCAATGGGTTTTGAAATTTGTACAGATAAGATGCCAATTTCCTTCTTTGTGCCACATTCAGACTTGGGTAAACTGCCGGTATTGCTCATAGTACCGGATGGTTTAACAAAAGCAATGAATATGTACTTATAATCTGGGTAAAACAGTCATAAACTATCCCCCAAATCAGCATCAATTGGCGGTTTAAATAAACCATTCCCAGTCATGGGTGCTTTATGGCATTGTTTTGCCCACATCAATGAATATTCATCACTAACAATCACTATTAATCACTATTAATCCCACTTAGTATGAGTACCTTTAACTGTTAGGACTCCGCTTCGATGCCGTAGATGGTCACCTCCGTGCTGCGTCCACCAGGTGCCCGAATCATGCCGGACAAGACGTCAAGCTTTGCGAGCTTAGGGCGCTGGGCATGGGATTGTTGTAGAACAAATGCTGGGAATATATGATTCGCGATGGTAACATGTATATTTGGAAGGCATACCCATTTTATGGATATAAACAACTTACATGGTGTTTGATGGTTGAAGATCATTTTTTGGGTGGTCAAATAGACATTTAGATGCTAAAGCAACTGCATATGTGGGGCTAAAATCCAAACTTGAACGACGTGTTTTTCCGTGTTGTTGAGCATTTTATCAAGGTAATATCCAAGATCCATTCTGCGTAAGCAGTTCGATGGCCATGACCTCGCCTGTCACTATGGTATACCTACATCCTATCATCCTCAACCATCAAGAACCATGTCATTCCCCAATGATTGGACTACTGCGAGGTGTTTGGGTGTCATTTCCGGTGGCCAGCTGAGGCTGAAACATCGTTTTGTTGGGCAAGATCCCCATATTTGAGTGGAAACATACTATTTCTTTGTTCCCTCGGTCAATCTAACATAGCTATGGAAAACAAGCATGTTTCATAGGTCAATTTCATCCCATTATCCCAAATATATGTATATACTTAATTATATATATATCCAATTATTTTCAGTATATCCCATTCTAGAGCCATTAGCCATTGATTGGGAAGATTGTTTAAGTATCCGTAGTCATTTGCCATCAACCATGTCCAGCAAAACCATTCACCATTCACTATAGCAAGACTATCCCATGATCACATTTATCCTGGTTGGTGGTTTCAAACATTTTTCATTTTCCATAATATATGGGATGTCATCCTTCCCATTGACGAACTCATATTTTTCAAGATGGTAGGTATACCACCAAGCAGTATCAATGGGCCCTAGTCCCCTTACATAGCCCTTGCACCGTGGAACTTCATTTTCTGGCACCTGCCCACAATCCTCCCATCTGGGGGTTTCCAACATGGGAGTAGTATGGGAGTAGTATGGGAAGGTCCTTATAGTTATGGCCATTTACCAGTTATAACTGGTTATAAATGGGATTATACATTCTATAAATGGGGTTATAAGTACTTATAACTGATAAATGGCCATAACTGTATAGAATTCCACTAATCGAATGTCTTTGGAGTATGGGAATGTCCTTATAGATTCATATACAGTATATTCCACTAATCCAATTGACCCTCTGGTTATGACTAACATAGCCATGGTATAGATGGCCCTAATCGAAATAGATGGTGTACCTATTAAAACATGGTGGATCTTTCCATGGCGAACTGTAACAAATAACCAGATGGTAATCCAATTTACTGCCAAATTTACCGATTTACCTGGGATTTCCAGGTCCACTAATTCAAGTTAGCTACAATGTGAGGCCCCCCAGTTATAAGTTGGTTTATAAGCCCCAGTAACTATAGTTATAAGTACCATAAACCATAGTTATTGGAGTTATAAACCAACTTAGCTATCTTGGGGGCATCACATTGTACCTGGCTATTGATTTTCAAACTGCCAGATCCTTCGGCCCCATGTTCTTCAGCCGCTTACGGCTGCTGCGACGAAGACACCAGGCGGGACGGCTCCGTGTGGGAATTTGAGCAGCAAAAAGTGATGGTCAAACGATGAAAAGTTTGATTGAATATTACATATAGTATATATTCATCCAAGTGTGTAAACATACCATTATTATCATTATACTATACCATTCATTATCATCATACTATAATCAATGGGAGACCTTCAGGATCCTAAAATGGAGGTACGTTAGTACCATATTTTTGGCCATATGAATTGTGGGGATATTCCCTTACATAGGCCTTATATATGGTGTTGCATAGTATCATGTATTCATCCAAGTGTGTTGCGATTGAATCTCAAATATCAATGTGTTCATCTACTGGTTGGTGGTTTCGAACATTTTCTATGTTCCATAATCTATGGGATTCAATGGAATAATCCTTCCCAACTGACGAACTCATATTTTTCAGAGGGGTAGGTATACCACCAACCAGCAATGTATGCATCTAAGTGTGTTGAAATGTTAAATCTCATTTGCAATCGAGGTCTAAGCCACGTTCGCCATGAACTTGGTATGAATTTGACGGATCGTGCTTTTGAAATCATTTAAGCAGTGTTCAAAGCCCCCTTTCCAGTATCCAAATCTATCCAATATGTTGGGTATTACCACAATCCATGAACTGGGAACACAGTTCTTAACCAACCAGTATAAAGGGATTCGTGTTCTGAACACTGCTCATTTGGTGTCCTAAGGACGCAGAATGAACCACCCATTCAAGGTCCAGTCATAGCAGCCATCACTCTGAGACCCAGAAAATTTTCCACTGCAAGGACATTCGATTTTTGGCTGGTTACATCCGCGTTGTAGCAACCCCAACATAGAAAAACGTCGGAAAGCTGGATATAGGAGATACTCATGATCTACATCATCCTGGAAGCACTTTTCTATCATTTTTGGAGTTGTTATATAATATGTTTATACGTATGGACGTTTCCTAAGTCATAGTGGTATCCCAAATCATCCAAAATCAGAGCATTTTAGTATTGAAACCCATGGTTTTGGGGTACCGCTATTTTAGGAAACCACAATATACATATATATATATATATGATAATTATAATATATATATATATATATACACATTATAATGTATATTATATATATATACACATACACAATTATTTATATATATACATATATTATACATACACACACTCTCATGACATCCCCAATGATAACCGTCGACTGGGCCGCACCAGGGCCATGAACAAGCCACCGGTTTCGTCTCCTTAGGGCCTTGAGTCGCCATGAATCGGCCATGTTTCACCCAGACGGGCGGAGAAAGATATTTGATGTGGGGCAGTGGGAGATTGTCAGTTTGAATTACGTCGTGACCTCACTGTTACCTCACTGGAAATCAGTGTTAATGGCTTTATTTCAGGTTATTTCAGGTCCAATCAACCGTCCTTTCTTGCTGGGAGGGGGCCAGCCAAGGGAAGCTCAGTGGCTTTAGGTGAGTGAAAATTACGATATTTTACCCAGCAATATAAGTGGGGCTTCCAACATCTTTGGCAGCTTTGACTCATTGATCGCCGGTTTGGGTCAAGGTGTGTCACCCAGCAGTGATTCATGTCAGACAGCAGACTCCACACATCATCATACATCCTATGCACATGTGCAAAGATGATTTTCCTCCATAAGTTCGGACTCTGATACATCCGACTTTGGAGATGGATACGTTCTAGAAGTTTGCCACTAAAGATTACAGCTAAGCCAGCAGGACATTTGAAAACTGAAAACTGGGCCAGTTGATCAGCAAAAGTGTGGATATATGTGGATATATCCAACAATCATACGGGAAATCAACTAAGCTCAGTATGACTTCTGTGGTGCCAAAAATATGACAGGTCCACATAGGCCGTAGGCCCAATCGGCTCTCATCGCCGCTGACGACCAAATGGGTCATGCGAGGTGCGTGCGGTGCGTCCGGCATGGGGATGATAAAAGTGAAAGACAACAATCCCCAAAATATAGATGTACCTATACATAATATATACTGTATATATATATATATAGACAAGTGAAATTTCCCACCAAAATAGTGGTCAGTTGTTTTTTGTATGTGGTTGGATTGATGAACAATGCTTACTTGGTGACTTGAGTGCGATGGAGTATGTTCACTCCGATTCTGATGCTTTGTCCCATTTTTTGTTGGTTAAATCTATATGTTTTTATCAGTTTGGTATTCATCAGAAAGGCTTAACGCCAATCCCTCATTTTCACATAGTTTCAGATGTTGTTTGGCTTTTATTGTTTGTGTGCAAAAAAAAAAGTACAGAAACCCGTGCAGATGGTATTTTTGAGCATTGCTAGCAGTTTTTGATTTAACTATTGGTCGATTTAACCAGCTAAGACAACTACTGTGTGTTTTAATTCTACTTGGTGGCTCATCCCACGAACCGTAAGTGGGTTAGTTCACCCTAGTTATAAGTGGATTAACCCTACTTATCCCATGTAAATCACTGGGGTTATAACCCACTTACTGGTGCTTTGTGCTGGTTCCCTGTGTCGGTGACTGGGGCAGATTTGCTCAGATGATCCAGGTTGGAGTACCTGGACCCCCGTTGGCCAGGCGAATAGGTTGGGAAGAGGATAACATGCGAAGTCAACAACTTGGAGTAGAAACATAGTGTACATTGATGTACCTTGATGTACCTTGATGTACCTTGATGTACCTTGATGTACCCTTGATGTACCTTGATGTACCTTGATACCTTGATACCTTGATGTACCTTGATACCTTGATGTACCTTGATGTACCTTGATGTACCTTGATGTACCCTTGATGTACCTTGATGTACCTTGATGTACCTTGATGTACCTTGATGTACCTTGATGTACCTTGAAGTACCTTGATGTACCTTGATGTACCTTGATGTACCTTGATGTACCTTGATGTACCTTGATGTACCTTGATGTACCTTGATGTACCTTGATGTACCTTGATGTACCTTGATGTACCTTGATGTACCTTGATGTACCTTGATGTACCTTGATGTACCTTGATGTACCTTGATGTACCTTGATGTACCTTGATGTACCTTGATGTACCTTGATGGACCTTGATGTACCTTGATGTACCTTGATGTACCTTGATGTACTTTGAAGTACCTTGATGTACCTTGATGTACCTTGATACCTTGACGTACCTTGATACCTTGATGTACCTTGATGTACATTGAAGTACCTTGATGTACCTTGATGTACCTTGATGTACCTTGATGTACCTTGATGTACCTTGATGTACCTTGATGTACCTTGATGTACCTTGATGTACTTTGATGTACCTTGATGTACCTTGATGTACATTGAAGTACCTTGAAGTACCTTGATGTACCTTGATGTACCTTGACGTACCTTGATGTACCTTGATGTACCTTGATGTACCTTGATGTACATTGAAGTACCTTGATGTACCTTGATGTACCTTGATGTACCTTGATGTACCTTGATGTACCTTGATGTACCTTGATGTACCCTTGATGTACCTTGATGTACCTTGATGTACCTTGATGTACCTTGATGTACCTTGATGTACCTTGATGTACCTTGATGTACCTTGATGTACCTTGATACCTTGATGTACCTTGATGTACCTTGATGTACCTTGATGTACCTTGAAGTACCTTGATGTACCTTGATGTACCTTGATGTACCTTGATGTACCTTGATGTACCTTGATGTACCTTGATGTACCTTGATGTACCTTGATGTACCTTGATGTACCTTGATGTACCTTGATGTACCTTGATGTACCTTGATGTACCTTGATGTACCTTGAAGTACCTTGATGTACCTTGATGTACCTTGATGTACCTTGATGTACCTTGATGTACCTTGATGTACCCTTGATACCTTGATACCTTGATGTACCTTGATGTACCTTGATGTACCTTGATGTACCTTGATGTACCTTGATGTACCCTTGATGTACCTTGATGTACCTTGATGTACCTTGATGTACCTTGATGTACCTTGATGTACCTTGATGTACCTTGATGTACCTTGATGTACCTTGATGTACCTTGATGTACCTTGATGTACCTTGATGTACCTTGATGTACCTTGAAGTACCTTGATGTACCTTGATGTACCTTGATGTACCTTGATGTACCTTGAAGTACCTTGATGTACCTTGATGTACCTTGATGTACCTTGATGTACCTTGATGTACCTTGATGTACCTTGATGTACCTTGATGTACCTTGATGTACCTTGATGTACCTTGATGTACCTTGATGTACCTTGATGTACCTTGATGTACCTTGATGTACCTTGATACCTTGATGTACCTTGATGTACCTTGATGTACCTTGATGTACCTTGATGTACCTTGATGTACCTTGATGTACCTTGATGTACCTTGATGTACCTTGATGTACCTTGATGTACCTTGATGTACATGTGATGTACCTTGATGTACCTTGATGTACCTTGATGTACCTTGATGTACCTTGATGTACCTTGATGTACCTTGATGTACCTTGTTTCTGTGGGTGATGTGATTCCAGAGGGACTATGTATAATGTTATTTTTGGATTTGCTTGGTCATAATGCTTACAGCATATATTACTAAAGCTGCTATTGCTATTATTGTTGTCCTCATATGTCTTGATTGTTTGTGTGTTGTTAATTATCATCGCTATTGTGATTATCATTAACATTGTTGAATATTGATTATTTACTATATTTTACTATAGTTTATATATCTATATCTCTATATATATATGTTATTTTGTTGGCATGTTTTTCTTATCCGTTCTTACACAACTAGCAATGGCTCTAACATCACATTTGGATCTTATAGCCTTCGTCACCCTGAAGATTTCGGCTTTCAGCCAGATGGCGCTTCTGTGCCTTATATGATCATTTGCCAAAAATCGTTGACAGAAGTTTTGTACAGAGTAATGGCAACTATAGTTAGTGTGAATCTATTTGCCAACTAGTTGTTGATAATTAATGTGAATCTAGTGACAGTGGTCTTTCCTCTTCGTTATGCACAGCGTTGATATGGCATAGATGCCACGCGTTCAACGAAATCTATGCTTCTTCCGCTCACTGCCTAAAGGATCATGACAAAATCTGCTGATTTAGTCCCGATACTGTGATGGAGAAGAAACCCACAACAAACTCAACGTTAGTCTACCATGTTGGTGTGTGTTTTAACACTGACCATTAAAGCACCCACCCATTTTGGGACTGGGTAAACCCCGGGGTTGATGGGTATCTAAGATCAACCATACATCAATCCATTGCTGTAGCTATGTCGCAAATATGTATATATGATACAACGTATTATCTAGTTAGATTTGTAGAGTAGTTATATGTAATTCTTATATATACTTGTATATAAGAAATATCCATTGGGTTTTCGAAGATCGACCATATATCATGCATTTTTCTTTGGCGTGTGTGTACAATGATATTTGTCTACATATATCTCAATCAGTCAGTATTATCAATGTTATGGGCTATATATCTCAATATAATCCATACATTTTCTGGTTACATCATCATTATCCCAGTGACACATATATTATATATACATACAATTGTATGATTATTATTACTATATATATATATATATATACAACTGTTATATATATATATATATCAAGCATGTCCCATCTCATATCCCATACAATTGTCACTTTTCGATGCACATTCCTCATCGTTCGCCTTGGAAGGTTCACATCGAAGCGTTTCGAGTTTCGAGGAGCTGCCAGCGTTGAAAGCACACGTGGAAGCTCGGAGATCGAGGGAATTCTGTGGGATGGGTCCCGGGTGGAGCTGATGTCATCGGGGTTTCATGGGATTTTTCATCGAAATCGACCCGGCCTGGTTATGACATTCACAGTTCGCCATGGTTTTTCGATGGCCCTAATCGAAATAGATGATTTTCCCAGCGAACTAAACCTCCATTTATGTATTTTGGATTTTCCATGGCGAAGTGTTAGTCATAACCATATAGTTTATGGATTTCACCTGGGATTTATTGGAATGCCCGGTTCGTAAACTTTGTGGCTTCAAAATCTGGGGGAAGCTCTTGGAAATGATCTAGTCTCTGGAGGGCTTTGAGCAGCCGAGCGGGGAGTTATCCATTGATTCCATGGGTTTTTGGAAAAGGGTGACCGAAAAATACAGAAAATGGATGATGGAGGTTCAGACAAAGCCAAAGCCACATGTCAGTTTCATTCTTTAAATCAGGTTCAATGAATGTACCCTCTGGTAAACTAACATAACTATGGAAAATCACATTTTTTTAATGGGAAAACTCACTATAAATGGCCATTTTCAATAGCTATGTTAAATTACCAGAGGGTATATAGACTAAAATTCAACCAAAATCAATCTTTGCCCAGGATTGGTCAAGCATAAGATTATAATTAAGCATAAAAAACTCCTTGTTTACCAATAGGCAGCCTTTCAATTTCACAATTTGTCACTCTTGGCTGGTGACATACTGTGTTCTCATTATGCTCTGCTTTTTTGAATGGCTATCTTGGAGTATCTCCTACTTGGAGAAACCTCTGACAAAGCCAGATGCATATACAATTATAAACAATTATATATATATATACATATAGTTATCCTAAAGTAGAATACGTTGTTTTCATCCAAACACTCCTCACTAAAATGTGTTTGTTTTTCAAAGTTCCATCTTCTATCTGCTCCCGGGTGATTATATAACATAGATATGTTTACAATTCCTTTCTCCTTATTCCATATTTTCGATTAATTAGTGTAAAAAACCCATTGAGATGATGTAATCTCCCATGATCGCCCCCAATGGCAATCTAAACATTCTGTGTGTCATGGCATTGGTCGAAATTATGGAGCATAAGAAACTACAGATTGGCTCCAGTTCTAATGTACACTGATATTTTTGCCGCAACCCCAAAAAAAGATGCCGGACACTTGGAATCCTTGAAATTATGGGCAACACATTATCAAAATAGCATCCTGGAAATACGGTGCGGCATCTTTTTGGGGCTTCCTACCTCAAATAACACACTCTACTCACCCCCAAAAAAGATAGACAAGTAAATTCTGATCTGGGGGTTTCCTGAAATTCGGGATCCCCCTAGTTATCATCCATTTATAGATGGATTGCCCGGATTGTCCATTATAAACCAACCATTTTTGGGCATTTCATGGAACATCCTTTGAAAAGATGGATGATCGCTAGGGGTAACCCCCATGGAAAGCAAGCTGCCCAGGACGAGCTCCGAAAGGCCATCGATTCCATGAACACGGCATCTTGGCCAATCATGTAAGCGTTGGGAAATCCTTTAAAAACACATCAGAGCTTGGGGGAAACATAGGGAAACGTTGGTTGGTTTCATGTTGATGTGAAAGGTTTTACCAATTGGAATCTAAGAATGTGGGGTCGCAAAGAAATTGGTGGCCACACATCCTCACAAGGCGGTGCTCCCAAGTATTAAAGCGGTTCATAAACCTCGTCAACTATGGTTGCATCTGCCATAGACCAAATAAACCAAATTATCTAACTATGGCGCCCCACATTGCAGATTCAGCTCGAGATCCAATCATGTTGTCAACTTTGAAAGCACACAGGAACCATCCTTGACCCGACATCAACTTCACAGGGAAAATGAGACCTGCCACGGCAGGAAAGTGACAGTCACCAGGAAAAAATCGATTGTTGTTGGCTGTGGCATTTCTTGATCCCAAACAAGTAGATGATACCCTCTGGTTATGACTAACATAGCCATGGTATAGATGGCCTATAGAAATAGATGGTTTACCTGAGTTTACCTATTAAACATGGCTATGTTAAATAACCAGATGATAAGTTCAATTTCGATTTACCAGTGCAATGGAGATACATTGGTTTGGTGCGGCAAATTTGGAGGCTCAAAGGCTGAAAGCAAAAACAATCATCTAATGTCTACCTTCCTTCACAGTCGGAAAAATTGGATGCAACCCCCAAAAAAAGATAGAACTGAAACTTAGATGGCTTAAGTTCTATAGAAGATGTCATCTATAAGTTTATAGAGCAACCCCTTCGTTATGTATTTTTTTTGGGGGGGGTTGCTCTATACCCAGCATAAGTCGGATGTCATGTTGCGAAGATGGCTCCGTTGTTGCCGTGTTCATTTTAGCCCCCTTTTTTGGTCAAGTGATTGATTAATATGTGGTTATATTGCCGATATCTTGGAGATCATGTTTTTTTATTCAGCAGAAAGCATCAACCAACAGATCAAAACTAACATCGGTTGATCATTATACGGGGTTACAATATCATCAACAGATATTAGTTATATATATATATATTAAATAATTTATAAGACCTATATATCATTGTATTGGGACTAATATCTATTATATGTATGTTGGTTGGAGATGATCATAATCTATCAGAAATCCCGTGAAAAAAACACCATATCGAGGAATGGGCCCGGGGACGAGATGCAATGGTCCGGGTGCCCGACGTCGTTCACGTCAAAGCACCAGCGATTCTGAAGAAGGCATGCAGCAGTGGTTTTAATATATGGTGTTTAAAATTTACATACTGTAACTGTTCAATGTTTAGTTGATTATATATTTATATATTATTTATGTTACAATATATATATATATACATGATATATATATATACATTATATATATATATATACATTATATATATATATACATTATATATATATACGCACCCCCATGTAATTGACAAAAAACAAACATGTTGAGTTGGCTATCCCATGAAAATTGATCAAAGTTGGATATCCCATGTTTGTTTTTTTGATATCCCCATGATGTGTGTAAACTCTAATCTGGATTGGCTGGGATATTATCCCAGCTAAACATGGAATTGGATATCCCATGTTTGGTGATGTTTCTTAGACATTCTCATGATTTGCAGACAGTAAAATGTTGCTCACACACCTGGACCCTATCACTATCGGTATGTGTCAGTGATATATGTTTTTTTTCCTTGAACACTTCCACTGGTTCAAATATGAATGACATAGGAATGACTATAGGTCATTAATGCTTCCATGGAACTATAGTGAGTTTACCTTCCATTGGTTCATTAATGAGTTAATGACTTGGCAAACAAAGACCCCAGGAGCGGAACTATGACAAAGTACACTCGTCGGGACCCAGTTGAGCTTCAACTGCTGGAGCCTCCCAAGAAAACCAGTTTGATCAGCACACCCTGGAGATTTTTGTCGCACATTGAATTTTTCGATAGTTACCCTCTATGGGAAAATCACCATTTTTAATGGGAAAATCCACTATAAATGGTCATTTTCAATAGCTATGTTAAATTACCAGAGGGTAGTCTTTTTCTGGATGGTTTCTGGACTGGTTATGGCATAGATGAGCCTTCGAAAGTTTTTTTTGGCATCCATAGCTACAATTTATCGAAGCAACGTTGGTTCCGTTGGTTTGCAGGGCGCCGTAGAGGTGCCGATGAAGTTCGACACCTACCCTCTGGTAATTTAACATAGCTATTGAAAATTGCTATTTATAGTGGATTTTCCCATTAAATATGGTGATTTTCCATAGTTATGTTAGTTTACCAGAGGGTACCAATTAGAAATTCCAACAGCAAACTCACTTTCCAATGGGCATTGGATCACCAGAGGATACACCCAGTTTTTGTTGGTTGCATCTTAGACTTCGAGGGCATCATATTTTGAGCCCCACCCCCACCCTCCTGGTTTCGAAGCGCTGAGGTTGAAGGAAGATCTGGACTCGAACTGGAAAGCAAGGCATGATGCGTTTCTTGGCAGGACCTGCTGACTAGATCTGACCATCGGACCTCTTATAGCTCCGATGGTCTAAGATCATGCGGAATCATGCTGACACAGGGAGATGTGGTTCATGGATGTTCATCTGGATGTGTTCAAGACCAGTGGAACCCAATATTCGAAAGGAAGATCCATGGCATTCCATGGCATTCCATGAAAAAATCCATGGCATTCCATGGCATTCCATGGCATTCCATGCCTATTTTGGACGTGACCCATAGACATATTTCAACCCGGAGCTCCCAGGTTGGAAGCGGCGTGCACACGCTTGCGAGACAGCTTGGATAAGGTTGGCGAGGAGATCCAGATCCGTGGTGCGCTTGGTCAACGAACAAAGGGCGAATCCACCACTTTCCCCTGGGACATGATCTACAAACGCGAGATTTTCCAATATAAAAGCTGGTTGGTGGTTTGGAACATGTTTTTCCCCATTCAGTTGGGAATCATAGTCCCAACTGACGAAGTCATATTTTTCGCATGGGTAGGTATACCACCCACCAGAAAGTCTCCTGGCTTTGTAACTCGCAAAACGAAACAGAGACACCAAGAAATATCAATTCTTCGGGGCTCAGCGTTCACCACACTAATATTTTTGTTTGGATGATCAATGGATTGTTTTAAGGGAAAATTGAAACCGGAAAGCCCCATATTTCATGGGAAAATCTATGGTTTCCTGTAGATGTCCCCTTAAACCAATCCATTGAGATGATGGTCTAGGAATACCCGGTATGACCATTTTTCGAAGCCACAAAGATTCATGGATTTTGGACCTTAATATGAGGTGCCGACCTTGGCATGTTTTTGGCTTAGGACATGTTCTGATTTCTTTAGAGCAAACAGTGACAACGAGGACAATCCACTGCAACAACTTGTTGATGTCATGTTTTTATATTTAAAAAATAAGATATGTGTCATTTTTGACCCTAGCTGCCATAGAAAATAGAACATAGCGATTGTCCAGGTCCCTCAGTCCTCCAACAATGAAGCAATTAAACTGAAGATTGAAACGATAAAACACAAGTTCTATCGTTGGAAATTTATAAGACTTGGAGAATTGCTGGTTGGTGGTCCGAGTTGGCTTAGAAGAAACTGATTTCCAAGTCCAACATAGGCTATTTTTCAGCAGTCAGGTTGATTTTTCTGCCTCCTTCCTGATATATCGAATTGACGGAAGATATACAGGAAAACCCCATTTTCGAGAGGTAAGCAACGCATGATTTCCTGCAACTTGTTCCGTACATCAATCCATTCATCCCAAAAAAAGGTGATATCAATGGGAATTTCAGGATCCTAAAATGGAGGTACTGTACCATATAAGATCATATTTTGTTGGGATATTCCCTGAAATTTAGGCCTTATATAGGCCTTATATATGGTAGGTACCTCCAATCAATCGGTTCCTGAGTCATGGCCAGTGATGATATCACATCAACCCCCATTGGAAAGGGCATGTTTGGAGGATCATCCCACTTCGAAACTGGCTTGTTAGATACTTGGTGGCGAACTACCCACGAATCGTAAGTGGGTTATAACCCCAGTGATTTACATGGGATTTTTGTAGGGTTAATCCACTGAAATCACTGGGGTGAACTAACCCACTTACGATTCGTGGGATGAGCCACCAAGTATCTAACAGAATCTAACGACCCTGCTTCATCAGTTGGCCCAGTGACAAAATCTAATCTTAGCCCTCTTGAAATCTACCGTATAGCGATGGAAAATGGCTGGTTTGTAGATGATTTACCAATCAAATACTGAGCCATTTCCATAGCTATGATAGATTACCAGAGGATGCTAAGTGGGATGACCCTCCAAGTGGTCTCGAAGCACACCGTGACCCAACAGCGGAGGACCGCACTCTCTGTCGTCACCTCAGTAATGGCTCAGCTGCTGCTGATTTCAATATTTCAATATGATTTTTTCATGAGGAATCCCCAAGTCACCATGGATGTCAATACTAATAGTCTAGTTTGGGATGCTTTGGGGGTATCCCGTTTCGTTAGGAAACCTCCTTATAACGTATATGAATGTTGTGTTGAACACCACCTTAGTTGAGATGATATGTTTGAAAAAAAATGTGTTTTTTGTGCGCTGCTCGACACGTAGCCAGCATGATGATAAGTTTTGGAAGGCCACAGGACACAGTTTTGAGACCCTGAGACCTGTCATCCGTTGAATTTGTTTGGTTAAAAAAGGGGACTCAATGTCATCCACTGGTTGGTGGTTTCAAACATGACATTTATTTTCCATTCAGTTGGGAATAATCATCCCAACTGACTTTCATATTTTTCAGAGGGTTGAAACCACCAACCAGTCCAATTGTTTATATCGAGATTACATTTGCATCGGAAAAAAAAAAACATAAGACGGGGCAATAAAACGGTGAACTGAACAACAAACCATGTTTCCTCATCTACCTAATGTGACCAGTAATCCACCAAATCACATTATGTCCATCAATGTTCTATTCTCCCAATTGACACGATTTTTATTTAATACTTCAGTTCTAATTTGACTATATGTGACTCTTTGCTCAGAGTTCCTAAGTCATGCCACATATGTCCGCAGATGTCCGCAGCTGTTGCTGTATCTGGGGGTAAAGATATGTTTCCATATGTGAAATGTTCTTAAGTGATCTTAAGTGTAGGATTTCAATTACTGTTGATCCATTGATCCCTGTTCCTAGTGACAATCTCTTGGCACTCATGAAATGTGTAACAATGCATAGAATGCACCCAGGGAAGCCTTGGTCCCGTGTCGCTTTGTGAACCGGCCTGTCCCGACATTGTCAGCGTCAAACTACAATGGCAGAGACCTGCCTCATCAACATCACCATCATCATCAACATCATCAACATCAACATTAAAATATATTATTATCCTACTCCCCCCAAACTGTTTGGGGTCTCTTTCCGGGATTTTTTTGTAAATACGTAAATCAAATATAAATCAACTATTCACTATAAACAACAACTTTCAATAGCAAACGGTTAAAATACCAGAGGGTAGTCGTCATGGCCATCGACGACTGAGGTTCTGAAGCTCAATCCAGTTCTACCGAGGGGCTGCCTGCGCTCTTCCTGAAACGCTTCAAGGAGAAGTGTTTTTTTTTCCGCTTGGAGGTTGTCCCCAAGAACTTTTTGAGGAAAAAACATGGGGATGTAAGATGAAATTAACATGATGTAACCAACAAACATGATGCTTCCAAAGGGATTTGATGGGATTTTTATCGGGGATATACTGGGATACATAAGCAACCACATGATACTTGGGTGTGCCTGAAAACGGGATATATCCCCAAACATGGCAACTTTGATGGGACATATGATGATAAACCATGAGAATTGGGGGTGCCCTATATTTTATGATCTTCTATGTGGGTTTGCCACAACGTCTTGATTCATAACATGTTCATGATCAAATACAATGATTTGGTCATTTTATTAAAGTGTATGTTGGTTGTTATGCTACTCGGGGAACATGGGGGACTCCAAGTTATGATCCTTAAGTTATGGTTCAGTGTTCCTTGGGTCCCTTGGGGTCTAGGGGACGGACAGCCAATTATAGATGGTTGATAAACCCAAGTGAAAATCTGATATCCATAAAAACCATTCAACTATAAATCCATTATGTATCCATCATAAATCCTAAACCCAAATGCAACTCTATGTTCAACTTTAAATCCATGATATATCCATCATATTATCATAAACATTCATAAACCCATGCAACTGCAAGTTGCTTCAACGGGGGGTTCTTCTTGTAGCAACGGGATTCCGGGATGATAATTACGTTGGATCCTCCCATCGCCAGGACCCCATGCGCTTCACCAAATTTCAAGAAGGCCATGAATTTGTTCCTGAACAGGATCTGAAGTGTCTGAAATGTTGAAGTGGCTGGGATATACCCTCTGGTTATGTCAAAATAGCTATTGAAAATGGCCCATAAAAATAGTGGATTTACCCATGAAGAATGGTGATTTTCCATAGCTACGTTAGTTTACCAGAGGGTACTGTGGCCATCTGTAGCCCCCTTTTTTAGTGCGAAATCGTGATAACATAAATATGGGTTTAAATTTGCATTGTGGATAGCACCTCTGTCTTGTTTTTTTTGGGGGGGGTTAAACCTGCATACGACCTTACGTTGAACATCCAATTTCACTTCTTCAGCCCAGATTTTGAATGGTTAATATTGGTTGATATTTCAATATATATATATATATACACATATACTTATGTTTTTGATGAATTCCTCCACAGTCAACTTGTTGTACATTTCCAATGGACAACGCTTTATATAGATAATTAGCTCTCTGAAATTTTGCATGGACACTGGGGGGGGGGTTAAGTTTGCAACCTGTGTTCTCATTCCAACCCAAACTTCTAATTAGTTCTATTTCGCAGTCTCGCTTCTGTCCAGATTTTCATGGTTGCCTTCCATTTCAACCTCACTTGGTATATGTATTTCAAAATGGGCCTGGCCTTCTGCAAAGCGCCACCGGGCGCCCTGCGCTTCCCCTTGGTTGTTTTGAGGCAAAATCCATGGCTGCACTCCCAAGTTCGACAATGATGAGCAGCTTGGATGTCTTGGATGTCAAGGTTCGTGGGAGAACATCCCAACAAATTCCAGATCTGGAAACATGGGATATACCCTCTGGTTATTTAACATAGCCATGGGAAATGGCCCATTTATAGAGGTTTACCTATTAAAAATGGTGATTTTCCATGGCTATGTTACATAACCAGATGGTATGTATAATATGTATATATATATATATATATACCCTATGGATCCAAGTACCTTCTGGGGAAGTGTTTGGGGTATGATTTGGGCGGTTAAGTACCTTCTCAGGAGGTGTTTGGATCCATAGGGATATATATATATATATGGGATATGAGTGCAATACGATTGTGATAGAAATAAGTTCGAGACAAACCAGACAGACATCTTTGGTCAAAATCAGGACTGATTCACCAACAGCCAAATTTAAGATTGCTTTAACTACACATCCCATCATCCACTGTGGCACAAAACACATGGGAGGGACCTTGCTATTTTTTTGGTAGTGGTTAAATCCTATTTCTACTCGGCTCCTTCTTTTTTTTCTGCTAACTCATCATTTTTAGTTGTGAAATCATGTGAAATCCGTCCATTTTCTCCTAAACCTGGAGATTGGTCAAAGAATCCATTCGAGGTAACAACAGCTCGTTATGATGATGATTGTTTGTTTTTTTTTGTTTAATACGTATGATTCCCATCATATCATCCATCATATCATCCATGATTTTCCCGTGAAAAAACAAATGAATAAAAACCCATGACTTGCATCCCTATGGTTTCTTGTTGATAAAAACATCAATTTCCCCAACGTAAAGAAACCCATATCATCCATGATTATCCATGATTTTCCCGTGAAAAAACAACAACACAAACACAACTTTTCGATGATTCATATCATATCATCCATCATATCACCCATGGATTTTCCCGTTTATCAGCCATGACTTTCCAATGCGCCGAAGCGGTTGCTCCTTTAGCGGTCAATCCGAGGTGCCTGTGTCCCACTGGACACGAGGAGTTGGGTTGCCAGGATGCCACGGATTCCTCCAGTGGCGCCCTTGGCCTGGCCCGACGCAATGGTTGAGGGAGTTATGGTGACTTTTCATGGGGCCATTATTAAGGGGATTTCTCAATGGTAACCTTTAATTGATGGTGATTCTATATGAATGGTAACTGAATGGTGTTTTTTTATGGTTATGGGATCTAGCCGGCCTGGTAAACTGTCACATAACTATGGAAAATCTCCATCCACGTTTTCTATGGCAATTGATGGTGATTCTATGGGGATTGATGATTTACTGTGAGTTTGTTGCGTTTTTTGAGCTTTGAGGCTCAGAGGTTTGATTCAAAAATACCTTGATTGGCGAAGATAGGGAGTTATATACTAGCTAATTTAGTATCTGTATTGGGGAATTCAAGCCAAACCTCGGAATTCAAAAAATCAAATAAACAGGAATTGTGGTTTAAGCACCAATCATGGGAGCAAACCAAAGACAGTAGCACAATCTAATCAACAACATATCCTTGACCAACATTTTGTGGCAAGAAGAACTCCAAAAAATACACATTATATGATGGTGTGATCTGGAACATGCTTCTAAACCATTGGATTTTTCCAGTTTTAAGACAACCCCTGTTCTTCTCAGGCACCATTTCCATGCAAAAAGTCGCGGAAATTGTCTGAGGCTTTGAACTGAAGTGCAGCAACATTCTGAATATGCAAATCCCTTCCTCCAATGTGCTGGATTTCTTCAAGTCCTGGACACCCAGTGCGGAGCTGTTGGTTGTCGGTCAAGGATGTCTTCCGAAATTAGTGATAGCTTCGACTTGAAGCTAAACACATGGATCCAATTTTTGCCCTACTTACAATAGACTTAGACTTATCAGGATGAACAAAAACTATATAGAATATCTCAAGATATCTCACGATGTCAACTCCTTTGGTAATTTGGTAACTTGGAAGATGACCCACCCAGGTCGAGAGGTGCCTGCAACATGTCCAATCACGACGAGCTCCTGAAGTTTCTTGGGAGAAAACTGCAAACTCGCGAAGGGGAAAGAATGTGAGGTTGTTTGTCATGTTTTGTGCATAAAAAATGATGATTGAATATCATTGAATGGGGTTTTAATATAATTTTAATGGGATGTTATCAGATTTCAACAGGAAGATCATGGGGGATATGACCATACTTTTGTCATGTGGCTGTGTTTGCAAATACTTCTAAATGATTCTCATTATGGCTATTTTGATAGGGACAAGAATGAATTATCCAATGGATTTAGGGGGTACACGATCAAAGAAAGCCATGTTTTGTCCAATGGGAGATCTTCAGGATCCTAAAATGGAGGTACGTACCATATATAAGGCCTATGTGAGGCCTATGTAAGGGAATATACCCCCAAAATATGGCCAAAAATATTGTACTAACGTACCTCCAATTTAGGATCCTGAAGATTCCCATTGATTTGTCCATGTTTAAAGAAATACTCTCCGGTAATTCCTCCCAAGGCTATGGCAGCTATGGAAAGAAAAAACATAGGGAAGACTCCCCGCAATGAAGAAAACATAGGGAATACCATGAGACTGAGAAGCAATCGCGGGTCGCTTGCTCCATGTTTGTTTGTCAAAACTGGGGATAGCTGCAATTTCACAGTTTGCCATGGAAGCTATAGGCCCGCTTCATTTGATGATCTACCTTTTCAAAATAATGATTTTTCATTGCTATGTTAAAGTAGGGGAGGGTAGACTTGCCAGCAACATGGACCATGTTCATATCATGTTTGATTCTGATGGATCTGATGAACTCATGATATCCATCAAATATGGAGAGATGATTCATGGAATTCGATGGAATATGTCATTAGTTTGCCAACAGTATGGAGAGCAAAAACAAGACGCTATTTGGGTGGTATTATCCAACACTAATTTGGGTGTGTAGTTCACCAGGAGGTACCCCATTTTCAGGCAACCCCCATGGCCGGAATCAGAGGAGCCCTTGTGGCTGTGACGTTCTAAGAAGGGTATCACGATGTTTTTGTTGGGGGGTATGTCGTGCTATTTTCAAAACATGGTATACGGAAGTATACGGAGTATATATATATATATTATATATATATTAATATTATATTACATTATATTATATTATATTATATCATATTATATTATAATATATATATACAGTATATTATATACTATGTGTATACATATATATATATATGTGGGTTATGGATTTTGGTAATCCTATCATCATTGGGAATTCCATTTTAATGGATATATAATATGTATTTATATAGTATGTATCCCTACTAACGGATTGACTACCATCTCTCAAAGGGTACTGTATATAGTCCATCTTTTGACTCGACTCTCGCATGAACTCAGAGGTCCATAATGACACAGCCCCGGACTCTGGTGGTGGGGTCAGTGCATTTGAAACTATGGTGACTGAATATCGTGAAGGTCAAGAGGAGACCAGGGCCAACAATCGGAGCGCCCCAAGAGTTGGTATACGGTGAGAGCATGCATATGCACATAATTGTAGTGTCGCAAAATTTAACCCAAAGGGAAGTGGGTATCAAAACAGAATAGGAAGGGTGAGGAATCGCACGGCGTGACCAGATTTGCAACTGCCAAAGTAGGCAACCTCCTTTTTTTTTTAAGGGGGGAGGGCGGGGGGTTTAAGCACCCCTAGCGTTCCTCTTTTGCAGTCTCATGTAATTTGCGAAACGTTGCCTCGCACTATCTTCAGCCACATCATCAATTTGCAAGGAAGGTGGATTCAAAGGTTTTTGGATTTGCGTGCTCATGACGTTTTTAGGGTTGGCCAAATTTAAAAATCTTTTGAGCTCTAATAAAGTTGCAGCGTTTCTTTGTAAAATGGGGCGTATCTTTAACCCTTGGGCATTCGTTTGATACCCCAATCTCCGCAGCGATGAGCAACCCGAGGTATCAAAAGTCGGCAAAATATCTTTGCCTGATATGTTTTTGAGAGTTTGCAAAGCGTTGACAAAAATCAAACACATAACAGAAGCATGCTTTTTCCGTGGTGGAAGTGCCTCAGCCTCAACGGAAAAGTAGCTAACATAAATAGATTTACTTCCTTGTCCGGAGATGCGGATTGGAGGCATGGTCCCCGTGATAACTAAAAATAATAATAGGAGTTCCAGCCACGAGATGCCCCAGGCGAAAGGTTCCAGTCCATCTTTTGACCATGGCACATACGGTCTGGGTTGATACCGGCATGTTGATTCATTCGCAGTGAATATCCCATTCAATTTCCGTTTTCCCAGTATATCCAAGTAAGCATGGACAGATTCTATGCCCCAGATTTCCACTATTTCCACTATTCATTCCCACAGTGATATCCCAATTCCCTATCCAATTCCCACATCTCGTGTATTTCCAAGTGAAAAGTCTCATTCAATGCCATTCAAGTCCATTATAACGCCCCCCACCAGAAAAAAATGAAAACATGTTCCTACTTAATTTTAATAGATTATATGTTTCTATCTTTTTGAGGTTTACTATCTTTTTCCCTCCATACGTTATTGTTATATCACTGGTATAGTGTTTCTCTACCATTACAAATTATTACACACGAGTGTAGTGTTTTTCAAACATTGTGCATATGCATCTAATACATATATATATATATATATATAGTGGTATATACATATATAATTATATATAATGCTGTATATAATACATATATATATATACATACATATTATTATATGAATGTAACTGTATGTATAATTATATTAATTATATATATATATAATTATATATGAATCCAACTGTTTATATCTCTGGTTAACCATGGTGCACTTAAGTCCAGCCTGGCTTCGCGCGAAGCGCCAGGCAGGTGGTGGACCAGGAAACCATGCATCGCCTGGAGGTGACCCGATTGTAGCATTGGTTTGTTCGTTTCCATACCCAGGTGCCATTGGCTAGATGATTTTTGGCTCGTGATTTTAGATGATTTTTGTATATTTTTGTAGCATGGCTAGTCATTTTAGATGATGTTTTGGCGATTTGGCTAGTGATTTTAGATGTTTTTAGATGATTCTTGTAGCAGCTATCAAAGAAAGAAAACTACGAGTTGACCATCAGAAGTCGGTGATTGGCGATGTTTCAGCTAGTAAGTACGCAGGGTGTTTAATCATCAAAGATGAAGATACAATGATAGAACTGATAAATGATCTTCGATGATCACAACGGGGGTTGACTGCCCTTCATACATTGGGGATAATCATAATCCATGAGCTGGGATAATAGGAATCACGTTTTTGATCCGCCTGTAACATGGAAGAACAGATGGTTTTGAACAGTGTTCACGTCATCGCATAAATGTATGGGATTAAATGGGTATGGTTTGCTGTGATTTCGGTGTTCGACAACTTAGAATTACCCTCTGTTTATTTAACATAGACATAGCCGTGGAAAATGGCCCATTTATAGATGTTTTTCCCATTAAAACTTCCATTTATAAGGGATTTTCCATGGCTATGTTAAATTACCAGAGGGTAATGTTTATATTTGAAGTTCAATGGTCAAACAGTTTCAAAACCTATGGCTTGCCACATAAATGGGCGGAATGAACATCGATAACAACATGTTTTCTTCTTGATGTGAAGACCATGCATGGGGTACAACGGTTTTTGACCCATAGACAAATCTAAATTGGAAGCGACAAAAAAAACATTACCCTCTGGTAATTTAACATAGCTATTGAAAACGACCATATATAGTGGATTTTCCCATTAAACATTGTGATTTTCCATAGCTATGTTAAATTACCAGAGGGTATCAGAATAGGACAATCCCAAATCCCAAACAATTGTCATCCTGCCAACCATTTTTCTGGGTGGCTTACGATTGAAAATTGCAGGGGTGGCCAACCATCAAACATCAAAGGTAATCAGGTGTCTAGGGTCCCAAGTATATATGGATTTGTACTATATATATATATGGAATTAACGGAATAATTTGGGAATGGTTTTCATTTCTTTAAACCAAAAAATGTGAGAATTGGTTTCAACAATGTTTTGTTTTCCAATCAGAATTGGATCGTTTAGGGATTGTTCAGTTAAGTGCTCAATGATTTTCTTTGATTTGTTGTGTGGGTGTTTTTGATTTTAAATCACGTATCCCAAGACAACAACAATATATAAATGCAAATCAGATGGAACAAAGGATGCATGAACGACTAATAGAAAATGACATATATATCCAAGAACTATAAAGATGGTATTCCCTTGAAGACCGAGATGCTTGGAGACTGACATGAAACCCGCAAACACGGCCCCCGGGCCCATGCAGTTGCTAGGACAAACATGCACCCTACACGAAACGGTTTGCAAGTGGCTCACCAACCATGGATTTTCACCATGTGCCAAGTTGTGGTGGATATGCAATGCTTATTGATGCCGTGACCCGACTATATGCTTTTGAATGGCTTGATATATGGCGTCGCAACCGGTTCCGCAGCACTGCACAACCCATCATGGCCATTTCACCGAGCCATTCATTCATGGTGTTGCATACCATTTGTGCCATCAAAACGTGGGTAAACTGCCCATATGTCATCTTGGACGATGGTCATCCGGGATTTCATCAACCGATTTGGTGCGGAGATTTTCCCATTGAAACTTCCAGTCATAGATGAGTTTCCGCGTGATTTCCCAGTGTTTTTTCCATGATTTTCCATGATGGAAACCCTACAGTTTCAGTTTCCCAAGGGCCCAAGGGTTTCCATCACAACCTTTGGCACAGCCACTGGCCCTTTTAAGGGCCGTCCCCGACAGCGCCAGACCTCCAGCATTGGCGCCGTCGGCGCCGTCGGCGCCGTCCTTCCCATGGCGCTGTGTGGTTTCGCCGATCGAGGTGCAGCTGATGCAGTGATTTCTATGGCGATTTTTATGGGGTTATATACCCTATGGATCCTTACAAGATGGGGCCCCCGTTGGATAGCTGCAGTTGCCTTAAAAAAATGGCTGAATTCTATGGTTTATGGTAGATATAACGAACTAGTTAATGGGGGTTATCATTGTTTATAAACCAACTTACAGAAGCTATCTGGGTAAATTATAACGACCTCACTGGTCTCCCGAACCCTGGAATCATGGTACATAAGGGAAGTCATCCCCAAATGGCCCAACAATTCAGGTTAGAGAAATATTATAATTTACCTAAACCCTATGGATCCCTATGGATCCAAACACCTCCTTCTCGAAGGTACTTAAAGACACCTGTCAGTCATCATACCCCAGTCCCACTTCCTAAGAAGGCAATTGGATCCGTAGGGGTACATGAACCATAAATGGGATTATACCTGACATCAATATCCATAAATTGGATTACTGTATATACCTGACTTATAACTGGTTAAAGGATGTAAAGGGAATCATTCCATAAATTGGATTTAAAATCTTGCTGACTTGTAACTGGTATTTGGCTGTAGGAATCGTGCGACTTCACGAAGTTCGGCTTTGCCCTCGAAGCCGTCCAGGTGGCTCAAATGGTCCCAAGTATGGTAGCATCGGCAGCGCTGTGCCAGGTTGAGCATTCTCCTTCAGGATATGGGCAGATGAATCACATTCCTTGGAGTCCGTGATAGGTCGAGAGTGTCTCCTCGGCAACGGTGGGCTGTGCTCCCAATGACTATCCCTCCAGAGGCTGTGGTGAATTTGATGAAGTCACAGGCCTTGCGTTTCCCATCCACTCCTCACTCAAGTCACAACGCACCACAAAGGACCACAGTTCCTTTCGCCTAGCTGGGCCTATAGCTGCTGACCCCTCAGCTCTGTCAAGAGGCCCTCGCGGGCACCCGAACACAAAGAGACGAAGGGATTCGAGCATTTAGCTCCGTTGTTCATTGACCAGTGGGTCCAAATGCCTATTCCAAGAAACAGACATGTTGCACCGTGCAAAGATGTGAAGAGATCGTCAACGAGACTGCGCCCAACATTTCCCAGATGTTGCGCACACCGCAGTCTCGTTGACGATCTCTTTCAATATGCAACACTGAAAGTCCAGGCGCTTGAGCTTGGCCTGGCCGAGGAAAAAACGTGTTGCCTTTGCCAAGGAACTGTTTTTTTGGGGCAGTCGGGAGTTGTTGCAAGCTGTTACATGCGAATCGCCATGGTTTTGAAGCTGAATGTGCGCTCTTCGGATTTTACAGATCCTCAAGCCAAGGCACCATGTTGATCACCAGCAAATAAGATAAAATAAGTTCATTATGATATTGTTGCATCGAATTGGATTTCACCCAACATATCCAAACATACGCTCTGGTAAACTAACACAACTATGGTAAATATTGGAAAATCATCATTTTTAATGGGAAAACTCACTATAAATGGCCATTTTCAAAAGCTTTTTGTGTGTTTACCAGAGGGTAGTTCCTGATGGGCGCCATCGCTTGGTTTCCCTTAGGATTTTCCCCTGGGATTTTCGGAAAAAAACCAACCGACGGCCAGGGCGTTCCCGGACCAAAGCTGCCCGGGACTTTCTGTGTCTGGGGCCCCTGTTGAGAGTTGAGGGCATCACCGGCCTTGGGAAGTAAGCCCTGGTTTCATCTACACGTATGGCCATTTATTCTAACTAGTTATAAATGGGATTATACATTACATTCCACAAATATCCATAAACGGGCTTTTGTTAGTATTTGTAACTGGTATTTCGGGCCATAACTTAAATTTCTGGTAGTTTGACATTAGAACACTTGCCTGTTCATAGCTGATTCACCTCCTTTTAACATTGTATTTTTTTCATGTGGATTTACCAGAGGGTAAGCTGGCTGCGTGGCATGTGCTAAACTGGGAAAATGAAGGAACATCATCTACAAATCAGGGATTGTCCTGTGCCATGTTTGATTACCGGAGGGTACTGAGTTTGGAAGTTTTTCGGATGGGACCGGGATGTTTTTTGCGAAGGGAAGCAAAGAGATCACACCAGTGGCAGGACAAATCTGCTGGCAAGTTTCTGAACAATTGATTATTCACGCTGGGCCACATATTACACGATGTATATATGATGTGATTGGTTGAACATGTTTGACGCTCACAGTTGGATGTGTTACAGATCGCAGACGATGAAAAAAGACATTGGTCCAGAAAAATCCCATCGCCATCCATCTCCCTGATATTCAACAACCCCTCAATGGTCCCAAATATGTGACTTCATCCCCTACTTGTTCATGGGTGGTGTTTGATATTGGGGGAAGGATGAAGTGACCGTAGCATGCCTGCTTTCGAGGTTCAGGAGCCACTTGAGATGAGTTAAGCTGCCAGAAAAAGATCATGCTGACGTCATGGGAGAGGGAGAGCATCATGAGCCTATCCAGCCTATCCACGGTCTGGATGTTGGTTTTACACATGTCTTACCTCCCTGGAAGTAACCTCTATGGATCATTGTGCTATATTGTGCTTGGCGGATTGAAAGCAGCAACCAGAGAATAAGCACCGGAAGTTATCAAAGGGAAATGGGAATTCGATTGCTTATCAAAAATCATAGTTGGATATAGTTGGCTATATATATATATTAAACTATGAGAACCTATGGGGTATTATAAATATAAATATAATAATATACATATATATATATATAGTAATCATTATGTTTCAGAAGCCAAAATCTGCTGCATATATTGGAATCACCTTGTAGACAGTGCCGTGGGATTCACCAGACCTCCGGATTTGCCGCATTTTTGGCCCTGGTCACAGCGGGGCGACCTTTGCAAGAAGTGAAGGCGACTTTCGCTGGAATGTGTGGTGGCAGTTACTTAGATGGGCCATGGGATTAGCGATTCCTGGTTAGTAACTGGGGATTTGTTACCCTCTATATCCCAATTATAATCCATTTACTTATTAGTTAACTAACTCCATGGCCCATCTAAGTAGTGTATAAAACCGGACTTGGCTCGTCGATGATCAGTTGAGTTCGTTTGGTGAACATTGGTCAACAGTCACTTTCTGAGAGCGCCTTTTTTGAGCACTGACAGTCACTGATCCCTGGCATTTTCCATTCATTTTCCAACGGATCATTCACCTGAAACACATGAAAAGTCCCAGCTACCAAAGTTCGAAGAGTTACTCTCCGAGAATTGTGGCAATGGAAAATCCCCATTTCGTCAGTTAGATTAGATTTGTGTTTTTTCATATTTCAAGTAAAAACATTCAAACCTTCGAATTTAGTTCGGGGACATTAATTTGGGAAATATAATGGTTAGATCCAAGTAAAGCACATAATTTAGTAAATCCCCATGGAATTCATGATTTATTGCTATCTTTGAGGGCACCGTTTCGCTAAGACACGCTCAAGTCCGGCGACAGGTTGATTGTGGCCCAACTTTCCGGCCCGTGAGATGGTAGTGGAAACGAGGACGGCGCCGCCATGGTAGTGACATCTCTCAAGGGCTATGGCGTTGGAGACGGCCAGATCCAAGAAGGCAACAAATCTAAACTGCAGCTATTTTAGAACTTTTATATCCAATAAACATCAATAAACCTCATGGGCTAAAGTCCAAGAAGGATAAGAAGGCTAGATAAACTGACGGTAACCTGGCTCTTGTTTTGCCTGGTCCATGAGGCTTTGGGTCACCGGACTGGGAAGAATGCGAGATGGGTTCCTGACATTCCGTCAATTCCCAGCCTTCGTGATCAAATGTGGGAATAGGTTACTAAACATAAAACAAAACATAATTACTTATGTTTCTAATAATAAAAAACATTATAGAACTATCATAGCCTTTTAAAGACAGTTTTTTTTTAAATGGTATCAATGAGTAAAATTACTGGAGGCTGAGATTTTTGTTCGTCGACCAGCTGGGCCAGCACATATGAAGAAGTGAACAGTTAAATTTGAAGGGAACCATTTAGGTGTTTTTTCAGTACTTAAGAGATCTTAAGAGTATATTAAGAAGCTTTTATTTCTGGATAATGATGATGATGATGATTTTGACGTATGGACAGACACAGTTGACAGGAGTTGAAGCAGCCAGAATGGCATTTCGAATTCAGCTGTATATCTTCTTAAGATACTGGAATTGGATAGTTATCAATTTGAGGTCGCAAAGTTTTTTTTACCCAGATAGTTATTTTGTTGATGGTTTCAATGTTATTCATATTGTTCATGCTGTTATAATTCCGCCACAGCGTCGGGAACGCAGTCACAAGATATCTCAGGTGGTCTTGGCCGATTAATACACCATGGATTTCTAATCCATTCTTTAAAGATTACGAATGGTGCAGATATATTAATTCTGGTTGGTGGTTTGGAACATTGTTTATTTTCCCCAATAGTTGGGATGATGATCCAATCTGATTAATATTTTTCAGAGGGGTTGAAGCCACCAACCAGTAATTACTCATCAACAATATATAGATGGCTCCATTGAAACAATCGTACCATATAGTACCATTATTTTGTTGATTTTCTCTAGTACAAAGTTATCGCACCAATATTATTTCTGCATTGATACACCGGACCCCACACAGATGACACAGTCAAGCGACAGAATTCATTGAGACTTGCAGAGAATTTACCAGATGCTCGGTTTTTGCATTGCACACATTTGCACATATATATATATATGGTTTGTCGGTTCATCATCATTTTCTCCTTTAAACAACTATCCTAACATGGGGGTTACTCCATGTTCAGACAAACCCAAACCAAAAGGTTTGTAAAAGCAAATGTTAAAAAAACTATATCATGTTACCCCCTGGTAAATTAACATAGACCCTGAAAATAGCCTAGTTTTAATGGAAACTAATCTTCCAACCCCTATCTGCCAGGGTCTATGTTAATTTACCAGAGGGTATCTCCCATCGAATGGTTCCTGGAAAAAGGATTTTCTTTTTTTCTTGCTTCTTAGGAATGGGAATGGGCGAATGATCCAAATTATACCTACTGTTTTTTAAAGTACCTTTATATTATATGAACAATCATCCCAGCAACCCACATTCCCTACGGCTCAAGCATTTGCATGATTCCTTTGAGGTTCAGATGAATGTGATAATGATGTTTGTTTAAGATTCATGATTAATCTTGTTGATGATATGTTATGGTTCATCTTCAAGGACAACATTGAGGTTATCATGGAATTATGTATAAACAATGCATGCTATCAATAACTAATCCTTCAAGAACCTTCTCCCCTTTTCATTCCATTGGCCGTTCATCATCTTCCCAGCTCCACCAGGAGCGTTTCCGTGACAGGCCGGGTCATCTGGGTAAAACAATGACAATGCCATACAACCAGCCCATTTTTCGGGAATGGTAAGTTTATACAACCTATATATTTATGGTGAGGAATGGGGGATGGTTTATTGTTGTTTTACCTACATTAATCCAGATAGAGAAAGAATGGCTGAAAGACATGCAGACTTCAGTGCTTCGCTCTGCAGACACATGCCTCGAAGCCGCTGAGGTTTTGATGTGCGTCCTGCAGCCAAAATCATGTGTCATTACAAATTGATCAAAAAACCTTCCGGTCAACTTACATAGCTATGGAAAAGCCAGCATTTTTAGATCATGCCCATAGAATTTCATAGGACATCCAAAAATTTGCCACCATTTCGAAGATCGTTTCCTTGGGAACCCATAGATGTTCACAGCTGTGTAAACGTTTATTTGAGGGTCAGTCCGCAGCCCGCATCTGGCAATCAGATAGATGCATGCATGAAAATAAAATATACATACATATACGTACATTGGATTTGTTGGTAACCATCCATGCTAACCTTCTACTATATTACATCGGACTAAAAGCGTTGGTTTTATCTCACATTTTTGCTGGTGAAGTCCCCTTCATGGCCAAAACATGCCAAAACATGCCAAAACATGCCAAAACATATCGGGGATATACCCCATTACCCCGACCTGTTGGAGGTTATTACAAGGCTTACCCTCTGGTAAACTAACATAGCTATTGAAAATGGCCATTTATAGCTGATTCACCCATCAAAAAAGGTGATTTTCCATAGTTATGTTTGTTTACCAGAAGGTGTATATACCCAAATGAAGAAATGCACCCAAAGCCCCATTCAAAAAAAGGTGGTGCCTCCAAGTTCTAAGTTGGAAGCTGCTGGAAAAATTGCATAAACCAACTCGACTAGCTCTGGAGCACCACCGGCACCACTGGATTTCTTCAGAGCACCAGGGCCAAAGAGCACCGGCGGTTGTTTGGACGAGTGTGGTTGGGGCCTTGACGGGGCATGACAGGTCTTGAGGTTGTCGCCATTGAGAGATGTTGAAGCCAATCATTGGCGAATCATTGACATTAAAGCAACTATAACGGATGATCGTGCCAAATTGGGATGATAGTGACTAGTGTTTTCTTTATTGGACCGTGTGACTCCCCGATTTATATGTTTGTTTTATTTTTGTTCAACCAGTTTTAATGTATATTTATATAATTATATACTTGTATATATCGAGGCAATTTCGAGGGTGTACCAGTATACCTTAAATATGTTCAGACACAAGACAGAGATGCAGAACACGGTGGACAATTGCATTCCTGATAGTTGGTGGCTGATTTAAAGTCTTTTCTCGCAAACTCTTTACTTCTTTGGATTTTCCTGAATTTACTGTAACCAGTAATGTGGTAAACCATGGTGCCCACCCAATGCCATAAACCATCCAAAAAAAGTCCAGATTAAAACCATCAATCTCCAAAAGACTTGTAGTAAGGTCCAGCAAAAGTGTCCAGGTCCAGTGTAGAAATGTCATGAGGTCCAAAAAACAGTGTTTTCCAAAACCATCCAAAAAAATCATGGTATCTGGCGGTATCTGGGTAAAGGCCATCATATTTCACTCACCTGAATTTGCGGCAGGCCATACCCTCTGGTAAATTAACATAGACCCTGGCAGATAGGGGATGGAAGACTAGTTTCCATTAAAAATGGGTGATTTTCAGGGTATGATTTCCCGAATCCATTCACCATGATTTCCAGGGCTCGGGGAGAACACGACGCGAAACCGGCATGAGGTCCAGATGGCTGCATTGAGGGTGAACCCCAACAGGTTTGGCGGCGTCCTCGGTTGGTTTTTAGATCAGACATGGGTGTTTTAGAAGCCCAAACTCCAAGGTTTGGGAGAAAATCTCACATTATTTGGGGAATTAGCCTCTGGTAATTTAACATAGCCATGGAAAATGGATCCAATGGCCTATTTATAGTGGATTTTCCCATTGAAAATGGTGATTGTCCATTGTCATGTTAGTTTACCAGAGGGTATCTTTTTTTGGGGGGAAGTATTGCAGGTGCGACTTTTTCGGATAGTTGATTGATGTTTGT